ATCAGGAACTCCTAAATACAATGATAATTAATCCAAAAACAAACATCGATAAGTGCCACAGAATAAGAATTGCATTGAAGGGTTCGCATAGAGCAATTGATTACACTGAAAAGTTTTATCTACTAATTTATTGAGCTTTAGATTTAGATTTCGAGTACACAGTTGATTTGTACAACTTACACAGTTGTTTGATCTTTAGTGAAAGGCTCCCAGGGACCAACAGTCTGTTGAAATGTCAGATTAGCGTTCTGACAATCATTGCATTTAGCAGATCCATAGGATAAAAGTGTCACAAAAATCAGAATCACAAATTTGGAATTCATTTTAGAAAACCCTTCTAATAAATGTCAATCGAAACTTTTAAAAAAACCCACAACAATAGGTAGTGATTCATAGAACTCTTTGAGCTTAAATGAAAAGCAAAAAATAAATTCTTGTCAAAAAATGTTGAGTATTTTAGTCAACTTGAAAAAAAAATTGTGTGAAAAATACTTCGAATTTCGTGTGAAACATGGTTAAAAGCTTAACTTATTGTAATTCGTTTATTTAAAAAGTAACTATCAGGTTACCTGTATGGCTAAAAAGTGTACCCAAAAAATAGAAGAAGATTCGGTGACTCTTACTAGCCATTTGCATACTGCCTATCATTAGACAGGTATGCAAATGACAAGTATTTTATCCATACAGTTCACCTGTCACCTGTATGACTAAAAAGTCTATCCAAAAAATTAGAGAAAGATTCGGTGACTCTTACATCCACCAATGATCTTTGACTATTCATTTGCATACTGCCTACATTAGCAGCTATATTAACAGCTACATTAGCAGCTACATTAGCAGTAGTAGTAGTAGCAGCAGCAGTAGGCAGCATACGACGCTCACATTTGCGTATTGCGTACAATTAACATAAAAAGCCGCTCGTTTTGCATTTAAAAGCTCAAGTAGAAGACTAAAAACTAAACTAAAAAGTAAAAACAAGAAATGTTCTTTTTTATCTTTTCAAAGCATTTGTCTTTTCGTATGCAAATTTTACTATGTAAATTGATGAACGTAAGAATCAGAAGGACCAAAGATTTCACGCTTAATTGCATTGCATTGTTGCATTGTTGAATTGCATTGTTTCATTTCACAAAATCGACACGAGCTAATCGTCAATGATCCTCTCGAAAATATTTTCTTCCTCATACACAGACTAATCTTTTTTTTTCACTCACATGCACTCACTCACATCAAACTCCATTCTATTATTTTGGTTTTGTCCATTGAATACTTTGAACTGACGCGAGTTCAAAGTATTCAATGGACGGGGGGAAATGCTGCTAAAATGATGTTGAGAATGAATAAGCTGAAAAGAGGCTCTATTTGTACAGTGACCACATCGTGTGATCTGTCTGCCTATTTGCGTGGGCATTTTTTTTTTGTTATTATCTTTGAAATACCCCATCCCCAATTGAACACTATATAAAGGATATTTTGATACGCAACTCACTGCCATTCACTGCATCGTCCGCTCAAAATGAGTCAAAATACAATGGCTATATTGTTGGGTATTTTGATCGCCACGGTGGGTAAACTAGAGGATTTATTGTAATTCATTGCGCTCATTAAGTTTATAGATTAACAAAATTCTCTAAAATAAACATTAAGCGTTTCCCCCATTAACATAAACTGCCAATGGCAAAAGGTGGCGCGGCGACGGACCTTTTATACGCGCCCCGCCCCTTTCCCATTGCCATAACTTTGAGCTTAAATATCTTGGTGTTGAGCTGTCCAATTTCAATCTTCTTGATCTCATTAGATGCGCCAAGTATTTCTCTATCGATTCGTATAAAAACTATTTCAATTGGACACAGCTCAACACCAAGGAATTTGAGTTGGAAGTTGTTTACTCAAATCTATGAGTCCTTTAGGTCACATCAACGGACATCGTCGTGCCGGCCTATTTCGATCCAGTGGATAGCGGGTTGACCGATTGGAACACGATGACGAACAGTGCCAAAACAGTTCCCCTGACTGTGATCATGAATCCCGATGATGGGCCAGGTTCATCAGCCTTCGGCTACTACAAGACAGCCATCGCAAAACTTCGAGCCAATGGGGCTAAAGTGATCGGCTATGTGGCCACAGGGTATGGGAAGAATGCGATGGCCACCGTTCAAGCACAAATCAACAAATATTTCTCTTTCTACACAATTGATGGGATCTTCTTTGATGAGATGAGCGACGATGACACCCCGGCACTTGTCACATATTACCAGACATTGTACAAGTTCGTCAAAGCGAAATCGGCTAGTTATCAGGTTGGCGGGATTATAGTTTTTGTCAAATTTACTTACAATTTTTCACTGTACTAGCAGAATTATTGTGTTGATTGTGTGAAAGTAGAAATATTCTTATAATAAAAACTCTAATAAAACGGCCCCCTGTAGGAGCATCGCGTAGTCTAAGTTTACTCTCAAATAAACCCTTATAACTCGACACCAGTACGTTTGTTTTTATTCGTTTTGGTATTAAATTAAAGTAGAAAGGATGGGTGATTTTTTAAGATATAACACATATTTTTAAATTTAACCAGGGTTTAGAAAAAATGATTGAAAAAATGGTTAAAAAATGGGTTTTATCATGAACATCATCATGAACACTCCACCAAGAGTAATTCATCGGATTGAGATAAAGGCCATGGATTAAGTGACTATTAAGTGATTCTTTAAGAACTTCTTCTTTCGACTCATAGAGAGCTCTTTGAAACCTTCATTTGTGCGGTCATTTTGCGAACGGAGTGATGTGGGTTCAAATGGACTCAATCACGCACTATCTTGATAATGATTTTGTTGATCATGCTTTCTCTACGACGGTCAGAAGTGACTCCCAATTCCTTGAATCTTGCAATAATGGTTGATAAAACTTTTTTGGAAACGTTCATTCGTCTAGAAATGTCAATCGCTCCGATATTGTCCTTATGAAGTTGAATGTCGCGGTTGTTGCGTTCCGTTGCGGTGCACAGAGGGCCATACCATTCTAAATTTAAAACTTTCTTTAAACTACGACTAAACTACGACTACGACTACGACTACGACTTAGACTAAGCTACGACTACGACTTAGACTAAGCTTCGACTACTACTTAGACTAAACTACGACTACGACTTAGACTAGAAACTTAGCTCGCGCGATGCTCATATAGGAGGCTTCTATTAGAGAATTTATAGTACATATTTATAGAATAAATATTCTAGGTGATGAACAATCCGGGAACCAACCTTGCTGAGACTTACGTCAAGCTACCCGTTGCCGATCGATTTGTTGTTTACGAAGACAAACAAGGGAACTACGGTGCTTACAAGGCGTTGCCCTATATGGGCAATTATGCAACCACTCGCTTTGTTCATATTGTATACAATGTCACTGCGGCTCAGGTGAGAATTTAGAAAACTAAACAAAAACTTCTTGTTTCAACACTTTCAAGCTTGAACTGAGTTCAGCTGAAAAGTTCTGTCCGTTATTTTTATTTTAGGTATCTGGTGACGTGAACACGGCCATTGCCAAACACGCAGGTGGTGTCTATCTGACGAATCTGAAATTGCCCAATCCTTATGCAAAACTCCCCTCGTTTTGGCCTCAACAAGTAGCTGCTGTGGCGGCAAAGAATGGATAGATTCAGTTGGTTTACTCAAAACATTTTATAACTAGATTGAAATACTCAAATCAATAGTTACACCTCCCAACAAACCCTCCCCCCCCTCTAAAAATATAATATTTTAAAAAAATCCCCTTTATTTTTTTCCCAACCACCTAACAATACACCATCCCCCCAAAAAAAAATAAAAAAAAAATTATTTTTTAAAAAAAAAAAATTTAAAAAAAAAAAAATTTTTGGCCAAAAAAAAAATGACCCCCAACAAAAAAAAATTTTTAATTTTTGAAGGGAAAAATTTCGGAAAACCAAAAAAAACTAAGCTACCGTAAATACTGTAATTGGACCCCACCCCCATAATGACGGTGCGGAGCATCGCGTAGTCTAGCTTTGAACGCGTTTTCGACACGAATTTCTTGGAACGAATAGCCCTGAATTTCAGCTATTTTTTGATACCAAAGACGCATTTTTTGAAAGTACGGGCGCTTTGAAAAAAATGAAATACTAAAAAACTTTTGCGACTTTTGCGAGTACGAGAGGGGTGGGGTACTATTACAGTATTTACGGTAGCTATCTTAAAACAAAACATAATTATCTTTTCAATAAAGCTAATTTAAAAGAGATCTTTTCAGATGTAACATCTGATCGAGTCATTGACAATTCTAACAATTCTTCAAAAAGTCAATACTTCAAAAAAATTTCTTCTTTTCTTCTTTCAATCAATTTTTTCTTTCAAAATCAAGCTTTATTATCTCTCAGCGATGGCTTTAAATTAGATTTCTTATCCCAAATCGATCAACTTATTCTGTGATTTTGATGCTAACATGCTTTTCAGACTTGTTCTGTTACACGGACTTATATGTCGTAACTGATTTTGAATGAGTGAGTCTAAACGCATCCAGCCATCAAATAGGGATCATCACGGTTGCGCCACGAAAATTGAGCACACGAAATTTGCGCGGAGCGAATTTTGCGCCGCAAGCGATAAAGGAAAATTGCGCTCCTGGATTTTCCGCAAGTTTCTTGCGCCACCGAATTTTGTACTGCAAAATTTGGGCCGTCTTCGTAAAACAAAGTTTGCGCCGCAAGATCAAAGGTGAAAATTGGTCGGCGCAATTTTCGTTTTTGGTTTGCAGCGCAAAAGCCAAATTTCCAAAAAGATACACTTAGTAGTTTCGCTTAAAATGCAAGTTTTGTGAAAATTCGTAAATTTCGCATTTCTTGAAAACCAGTTTTTGAATCGTTCTGAAAATTTGGATATAAGCTTCATTTTTGATTCTCTACAACTTTTTCATTGACACCAAAATGGGTTTCTTTTGAAGAAAATGCTCAAACTGTTACATATGAGAATAGCCGGCAGTTTTCAATTCACCAACCCAATATATTGACTATTTTAACGATCATTTGATGCAGAATGAAATTACGCATCGAATGACACCAAAAACAACTTAAAATATAATAATTCATGCAAAATGAAATATTGGTCAAAATACGGCTGAGAAAATGCCCGAACAGTAAGGCAGACAGAAAGACAGACAGATACCGTAACCCCCCTCCCGTCCCCTCCCCCTCCTTTTCCGCGATTTCATTTGTGAAAATTCGTAGATTTGGCATTTCTTGAAAACCAGTTTTTGAATCGTTCTGAAAATTTGGATATAAGCTTCATTTTTGATTCTCTACAACTTTTCCATTGACACCAAAATGGGTTTCTTTTGAAGAAAGTCCTCAAACTATCACATATGAGAATAGCCGGCAGTTTTCAATTCACCAACCCAATAGAAAAGTTTAACAAAAAAATTGCATTCAAAATTGACTATGACATCTATAATGAGATGATAAAGGAAATCAATTACATGTGAATCGTTTTTACATAAAATTTTCGAAAAGCTTAATCAAGAAATTTTCACAGAAACTAATCTGTCTTTTTGATTGGCTGATGAATGAAATTGGCATCGATTCGAACGAAATCATTGAGTAGATTGATGGTCGAGTTACCTAAAAAGCAACTCTCGATATTAGAAAGTTAAACAGTTAGAAAGTTATTAAACAAAAAATTCTTTACCAGCTAGTGCCATTGCGGCTTCTTTAAAGATTGGAATCGGAATTCCTTGTCGTAGTAAACCATTCAAAAGAATCTCCTCCACTGAAACGAAGAGATTCCGAAATGAGGTGATTGATCTAGAATGACTTTATATAGAATCTAGAATAACTTTATTTCAAGACACTCACCCGGGCTCAATATCTCCAATAGTCGAATGAATCTGTTCGATTTCAGCTGTCGTATCTTTTAAATAACCATTCAGACGAGTTCCATCAACTTTGATTACCACCGAGGACTCAGAAGTGATTTCTAAAGCAATCTATTAAACAATTTTTGGAAAGAAAACAAGAGAATACTTACAAATAAAAAAAAATAATATACAGTCATGGACAAAAGTCTTGGCGGCTCCTGGGTAGTAACTTTCCAACGCAAATTTAGGAACCTTTCCGAGAGGCTATAAAAAAGTTGTCACAAGTATTTTTGAGCATTTTTACTCTACTTTTAGCTATGACAAAGCATTGAACTCGAAAGTTTATTTTAGACAACAAAAATCATAGCTAAAAGTAGAGTAAAAATGCTCAAAAATACTTGTGACAACTTTTTTATAGCCTCTCGGAAAGGTTCCTAAATTTGCGTTGGAAAGTTGCCACCCAGGAGCCGCCAAGACTTTTGTCCATGACTGTATTAGGTTAAGGAAAAAAAATAATGCGCATTTTTTGGGTGTAATAATTTATTTCATTCTGCAAGAAATAACAACTATCAATCAGTAAGGTATTCTCTATTTTGATCGATCGGTATTCTCCATTTTTCCCATCTTCCTATCTTGATTTCATTTATATAAAATTAGGGATTTTTGAAGCCAAAATAATTCACAAGCTTTTTTGACTTGAGCATGATCATCGAACTTTTCTCCCATGAGCAACTGTTTCGGGGATTTAAAGAAAAAGTAAGGGCTAATTCAGGAGAGTAAAGTGCATGAGGCTACCCCTTCTTCTACTTCTAGCCCAGCTCGTCAATTTTTTTGTGAGTGACTTTTGCAATGTGGGATTTCGCGTTGCCATGCAAAAATTTCGATTGAGATCTTTCGATTGAGCCGCAATTTCTTTAAAGCATCGTTAACTCTAGTCAATTGTTTTGAATAGAGATCAGCAGCAACTTTAAGTAACAGCAACTCTCTCCTGGATTAGCTTACAGTGCACAAAACCTTTTGAGTTCTACCAGCAACGAAGCAACGAAGCAATATCAGGCTTGTCCGGTAGATAGCCTTTTGATATAGCCTTTTAACATGGCCTTTTGTCCGGTAGATAGCTTTGTGCCGAGTAGATAGACTTTTGTTCTTCCTTTTGAAATTCTCGTAGTCAATCCGTTTCATCAGATGTCAAAATCGAATCCCAAAAACCAGCTTTGCATTTATGAAATAAAAAAGAACTGACGTTGACACGAGTCAGTTTGTGCGGGACTCAATTTTCCACAGCAAATTTCTTTCCCGAATTGGTGCAAATGGTTGTCGATTGTTTTCTGATCATCATCAAACATTTCTGCAAGCTAAATCAAGCATCAAACATTTCTGCAAGCTAAATCAAGCATCAAACGAGTGTCGTGAGTTGAAGGTTGAAGTCAATTTCAATTCCCGAATGCGAAATTTGTTGCGAAAAAAACGCGCATTATTTTTTCCTCAACCTATTGTTCCTCAACTTATTGTTAAAAACAGTTTAAACAAACTCATTGTAACGAGGGAATCCTTCGTCGTCGCCATCGGATTCAGATAAAAGTCCAAGAGTACAGAGCCACGAAATCGAGCATTCCCCATTGACAATTTCAACTTTAAACAAACAAATAAGCGTTTTTCCCTTTTTTAACATTTACAAACTTACATTTGGTTCCTCGAATGAATGCATATGTACATCAATGTACTCTTTTGGATATTTCTCATCTAATTGAGGCCAAAATGTACCCATGCACACGGCATTTGACGCTTTAAATGGACAACTAAAAACTCTTTTAAAGAAATGCTAAGTAAATGAGTTGATGAAAACAAATAGGCATACTGTGTCCTCAAATATGGAGCCGCTCCTTGAACATCTTTTGTGATTGTGTACTGAATGATTGCACCTTGATGAGCACTTCGGAAGATACAGTTGACAATCTGCTCAGACACCCACACTTGACCCATTGTTTGGGGTAAAGGGCCTGAAGTTTTCTGCTAGAGTGCTTAGCTGTGTACATTCTGCCCCTCCTCTAATTACACTAGACCTCCCCCTTTTCTAATTACACTAGACATGAGCACTATAAACTACAAACGCTTCTAAATTCCTTCAAATCTACCAGATTGACATGAGCTATAGCTCAAAAAATAGAGAATCTCAAGAGCTTTCGAATGGATTAAAGCACACTGAAAAATAGAAATGCTAAAGAAAGTTATAGTGGTTTGTAGTCAACTACGCACTAGTCCAGTCCGTTCTCAGTCAAACCTCTGTAACTTTATTTAGAATTGATATTTTTAAGTGTGCTTTAATCCATTCGAAAGCTCTTGAGATTCTCTATTTTTTGAGCTATAGATCATGTTAATCTGGTAGATTTGAAGGAAATTAGAAGCGTCTGTAGTTTGACAGGCCGTCATTTTTGTAGTTTCTAGTGTCCAAAGTGTAACACTTCACAAATAAACCCAAAGCACACTCTTTCTAGTGCATCACAATTGATCAATTCAGTTACAGTGGTTTATAGCCTGAATTGATCGCTTCGATTTAAAGCAGTTTAGAAGCGTCTGTAGTTTGACAGGCCGTCATTTTTCTCGTTTATAGTTCTCATGTTTATACTGTACCGATTTTACTATCACTTATTGCTTTTTATGGTCATTTTGATAGATACGTTTGGTAATTTTTGTTTACTAATATATTACATCGGGGTTTTTGTCTACAAAAACTCAAAACACTTCAAATCTATGAATTTTACATGGCTAAGGGTTTAGTTTATTAGGTTGGCAACTTAATAATGACACGTTTATGTAACAAATCATTTATTTCAAAAAAACACAAAAGAAGAGCTTTCAATTCGAAAGGTATTTTCCATTAGTATCTATGACTTCTTCCCATCTTCTGCGCAAATCCCGGATCCCATCCTCGAAGAACTTGGGAGTTTTTGAGGCGAAGTAGTCATTCACTGCTTTTATGACCTGAGCATGATCATCGAACTTTTCTCCCTCCAAAAAGTGCTTCAGCGACCGAAACAAAAAGTAATCTGAAGGAGCCAGATCAGGTGAATAAGACGCGTGGGGCAAAACTTTCCAGCCAAGTTCCTCGATTTTCTTATAAGTGATCTTTGCAGTGTGAGGTTTTGTCGTGTAAAAATCTGACTCTCTCCGGTTTGAGCCCCAATTTCTTCAAAGACTCGTTAACTCTCATTAATTGCTTCGAATAAAGATCAGCACCGACGGTTTGGCCAGGTTTCAGCACTTCATAATGCACCAATCCCTTGAAGTTCCACCAGCAACAGAGCATTATCTTCTTCCCATGGATATCAGGTTTGGGAGTGGTTTAAGGGGTCTGCCCAGCAGATAGCCATTGATTTTTGCGTTTAACGTTCTCGTAGTTGATCCACATTTCGTCAGAAGTCAAAACCCTGTGAAAAAAGTCGTTTGATTTACATTTTTGTAGCAAAATTGAGGCGACATTTTGTTGCTTTGGGTCAGTTCGTGAGGAACCCATTTTCCAACTCGATTCTTTTCCCAAGTTTGTGTAAATAGTTTTCGATTGTCATATGGGATACTTCAAATATTTCTGCCAACTCACGAACGGTGAGTGTTGGGCAGTCTTCAATTAAGGCGAGCAAGTCATCGTCGACCACTTCTGGAGGATGTCCTTGGTGTGGCTCGTCTACGAGGCTTTCATCGCCGCCTTGGAATCTTTGAAACCATCGTTGACATTGCCGAATGTGTATACTTTCCTCCCCAAAAACAGTGGTGATCGTGCGATGAGATTCAGCTGGTGATTTTCCTTGTTTAAAATCGTAGAACAATGAAGCTCGAATACGGAATTTTTTGTCCTCCATTTTTTGCCAAAAAGCAAATGTTGAAATTTGGAGCACTAAATGTTATTTATGTAGACATCTTTTCCTTTGTATATATGCAAAAAGAGGGAAGAAACGGCGCTTGAAATTACAAAAAACATGTTAAGTAGTGAGGCGTCATTATTAAGTTGCCAACCTAATAGTAAATGAAAATTATCAAATGTATCTATCAAAATAACCATAAAAATCAATAAATGATGCAAAGAATGAAGCCAGAAAGAAAAGAGAAAAGAAAAAAGAAACAAAGAAAGAAACCTTTATCCATTTCACTCGGTTCGATCAAACAACGCTCGTTTCCATACAAAACTGTTCCACTGATTGCCGTCTCTGAGTAGTTTCTAAATTAAGCTAATTAAAATGATTTAATAATAACAAACGGATCAAATTTTATCGTTTCAAAGCTGTAGTCAAGGGTGAAGTTTGAACCGAGGGAAAACTGTAGTGGAATTGTGGAAAGTTGAGTATTGATTTGATTGATTCCCATTCGCAGATATGTACAAATCTAAACTATTAGGTGTGTGAAAAAGTAATCCACGTTTTTTATTTTTATTTTGTTTAAATAAATATATCTAAGCAATTTTTAATTTTTTGTTAACGATATATATATCGTTTATTTGTTATATATATATATATATATCGTTTTATACGCGTACGAGTGATTCTAAAGTTATACTCAACTTCAGAATACTTTAAAATTTGGGAGAAGCCTCTTAAACGTTCTATTTGTTATCCTTTTGTCTTTTATTCATCAGAAAGGAGTAGGCTAATTTCCGCAATTTTTTTTTGCGCAACTCACCATAACTTTCTCCTCAGTGGGCCAATCTTTATGGTTTTGGTTTCATTTTGTAGATCTCAATAAGTGCAACAAAATGACACCAAAATCATAAAGATTGGCCGAACGATTGTGAAGTTTGTGAAGTCGAAATTGAAGGGAAACTATTCGGATCAAAAGTGGAGCTTTGGTACTTCATCCGTAGAGTCTGGACAACTATTGGACCCCAAATTCTACGTGATCTGGTTGACAGCATGTCAAGGAGAATTCAAGCAGTAATGGGGGCTCGCGGAGGACCTACTAAGTATTGATTTCATAATGTTTTTCTCACATGTTAAAAGACTTTTGTCCATCAATTTTTGGCCCAATTTTTGTTTTATTAAAAAGTTCATGACACCTGATAAATTGTTAAATCCATCTTTTTGTAATGTTAAAATTAGAGATAATAAGCTCTTTAAATCTTTTAACCGTTTGCAAATTGCTCGGATTTGGACCAAGATATACAAAGAACAAACTTCTATTGGGTTGGGGAGAATGAGTCGGCGCCGAACTTTAAAGGGACTTTTTGCACACATAAAGCCTTCTTTAAACATACGTTTGGTTTCATCAAAAGGATCCACTATTTCTCTACAAAATGACTTTTGAGAGATTCCACAAAGCTTTTCTTTCGTGGAGTTTATGAACTTCCAAACGCAGCTGGTTAAAATGGCAAAGAGTCCGACTCATCATTTGAACAGTTTCTTTCACATAAACCTTCTTTGGTGTTTATATAAAAAAGATAGAGCACATTCAATTACTTAAGTTGCCAAATTTGCAGGAAGATCCCACCAATGGTTTTTTCTAGATGACAGTTTGTAGTTTTTGTGAAAAAATGGCTTTTTCTTGAGCGGAGGCGCTGTTTGAATTTTCTTTTAAATGTCATTTTGTAGAGAATTAGTTAACCATTCTACTGATATCAAACGTATATTATTTGACGAAGTCTGCTAGAAGTTTTAGACATTTTTTTGATTTTCGGCGCCGACTCATTCTCCCCAACCCAATAAAAACCAATGTTAAAAGACTTTTGTCCATGACTGTATATGTCGTAGCCGATTATGAATGAAATTTTTTGGTAAATCTTTCTAGTAGAGCAACCCTTTAATGTATGAGGACAATATTATATCCTCCTGTAGCGAAATTAAATTCTGCGTCGATTGGTACCAAATTTGTGAGTTTAGGTTAAAAATTACCGGCGCTACAACGTTTCATTCAAAATCGGCGGGACCCCCGTAGCCGATTATGAATGAGTGGGTCTAGGAGCGTCCAAACATCAAGTATTTGGTATCATTCAACGCAGAATCATTAATAATTATGTTAAATTTTTAAAATTAGAAAGATTTGATAAAAAGAAAAAAAATTAGAGCAAAAAAACTGTTTGTTCAAGAGGAAACTTTGAGGCCCCATAATTTTTTTTCTTTTTATCCAATCTTTCTAATTTAAAAAATTTAACATAATTATTAATGATTCTGCGTTGAATGATACCAAATACTTGATGGTTGGACGCGTTCGGACCCGCTCATTCATAATCGGCTGAAATTCATAATCGGCTACGACATATATATCGTTTACGATGTTAACGATATATATATCGTTCTATTTTTTTCCTCTTTCGAATGATATATTCCTTTTGTTAAAAGGACGACAATAAACTACTTTCAATTTAGTTTGGATACACAAGTATCGTTATTCGGTCAAATTTGCTTTATGAGTTCAAAAATGGGTTGAAAGCTGCGGAGGCTGCACGTCGAATTCGGAATGCGTTTGGCGAAGACGCCGTTACTGATGATACCGCTAGGTTTTGGTTCCGACGATTCAAAGGTGGTAATGAAAGCCTAGAACCACGTGGCGGTCGCCCTGAGACCTGTTCGGATGACCAAATAAGACGCTGTCTTCTCGAAAACCCTCGTTCAACCTCTTCAGAAATAGGCCTTACATTAAATTGTGATGGGTCAACCGTAAGGAAACGCTTGAATGCCATGAATTTTATCAAAAAGTTGGACAAATGGATACCGCATAAACGTTAAAAACGTGGATTACTTTTTCACACACCTAATATTAACATTTTAAAGATATCTTTAAAGTTTAATGTTTAACTCACACTTTTCTTGAGCATTTTCTTTGCCGCGTCCTCAGCTATCCCCAAAAATGGTCGATAAGCCCAAGCATTTCGGCAATGAGGTCTGAAAAATATGAAAAAGAAATGAAATAAGTCATGTATTTTTCTGTAGCGTGCCATTTGTGAGGTGCAAAACGATCGCTGAGCCAGTGCGGAACCAACTGCGAAGACATGGGAGACGAGCCAGCTCATCACCTTCCTAAAATAAAGCATTATTTATAAGAGACAAGTGGTTCAAACTTTACCTTTGGTGCAAATTTCTCTCCAGCTTTCAGGAGGTGTTGGTTCATGTAGTCGCGGAAGAATTTGAGTAGAGTCGTTTTCTTCTCCAAATGTTTCATTCGCTCCAAGTCCTTGTTCATCATGAAGTATTCCTCGTAGTTGTCCCGTTCAACGTATTGCAAGTTGAGACCAGCAGCATCGAGCACCAAACGTGAATTGTCATTGTAGAGAACGCCAACCTGAAAATAATGCATAAATGACTAAAATATACAATCCACCGAGTTGTCACATAGTTGATATCCGATGCCATACTTATCGGAGTAGTCCACCCATTTGCTGACCCAAAAGACAGGCATACACTCCGGTGCTTCAGCCAAATCTTCAATCGGAGCAATGTTGCTAAATAACGGATACTAAATGCAAGTAATAAAAAAAATACCGTGTTCCACCCTTGAGTAGAGTTGCACGCAGTTTATTGAAGAGTTCCTGTGCATAACAATCGCTTGACATCTGTACAATTTGCGGTTTCACATCACGTTGATCCGAATCTTTGGACCCATCTTTGTAGAATTGTTCCACGTTTGCTTTTTGTGAAGTGAGAGCCCGGCTTGGTGATGGAACTCGCTTGGGAGTAGCATCCATAGTCTAAAAGAGTGCAATAAAAACATTTAGCCAAGTCGAACCTTTGAAAACTTTGGAGGCAACGTGAGACAAGATGTGGGTAGATGTGTTGGTGTGTATTCGGCAAAATAGGCATACTAAAACAAAAGTATTACCAAATTTAAGAAACATCGTTACCTTTTTCACTTCTGCAATCTTTGGTCGACTAGCTGGATTTGCAGCTAGAAGTTCCCGGATCACCTTTGCAGCTGTGTTTCCGATGGTAGATGGGATGCGATATTGATTGCTTTTGATGCGTCGATATGTTTCTTGAAGTGACTTCGTTTCGAATGGTGGTGTGCCGACGAGAAGAGTGTAGAGAATGCAACCCAAAGCCCATACGTCCACTTCAAACGCATGACCGGTCTTCTCCAAAACCTCAGCTAAAACAAATCATTGAACAAGAATATTATATGTAAATGTATACTTCAACTCAAATGACTTACGCGCAATGTAGTTCGGCGTGCCGCATAAAGTTTTCTTCCTATCGTCTCCTTTTTCCATCGTCGTTGCCAAGCCAAAGTCACCAATTTTAACCCAAAAAACTTGCTAAAGAACTATAAATAATCACGCCTACCATCATCTCATCATTCAAGAAGACATTTCCGAGCTTGAGATCCCGATGAATGATGGCTCTCGCGTGAAGGTACTCGATTCCCTCGGCTATTTGCAGTGTCATGTAACGGGCTTCTGGCGGCGTGAGAGCTCCACGTCGTTTGTGCAATTCCATTAGTGACCGCCTTGGACAGAGTTCCAACAAGATGTAGCTAAAATAAACAAAATGAATCCGCTTTCACAAATGATGTTTACATGTTGTCCGGGTCTTCGAAGTATCCGTCCAAGCGTACAACATGTGGATGACAAAGGTCACGATGAATGGTGATCTCTTGGGCCATCTAAAACGAGGACCATTGGAAACTTTAAAAACGATTATTCGCTCCAACAAGAGAGGTAGAACCACAACCACAGGAACTAACAGAAATCTATGAAGGTTCGACTACACGGATTTAGAATCAAGTTCTCTCTATTCTATTTCCCTTAAGCCGTTAACAGCTCGAACAAAGCTTCACCTTTTCCTTTTGATTGCTTCCTTTGAGCAGATCCTTTGAGACGATTTTTCCAGCAAATGTGATGTTGCGTTGTTTGTCGTAGAGTTCGTAGCATCTTGCAAATCCTCCCTTCCCAAGAAATCGGCCCTTCTTGTAGGGTTTACCTTTATCATCGTAGACCACCTCAGGCACCTCCTTTGCTGGCGGCTTTTTCGTGGTCATCTAAAGAAAATAAATTAGCTAATGACTCTTCAATAACAAGAAACACAAACAAAAGCCTCACGAATAAACTAGCAGATCTTGAGTATCAAAAGACAGAAGTGCTTAACTAGTCAAAGGACCGCTAAATTTTTCGAATTTTTTTGCCACTCAAAACGATAACCAAGTCAAAAGCTCGAGGATCTAGGGGCAGCAGTAAAAACCAGCTTGAAAACTGCCCTCGCCAACAATAATTTCATAAGATTTTTGCATGTAGACTTGACTATTGAGAGCTTATCGACATTGAGCTCTCGATAAGTTTCCCAAAATCTTTAAAAATCGTAAAATCCAGGCTTGGGATATCGACAGTCGTATTCAGCGCATCGAATTATCCCGAAATAAGCCAGTGGATCAGTTAAAAGGATTTAAAGGAGAATCGACTAAAGTTTTACCATTATCGATAAGCTTATCGAGATCTCGATATAGATAATCTCGGTGAGTTCCGATAAGAACGTAAAGAGATCTTGATCGCCAAGCCAGTTGCAGGAGCACGTTAAAATGTTTTTGAATGCCGCAGTTTTTGCCTTTTAGCCCAAATTTGACGTGTCAGCGAGGCCTGATTTGTCAAAATTCGGAATCTACGCATACGGTTCCCGTAGATGAGAAAATTTTTGAAGCTCTACGGCCTTTTCCAGCGAAAAAAGGTCGCATTTGTCCCACCCCCGAGTTTGTGAAACATTTGCCACCGGAGTTTTGCCAAATGTTTCAAAAAAATAAAGCTAATCAGCCATAAAGTTGAATATCTTATTTTTGTAAGATAAATCGATTATATACAGAGCTTTGCATCAAACAGCTTTATCTCATCCAAGGCTTAGACTTACGAATGGACTTGGATTCCCAGTCCATCCGAAAATCTGTCAAGCACTTATATCGTATCTTTAATACAGATTTTGTGTTTTTAACACCGAGTACCTAGTTGAAATCTTCCTTCTTTCACTCTTTTTCGTTCCCAATGCAGATCATTTATTTCCCACAAAAGCTCATTCCAAAGAAACAAAGGCACATGTTGAGTAGCTCTTTTTGGGTACTTGTGGAGTATCCGAGGGGGGGGGTCTTTCAATATCCGGGGGGTAAAATTTTAAGATCAGGGGGGTAAAATTTTATATACGTTATACCCGACCCCTTTTAAAGATATTCAGCCGCTTAAGTGATTTGGTGGCAAATTCCCTTCAAATGTAAAGATATTCAATTTATTGAGGTGATTACGTGATTCGAGGTGATACTCGATCAAAAACGTAACTTCTACAAAATTTTTTTATGTCATTATTAGAAATGTTGATAATATCCTAGTTGGCGGGTCATTTTTTTTCTTCAAAACCATTTTTTGAGGTAGTTTTATGTGTTGATGGTTTTGTATGTTGATGGCAAAGTTCTATTAACAAGAAAAACATTGGCATTTGGTTGGTTTTTGAAAGTTTACCCCGGATCTTAAAATTTTACCCCCCAGATATTGAAAGACCCCCCCCCGGATACTCCACAAGTACCCTCTTTTTGAAAAACTCTTATCACATGATATAAAATGAATTAGAGACAAGTAGGCAATGGATGAATTTAAAATGCGAATAGACAAAGCAATCGAAGAACTTTTTGTGTAAGTCCATTTCTCGATCGCTTTTGCCCCTGCAGCTCAGTCGTCAATACGGGTGGAAGTACAAAAGGCGTGGCGACAGTCGATTGATTCGCTGTCGTTGCGGCTCTTCCTCATTTTCTCCGCATTGAAAACCCGCTTAGATCGTTGACCATTCCCGAGTGGATCATCCGAGGGAGCACTAGATTCGTATTAGTCATTTTCTAAATCGAAAAAGTTTCACGAAAAATCTGTCTAATACAAACCTTTCTCTTGCTGTTCCCTCCACGATCAATGGACATCGATTGATCTGTTCCCTTCTAAAAGTCACAGCAGGTACAAACTCGAAAAAAAAATAGATGGTGGTGGGGATAAAACTTCCTTTTTATTAAGCATTTTTCATTTGCGCCAATTTTCCTTTAATTTTCAGTCCACTTTAATCATCTACTTTTATTATGTTTTTGTTTAGACTTTTCGTGGATTCTTTTTCAGTATCTTGATTTCTCATTCTAATATTCATTTTATTTAGCGCAACATGGAAACTCAACTCTGTTTCTTCGAAGACTTCGATTCACTTGAAGTGACGCCAAGTTATCTGGAGCTGGGTCATAGAACCAAGCTTTTTCGTTTTGGCTACCCGGATAATCGCGACCTTCGCAAATTTTCGGTGGAAACAATTGGAAAGATCCAGATTACATTGGCTGAAATGTTGTTACAGGTTGGTCGTTTTCATTTCAGACTCGGTTAAATTTTTATAAAATCAGACTATGAAACCGAATACTTTGTGATAAGGAGAGATTGGGTAGATGTTATTGGTCTATTTACCTTTAGGCTAAAGATGATGACTCTTGGTTTGGACTTCCTTCTGTGGCTCTATGCGTTGAATTTACCGACGTCATGAAGTTTGGTGATTTTATAACCAAAGTCGGAAATCTTGCACACTACCAACAGGTGATTTTTGTTCGCGACTATATCCTTACGAAGGTTGATTGTTGTGTCAATTATTCAATTCTGTAGATTTTCAGAATCTTTGGCTTAACTATTAGTTTATAAGTATCAACTATAATAACTCAAAAATTGATTAATTTTAGTTAGTTCTACCTCCTGACGACTCAGAAGTTGATGAGGATGTCGAGAATGAAAACGATTCCGAGGATGAAAACGATTCCGAGGATGAAAACGATTCCAATGTTCAGGACCATGAGAATTCGGATGAACAAATGTTGGTTATATTTAAGTTACATTGAATAAAGGCTTCCATGAATTTTTCCATATCAACTTAATTGCATGTATTTTGCTTCATTTTATCGGAATTCTTTTGCTTTTCTCATTCTGACTATGTAGAATAAAACTCATTTTCAGCCGCACGATGAATCCAAGGTACAGCATTCTTGAGGATTACACTGGCATGATGGTGACTCCAGGACATATTGAGATCGCTGTTGCGGGCAAGATTTTACGATTCGCTCACCCAGCTGCTAATGCTGCGCGTCGTTACACAAAAGGAAAAAACGTCATTCCACGCAAGTTCCAGGCGATCCTGATTCCAGGCGTAATGCTTCAGGTTATTATGATCATATTTCAATAGATCCTTAATTTAACTGAAATTAGTTTTAATTTCTCTGATTTTAAGGGAAAGCCTCAACGGTACCAGCAATATCTGGATGTATGTGAAGTGGATTTGTACATTGAATTTTCAAACGCTGGACTTTATAATCCATTTGGGACCGCCCTTGAGCGTGAAGGTTATGTCTACTATGGTTAAGGTTAGTTGTTTTGATTGTAACAGCTAGTTATCATTGTATAATTGACTTTCATTATGATCATATTCTTTCTTACAACCCTTTATGATTATTAATACGAAAGTATAGAATATAGAAAGGTAAATAAATCGTTTAGGTTGCTTTAAATAAGAGTTGTACTAAAAATTATTGAAACTTTGAGATTAGATAATCTAAATTGCAACTTCCATCACGACAATCAACCAACTTTTTTCATTTTTAGTTGCCCGTTTCCAATTATCATCTCATCAACGCCAGGAAATGATGATTGTTTTTCATATGTTCTGTTTGGTTATGCTTTATTCAAGCTAAAATAAATCTTTTTTTAATTCTTGTTTGATCAAAATTCAAGATTTGAAATTCTAGCTCTTTGAAGTGGCTCATTTGTTAAAGTTTGACTTCATATTTCAGAATGACATTGAATTAGGTTTTGGTATCAGGTATCAAGACTATGTATAACCGATTAACCGATTTTTCAACTTCATCCATTGACTTTAAAATTGATAGTTGCTTTCACACGTTGATCGATTCAGACAATTTTGTTAGGAGTTTATCATATCTCAAACTAAAGGAAAAGGCCCTATATCGTTTTTGAGAATTGTTTTTTTTATGATCCGACATAATATAATGAAGAAGCCGAGACATTGGCTCTGAAATTTTCATGGAAATTGACGGAAAAATACTCGATTTTTAAAATCAAACTCTGAGAGGCGAAGCATAATCTTTGTCATATCGAGTAGGTATCAGGTCGTAAAGCTAGACTCGCTGCAGTGTGTTAGTATTCATCTAGTCTTTCGCAATTTCTTTCAGTCTCTATCACTCTTTTGTTGCCTTTGTTCTGAAGATAAGTTTCCTTTTAGGTTCTCCAATACAAGGGCGATCACAACCAACTCGGCTACTGGTACAACTGGATCAAGTATGCGGATGGTCTCGAGAAGGATGTGACCGACTGTGAGATTGTGCACTGTGGCGACTCATTCCCGATCTTCTGGCCGAACAGCCCGGAAGGACCCGTGCTTGGATATGTTGACAACAAAACCGAGATTGCTTGGATCTCGATCAGCAAGAAGGTTAATTGTTTTAAGGTTTTTCGGTACTTTGTTGGTCGGGAAGGGCCACTTTTATCCTGGCTTAGTTGGATCTAATGTTTTGAGTGGTTGTATTGATACCTTTTATCTATTCTAGGGTAATCAACTATGCTTAATAGATTGGTGAGACTTAGGTATCAATACAATCACTCAAAACATTAGATTTTGGCAAGTTTTTGGTAATTCTAGCCTAATCTCATGTACTTTAACCACCAAATGCTACCTCAAAGCTGCTTACACTGGAAAATAGAATAAAAGCAGCAATATGAAACTTGAAACATGTTGTAAATGCTCTAAAAGTATACGCATATTTGATTACCCTAGAATAGGTAGATAAAAGGTATCAATACGACTACTCAAAACACTAGATTCAACTAAGCCAGGATAAAAGTACCTCCCAACCACCAAAGTATCGGTTTTCCTTGCTAACCTTATGTTTATTGATGATTCAATGTCAAGGCGGTGATCACTTGCCGATGTTTGTCATCGCACGCGAGCTCAAGGGAGGACCACCCAACTGTGAAGGTGCCAACTGCTCGAAGGGACCACCACGTCCAGTCATTCGTGTCATGCTCAACGAATGGGCCGATTTCCGTATGGGCGACCCGTGGCTAAACAAGAAACTTGTCAAGGTGAACATTTTGAGTAAGCTTTATCTTATCGAAAGATTTATCTCAATATTGTTTCTTTCCAGGCACTCGGCAAGGCGTTGGACTCGTTACCCGGTGAGAGCTCGGAACAATACGTGGCCCTATGGTATCAATGTGGAGAGCCGGTGATGGGACGCATTTGGAACGATGGAGGAAAGATTACAGCCAACTTCGCACATGGAGGCAACGAGTACAAGAAGGATGTCGGATCGCTTCAAGTATGGAACAGTACTTTTTGGTGATTGAATATCTTGAGCAGGTTCTCTACGAGCTCTCGGATGCTATGCGTGGATTCGACTACGGCTAGATTCCATTCCCAGAAGCGGCATCACCCGATACAAAGGATTGGTCACCCGTATTTGTGAGGCATGAGAAAGGAAAGATCTCGCCTGGAGTGATTACTGTGAATGGAAAGCAAATCCTTGGTGAGGTTTGTGATTGTATACTGACGACGTGATTTGTGGAACTATGGTTCTTTATTTAGGTCGACATCAAGAACGAGAGGTGTTCGTACGGAGCTGGTGGCAAAGAAAACGAGATCCAGGGACCCGCCGTCTACTCAACGCTCGTCCTCTGCAAGAGAATCAATACAAGAAAGAGAGTCAATACGACAACTACAATCAATACGGTCAGAACAACCTCCCAGACGAGTCAATGCAATTACCAGAAGTTCGGTAAGTATTTGTTTGTAAAATTTCGATAATTTTTTTTCCTTTTTAGATTCGATTGCGTTTGTCAAACTGAGATTGCTGACGGCTTTGGTGATTCTCGTGCGATGTCTTGAGTGGATTCTGCAAAAGATGATTCTCATCTATGAGGTAGGTATCGTTTTTGTATTCATTTGCGAGCTACAATAGATTGAATCAAATTTAAAAGTTTTTTGTTTAGAAAACACCGATGATCTACAATGCGGCTCGTTTCTGCTATGAGAAACCAGATGTGACCAAGGTTTGGACTTGTCAATATCTTATATCTTTTTTCTAGGATCTAATCCGCACTTCTTTGCACCTTGCTTATGTCTCTTATCAAAACGGTCTTTGGACACTTAGGTAAGTTAGTTTTAGGGACTTTTCATTAATTATAAGTTGTTATCGTGGTTCTTGTAGTGATGCTTTTGACGCGTTCTTTGGCAACTCGATTGGAAAGATGAATGAACTTGAGGAAAAGTTAGTTTTCTTACAACTAGATAGGTTCTTGCATAAATTCTTACTGAAATGAAAACATTTTTCTTTTAGAGCCGATGAAAAAGCAGAACGAGGAGGAAAATCGCCAAATTCACCCACCAAATCTCCAGCCACTCCGAGCAAGGTAAAGCAAATTTTCTACTTGTGATAAAAGATCTAAAAAAGTTCAAAGCTCTTGCCAAGGACACATACTAGGGTACTAAAGGATAGCCGAGAGCTTACTTAGCGTTACCGATACAATTTTTATGCCAGTGCTTGTGATGAATATTGTGAACGAGCAACAATTTGTATGTTTAGGCACAGAAGGTGGAATAAAGTCGTCCATCTTCGTCTTTCTCAATCACTACACTCGTTTCTCTTCATTCCATCGCTTTGTTTTATTAGGGATTTTTGTATTTGGGCAATAAATTGTGAGAAGATTTTTGAATTGAAGTAAAGCACTTGAAAATGGATTCTGGCGGTAAATCGAAATGGTGGAAAATTGAATACTCCATACTCCACAACAACCCCAAAAGACTTGACAACCCTGTTTATTTTTGCCACTTATTTATTTGACACTACCTTGTAATATTATTTTAAGATTTATTTTATAAAACCGGGCTTTAAATTAATCAATCTGCAAACATCAAAATCACATGCAAAAGCTCAACTCAACTAAAAGCAAGGCAAAGTTTAGCATCATACGGAATCACAAAGCACGATTAACTTATTTATAATAATTTATAAAAACAGCAATAATAAAACTAGCATAGTAAACAATCAATCCCCTTTGAAGCCGATTTTCAGCGCGATCCAAGTGTAGAGGCAGCCGATGAGAAGTAGGATGATTGAGAAGAGGGGAATGATCGATAGCAAAATCTAAAACAAACGAATAAAGAAGTTCTTTAACGACTCTAGTACAATAAAGCGAGTTAACCTACCACATTGTCTTGATGAGGGATCCTTTGTTGAAGCGCGTTTCATCAAGTGCCGTTGAAACCGCTGGATCAATTGGCTCGTCAAGAAAGAATTGGCGGCTAGCAGCTTCTACACGAAGCGCAGCAATTTCTGATTGACAATTGATCAAAGTAGCTAAATTTCAACTAATTTCCAAATTTTAGAGACCACAGCAAACTTTGAAGCATAGTGTTTTCTTCCTGAAGCCGTGCCAACTCTTCAACCATTTCCTTACTTGCCAATAATTCTTCTTTGTCATCAAAATCCAATTCTAAAACTACAAGTTGAAAGCATAAACAATAAGTTGCACCATCGCCACTTAGTTCGACAAACGCTTCGGACGGAACCTCCTCGTCTTCTTCTTTGATCGTGACTCGGATGCCTGATGTCAATAGATGGCTACTTGCTTCTGGATCATCTTCTGCCTTTATTTGAGGAAGTATGATGTCATCTAGTTGCAACTTACCTTGAAAGTTAGATTCTTGAGGATCATCCGTGACATTCTGTTGCTTGCCAGAGGTGGAAGTCGTTTTCCTTCAGCGGTCACAACGAATTCCTTTGCATTGCCTTGAGTCGGATCACAAAATCGATATTTACGTTCTTGGAAATCCAGACCACATCTAAAAGATTGACTAAATAATTTAAATCGTTTTCAGACCCTCAGTGACTCCATTTTGAAGCGATCCTTCATAAAAAACACTACTTGGGAATGATGATAAAGACGGGTGCATTCGGTATTGAACCTACAATAGTAAAAATTTAACGTAGGTATATGGAGGAACGGTACTTGTAAACGAATGGGTCGATTCCCAAGTAGTACGAGACGTTTAAAGAGAGATTGCGAAAATCCAGCCATTGCAGCCTAAAAAGTGCTTTTAATGCCGTTTAATCACGTTTAATCAACCTTCTTGCAAAGAACAACGGGTCCCAGTTGACAATGATCTCCGACGAGGATCAATTGGCGAACTCCACGAACAATAGCCGTCAAGACTTCTGGTTCAGTTGCTGAAGTTACAAGTGAACCAACGTATTTATACAACACTCAACACAAATGAATGTTACCTTGCGTTGACTCGTCGACCAACACACATTTAAGTTTCAATCCTTGTAGACGGGGATCAGCGGCAGTGGAACAAGTACAGCAAATCACATCCGCTGCCTAATTCGTTTTGATAATTAATAATTGTTTGTTTATCTACCTGTAAGAGCTGACGTTCTTTGATATCCTTTAACTTTCTGTATCGAACTTCATCCTGTGCTGAAAGTTCTCCCATCTCTTGCTAAAGTTGATGTTAAAACTCGTTACTTCACTTAAACATTACCTTTAGCTGATGCAATTTTTGCAACTCAGCAGCTCCTTTCAACGATACAAGTTGATTATGTAGTGTGAGCGCTTCCACGGTACTGTCAAGAGTTTCACGACTTTTTGCACACATGCGAATCACCTATATTTATATTAGTTGAAAAGTAGATAGCCTTCAACGCAACCTTCAATCCAGTGCGATGAATTCTTTCCGCCAATTGATCAACAGCAATGTTTGATGGGGCACAAACGAGCACTTGTTGTGGCTGATCTGATGCTGCTTGGGTTACAAGATGATAAATGATCGTTGCGGATGTGACAGTCTACAGAAACAGTGTAAATAATTTTTCAAACATCAAGCACTTTTCCAGTTCCAGGTGGCCCTTGGATCAGCGAAAGCGGTCTCTCCAAAACGGCCTTCACGGCATGGCTTTGACCTAAAATTTCACCATTTATGTGGAAACCCCGAGAAAACCTACTGTGATTCAACTCGGGAAGACCTGGAGCAGACAAGCGCCGAGGTGGTTTGACCTAAAACAATAGATCTAATTAAAGACTTTCCCTAAATACCTTGAAGAGAATATTATCGATATCGTGACCCATCAATTTATGGTAGATGTATTGGGAGACCGATTTCTCATCACGCTCCAGAGTTGACAAGGCACTCATCATTCGATCAAAAGAAATCGAATTCCAGACAACCTAAATTTACGTCCGATTTGTTTAAAAGTTTATTTTTTCAAACCTCACACGTGAAGTTAATTCTTGGGTCAGTTGGCATTTTTTCCTGAATACCGGCTCGCATCTCGATACCAATTTCATCCGAATGATCTGAAATACATAAGCGTTTTCGTTTTTGAATCATTTTACTTACTGTCGGGAACTTTAAACACTTGTCCAACACAGCACCACCATTCTTTGTCAACTGTGAGGCAATGCTTCAACCGGAGCTCGTCACCAATCACCAATTTCATGTCTAAAGTTATGAAATGATCGTTAATGTAAAAAGAAACACACTTCCTTCTTGAAATTTAGGGAGATGAAAGAATGCAAGATGCTTTTTCTTGAGACCGACATCCCAGCGAACCTAAAAAATAAACTTATTGAACTCATCAGTGACAATCTTATACAGCTTCAATCTCCTAATACAGGCCAATTAAAATATCTTATTAATTGTGAAAGAAACAAACATGTCCAACTGATTGCGTCTGTGATTCTTTCATACGGCGATCAAAATCTGCCTCTGCTCCTTTTCCTTTTGATTGCTTCCTTTGAGCAGATCCTTTGAGACGATTTTTCCAGCAAATGTGATGTTGCGTTGTTTGTCGTAGAGTTCGTAGCATCTTGCAAATCCTCCCTTCCCATCGCATCGAATTATCCCGAAATAAGCCAGTTAATCAGTTAAAAGGATTTGACGGAGAATCAACTAAAAAGAAAAAGAATATAATATCAAGCCAAGTAATAGATTGGATCTTAACCAATTCCCCAGAATTCGACCATTCTTAAACCTTTATTACTTCCATTAACAAACCAAAAAAACGATCAAACAAAGCAATCCTATATAAGTAGTGAATAGCAGTAAGTTCATAATCGCAAACAGATGAACACAGAAAACATTTTCCTTAAAAATATTGGGTTGTCCAGTGATGAATGCGCGTTTTTACTATTTTGATATCGATATCGAACAGACGTATATGAGTGTTATATATCATTCGAAAGCTGAAGATCACCTCTACATTTTGGAATAAAAATGTTTTTGAATTCATTTAAATTTTTGGGAAATTGACTGCACAAAGGGAGAGGTCGTTTTCGAAAAAACCCATTCCAGCTTAGCTATTGCTCAAGTTTTATGGTGTAAAATAACCGCCCAGAAAAGTAAACAAAAGTAAAGATGCTCTGAAATTGTTATATTTTAAAAAAAGTTGTATTGATATATCTATTGGCCAAACATCAAACGGTTAACTCAATTTGAGCGGAGCCAAAACTTGATCCAAAGGCACTCTTCCATTTTTTGGCCACCTCTTCTTCTGGGCAGTCAATTTGCCCAAAAGCTGAACAAATTCAAAAAGTTTTTATATCAAAATGTAGAGGAGATTTTCAGCTTTAGAATAATACTCATATATATCTTTTTCTTAATTTCGGTATCTTGAGAAATTTACAAAATAGTAAAAAACGCGCATTCATAACTTGACAACCCAATAGATCATACCAATTAAATTTGGCGATATGCTCGGCGCTTCAAATACGTCAAGAAAACTTTTGCGTTGTAAGCATCCTTGAATTCGAGATATAAGTCCACGTTTTTCTCCACATTGAACCAATGGCCTTGCGGCGTCTGGGCCTAAAGAGTAAAACGATTAAAGTAGACTCGAAATTAATTGCATCTCAAATCAAAGTTTAATATTGCTTTATCTCAATAAAATGATTCAATATTTCGCCTTCTATTAATTGTTTAATACATTATTAAATAATTAATAAAATTACCTTGAAAGTTAGATTCTTCAGGATGATACGTGACATTTTCTTGCTTGGCAGTGGTGGCAGTCGTTTGCCTTCAGCAGTCACAATGAAGCGCCTTGCATTGACTTGGGTCGGATCATAAAATCGATATTTATGTCCTTGGCAATCGAGATCAAAGCCGGATGCGTGCCTCTGCAGAGTGGAATCGATTTTAAAGGACATGCGCGTCACCATCTTAGATCTAAAAATACCATTAACATAATAATCAAAATATCAATATGAATAGAAATAGAAATCAATCGATAAATATTCACGATTCTCAAACTACTCAAAGTAATGAGCCACGTGGGTAAGGGAAGCGCGACTAATCGGCATTCAGAATAAAAAATAAATCACTAGTCGCCATTATGGACATAGAATTGTTTCATAGAGAGATAGCATTACAATTTTGGAGCTGTATTTTATGTTGGCATCGCCAGATCTTCGAATCATTTACTTTTCATTCACAATATATCAAATTTTGGCTAAAAACAAACCTAACATAACAGAAAAAAGTGAAAAAACAATAGAATTTCGATTAGTTTATTGTTTTAAAATGCGCCTTTAATCTAATTGCGAAGTTAATTCGATTTCTAACCGAGTAAACTGTAAATAGAGTAATATCGTGAAAAACGCAAAGCTCGCTGGCTCCCAAAGGAATATAGCCAATTTGTCTTACAAAATAAGATATTCAATGTAATGGCTGAATAATTTGATTTTCTTGAAAAGAGTTCTTGAAAAAATTTCATTTAATTCGGAATTTCACGTGCTCCGGCAACGGTCGTGATCTTTTTTTTCTTAGAGCTTTTAAGCTTCTTTTTATTGCTGATCCTAGAACCTCGAGCTTTTGACTTGTTTATCGTTTTAAATTCCCTACAAATTTAGTCTATCCTCTGCCTAGTCCAGCATTTCTGTTCTTTGTACCTAAGATCTGCTATAAAATGTTTATTCGTAGATTTTTATTTGTGTTTCTTGTTATTGAAGAGCCATTAACTAATTTCTTTTCTTTAGATGGCCGCCAGCAAAAGAGATTCCTGATGTGGTCTACGATGATAAAGGCAAACCCTACAAGAAGGGCCGATTTCTTGGGAAAGGAGGATTTGCAAGATGCTACGAACTCTACGACAGGCAGCGCAACATCACATTTGATGGAAAAATCGAAAAATCGAAAAAAAAGGAAGCAACCAAAAGGAAAAAGTAAAGCTTTTTGTGAATTATTATAGTTTAAGAAGGGAATAGGTAGAATAAAAATATGGCAGAACTTGATTTGGTACTTCTTTCGTATCGGGGGAGGGGGTAACGATTTTGTCAACCTTGTGTCACTGATTTAGTGATCTTAAACTTGTCCAATTTTGACTTTAAACCAGTATTAGATAGCTTAAGCTTTGTAGGTTTTAATAGTTTTCAAAATCTATCACAAAAAAGTATTTAAGTTGTGGATTAAACTTTGGCAAAATCGTTACCCCCCGGATACTAGAGAAGTATCCTTGGTTTCCAATTCATATAACAAGGAATCGTTTTTTGGGTCATTAATTAAAACTCTTTTAGATGACCCAAGAGGTCACCATTCATCGTGACCTTTGTCATCCGCACGTTGTACGATTCGACGGATACTTCGAAGACCCGGAGAATATGTAAGCCGATTTATGAAAGATGATTCGGTACTTTTCAATATTTCCACCATACCAAAATCATATACAAGTTTTGATCATTTCAATCAATCCCGCCCCATTTTTCCTCAATATGAAAGGAGCATTTAGGAAATGTATTCAGAAAAATCTCACAAACAAGTCATTTTTATTCTTTTTTTACGGGTAATCTGGTCGTTCGATGTCCTCTACAGTGTTCTTTTCATCTCTGGTATTATACTTTTTTTAAGTTTGTCCCCCTCAAACCATAGAAAAAAAATTTGGGGATACGGGGGGTTTCCCCAGTTTTTTACAAATCAAAATTATGCTATATTAGATGGCGCAATCAAAAATACCAAAAAACTAGTTGTTGTAACAAAAAATGTTTAATCGTGAGAAAGAAACGTAGCCACCAGAGAGATGTTCTGGAATAGACTGGGATCGCGAACTTACATTGCTAGTTATTGCCATTGCCCGTCGTATGATCCATCCAAACCATTTGGGGTGGGAAAGATTGAAAAGATCGAAATTTATATTTGAGAAGGAATTGAAAAGTAATCGCTGATTCATTTTTTTATATGGGCGCTGTTTTGGGATGGACCTCACAAAGCACTTTCGATTTTTGATTTGTTCAGTGCAAACATAAGTTATTTTTTGTGTTATTTCGATATGCAAAAGTAAAAGTATTACTTTATTGACTTTCCCACTCAACAAAAGCTAAGGACACAATTCTTGCAACCGATCGTTGTAACAACATTCCCATCGTAAGTCCATTGCCCATTTTTACAGAGAAGACTCATCGAAGTCGTTGAAAGTCCATATTTTCCTTTAATGCCGTCGTTTATCTAAAAACTATGGATTTGAGTTTATTTAAATACATCAGGAAATACAATACAATGATATTTAATCCAAAAACAAACATCGATAAGTGCCACAGAATAAGAATCGCATTGAAGGGTTCGCATAGAGCAATTGATTACACTGAAAAGTTTTACCTACTAATTTATTGAGCTTTAGATTTAGATTTCGAGTACACAGTTGATTTGTACAACTTACACAGTTGTTTGATCTTTAGTGAAAGGCTCCCAGGGACCAACAGTCTGTTGAAATGTCAGATTAGCGTTCTGACAATCATTGCATTTAGCAGATCCATAGGATAAAAGTGTCAGAAAAATCAGAATCACAAATTTGGAATTCATTTTAGAAGATCCTTCTAATAAATGTCAATCGAAACTTTAAAAAAACCCACAACAATAGGTAGTGATTCATACAACTCTTTGAGCTTAAATGAAAAGCAAAAAATAAATTCGTGTCAAAAAATGTTGAGTATTTTAGTCATCTTCAAAAAAAAAAATAGTGTGAAAAATACTTAGGATTTCGTGTGGAACATGGTTAAAAGCTTAACTTATTGTAATTCGTTTATTTAAAAAGTAACTATCAGGTTACCTGTATGGCTAAAAAGTGTACCCAAAAAATGGAAGAAGATTCGGTGACTCTTACTATCCATTTGCATACTGCCTATCATTAGACAGGTATGCAAATGACATGTATTTTAGCCTTAGACAGATATTTTATCCATACAGTTCACCTGTCACCTGTATGACTAAAAGTCTATCCAAAAAATTAGAGAAAGATTCGGTGACTCTTACATCCACCAATGATCTTTGACTATTCATTTACTGCCTACATCAGCATACAAAGACACTTACATTTGCATATTGCGTGCAATTAACATAAAAAGCCACTCGTTTTGCATTTAAAACCGCAAATAAAAGACTAAAAAGTAAACTAAAAAGTAAAAACAAAAAATGTTCTTTTTTATCTTTTGAAAGAATTTGTTTTTTCGTATGCAAATTTTACTATGTAAATTGATGGAGTCAGAAGGACCAAAGATTTCACACTTCATTGCATTGTTGCATTTCACAAAATCGACATGAGCTAATCGTCAATGATCCTCTCGAAAATATTTTCTTCCTCATACAGAGACTAATCTTTTTTTCACTCACATTGAAACTCCATTCTATTATTTTTGTTTTGTCCATTGAATACTTTGAACTGACGCGAGTTCAAAGTATTCAATTCAATGGGCGGGGGGAAATGCTGCTAAAATGATGTTGGAATGAATAAGCTGAAATGAAATGAATAAGCTGAAAAGAGGCGCTATTTGTACAGTGACCACATCGTGTGATCTGTCTGACTATTTGCGTGGGGCATTTTTTTTGTTATTATCTTTGAAATACCCCATCCCCAATTGAAAACTATATAAAGGGTATTTTGATACGCAACTCACCGTCATTCACTGCATCGTCCGCTCAAAATGAGTCTGAATTTAATGGCTATATTATTGGGTATTTTGATCGCCACGGTGGGTAAACTAGAGGATTTATTGTAATTCATTGCGCTCATTAAGTTTATAGATTAACAAAATTCTCTAAAATAAACATTAAGCGTTTCCCCCATTAACATAAACTGCCAATGGCAAAGGGGGCGGGGCGACGGAGCTTTTATACGCGCCCCGCCCCTTCCCCATTGCCATAACTTTGAGCTTAAATATCTCAGTGTTGAGCTGTCCAATTTCAATCTCCTTGATCTCATTAGATGCGTCAAGTCTTTCTCTGTCGATTGGTACAAAAACTATTTCAATTGGACAGCTCAACACCAAGAAATTTGAGTTGAAAGTTGTTTACTCAAATCTATGAGTTCTTTAGGTCATATCAACGGACATCGTCGTGCCGGCTTATTTCGATCCAGTGGATAGCGGGTTGACCGATTGGAACACGATGACGAACAGTGCCAAAACCGTTCCCCTGACTGTGATCATGAATCCCGATAATGGGCCAGGTTCATCAGCTTTCGGCTACTACAAGACAGCCATCGCAAAACTTCGAGCCAATGGGGCTAAAGTGATCGGCTATGTGGCCACAGGGTATGGGAAGAATGCGATGGCCACCGTTCAAGCACAAATCAACAAATATTTCTCTTTCTACACAATTGATGGGATCTTCTTTGATGAGATGAGCGACGATGACACCCCGACACTTGTCACATATTACCAGACATTGTACAAGTTCGTCAAAGCGAAATCAGCTAGTTATCAGGTTGGTGGAATTATAAATGTTTTTGTCAAATTTACTTACTTTACTTACAATTTTTCACTGTACCAGCAGAATTATTGTGTTGATTGTGTGAAAGTAGAAATATTCTTATAATAAAAACTCTAATAAAACGACCCCCTATAGGAGCATCGCGTAGTCTAAGTTTACTCTCAAACAAATCCTTATAACTCGGCACCAGTACGTTTGTTTTTATTCGTTTTGGTATCAGATTAAAGTAGAAAGGATGGGCAATTTTTTGAGATATAACACATATTTTTAACTTTAACCGGCGCTTAGAAAAAATGATTGAAAAATAGGAAAAAAAAGTTGGTTTTTCATCATGAACACTCCACAAAGAGTAATTCATCGGATTGAGATGAAGGCCATTGATTAAGTGACTATTAAGTGCTTCTTTAAGAACTCTTCTTTCGACTCATAGAGCTCTTTGAAACCTTAATTTGTGCGGCCATTTTGCAAATGGAGCGACGTGGGTTCAAACGGACTCAATCACGCACTATCTTGATAATGATTTTGTGGATCACCGTATGCTTTTTCTCGTCCACGACGGTCAGAAGTGACTCCCAATTCCTTGAATCTTGCAGTAGTGGTTGATCAAACTTTTTTGGAAACGTTCAGTCGTCTAGAAATGTCAATCGCTCGGATATTGTCATTATGAAGTTGAATGTCGCGGTTTTTGCGTTCCGTTGCGGTGCACAGGGGCCTTACCATTCTAACTTTAAAACTTTCTTTAAACTACGACTAAACTACGACTACGACTACGATTTAGACTAAGCTACGACTAAACTACGACTACAACTTAGACTAGAAACTTAGCTCACGCGATGCTCATATAGGAGGCTTCTATTAGAGAATTTATAGTACATATTCATAGAATAAATATTCTAGGTGATGAACAATCCGGGAACCAACCTTGCTGAGACTTACGTCAAGCTACCCGTCGCCGATCGATTTGTTGTTTACGAAGACAAACAAGGGAACTACGGTGCTTACAAGGCTTTACCCTATATGGGCAATTATGCAACCACTCGTTTTGTTCATATTGTATACAATGTCACTGCGGCTCAGGTGAGAATTTAGACAACTAAACAAAAACTTCTTGTTTCAACACTTTCAAGCTTGATTGAGTTTAGCTGAAAAGTTCTGTCCGTTATTTTTATTTTAGGTATCTGGTGACGTGAACACGGCCATTGCCAAACACGCAGGTGGTGTCTATCTGACGAATCTGAAATTACCCAATCCATATGCAAAACTTCCCTCGTTTTGGCCTCAACAAGTAGCTGCTGTGGCGGCAAAGAATGGATAGATTCAGTTGGTTTACTCAAAACATTTTTTAACTAGATTGAAATACTCAAATCAACAGTTACCGTAAATACTGTAATAGTACGCCACCCCCATAATGACGGTGCGGAGTGTTGCGTAGTCCAGCTTTGAACGAGTTTTTCTCAACACTGGTTTATGCTACAATGTGCGCTTTGGTGTCAAAAAATAGCTGAAATTCAGGGCTATTTTTCGATATCAAAAGACGGAGCATCACGTAGTCTAACTTTAAACGCATTTTTCTCGTCATCCGTTTATAATGACGGCCGGAGCATCGCGTAGTCTAGCTTTGAACGCGTTTTTCTCGACACTGATTTATGCTACAATGTTCGTTTTGGTTTCAAAAAATAGCCCTGAATTTCAGCTATTTTTTGATACCAAAGACGCATTTTTTGAAAGTACGGGCGCTTTGAAAAAAATGAAATACTAAAAAAACTTTTGCGACTTTTGCGACTACGCGACTGTACGAGAGAGGGTGGTGTACTATTACAGTATTTACGGTAGCTATCTTAAAACAAAACATAATTCATCTTTTGCAATAAAGCTAATTTAAAAGAGATCTTTTCAGATGTAACATCTGATCGAATCATTGACAATCCTTCAAAAAGTCAATACTTCAAAAAAGTTTCTTCTTTTCTTCTTTCTATCAATTTTTTTCTTTCAAAATCGAGCTTTCTTATCTCTCAGCGATGGCTTTAAATTAGATTTCTTATCCCAAATCGATCAACTTATTCTGTGATTTTGATGCTAAAATGCTTTTCAGACTTGTTCTGTTACACGGATTTATATGTCGTAACTGATTTTGAATGAGTGAGTCTAGACGCATCCAACCATCAAATGTTTGGTAGGGATCATCACGGTTGTGCCACGAAAATTGCGCCGTAAGCCAAAAACGAAATTTGAGCATATGAAATTTGGGCGGAGCGAATATTGCGCCGCAAGCAATAAAGAAAAATTGCGCTGCTGGATTTTGCGCAAGTTTCTTGCGCCACCGAATTTTGCACTACAAAATTTGGGCTGTCTTCGTAAAACAAAGTTTGCGCCGCAAGATCAGAGGCGAAAATTGGTCGGCGCAACATTCGCGTGCGCAATTTTCGTATGCCCAATTTTCGTCAATAATAATCTCCATCATTATTGACGACTTCTGCCCATTTTACAAGCAATTTGCGGATTCCTCTTTCGTGGTAGGATTTTGGTTTGTGTGTGAGACAAGTGCGAGACTCAAAAATGGAGGACTGGAAATGTCCCAGTTTGAGCACTTTCTTCAAAAGAAACCCATTTTGGTGTCAATAGAAAAGTTGTAGAGAATCAAAAATCAAGCTTATATCCAAATTTCCAAAAAGATACACTTAGTAGTTCCGGTTAAAATGCAAGTTTTGTGAAAATTCGTAAATTTCGCATTTCTTGAAAACCAGCTTTTGAATCGTTCTCAAAATTTGGATATAAGCTTGATTTTTGATTCTCTACAACTTTTCCATTGACACCAAAATTGGTTTCTTTTGAAGAAAGTGTTCAAACTGTCACATATGACAATAGCCCGCAGTTTTCAATTCGCCAACCCAATAGAAAGGTTTACCAAAAAAATTGCATTCAAAATTGACTATGACATCTATAATGAGATGATAAAGGAAATCAATTACATGTGAATCGTTTTTACATAAAAATTTTCGAAAAGCTTAATCAAGAAATTTTCACAGAAACTAATCTGTCTTTTTGATTGGTTGACCCAGTTGCGCAACTGGGTCGTTTGCGCAACTGGGTTTTTTTTTACGCAACTGGGTTTTTTTTACGCAACTGGGTCGTTTGCGCAACTCGCCATAACTTTCTTCTAAGTAAGCCAATCTTTATAATTTTGGTTTCATTTTGTAGATCTTAAGAAGTGTAACAAAATGACATCAAAATTATAAAGTTTGGTCGATTTAAAAGAAAGTTGTGGCGAGTTGCGCAAAAAATTTGGCGCAAAGTAGCCTATCCCGTAAAAGCAAAATCAAGTGAAAAATGAACGGAAAAGATTCCCCGTAGCTAATTGTTTTCTGAGATTCCCCAGATAATACAAAAGTATTGAATCTTGTTAGTAGACGTTTATACAGAGTCCTGTAATCAATCGAGCTTTGAGATCCATTGAGCTCTTAATTGAACCTCGATACAGTGAACGTGGTTCGACCGGTCATTCACTAGCAAGCCTAGTGCCTTGTGGAGACATCTACCCTAAACGGAAAATGATATGAGCTGTATTAGATAGACATTTCATTCTATTTTTTTAATACCCCCTAGGGTGTATTGGAGATTATCTATTAGAAAATTATCCGTCTTCTATTAGAGGCTGTCATTCTATTTTTCACTCGAATGACTTAAATAAATCAATTTTAACAAATCAAAACGTTATAATTTAGCCCATAAAATCTAATGGAATACGAATCGAAAATCGAAAAGATTCACTCATCAAGATAATAATAATACTTTATTCAAACAATAAAGTGAAAGAAATGATAGAGAAATGCACAGTGATACTTAATCATACAATACATACTGAAATCAATAAGCCAATTACTTACGGCAAAGAGCCACTAGATCTAAAGCATCGATACGTTTCTTGAATATGAAAAGCGACTGAATTTCTCGTATGTCGTTTGGGAGCAAGTTCCATAGTCTAGCGGCTCTAACGGGAAATGAATTTGATAAAGAGGCACTGGAAGCAAAGGGAATTTGCAAAAGGAATGAGCCACTTCTGGGCCCTGACCACGGTTTAAATTTGAAAAAGTCTATAAACAAAGGGCTAATCTGTTTACAACGGAGGATTTTGAAAGTTTCGACTAAATCAATGACAAAGCGACGATACTGTAAAGTTTTTAGTTCAAAAAAAGCAAGTCTCTCCTCATAGGTAAAGCTAGAATATTTAGAATAGTCAATTTTCCATAAAGCGACTTTTGTGAACCTCCTCTGAATAAGTCATCACTTTTCTCGTCTGCATCTTCAGCTAGAGCATCGAGACTATCCAATCCTTGCAACAATTCAACGATTTCTTGATTGAAACGAGCTTGAGGCGATTTCTTGATCCTTCAATTTTACAAGTTCTAAAAACAGAAACAAATAAATTGCAACAAAACTACTAAGCAACCTGTTGGAATGGTCCTTTTGGCTTAAAGCATTGGATGAGGTGATCTTCGGGTCCACGCGTTTCCTTGGAAGAACATATGGCTTGAGCTTTTTACCATCCGACTTGGCACTCAACATTCCCGAAATGTGCACCTTGTCATAATCAATACTCTTCCTTCTCTTTTCAGATTTTCTCCACGTTATCCTCATCACCTATTGCCTCTGTTAAGTCAGCGCGACATTGCGACATTAGTCATGCATAGAGTGTGCTCCTTGCAGACAACGCGTTTTCTAAAAAGCGCGCGCCAAATATAAGCTACCGTAATCCTATGCTTTGCATAAGCAAACTTTTTAAAATGCAAATGTACATTAAATGTCTTGCGCTTTTTTTTCTACTACTCTTTAAGAAAATTTTGCACATTTTTTTCGCGCGGCTTTTTATAGCTTTGCTTAACCCATTCGAAACCGCAGCGTTTTTTCTTTTTTTTCGTCTACGGACCAAGCCTTTTTTTGACATTTTTGACTCCGAAGCAGTTTATTTATGGTTGGAAAAATGTAAGAGAGTCTCCTACACCATTTATTTTTGATGAAGATTTGACTTCAGTACTTTTCAAGATCCTATCGATTATTGTTCTTATTTTATCGACGACAATATTTTAGTAGGTGAATCTAATAAACATGGAAAAAGGATAACAAACTGGCAGGATTTCGACGCAAAATCTTTCAAGCTTTTCCTGGCTTCAAATGGGAATCGTCAAAATACCGAGGATTCGTGACTACTGGAGTAGCAGGCCTGGATTAGGAGGATTTCCCCACATGTCCTACATTATGTCAAGAGCAAAATTTGAATCTATTCTTCGAAACCTGCGTTTTTGTGATAATGAACTGGATTCTGCAGGAGATCGGCTTTTTAAGATTAAAGCTATTATGGAACATTTCAATGCAAAACCAGAGACTGCATTGATTCCGGGTAAATATGAAACATCTTTTTTTGTCCACGTAATTTGTAGATCTGCTACAATTGGAATATACATGTAATGCTGAAAAACAGCAAAAAAAAGCAATTAATTGAATGAAAATAGCTCAATTAGAGCTGCAGCGAATAATCGCTGCAGCGGTCCGTTCCTGAGTTTTTGTTGCAGCGATTATTCGCTGCAGAAGTTTCGAATGGGTTAAAAAGCGCATGTTTTAGAAAACGCGTTGTCGGAAGTTTGTCGGATCAATTGTCTGACAAAAAAGTTGTCAATGCAAATTTGTCTGACAAATTGTCTGTCAACAAGGAGCACACTTTAGTCATGAATCATCCGCCCATACGTTTTATTGTGTCTAAAGTACGCCCCACAGCGTACTTTAGACACAATAAAACATCCAACATACAAATCCTATCTATTTTTAGACTTTAACGACAATTTAATGATTCTAGAGTCAATTTTGAGTCATTAGAAACAAGCCAACAGTTTTCGAATATTTTCATTAGAGTACTTATCCATTTTTTTTGCAGAAAATTGGAGCTATCTTTTACCTTTGAACACAACAAATCACACTCATTCAATTTTCTTTTTATTGAGTTCAGAAAGCGATTCAACAAGATAACGGGGCACTACTTCATCTCAAATAAAACAATGATCACTGCTTCTTTTGAAGTTTTTTCCTTTATCGGTTTCAAATGAACAATTAACCTTCATTTTCGGTCCTTTTCTTTATTAAGTCGGTATTTATTGATTTTTTTCGGTCGTTTTCTTTATCTTAAACTCTTTGATTACAAATTTTATATACTCTTTTTAAGTATACAGGGTGCGGCAAAAGTTCTGACACTTTTTCTAAGAGAAATAGTTGTAAAAATAGAGAAATAGTTCGAAAAGTTGCAAACTTTCGCAATATTAATCAAAAAAACGATAACAAATTGTTTATTGAAGACAAAACTAACAAAAGATCATAACTAATGTTCAAAATTTCCACCCTTGGTCTCGATGCACTTCTTCAATCCCTTGCGGAAGTTGCCGATGATGGTCGCGTATTGCTGAACAGTGATTTCAGCCCAGGCCCTCTTCAAAGTGGCTTTCAAAGAATCCACGGAGTGAAATCTCTTGCCAGAGATCTTGTCTTCCAAGATCGACCAAATGGAGAAGTCCAGGGGGTTCAAATCGGGGCTATTCGCTGATTTCAGATATCCGGTGACTCGAACAATCTCCATCGGTATCTTTCCGGCTTTGTGCAACTCAAGTATCACAGTGCGCCTCTACTTTTTAGTATACTTTTTAGCATCCATATTGAAAGCGAACCTAAACAAAAACTTTGTTTCTTGTTAAAAATAAGGAATGTTAAAAAATAAGGAACAAATGTTAAAAAACAAAAAGTGAACCAAATACTGTTTTTTGACATTTTATACAGTCGTTTAAAAAAAAGTGTCAGAGCTTTTGCCCCAGCCTGTATACTGGTTTATTCAACCAATCCAACCAATCCAACCCATCCAACCAATCCAACTAATCCAACCAATCCAACCCATCCAACCAATCCAACTAATCCAACCAATCCAACCCATCCAACCCATCCAACCAATCCAACTAACCCAACTAATCCAACCAATCCAACCAATCCAACCAACCCAACCCATCCAACCAATCCAACCAATCCAACCAATCCAACCAATCCAACTAATCCAACCAATCCAACCAATCCAACCAATCAATCACAATACAGAAACAAATCCCATTGAAAACTTAACCTAAACTACCTAATGCCATAACAGGACTTCAAATTCTTAACTTAAGCATAACTCTTGCAGTCAATGATCATTATTTTGTGGAGTGACGATGCTGTTTAATGAAAGGAAATAACTTTTCAGAAAGAAATCTTCTCAAATGGCCAAGAGTGCTCTGCTCAGCCTCAGCCTTTCTATATTCTGTTGCTCACTTTTTAGTTAGTTTTTTTAAAAGCATAGTTACCCAAATCATTTTTACATTAGATAAAACTTTCTCTGCATCTGATGTTATTGATTTGAGTGGTACGTGGGATTTCGTCTCGGCAAATGGCTCTATTAAGGGACAAGGACAGATCCCAGGTGAGTAGTTTCTTCACTTCTTAATCTAATTTACTTTTTGTGCTGGGACTGTTTTTTCAAAAAAAATCAAAATTTAGGCGACATCTACATGGATCTCCAAAGAGCCAAAGTGATTGATGATCCACTTTATGGACAAGGTGACACTGATACTCGATGGGTTTCATACATGAACTGGACATACAAGAGAATCGTTTCACTTGATGCTAAACCGGTGGGAATTTGAAGATATTTCATATTTCATAAAGGGATTTTTGACTATCTAGCACATAAATATTGGGTTGGTGAATTGAAAACTGCGGGACTTTGAGCTAAAATTTATTCAACATAAAACCATGAATTCATTCCAAATAATTTCCATTATTATTGACGACTTCTGCCCATTTTACAGGCAATTTGCGGATTCCTCTTTCGTGGTAGGATTTTGGTTTGTGTGTGAGATAAGTGTGAGCCTCAAAAATGGAGGGCTGGAGATGTCCCAGTTTGAGCATTTGAGCACTTTCTTTAAAAGAAACCCATTTTGGTGTCAATGGAAAAGTTGTAGAGAATAAAAAATTAGGCTTATAGCCGAATTTCCAAAAAGATACACTTAGTAGTTTCGCTTAAAATGCAAGTTTTGTTGCAAGTTTTGTGAAAATTCGTAAATTTGGCATTTCTTGAGAGCCAGTTTTTGAATCGTTCTGAAAATTTGGATAAAAGCTTCATTTCTGATTCTCTACAGCTTTCCCTTGGCCCCAAAATGGGTTTGTTTTGAAGAAAGTGCTCAAACTGTCACATATGACAATAGCTGGCAGTTTTCAATTCACCAACCCAATAGTTTTCAGGAAAAAGCCATTCTCGAGTTCGACGGTCTTGATACAATCGCTAAAGTTTATGTGAACGATAAACTCGTAGCATCGACGAAAAATCAATTCCTTCAATATGCAATTGATGTGACAAATTTTGTGATACAAGGTAGATCTTTAAGCGAATACCTTTTTTAAATTCTATTATCTCCTATTAGGCTCTAATATATTGCGAATCGATTTCACCTCATCTGTGCTTGCTGCTAAAGCTGAAGCTGATTCTTTTAAAGTAAGTCATTGGGTAATATTTAGAAAAGTTGAGAATTTTAGGCTAATTACTCGCACGTGATCGCTCCCGAGTGCCCAGGTGATATCGCTCAAGGTGAATGTCATGCAAATATGATCCGGTAAAGTTGTTTAATCTTTTTTTGATAGAATCAATCGATTCTTCAAAGCTTAGATCACATTTTTAGAAAAATCCAATCGTCATTCAGCTGGGATTGGGGCCCAGCCTTTCCAACAATTGGCATTTGGCAGCCTGCTCGTTTGATTCTCACCAATGCACCAAAAATCACCATGTTGACAGCTACCGTGAACCCAATTGATGGTTTTTTAATGTTTTAATAAAATAGTATAAACTGTAAATTCTTTAGATCAAACATTTCTCTTGAGAGCTGAGGCAACGATCAGAAACCCCATCGCTGGCACTCGATTCAATCTTTTAGTTGATCCGCTTGGACTCATTCGAGCCACTGATGCAAGCCTTGGCACTGTGGGTTTTCTGAAACTTTTATTGTTGCTCTAATTAGCATTTTGTTCATTAATAAAAATTTAGGCTGTCATTGAAGTGAACGTTTCAAAATTGGCGGTGAATCTGTGGTGGCCAAATGGACATGGCGATCAAAATCTGTACACGCTGACTGGCAGTCTGGCTGGGGGTTTGTTGAAAGTTGCATAATGAATGTGAACAGTTTTTTAAAAGCTCATTAAGCTCATTAAGCTTTAAAAGCTCAATCTTATAGTTGCCAACTCGATGACGAAAATCCGTGTCGGTTTCCGATCTGTCGAACTCGTTCAAGACTATGTTAACCCGAAAATACCGGCACTTGGTCGAAACTTTTACTTCAAAGTCAACGGTGTTCCCATATTTCTCAAAGGTATCAATATTTTTAATTTATTTAATTGTATTTATTCTTTATTCATGATATTATATTCTATTTATTCGATTCTATTATATTTATTATATTATATTCTTTATTCTATTATATTTATTCTATTCCCTCTAATATAAAACCAATAGAATGCAAAGTTGAAAGTAGCTGTTTTTGGCCGAAAATCGGGATTTTTCGAAAAACAAAGATTTCGCTCTAGAAGACAAACAAAAGAAGTTCCTTTCTTTTATGTTATTTTGGAATAACTTTACTTGGCGGTATTCTAACGTATTCTAATTTCTATATTCTAATGGAAAACCCGGGAATGATCATTTTTGAAACAAATTTTGAATGTAATGAAAATAAAAAAAAAAAAAAAAAAAAAAAAAAATAAATTTTTAAAATTCTACCCCAAAAAAATAAAAAAAAAAAAAAAAAAAAAAAAAAAACAAAAATTGAATTCTAGATGCGTCTTTTATTAGAATGATACAGTATTTCCCTTTTCTAGGAACAAACTGGATCCCGGTTTCTGCGTTCCCTGGACAACCATCGAATGAGAGGAGATATCGTTTCTTGCTTGATTCAATCAAAAGAGTTGGTAAGGGTTGGAGATGGTTTAGAAAAACAAAGTTTTTATTTAATAATGTCATTAAAGTAAATCTGATACGAAGAAATAACTTTAACCAAATAACTCAAGTACAATAACGTTTAGGGATAAACTCGATGCGAGTCTGGGGTGGTGGCAGATATGAGAACGATTTGCTCTACAGGTGCATTTTTTGATTGAAAGCGAAATTTTAAAAAATGATTGATAAGTTGAACTAACTACCCAACTACCCAGCCATTTACAGTCTGGCCGACGAATACGGTATCCTGATTTGGCAAGATCTGATGTTTGCCTGTTCTCAATACCCGGCTCATTCAGAGTTTCTCGATTCTGTCAAACAGGAGTTAACCTACAATGTTTGTATCCATTTTCTAAAGCCAAACACGTTGTTCAGGTGAATCGATTGAAATTCCATCCATCGCTGCTGCTATGGGCTGGGAATAACGAGAATGAGATGTTTCTGTGGGCTGGTCTGTTCACTGGAGGATCGAAGGGTCGGTGATAAGCTTTAATTAAAGTCTTTATAATTAAAATGTAATCAAAATTTGCAGAGACGGTCAAAGCCGAGTACCTTCGTCTCTACAAAGACACCGCCGAGACATTGGTCACTCAACTCGATCCGGGACGTCCATTCGTGATGTCAAGTCCGAGTGATGGAATCAAGAGTATCGAGTAGGTGTTCGAATAAAATTTGATAAATCTGGATTTGTTTCAAAATTGGCAATGTTTCTTTCAAAGAAGATGTTCAGAGAAGGCGGCATCTCAAATGATCCTTTGTCACAAAACTACGGTGACGTCCATTTCTACGACGAATTCATCGATTTATGGAGTGATGCTAGCTATTGGTTAGTTACTATACAAAATCCAAGAAGTTCGCGCCGATTTGATTTAGTAAATTTTGTACATGAAAGAGCATTGGTTTAGCTAAGTTTATGCGACGAAGATTCAAAGACAATGGAGTAAAAGGGAGCCGAGAGAAACGAAACAAAAACCATTTTAGAATTTTAATCAACAAACTATGGGCAAACAATATAAAAGGGGGGAACGAACAAGGAGAGCGCGTACATTAAAAACGCGCTACAAAAACATAATAGATTTCACGAAGGGGAAGAAAACTTAGCGGAAAAAGCATAAAAGCTGGGCAAAGTTTCCGATTCCATCTATGGAATGAAGGAAAAAACAATGATTTGAATGAGAACTGAAAATGTTAATAATCTCCATCAAAAAGCGCTAAATAATGGCAAATCTTTGTGCTTTTTTTGCGGAATAGCTACTTCCAGACCTGTTCTATGTGCAAAAAATAAAACAGGAGCAAAAACAAGAGCAAAAGCATAAAAAAACAATGATTTGAGTGAAAAAACTGCGAAAAAGTTGATAATTTCCTTAAAAAGCGCGAAATAATGGCAAATCTTTGTGCTTTTTTGCGGAATAGCTACTTCCAGACCTGTTCTATGTGCAAAAAATAAAACAGGAGCAAAAACAAGAGCAAAAGCATAAAAAACATGCAAAATTATGACAGTATTGCGAAAAATACGGCATTGATTTTGGTAGCCCCCAGAAAATGAATGAAATGAAAATGAAAAGAATGGCAAATGGGGATTTTGTGCGGGGTACGGTGGCGCATCCAGGCTTTAGAAAGCGCGTCAGTTTCGCGTCAGTTGCTTTAAACCGTACCTAACTAGGATTATAACTGAAATACACTGGTGGTCATATGTATTAGTACCCTCTTGCAAAAAATTTTCTCTCGACGATTGCCCCCCTTAATAGGCAGCCAAATTCAAAGTGCTAAAAAGCATTTTTTGCTAACAAGCTCTAGTCTCTAAAACCACAAAAAAATTGATTCGAAGTGTTTATTATCTTTTTAAAAAATAGCAAGGACGGAAAAGACACCTCAAAAATGGTGGACAAAAGTATTGACCCCTTAGCTTTTCCTTTATTTTTTTCTTGTTTACATTCATGTTTTGATGACTTTTTAAAATATTTAATTTTAGATGCCGTATCTACCGACTCCAATCAAAGAAAAGATCGTTGAAGGTCGAAGAAATGGAATGAAAACAGCAGATTTGGCTGAAAAATTTGGATGCAGCGAAAGCACTGTGAAACGACTTTTTTAAACAATCAAAGGTTATTGGTTCTCTACACAGAGCTGCAAAATCTGGTCGACATCCATCAACAACAACTGCCGAGGATCGATCGATCATAGGGGAATTCAAAAAGAACCCAAGTCTCACCTCGACCGACGGAAGCCGCGTGTATAAATCACAATTCAGCAAATATATCTCAGCAAGGACCGTGAGGATGCGACTCATCAAAGCAAAGTTGTACGCTAGACGACCAATAAAGAAGCCACGTATGACTCCTCGGATTAGGAAACTTCGTTTAGCCTTTGCTCGGAGGTACCAAAGTTGGACGAGTGACGATTGGAGTCGAGTAATTTTCTCTGATGACACAAAAGTTAATCTCTATCAGTCGGATGGACCTCCATTGAGCGGGCGACCAATTGGAAAGCGGCTACTACTCAAGTACATCAAACCCACGGTTCGATTTGGGGGTGGAAATATTATGTGCTGGGGTATGAATTTCTATAGTTTTCTTCGTATAACTGTCAACTTGCAGGAGCGATGACAAGAAATGTGGTCGGTCCACTTAAGATGATCAATTCAACCATGAAGTCTCAGCGATACATGGGAATACTTGAGGAACGTTTACTTCCATTTGCGAGCAAAACATTACCTCAAGGATGGTTGCACTACCAGGACAACTCGCCAGTTCATACAAGCAAACTTATGATGGGACCTGTCGGAAGACTCTCGAATGGAGAACGGGTACGATTTCCGGGCTGGTTTGCGATTAATGGTGTTTCTTTGATTAAAGCACCTTCTTTTCACCAGATTTGAACGTTATCGAGAATCTATGGTCGATTGTGAAAGCGAAATTGAAGGAGAAACACTTTTCGTCCAGAGTCGAGCTTTGGTCCTATCTACGTCTTGTATGGAATCAAATTGGATCATGAGTTTTGCACAATTTGGTCGACTCGATGTCCAGACAGATAGAAAAAGTCATTCAAGCCAAAGGAGGGCCAATAGACTATTAAATTTACTGTTGTTTTTGCAAGGGGTCAATACTTTTGTCCACCATTTTTGAGGTGTCTTTTCCGTTCTTGCTATTTTTAAAAAAGATAATAAACACTTCGAATCAATTTTTTTGTGGTTTTAGAGACTAGAGCTTGTTAGCAAAAAATGCTTTTTAGCACTTTGAATTTGGCTGCCTTTTAAGGGGGGCAATCGTTGAGAGAAAATTTTTTGCAAGAGGGTACTAATACATATGACCACCAGTGTATTTTAATTACTTACTAAATAATACAGATAAATAACTATTTAATCGATTTAGGACGCCTCGTTGTGCCAGCGAATACGGAGTGCAGAGTCTTCCGAGCGGGTGAGCTGATTTCAAGCTATTTCTTTAACTTTAAGTACTCGATTTGGGGGTGGGACAAATGCGACCTTTTTTTGCGCACCTGGACATTTGCGCATCTTTTTTTTTGCTGGAAAAGGCCTTAGGCAAGGCCGTAGAGCTTCGAAAATATTTCCATATAGGGTAATCGTATCTGTCGATTCCGAATTTCGACAAATCAGACCTCGCTGACACGTCAAATTTGGGCTAAAAGGCAAAAACTGCGGAAAAGCGTTAAGTTGCGTAATTTTTGCCTTTTAGCCCAAATTTCAGCGAGGTCTGATTTGTCGAAATTCGGAATCTACGCATACGATTCCCTTCTATGGAAACATTTTTGAAGCTCTACGACCTTTCCTAAGGCCTTTTCCAGCAAAAAGAAGGTGCGCAAATGTCCAGGTGAGCAAAAAAAAGGTCGCATTTGTCCCACCTCCCTCGATTTTAATTTGTTTTAACAAGAAATTTGTTTTTGTAAATTCAAATCGTTTTCAAGGTACACATTGGCTAATGCTCTTTCATCAGATGATCTAAAATACATGAGCAACGGAATGCTTCATCGACAACACCATCCGGGTGGCACCGACAACAATCTGGCGATGATCTATGCTCATTTTTCAGTAAGTGATTGAATTTCTTTTTAAAGTTTAATACAAATAAATTATTAGATGCCAATCGAGTGCAAAAACGTGCCTTACCCTCGTCTCTTGCCTGAGCTGTGCCCCTATGTGAACACGACGACTTTCGTGAATCGATTCGCCTATCTATCACAAGCACATCAATCAATTGCACTCAAAGTTCAAACAGAGCACTATCGAAGGTTTGTTGAACTGAACTGAACTGAACTGGAGTTATTGTTGTATTGATGCTTTTATGTGCTCTATTGTTTTAGAATGATGGGTCAATTGCTGGTGGATGGACGGGGAAACACAATGTGTGCTCTTTATTGGCAACTTAATGATATTTGGGCGGCACCTACTTGGGCTTCTGTTGATACAAATTTGAGGTGTTTTTTTTGTTGCTAAAAGTCTAAATAAAATGATTCTAGATGGAAAATGGCTCACTACGAAGCGAGGCGTTTCTTTGAGCCGTTACACATTGCACTAGTGAGCAGCTTTTGAGTAGCTTGTCATTTAAGTAGCTTGTCTTTGAAGTAGCTTCTTTAAAGTAGCTTGTCTTTAAAGTAGCTTGTCTTTAAAGTAGTTTGTCATTTAAGTAGCTTGTCTTTAAAGTAGCTTGTCTTTGAAGTAGTTTGTCATTTAAGTAGCTTTGTGCATCTTTAAATTTCATTTTTCTCTATAAAATAAAAACTTTAGTTAAAAGTTCTTATTTTGACAACTTTTAATCAAAGTTATTCTTTATTTTAGTATTTCGAGAACAACGCCCTTCAAGCTACTCTGATCAATGATATGCACGAAACTCAAAAAGAAACTATCGAGATCTCGCAGCTCTCCTGGGATTCGAATTTCTTGGTTAGAAAAAGTAAACTTTACTTGCAAATGCTATAGCCTATCTACACATGGAAAGACAATGTGACTGTCGATGCATCAACAGCCACCCAAGTGCAACTGCCTGCGAAATTGTTTGTTTATTTCTTAATTATCCAAATGCAATCTTAATTTTAGAACACTACCGATAGCGTCCATTGAGAATTTCGTCTTTGTAGCTCGATTAAGAGATGGACAAGGCAATCAAATTGGAGCTGATAACGTCTTGATTCCAAACAAAATATCAAAGGTTGTTTATTGGAAACTAAGCTTTTGTTTTCTTTACTAGAGGATCAGCTAATAAAGTAAGGAATGGTGATTAAGGTAAAAAGTAAAGTAAGGCATGGGAAAGATTCGCGGAGAGGGATTGAACTCTCGACCTTTTTCGTTCCGAGAAATTGTTCTAACCACTGAGCTATCTGGTATCTTTCTGCTAGAAAAGAAAAAGGAAATAAGGGAAGAGAAGGAAAGTGAACTATTGGGTTGATGAATTGAAAACTGCGGGCTATTTTTCAGGACTCGCAGATAAAAAAAACAACAGCATTGAACCAGCTGAAAGGGGGTTTGGTTACTTCAACATTTCCTCAAATTATTGCGAAAAAATTATGCTTCCAGCTTTTTAGTTTTTGCAACTTTTCTTACATCTTCTATTGCACTCGACAATCTGCCACCGGAACATATTCGTCATGTCATGCTTCATGAGTTCCTACAAGAGCACAGTGCAGGCTTGGCAGCTAATATTAAAAAGATATATGGGGAGGACTCACCTTCCGAAAGAACGTGTCGAGTATGGTTTGCCAAGTTTCGATTTGGGGACAAATCTTTGAAAGATGCAGAGGGTCGTGGAGCGGCACCCCAACTGGATGATTCCAAATTACTCAAACTCATTACCAACGACCATCGGGTATCATCGCGTGAATTGGAAGAAGAGTTAAGGGTTGATCATGCTACAGTGCTAAGGCACCTTCATACCCTTGGATTTAAATCGAAACTTGAGGCTTGGATGCCCCATGGCCTCACTGACTCCCAGAAGTGACAGCGTGCTTGCATCAGTGCCGCGATCTCACACGATACGAAAGGAAATCTTTTCTTCCTCGAATTGTGATAGGAGATGAGAAATGGGTTTTATCTGTGAACTTTCAGAGGAAGTGGCAATGGGTGGGGCCAGGCGAGAAACCCGAAAGTGACCCCTTGCACCAGAAGAAGTTTATGCTCTGCGTTTTCTGGGATATGGAGGGAGTGGTGTACTGGGTTGCTTGATAGTTGCTGGATAGCAAGACGACTCTTAATGCAATCAAATACAGTGAACAGTTGGGAAAGGTGAATGAATCCCTGAAGAAGAATAGGCCCTCCAAGTCAAAGATCGTTCCCATCCACGACAACGCGCGCCCTCATGTTGCAAAACTGATTCGCTCTAAAATAAATAGCCTTGTTTGGGAACTTTTGGCGCATTCTCCATACAGTCCAGCTCCTTTTGATTACTATTTATTCCGGATCATGAGTAATGAGCTTGCGGGAGAACACTTCGATTCGGAAAAAAGCAGTCAAAAATTGGCTTTGAAAGTTTTTCGATTCAAAACCAAAATCCTACCACGAAAGAGGAATCCGCAAATTGCTTGTAAAATGGGCAGAAGTCGTCAATAATAATGGAAATTATTTGGAATGAATTTATGGTTTCATGTTGAATAAATTTTAGTTCAAAGTCCCGCAGTTTTCAATTCACCAACCCGATAGTTTTAATAAAAACCTTTTAAATATTGGCTTAGGTGAATCTGGAGCAAATGGGTGTGATACGCATCAACTCATTCAAAAAGATCTCCTCGATTTTATATGAGATTGGACTCGAGGCATCGGGCATATCACCGCTCACCTGGGTGTCAGTTAGCAAGGATTTTCTTGGATCATTCTCCGATAATGGATTCACGATGATCACAAAGACTATTACGGTTTATTTTACAATTAAACTTGAAATTTATTGATTTTATAGCTAAAAAGTCTGAATTTTGGACTAATCTCAAAAAAATTTCAGGTGACTCTGAATCTCACTGAAGCTCTTGAACTCGTTCAAACTGATTTCAGCGTTTGCAATCTGCGGAATTGCGGGATCGATTCGCAATTTAATTGAAAATACTGGATATGTGTTTATTTGTTTAATTGAATTGTTTTGCTTGTGTAAAAAGATAAAACAAGAGCTGGATTTCATTCTGCACAAAGGCCAATTGCCGGCAAGTCACACTCTGCTTTCGTGCTAACTCAAAAAAGCTATAGTTTCATTTAGAGATTTCTTTTTGCTTGCATAGACCGTTTTTAAACTTTCTATATCTAAATTAACATAGATTTATATTTAAATTCTTCCATTTGCTATTCTCTATTGTCTTTAATTGTCTGTGCATTTGAAAAGTACATTTTGCTTGTCGTTTGTTTTGTTTGTTTTCATTTTCTTAATGGCTATGATAATATTTTTTCTATTATATTATATAATATAATATAATTTCCTGCTCTTGAACAGCATACCTTAGGGCTATACAATTTTATCAAACCCTATTCTCTATATGCTGTTCAAGATTTCTTATTTATCACAACTTTTCGTGTTTTTGACGTTAAATAATTCATTTTTCAACGATAACTTCCGTGTTTAGCTGACCGAGACAAAGTTTCGTCTTCGTGCCAGTCTTTGGTATGATTTCAAATTGAGCAAAAATGCTGCTGAATCTCATCGAGATCTCTGCAAAGTATTTGGCGAAGATGCTATTTTGGAAAGCCAGTGTCGCCGATGGTTTCAACGATTTCGAGAAGGAAATGAATCTTTGGAAGACGAAGACCACCAACGACGACCTCCTGCGATCGATAATGCAGTACTGAAGCAGGCGATCGAAATGGATCCTCGACAAACTACACGTGAACTTGCAGAAATATTTGGAATAAGCCCTCAAAAACGCGCATTTATAACTGGACAACCTAATAGATGGGTATTCTCCCTCAAAAATCCCCCACTTTTCCCGCGTTTTCTGCTTCAATAAATTTTCGTTTCGACATTGTCAAGTCCTCCATCACCTGTAAAAATCCTTCTAACAAAGTGATCTGTTTAAAAAAATGTCTAAAATAAACTTAACTTTGGTTCCAGATGTTGAGTTGATCAAAAAAAATAAAAATAATGGTAAAAAATAAAGAAAAACGAAGAAATCGGCTAATTGCCAAAAAAAAAGAAAAATTGGAGGGTTACGGTAGTTTAGTGCATTTTAGTATGGTGCGCAAAAAGCCTTAAAGTCAGGATAAGACAAAAAAAGTTTTTGTTGAAAATCAAGAATCCAAATCCTTACAATCCTAGGGTGATATCCAGATAAAAGAAAAAACGCGATTTATTAGGTTGGCGACATTGAAATTTCGTTTGCGTTTCTCTTTATGGATTTTAACACTGTGGATACTATTACCACCGCAATCTCTTCTGTTTTGAAGATACAATTATTTTGCTTTATTACGCGTCTTTTCTTTATTTCCAGTTGAAGAATTTTAATAAAAAAATCTTATAGATGCTAGACGACCTCAAAATATCGACTTCGCATTTGTTGCTGTACGATTTCAAACATGAAAAAAAGCAACTGACCCGGGAGAAATTCCAAAGTCAATACCTAAACCAGATTTTCACGGAAAGAAAGTTATGCTGTCGGTTTGGTGGAATACCCGAGACCTGGTCTATTTCGAAGTGTTAATTTCTGGTCAGACTGTTGATGCAAATCTTTACGTTCAACAACTAGATCGCGCGGACGCGGTTCTTCGCTCAAAAGGAATTGATTCGACAACGGTGCGATTGTTACAAGACAATGCCTGTCCTCACGTTGCCAAAATTACGCAAGAGAATATTGAGCAATGGAGCTGGGAACTTCTAGTTCATCCGCCTTATAGTCCAGATATTGCCCCTTCTGACTACCATTTCTTTCGAAGTATTCGGCATTCACTCGAAAGCCACAAGTTCCAGAATATTAACGACATCAAAAAATGGGCCTCTGCTTTCTTTCAATCAAAACCAGCACAATTCTTTCAAGAGAGTATCCATAATTTGCGTCAAAGATAGAAAAATGTTATTGGTAGCTGTGGGGAATCTATTGTTGATTAATTGTTTCTAGTTTATTTTTACAAATAAATTTTGTTGTTGCTCAAAAACGAAATTTCAATGTCGCCAACCTAATAAATAAAATAGCTCTTGTCAATTTTTCGAAATAATCGTGAACTCTCGACAGTGCGATGCAGAATTTGTAGGCTCAAGATGAGTCTAAACAGCAAAATTTTTTGAATTTTTCAAGAAAAATATGGGCCACCACCATGAGACTTTTGCCATAAAATTAGAACTTTGTACTGGCATTGTGGTGCATAATAAACACTATTAGAATAAAATACAAATTTTAACCATACACTATTGATCAGCGTTTCCTTGGAAAAACGGGACATTTCTTTAAGAAAAAGGCGAATTGAAAATTTCTTATGTACGACAGATTATAATGGATAATGTAGATGAATAAATTGTTTGGCTAAAAATCTTAGTTTATACAGTATAGGGGTCATAACTTTGGACACACCTCACGCGTTAAACTATAATTTATTCGTTCTTTTTGCTAATAAGAGCTTTTTCTACCGAAATCAACTATTTTATAAAGTTTTTATCCCTTTTAATTATTTCTGCATGAATTTGGCTTTTATTTTCATTCTCATGTATTTTTGAGCTACTTTACCCAAAGAAAACCACTTTCTAGGGAGTCATAACTTTGGAAACACTTGTTGAAGACATGGTTTTCTTTAGGTGCCATCAAAGAAAATCTTGTCAAACGACTTAAAGGAACGTTTGGTAGCCAATATGAGTCAAGGGATGTGGTCTAGGGATGTTGCAGAGATGTTTGGAATCACGTTTTCGGCGGCTGCAAAGGTCTACCGCAAATGGAAAGAAACAGGATCGATAGAACGGAAAATTGGTGGAGAACCACGACTAAAAGTTCCCCTAAAAACTGCCACTGCTTTGGTTCGATCAGTGAAGAAAGATCCGAGAATCAAGCGATCTTCGTTGAGAGGCTCACCAATACCATGGGCTTACCAATACCATTAGCTCACCATTTCTAAGAGTACAGCTTGACGAATTCTGAGGTTTATTTTGATGTAATGATGCTTTTATTAGGTTGATGCATAAGTCTTTTCGTTTTTTTTTCGTACTTCTGTTAAAAAGTAACAAATTCACCAATTAATCTATAGTTTGCTCTATAAAAAAGTGTTTTTTGTTCAATTTGCATCTTTTTAAATGAATTTCGGTTCACTTTCAAGCAAATTCGAGAGTGAAAAACGCCTTTTTCGTAAAAATCTATAAAAAACCCTACGGAAAAATTGGCTGAATGAATTTCTCTGAAATTTTGGCGAAATATCAAACGTTTTTTTTCTCTATCTTTTATCTATTGACACGAAGATAGGTTTTCTTTAGCTAAGGTGTCTAAACCGCATCATCGAGTTAGCCCTTTTTGACTACCCGACTTCATACTCTCAAGAAAATCCAGGCATAAAATATTTTTAAACCCGTTTTAATGTTATTTTGCAGAAAAATAATTGGTTTTTCTAATGAAATCAACCGTAGTTTAATTGGTGCATTTGTTGGCTTGAAACAGCAGACGAAAAGGAACGAAAACACTTATGCATCAACCTAATATATCAAAATTTTAGATCTAAGGGACTTAAAGGAGCACGCCCTTCACGAAAAGCGCTGATTTCAAAGAAGAATCTTAAAGCTCGTCTCGAATTTGCGAGGAAACATCAGAACTGGTCGGTGGCGGATTGCGGTCGCGTTTCATGGAGTGGTGAATCCAAGTTTCCAATCCAATATTCACTTTGGCACCACAACGACCACCAGAAATTTTTTGGAAAATTAGGGGAACTGGCTTTTTTTTTTTGAACACCCTGTACATAATATTTATGTAAAAGCATTACCCTATCACGAAAGTATGTAGGAAGAAAAATTCTTCCTGCATACAAGTTTTTTAGTTAGAAAGCAGCTAAAAATCGAAGCGTCCCGGATACTGCTCGGCTCCGGCTCATTTGAGGGTCTGAGAAATCGGCCGCACAACTCCAATCAAAAGATCTTTTCGTACAGAAATCTAGGCAAGCATTCAGGCTTCAATTCTCTATATAACACTTAGGGTTTTTGAATTGATTGCGGTGTTTGGCATGTAATCTGCTGAAAAGGTGTAGCCGTAATTCTGGCGCACCCTGTAGGTTAGGGTCACCCGGCAAAATCAAAGATTTTAAAGTTGTTGAAAATTATTTTAAATGATAGCCCCTGATCCAGAACATGCCAAAAACCTTTTTAAAAGTGAAATTATTTCCTTACCTGGGTCCATAGAAAATCTCCCACAAAACCAAAAAAAATTTATGTGGGGGACCAGATAAAATTTTTTCAGAAACTAGATTTCCAAATTTTACTGCCGAAGCTAAAATACATCTATCTAAAGCTATGTCGATAAATTTAGTTGAAAAGAAGTCCTGAAAAGTCCCAATTTTGAGGAGAGAGGGAGTGGTTTTCTATTAGAGATGTTGGAGGCATGCTGGAGGCGAGCGAGGCGAAAAGAGCGAAAAGAGGCGATTTTTTGATTTTTGTGAGGTTTAACAAACTTGTATAAGACTAATTTAGTACCTGATTACTTGTAACTTCACGCTTGATATGACGGTAATTTCGAGCTTTGATTACAGCTTTCCCCGACTCAAAAATATATAGCACACATTTTGTCATCTTGCCCATATTCAGCATTTTTATTCTTTTGGAAAATAATCATTTTACATTTTAATAACGATGCAAAAAAATATTAAAGCATTCAATCAAAACAATGAACCCGTGAAAAACCCGATTTGTTTTTTCTACATCTTGAATTTGTTCTTAACTGGACTCGTTCTCACTTTCGACTGCATCAGAATTGATAGCCTAAAATCTTGATAAAATATTTTGCTGGAAAACTATTTAACCTCATCTTCTTCGACCCTACTTGATCTCCTACTAACCGTCTGGTTGACCTTTTGTAATCCATTGTGCAGCTGAGTTGTCTAAACATTTTGCATCTTTTAGCCTAGTTGCAAAGGTTACTTGATAGAAAACTTTCGTGCAGCCATTAACTTCACGAGGGCATCTCACGGGACGGATGTCTGTTGCATTCTTAACAAATCTAAATACCTAGTTATTGATTACCGATCATTGAAAAAAATAACGAACGCGGTAAAGCAGTGTTGGTGCATCAAAGCTTTGCAGTCACATTGGCGTGCTAGCGATTTCTTCACGACCACACGAAGACAAAGAGCACAACAAGCAGGTTGAAATCTGAAAATTGCAAAAAGTCAATTAAAATGAAAAAGACTTACTTGTTTCTAATGACATTTTCTAATTCAGCTATAGCACGCGGTTGCAAGTCGAATCCTCCATTCACCTTTAATGATTTGTTTGTGACAAAGACCCAGTTATTTACCTCCTTAATCCATTTGTCTTGCACGAGTTTATCCGTCAAAGCTTGCAGCCGTAGTTCAGTAATCGGGTTTGGAAGGTTTCTAAAACAAAATTATATTAAAATTAACTGCAGGCTTAAAGTAAAATCATTTTTATGATAAATAAAATAACCTCGCCATATTCGATAATTTAAGTTTTGCAATAAAGCCATCAGCATCCTCTGTGTTTTCATCGTCCTCATCATCAACGGATGTGAAGATGTAAGCGAGCCATTTAGTCAACAAAAATACCTCGTCCGGCCTAGAATTCAAACAATTATTATAAAGTATAAAGGACTCACGTAAATCCCGCGATACTTAGGAGGTCTCCTTGATATGGATGCTTGTTCACGAGGCACACAAAGAGCTTCCCATCAAACTCTGATTGAATTGTATTCAGCTGCATCTTCATCCAATCTATCTGAAAGACAAAAGTATTAAAAAGAAAGATGGAACTTCCAACATGGAAACTAATAAAACTTTTATACACTTAGAATTAAATGCAATAAACTTACTGACTTCTCTGTTGATCTTCTTCACGAGTTGCTCAGCAAGTGTAATTAGCTGTTCCTCATTACATACGACACATTGAGCGGTTGCAGGATTCCTCTTCGCAATGTAGCACGTGTAATATAGTATAAATTTGGTCCAGAGTTGTTTGCGCTAAATCATTCAAAATCTATATTTGTCAGACTATCTGTATTTGATTGTGTAATTTCGTCTAATACCTCTACAAAATCTCAAGCTAAGAAGCAGACCACCTCGTAAAACTTACAGTCACTGTTCCGTGCATTTCTAGTATGTATTGGAAGACGTGTTTATGAGCTTCCCCATAAGCTCTGTTCAATTCTGTAGATACATTTTGAAAATTGACCGGCTCGTCGTAGTCTTCCACCTTCACACTTTTCTTTTTCGTTAGTTTATCCGCACTTTCAGCTGGCATCTAAGATTTATTGTTAAGCCAATTTGAAAAACAACGACAACGACAAAAATAATAAATAAGAGTATCAAAGTGTCCAAGAATCATTAAGACAATAAAGAGATCATTTCTTTGCTTTCATTGGTGTCACGAAGCACCAATCAACTTGAATTGTTTGTCCGAGCACTTCTTTTCCGTTGAGATTGTCGATGGCAGCTTGAGCCTCCTTTTGTGTATCATATTCGACGAGAGCGTATCCTTTGTTGAAACCAGTGCGACGATCCAAATTGAGATGAACGTTTCGAATTTCACCAAAGTCACCGAACGCCTCGTTCACATCTTCCTCGGTGGCCTCCTCTTGTAGTCCGGTAACGAAAACGATCCATCCCTCAATTGAACGAGCCGGTCCCACCACAGCATTCTCACTTCCCTCCACCGCTTCGTAAACAATGCGCTCCCGTTGACGCTTCTCCGTCAATCCACGGCCCTTCTGCTTTGATGCCGAAATTTGCTGCTCATCGTCGACAATCATATCCATATCGGCCATTTTGCGCGGATCTAAAGTAGAAAAATTGGTCACGATTAGAAAAACGAAAAGAACATTCCTGAAAGAAGTAGGGTTTGTTAAAATTTGAATCCTTTGCAAATAATGGGTGTTTCAACTAATCTAGGTAATTTAACTATTGGCGCTATTAAGGTTGCGGGCAGGGGGGACTTTTTTTCTTCAAAACCACTTTTTATGGGGTAGTTTTATGCGTAAATTTCAAAAAATAAAACGAGAGCTTGGGAACAGGCGTTTTAAGCGGAGTTTCGGAGCTCCAAAGTTCGTGCTTCTATAGTGTACTTCACTATATGGAGCCCATATAAAAGCTATATAGAAGCGCGCGCTTGGAGCGCCGAAACTCGGCTTAAAACGCCTGTTCCCAAGCCCTCGTTTTATTTTTTGAAATTTACGCATAAAACTACCCCATAAAAAGTGGTTTTGAAGAAAAAAAAGTGCCCCTAACCTTAATAGCGCCAAACTATTTGTATTATCCATAAAGTATTCAAAGTCTGATAAAAACTAGAAGAAATCAGCAAAACCTTTACAAAGCTAACAAACTTTAACAAAAATTGTTAAAACTAGGCCAAAGGATTGATAAAACCAAACAGTTAGTAATGTTGATTTCCCGCGTTAGAAAAGCAAAAAGAAAGCAGTTTCGAAAAAATTAGTGCCGCCCAAGGAATACAAATGACGTGTAGTGGGTGCGCGTAAAACGTTGGAATGGTTGGAAATGGGGAGAAAGAGACGTGTGGAGAAGAGGAGTAGGAAATTTATCTAACGACAACCCCGTGGACAAAGGAATTAAAATAGCTTGGACAAACTTTTGGGGCAAGTTTTGCACGAGGTAAGGTCGGAACTACGCAAGGCTACGGCAACCCCTTATCTTTAGATGAATACTTTCAAACTTCCTTATAAAACAATAGCTATCCAGTCAATTTTTTAATAGAAATAACGTTAAAAGGTTAGGTTTTAGATAAAGATAAAGTGCATAGATAAAGCTAGGCTTTAACGTAAAAAAAAATAAAAAACCACCCTTGCCTATCGCATTACCAAATCTAGTGTTAAATAGGAAATCACGGAGCAATGCCCCTATTTGTACTCTCTTTTCTTTGTTACCGTATTCATTTGCTATATTGCACTAAATTATCGCATCGCATATTTAAAGTGAAAAGTTGGGGTAGGCTAGTTTTCACCAGTTTTTTTGCGCAACTCGCCATAACTTTCCTCTAAGTGGGCCAATCTTTATGATTTTGGTTTCGTTTTGTAGATCTCAATAAGTGCAACAAAATGAAACCAAAATCATAAAGATTGGCCCACTTACAAGAAAGTTATGGCGAGTTGCGCAAAAAATTGGGCGCAAAGTAGCCTACCCCGAAAAGTTTTCTAGTTACTTTCTCATTTGGCATTTGTTTGTATTTGCCTTATTTTGAAGCAAACCTAAAAATATTGAAATATTAGTGGAAACAATCAAAAATTTTGATTCTTTCCACTATTTGATTCTATTTTTATATTTCCAAATTCGACAGGGCATGAGCCGCGATATACCCGTGCCTTCACGAATTGTCGTTATGGGAACATCGGTGTTGTCCTTAAACGATCGGTGAGTTTTTGTTTCTTGGCATTTTGACGTATTTAACACACTCGCGACAGTCGGGCCCACCGGTGGGCCCCACTTGAAATTGGCATAATTTATGAGCGGATTAAGTTGAAAATTTGTATACAGGGGTTTTAAGGGGTGGGGGAATTCGAATCCGGTATTAATTTTTAGCGTATTGACCCCAAGTACTTAAAATAATTTTGGCACTCGTTTTGGCCATTTTAAGGAAAGGAGTCTCCAACTTCGATGTTAAGGAAACTTTTTTCTTACTTGACAGATTTTGATGCTTTTGGTACTAAAAGGTGCCATGAATTCTGAAAATCAACGACGGATTTGGATTTCCAACCTTGAAAACCCCTCAAATACAAATTTTCGTGTTGATCCGACACTAAAATCGTTCTGGTCTCAGACGAAGCACCGAAAAACGGCATTGTCGCGAATTTGTTATGGAAACCATCTTAAGATTAGATATAAATCTCTTTATGATCTTTTTTGTTTAGATTTGCCAATCTAAACGAACCCATCGAAGCAGACACGATGGAGCAATCAAGAGGCCCAGTACAGAAAACGGTCGGTTTCTCATTGAAAATATTATATTCATGTCTTTTTAGATTCATGTTAACTCTGCCGTCTTGAAGGGTCAACAATACAAGAAGAGAACACAAGTTGCATACGGCGATTTGACGGATGATATGGGGTTGGTTTTAATCATTCTGTGAATTTTTTAAAATTCTTCTATGAAAAAAATCGCCAGATAACTTTAATTCCTTTCTCAAATTTCCAAGGTTTTTTTTGGCTTTACGCAATTTTAAAGTTATCTAAGTTCTGTTTTATGTGTGCATCATTATACGAGTTCTTTTCATATTGGATAATGAATCCTAAATTTTTAAAATCTATATTTAGTGCCGAGGACGAAGTTGTGGAGTACGTGGAAGAAGTTCGATATCCACAAACTAGACGTGGGATTGCCATTGGACGCAGTCGAAACATCCGTTATTTGCCAACACGTCAGCGAGAAACGATTGCAGAAAGAGTGAGCCTCGATAGACCAATTGGTTTGCCCAACATTTTGTAAAGTTTTTTACGATTCTTTTAGGGAATCGTGTCTCCTTTGGTACACGACCTCCTTATTCTCATCAGAATCATTTCCGAACTTCTCATGGCATGATCACCAAATCCTACAGCAACTCGCACGGGTCAGTGGTTGTCAATTAATATCAGTTTATCAGTTACCAAATTCAGTTGATTAATAGTAGCATTGTGTAAATGCTATTTTAGACAGAATCAATTTCATCAACGTGTGCGCGGCAGAGGAAACACCACTCGTGGAAACTTCCAAAACAAAAGCGATGCACAGCCAAAGAAAACTGCCGAGGAGTTGGACAGGGTGAGTAGATTTTGGCTTCTACTGTGAATTATCTTCCTAGGAAAGGTTGCCGATTTACCACCGAGTCTCAAAACGAAACTTATCAGATCTAGGAGACCAATTTTTTTTTGCGCTGATTCCAAATCCGCAATCAAATCTACCCCGCGAGGCCTCTGAAGCCGTAAAAAATCGATTTTTATTTTCTATGGGAAAAGTATTTCTCTGAAAGCCGAGACAACATCTCTATAATTAACTTTTGGAGTCGTCCAAAATAGACTGCGTGGTGTAGTGGTTAAAAATATATGATTACAATTGTAACATCAATTTAGGTACAACTATTTAATAACTAAATTATCACTCTTTAACTTTTTCAAATTTTAATTCTTAATTGTATCCATATATTTTTTCAAAAAACATGGGAGAGGCGAGGATCGAACCAACAAGCCAAGCCAAAAAATGAAAATCTAGAGCATAACCACTAAACCATACAGTCTATTTTGGACGACTGCAAAAGTTAATTATAAAGATGTTGTCTCGCCTTTCAGAAAAATACTTTTCCCATAGAAAATAAAACTCGATTTTTACGGCTTCGCGGGGTTGATTGCAAATTTGGAATCAGCCCAAAAAAGACTGGTCTCCTAGATACGTCTCGTTTTGGGACTCGGTGGTAAATCGACGACCTTCCCTAATTAACTCGTTTTAATTGGTAATTTCCAGGAGATGGATGAGTACATGAAGAAAGAGAAGCATCCAAAGATTACGATGGATTATTGATTTGTTTTATGATTTATTTTATGATTTATTCAGTCGTTGTTACTGTATGTTGTTGATCTCTCGTGTGCATTCATATAAATTATTTTGGTATCGTTTTCGGTAAAAAACGGAGCAGTTTTACAAACAAAGTCGAAGTAACAACTTATTTTTGGACCGGTTCACCAAAATTTATGCTTGCAGTTTGAGAACACAGCTGTCTTTGAGCGGCTGCCTTTTGCTTACGCTACGAAATCCATGATTACGCATTGGTTCAAAGAATGCTCGTAAGCAATTGCATAGAAGAGGCTAAGGGTGCCATTCATATGTTGCACCACTTTTTTTCTCATTTCATTAATTTGAAACTTTGTAAGTGCTCAATTTAAGATTTGTAATAAGCGATGAAATGAACGGAACGGCGCGTAGCTATTGCAAAAGATTGTGACTATCATTGACCCACATTCCCGACGCTGAATCGGATTCTGCAAAAGGAGACGATTCTATTAGGTTGTCCGGAAATAAATGAGCGTTTTTAACTTGAATATTTAAAGTACCATAACTTGATCCAAACAAAACTTTATTAATCGAAATAAGAACCATTACAATTAACACATTTTTGCCAACGAGAAACAAGTTTATTTATGCCGGTAGCATAGATGTCCGGGCTTCTGGTGGCGATAAAGTCGGCGAAGGCGTTTTTGACATCATCTTGAGTTTTGAAGCATTTCTCCCGGAGAAAGTTGTCGAGGTGCTTGAAAAAGTGGAAGTCGGTGGACGAAAGATCCGGCGAATATGGCGGGTGAGGCAAAGTTTCGTAGCTCAGTTCGTTCAGCTTTTACAGGGTCGGTAGTGCGACGTGCGGGCGAGCGTTGTCGTGGAGAAGAATTGGACCTTTTCTGTTGACCAATGCCGGGCACATTCGCCGCAATTTCTGGTGCATTTCGTCGATTTGTTGGCAGTACTTCTTCGCCGTAATCGCTTCGCCCGGATTCAGAAAGCTGTGATGGATGAGACCGACTGCGGACCACCAAACAGTCACCACAACCTTCTTTTGGTGCAAATTTGGCTTGGGAAAGTGTTGTGGAGTCTCTCCGGCGTCCAACCACTGAGCGGAACGTCACAGGTTGTCGTAGAGGATCCACTTTCATCGCACGTTACGATCCGGTCGAAAAATTAGTCGTTTTTGTTGCGCTGAAGAAGAGCAGACGACACCTTTTTAGAAACGACGATTTTTTTGATTTTTGTTCAATTCATGCGGGACCCGTTTATCGAGCTTTTTTGACTTTCCAACCCGTTACAAGTGGTCAGAAATGGTCGTCTTGCCCACGCCAAGCTCCTCCGCAAGCTTTCGATCAGTCGTGCGTGGATTTGCTTCCACCAGGGTCTTCAGTTTGTCGTTACCGAGTTTAACAGGATGGCCACGGCCTTCCTTATCTTCGAGATCAAAATCATCACCTCAGAATTTTCGGAACCAAGTTCGCACTGTTGACTCGCCGACACTGCCTTGGCCCCAAACTTCGTTAATGTTACGAGCCGTTTCAGCTGCATTGCGACCGAGTTTGAACTCATAAAAGAAAATCTGGCGAAAGTTAGTTTCGGACATCTAAAACGGCGAAGCTTAAAATTCGCAAAAAATTTTATTTTCAACAAAATTTAAAAGCATGGTTAAAGATAGCGCGAACTCAGCTTTCTAATGGTATATAACATTACAAGGTACAGAGCATACTTTATTGAGAAAAATGTACCCAAATAATAAACAATACAAAACGCTCATTTATTTCCGGACAACCTAATAACTATTTTGCAAAGCTTCTAGTGAATTTTTAATGAAACAGTGTAAACATTGCCGGCACATTAGCCTTGGATCTGACCCTAAAAAGCTAAAAAGTTTACGCAAAAAACTTTTACCAGTAACTTTTTTAACCTAGTTGTATAAAAGTTCGATCTTCAGCCCAGTGGTTGATTGATTTTGAATACCTACCTGCCTATATTTACAAAAATTCTGGTACTAAGACAGTTGGGGGAGGCACTTAAAATTTTCTTAAATGTAGCTTTTCAGGACCATGACAATACCGCAACGACATTTGCGCACACGTGGAAAAATGTCTTTTGCGCACAACAGGCTCCGCCCACAAACTTCAGATGCAAAAATTTGCACTAAATGGGGGTAGGCTAATTTCCGCCATTTTATTTGCGCAACTTTAACATTGTATTAAGCACTCGGATTTCTAATCATTATTTTCATTTTTGAGCTTTTTTTATTGTTTTTTTTAATTTTCTTCTATTTTTTATGAAATCTTCCAATTTTTTTGCGCAATCTTCCAATATTTATCTAAATTAGTCCTTTCTAGGAGCTAATAACCATTAGTAAAATATTTTATTGCTTTAACAAAAAAGTGCAACAATAGCAATGAAATTTAGGACAACAATAAAAATAAAATTTTTTTAATATAAGTCAAAAGCTGAGAAAGATGTTGCACAAAATTGCAACCGGGCAAGCGACCATTAGAAATAGCAGTAAAACGTTGCTTTTGTCGAGCCAATACAGTTTTCTTCCGTGCGTAGTTTTGTCCAACAGTGAGATTGATAGCCGATGAAAGGTTGAAACGGTTGATTATTTGCGTCATTTCTTCGTAAAAGTTGCGCAAACGTATTTGTACGCAAACGTAAAGCGCACCGCTCTGCTTTCGCGCCAGTCCCTTAAAAACGTCAAAAAAGTTGCGCAAATGACCCTGTTGCGCAAATAAAATGGCGGAAATTAACCTACCCCCTAAATGGCCTACATTGTTTTGATTGGGTCCAAATTTTTACAGCATTTTGCGCTCGCCTATGTTCATCTACCGTAAAAATTTCAGTTTGATAGCTTCACTACAAAAGATTTTGGAGTGACTTGAATTTTTTTGTGCCCGCAAAAGACACAAAAAGCAAACCATGGCTTCCCAATTTTTTTTTTGTGGTAAAGCTATCAAACTGAAACTTTTACGGTAGATGGACATAGGCGAGCGCTAAATGCTGCAAAAATTTGGGCCCAATCGAAACAATGTAGGTCATTTAGTGCAAATTTTAGCGCCTGAAGTTTGTGAGCGGAGCCTGTTGTGCGCAAAAGACGTTTTTCCGGGACCTAGTCAAAATAGCGTCACCAAAACAGCGACCATACAAAAATCGTGCCAAATTAAAAAAGACTGCGATTAGATTTTTCAACTCCAATGTTTTTATATTTCTCACAACAACTTGTAACTTTTGTTATTTTTAAAACATTTTTAAGCACTTTGCGCGTGTTTTGACAAACCGATGGATTATTTCATCATCAGAATCATGTTCATTTATGGTTCATTTTAAATAAGCAATGCGGCACATTTTGTTTTTCGTTGTCGTTGAAGAGTAGAAGGGTGCAAGTGCAACGACTCTTCTATTCCTTCAGGCCGCGTTTTTTTTTTTGAAATGTTCTTTCTGAAAAACACAAAATTGAGTACCAAGAACAGGAAAAACAAGAAAAAACGTGACTTCCATAAATGCACTTACCGTAAATACTGTAATAGTACCCCACCCCCCTCGTACAGTCGGGTAGTCGCAAAAGTTTTTTTAGTATTTCATTTTTTGCAAAACACCCGTACTTTCAAAAAATAGCCCTGAATTTCAGCTATTTTTTTGATACCTAAGCGCGTATTGTAGCATTGTTGAAAACATGTTTTTATGGCCAACTTAGCTTCTTATAAAGACGTTGACCTTAGGGGCGGGGTAGACTTGCTTATCGATATTATCGATACAAACGGCATGCTCATGTGCGTTCAGATCTCGGTTGCTAGAAAAGCTATCAATCTGCAAATTGTTTCATTGGAAAGACAAGAATGTTAGCTTTTGATTGCTATTTTATACATAGCGACTTTTAATGAGTAAGCACCTCATAAACCTTATCGATACTTATCGATAAGGTTTATGAGGTGCTTATCGCTATCGAGGCTTATCGATAAGTTTATCGATATTTGAGTATCGATGTATTTGATAAGCTTTTTAAGGTACTCACCTATAAGAATTTGCTATGTGTGAGATAGCAATCAAAAGCTGACATTCTTGGCTTTCCAATGAAACAATTTGCAGATTGATAGCTTTTCTAGAAACCGAGATCTGAACGATCAAACATGAGCTTGCCGTTTGTATTGATAATCTCGATAAACAAGTCTAGGCTTGTTAAGACTGCTTTATTAAACTAACAAGTAAAAAACAAAGTTAAAGGTACATGCAGAGTTTTTTCAAAACAAAAAGTTACTTCAATACATAAGTTTTTTAATTGAAAACAATTTGAAAATGTTTTTTTTTCGTGATCAGCGCCATCAATTACCCTAGAAACATTTGGGAAAATTTTAGGTGCCTCCCCCCCAACTGCCTTAGTACCAAAATTCTTGAAACCCCTTTCACCAACCCTTTCCTTTTGATAGTTTTCACTATTTGTTTAAACATTCTATTTAGATGCCTGTCCATCAGCAAATCATCACCAATCCGAAGATGCCGGTGAGTGTTTTTCGTGTTTGATAACAGTATACGTATGCACTGATTTATAAAGTTTTTCTTTTAGCTTTACAAGAGCGATTTCGAGGATGAGCCAAACGATTTAGCGGCGACACTCAAGCAAACAGTCAACGGAAGTAGGTTTTTCGGCTGAATTTCAGAGATATGTCATTACCTATCTGAAACGAAAGGTTTAAAATTGTGCTACATTTGTTTTGGCAATGAAACGAGTTTTCCTGGATTTATTTCCTAACTCAATCACTCAAACTTAGCTTTTTCTCATTTCCTATGTAATATTTTCATTTCAGTCTCGGGTGAAACGTTTGGCGAAAATAAAAGAGGATTTCAGAAAGACAAGTTCGTTTTTACGCTATTACAGCTTATTTAGCAAATTTTTAAGCTTAGTCATTCGTATAATTAGACTTTGCAATTCGATTTTATGTGGATTTCTAGGAAACAAACAACTACGGACGAGTCAGTCAATTTGCTTGAAGAGATCCAAGAGGTTGGTGGCTTTTAAGGGGAAATTATGTAAAAAATTCAAGGAACAAGAGAAACGTGAACAGAAGCAAGCTGAGCAGAAAGCCAAAAAGAAGAAGAAGATGTTCGTTTTTGAAGAAAGAAGAAAGCTTCATTCAATCATTATTTTAGTCCCAAGCAAGCTGAGTACGAATTTCCGATGTCCGAGCGGCCAGAAGTCAAACAAAAGGTTAAAAAAAATTGTTTGTGTGAATTAATTTTTTTCAGGAAGAAGAATCCCAAGAGCCAATCAAATGTGTGAAATGTCGAAAAATGATCAAGCCGAAAGATCCTTGCTATATGGTAAATGGATTGCTATTGATTCGTTGAAACCGATCACATTTAGATTGATTGCTCAGACGGATGTGATCTTTATCTCGATACAGATTGTTTCAAGAATGAGATGACACGGCAAGGAAAAACGAAGAAAAAGGTAGCGATAGATTATTGTGACATCAACACTACTTATGATATAGCTGTGTAGATAGTTGTTTAGTTCAATTTAAACTCCTTTAGCAAATGATTTACAGGATCAGAAAGATGCTGTGTGTCCTACTGACTCGTGTCCTGGGAAAATCTATGAGATTGTCTTCCGAAATTACGTTGATGGAGAAATTGTTGATACAATTGTTGGTTTTTTGAAAGTTTCAACTCTTTCACGGCAAAAGACACGAGTTTTGCTCACGATTTTCATTCATAAATGTTTAGCATCTGGTTTGTAACGCTCGTCCGACAGGAACAACAAAAGAGGATAAGAAAATGCTGAAGAAGATGGTGAAACACAATGAGAGCACTAGTAGCGCACCGTTTGAGAGGATTACGACGGAAAGCTCGGAAATCGGTGTGCAACAAGAGGTAAAGTTTTGAATTGAAGGCTAATAAAGTACTAAAAAAATATATTTTTACGGCTTTACAGTTTTTGCCATCATAACAATTATCAATTTTAGGTTGAAGAAGTCAAAGAACCCGAAGCTCCGCCAAAGCCCATCGACTTGAATGCGCCTGGTGAGTGTTTATCGGATTATCAGTAAATTGTGCAAACTTTAGTGCATCGTCTTGAAAAACACGACGACATTGCTGACAAGTACGGATTAAACGAGCAAGACAATGGAGTCGGCAAAAAGGATAAAGAACGGAAGAAGAAACATGAGAAATCAAAAGTGACATTGAATATGGTCGATAAAAAGATTGAGGAAAAAGCACATCGAAAAAGAAATGGTAACAGTGAATTTATTGTATTCATGAAAAATGAGCATTCTTTTAGAAAGTAATGACTTCGAGGAGCCATCATTACGAGGTAAGTGTTTTGTTTCGTAATTGTGTTTTGTAAGAATTTTAGCACTAGCACGAAGGTTGCTGATAAATGAGCGTAGCTGTAAAGCCCGCAAAAGTTTTACAGCCAAATTTTACATTTTTCAAGTAAACAGGCAAAGACCAATTTTATCATTTTAGCGTCTCGAGAAACCTCATCGACTCCATTAAGCGAAATAGATGATTTCCCTTCATTTACCGAACCTCAATCCTCATCCACTTTGGGAAGCAATGGAAATGAAGATTTTGAGGCAGAAAGTTGGTAGCATAATATTTTAAAAATTGAAACAATCATTGAAAACTTTTAAACTTTTAGTGCTTGATCAACGCTTTTTCCCCCGTGTCGACGACTTGAATAACTTGGAAAATCTGGTTGAAGAGATTAAGCCTTTCAAAGAGTTGGGTGCTTTGTTAAATTAAACTAATTGAACAATTCTAGATCGATCCTTGGAAATTGCCCCGATTCGGGCGAATTGTACCAATTGCAAGGAGTCTTCATGCTGGTGCTCTCGGATGAACAAATTCAATATACGAGGAGTGGACAGAAGTTGGAGGATGTACGTGAAATAGGATATAACAGATATATTAATTCAATTCAGGTTCGTAAATCGGTTGAAATCGTATTTCACGATCGTCACCTGACGAGCGCTGATGGTGGCTTAGCCAAGAAATTCCTCGGTCTCACCAAGTGGTTCATAATCTCGAAAGCGAGAGGAAAAATCATGTTCAAGGTACGCCTTAAAACTTTAAGAAATATTTCTTGTTCAGAAGAAACCCCAAGCCTCCATTGCTACCACTTCGAATTTGATGCGAGAGCCGACTTTGATTGCACAAGCGACGGTATAATTTTGCTTAGAGATCGTCTTTGACTTTGCTTCTAAATATAATTGTAAGATTTAACTAACCAAATTTGACACTTTTAGAGTGTATCACCGCCAATTGAACGGGAACCAATAAGATTTCCACCCTCATTCACGGAAAAAGAAAATTTAAACGAGAGGAGTGGACCTGAAAAAATCTCTAAAGAAATCATGAATAAATTGGTTGGTTTTTAATTTTCCACGTACTGTATCAATGTTTTTAGCGAATCTCTACGAACAACTTGACTTCCTCGTCGACATCAAATGAAACACATAAAAAAGTAAACATTCCAATTGTTACAACTTTTCGACCAACACAGACATAATAGAAGCTAAAATATATTTCGTCATCAAGGTTTCATTGCATTACTATTTTAGCCTTCACTTGGTCAGCAACACACGTTTGAGAAACCGGTTTTCAAGCCAAAAGTAGAAATGAGCGTTCCTAGTCAAGTGAGTTTTTCTTTAAAAGAGCATTGTTTTGAATTTTCTCATTCCACCTAAAAATTCATCATTTTAGCCTTTCAACTCTCGGACAGTTGTGCCACCGTCACCAACCGTCACCAAGCACTTAATCCCTCCACCGGGAATTCTAAATGCACCAACCGGCGGCTTCAATCGTCCACCCGGGCTACCAGCTGTGCCACAACAGGTGTGTGGCGTTGCTTAAGAAAATTTGGTGTTATTCTGCTATATCTCTAAGTTCAAATCTACTCGATTCTTTAGCCTACTCAGTCGACCCAACGCGGCGAGTCTACATCACCTTGGAATGATATAGAACTAGAAAATAAACGTTTAAAAGAAGAACTTGAAAAGGTTTTTATTTCTGCAATGATTTTTAAAAATTATATTTTAGATGCTAAAGGAGAAGGATGAGATAGATAACGCGTATCGAGGAATTTTGCGCGAAAATACGGGGTAATTCTTTGAATTTTGATTTATGAAAAGGCTAAGCTAAAGTTTTTCAGACTAAATTTATTACTTTAGCTTGCAAAAATTGAAAGATCGTCTAAAGACTGAGATTGACGTGCTAAAAACAAGCGCCAATGCTCAAGATGAGGTGAAATTTTGAAGTTAACAATTGAATTTTTGAATTTTTTAGCGATCCAAAGAAGAGCAAAATCTTTGGACTGCGGAAAAAGAAAAACTGGTCGAGGAATTGAATCGAGCGGTTAGTGCTAAATATTTTGGTCCTGGTACTTACGTTTTAACTTTAGAAACTAGTGAAAGATGGCCCGGAAGCTCAACTTCTTCAAACGGAATTGACCAAATTGCAAAAGGTTTGTATGGCTAGCGCTAGACAGGCTTAACGATAAACGATGTGGCAATAGTAATTTGCATCTTTTAGGAAACAAATCTGAGTATGGAGAAACGAACGGCTCTCAAGCGCAAAGAATTCGCCGAAGGCACGATGCACCATATCGTTTTGATTTGTACAAGGTACGTTTAACTTTTTGTAAGCTGATCTGAAGCAAGAAACCGACCTAAACTATTAATAAGCAGTATTTGTGCTTGATCCTAAAAGAAAAACCTTATATTTATGTCCTTTTTAGTTTGCAAAGTCTGCTGATCGAGGACAGGATGGAAGCAGATGAAAAGGTGAGACTGACTGAGTTGATAGTACCAATCTTGATTTAGAACTTGCGACAGAGACAACTTAAAGATTTCGAAAAGATTCACTTCGATTGGGAAATGATACATAGAGCCACTGTAAAACGTTTATACGAGTTAGAGGTGGGGGTTTGAGATTTTTATTCCCACTAATGTGAAAATTTAGACAAACGGCACATCAGACACGGTGATCCCCAAGCCACCCGCTTTTACCAATATTTGCATTGCGTTATACGAGGAATTCATACAACAACCGAGGGATGAAATGAAAGCTCCAGTTATGAAGGTGAGTTTTAAGATTTTCTAATGTCTTACGGTCAATATAAATCCAATAACGCGATGTATTTTTAGATTCTTAAGGAAATCCAAGACCAAGTGCAATCCCAGTGTACTCGACATACAATTGAGCAACCTGATGAGTAAGTGCTGTTTTATTTGGCTTAAAGTTCATTTTTTATTTAGACCCAAACTGAAATATTTGATTGCACGATATGTGGCGAATAATCGTGAGGTTTTGGGTGTAAGCCGAGTGATCAACAAGGATAAATGCATGAACTACGTGAGCTTTTTTTTCTGGAATATATAAGATATTCAAACACATATTGTTTGTTAAACATATAAAAGCTTTAGAAATCATTTGAATATCATATCGTAATGCATTGCTGTTAAATTCCTGGACTTTTTAGGTACTTGATCAATTGGGAGTGCCTCGCAAATATGAATCGACGAATGGTTCCATGTGCGAACAACAACCATGGTCATCAGCAACCCTATCATTTCCATCACTTCCATCTACTTCAACGCACAACTATATTCAAGCGATGAAAAGCTCGGCTATTGGGGTGAGTTTTTTGAAATTGGAATGAGAGTATTCAGCCGGAAAAACTGAATATCTTTCGCTTAAGCAAAGAATTTAAAATATCCGCCGAATACTTTTTACTTCATCACACTGTAGTTTAGTTTCAAACTGCGCTAACTGAACTGATTTTCTTTAGAACGTCGGCTCTCGTGAGATCGACTTCGCCACGCATGAATGCAAAGTTTGCTTTGATGTGTTGGAAACGAAGGAAAGGGCTAAACAATGTACCGGTTGTTATGAACCATTTCATCATGAGGTCGGTTTAATGGAAACCCATTTTGACTGTGTTTAAGAACAGTTTAACTGTTCTTAAACAACTGTTAGCTAAAAAAACTAGCTCTAAATCTTCTACATTTTAGTGCATCAAGAAATGGCTGATGCAAACGGAAAGCCAGACGAATTCGTGTCCAAATTGCAAGAAGGTGTGGCCCGATGAGGAGGCGTATCCAAGTCTTTAGGTGAAAATACATTAGTCTTTCAACATAGGTTCGTTATTTTAGGTATTAGTGCCGATTATTCATTTTGTCTAGCCTATTTTGGTGTTTTAGTTGTCTATTATGCATTACTTTGTGTGCAATTCAAAGCTTTATTTTTGGTTACTTCGCAGTTATTTAGTGGTCAAAATTTATTTCCGTACCCCTCTTCTCTTCCTCTAACTCTTTCCGATTTTAGTCAAATCTTGTTTTTTACAGTGCAGTAGGGGTTTTTTGAAGATTTTCTGAAAAATGCCGTATTTCGTTTTTAGTGTGACCATTTTTTGTATTAAATACGCTTTCGGGTGCAAATATCGGGAGAATTTTATCACTAACGAATTCCATTTCTCCATTGCCTTATTTTTGTATAGTGTTCAATTGAGCTTTTTTGTATTGTTTTTTTTGAACTTGATTTGTGCAACAATTTGAAATTGAAAATTCTTTCATCGTTTTCATGAGAAAGACAACCAAAAACACTAACAAGATCACTAGTATTTAGGAAAAGAGAATAATTTAGATGTAAGAACCGGCGAATGATGTACCGAGGAAAGAATTGGCACCGCCGGAAACGGAGTCTCTGAAAATGGTAGTATTTGGTAAAAGTAGAGTAAACTTTGCCCGTAAAGCTTGCTAAGATGATAGCTTTTAAATTTTTTTGATTTTGATTTTTTCTCTCAGCTCCTAGATTTTTCCCAACTACACTTTTGGTACCAAACAATACTATCATGCAAGGGTTATCATTTGACATCCAAGCGCACATTGTAGCACAAGGCAGCGCCGAGAACAGGACGTTCAGAGTTAGACTGTACTGCGCGACTGTACTCCCGTCATTATGGGGTTGGCGTTCTATTACGGTAACTTTCCCCACTGCTCACCTTCTGATTCGTCGGCCTTTCGGTGTGGCTGGTTGGGGTGGAGGGACAGCTGGGCTCTCTTCGCTTGCTGAAATACGATTTTTGAGATTTTATTGTCTAATGATTTTTAGACATTTAAAATTTTTTTATGGGATTTAGAATCCTGAATACGTTCTAACCAAATTAGATAAAAAATATTTAAATTTTAGGTTTTAGACTTCAAAAACAAGCTCCGCCGAAAAAAAGAGCAATAGTTATACCGATATAAGTGACAAAGATTAGATCCACTCACTGCTCGTGGCTCAATAGAATTATTTGGTAGATTATGGCTTTGGGTCTGGGAATACAAAAAAGCGGCGGCGATCGCTGCCGGCCGGATTCGAACCCTCGACCTCTCGCTTACCGGGCGAACGCTCTACCGATGAGCTACACCGAGAGATTTCTCGTCGTCACCAGGGTAGAGTGTTATGCTTTACTTTTTTTGTCGATTTGTTTTCAGTACTTGCTGGTTGAAATCCCTTTCTTACTCACCCATCATTTGCCGTTGCACCAACTGTTTATATAATCCCTCTTGTTTAATCAATTCACTGTGTTTTCCCATTTGTTCGACGCGTCCCTTATTGATGACGACAATCTGAATGAAATAGACAACGTCGATAGGCTTACATCGTACTCTTTTTCTTGTACTCCTGTACTCAAACATTATCCAGCCTAAGGCAATGTGTTCATTGGCTTAGAATGGATAATGTTTCGATGTAACCTAATAGGAACTTGTCTCCCGTAGCTAATGCCATCAAAATCTTCTAGATCTTATAAGTATAGAAGAAGTTATGAGCAAAAGTACGATGTGCACCTATGCGCGTGTTAAAAAGCCTTTAACACGCCTTTAACAAGAAGCTGTTAACAAGTTTTCCAGACGGATTTCCACCTTGTCCGCATTTTCGACGGTACTCAAACGATGAGCGATCAGGATAACCGTTCGTCCTTTCAGATTTTTCGAGATAGCTTCTTGAACCTGAAAATCGGTGATTTGGTTAGAAATCGAAAAATTTGCATTCCAGGTTACTGTACTTTTGACTTACTGAGTGCTCGGATTCAGCATCAAGAGCTGATGTGGCCTCGTCGAGAAGAAGAACCACCGGATCACGCACAAGTGCACGGGCAATGGCAATCCGCTGCTTTTGACCACCTGAGATTGATATAAGACGAGCAATGTACTAGCTACAGTAACCCTACAGTAAAGTACTGTAGGCTGAGAAATTCTAAAAACCCCCATTGTACAGTGCCCAAATCTACCGTGTGCACAGTAAACATAGGCTTGGATAGAAGATAGAAGCGTAGATAGAAGTGCTGTGGATTGGGGTGCATTTTCGAATCCCCCTTTCCCCATTAGGCTAGAGAGTTTCCCCCAAAAAAACTTACCACTCATTTGACTTCCTTTCTCGCCGACATCCGTGTTGTAACCTAAATATTGCTTTTAGGGAAAAGATACCGTAATCAGCTAAATATCAGGATATAGAAGCATTTAAAGGCTCACCCTCATGCGTGTCCATGATGAATTGATGTGCGTTCGCGAGTTTTGCACTGTTTTGCACCATGTCCTCCGTGAAATAGTCCATTCCTGAGGAAATCTTGATAGTGAAGCTTGAAAGCTTTTTTTCGACCTACCGTATCCAATATTTTCGTAAACTGAGCGAGCGTAGAGGACGGGTTCTTGTCCGACGAGGGCCACCTGGAAAAGAAGCTCCGAGCTTTGCAATCATTTGTACATTGTTTAAAATCCCATTTATCCTTTTTTTAGTTTGCGGGGGGAAGTACGAATGGATCCAAAATTTGCATAAAATATATGGGCCGCCCCGCCCACCCTTTGTTTCTCCTGAGTCAGGTCGTTACGCTTCGAAAGAAAACCCAAATTAATCAATAAAAAACCTTGCAGTTTTCTTGTCGCTTCTTCTTTGCTCGCCGTAGACTGTAATCAATAAAAGACCTTTGAAAAATGCAGAAAACTACAGAAACGCTTAGAACATATATTAAGCATGTTTTATTATTGTCACCATATAAGATTTAGATTGATCTCGGACGTCCGATAGACTGTAATCTAAATCGGACGTCCGCGGTTCAATCTAGACGTCCGTTGTGATCTAAATCGGACGGATACGGACAACATATATAAATTTACCTTGTTGTGCAGATATTTATGGTCATATTGATTGATCGGGATCCCGTCAAGGAGCACTTCACCCTGGAAAATAACAAAACGTAACAAAACGTAAACCAAATCGTTTAAATGCAAATTTATATAGTTAATCGATAAATAACTAGATCTATTATCTACGTATATATTTTTTTAAAGAACCCTTACCGATGTCGGCTCATAGAAGTGCTCAAGCATGGCGATGCACGATGATTTTCCGCCACCTGTGCGAGAAAATCGGATAATTTTTGAATAGCTTTAGAGATAATCTAGCTAAGTATACGGTAGATATGTTAATTTACTTAGTTTTTAGAAATATACAATATAAATATCGATTTTTTATCGATTTTCACTCACCTGATGGCCCGACCAGGGCTACCACCTCTCCGGGTTCCGCTGTGAACGAGAGATCCTGGAAATTTGGGAAAACTTTATCTAAAACTATCGTAATCCTACAGAAATCCCCGAACTGGGTACTGTAGCGACTTTCAGATGTCTTATAGTGTCTTACTGTACTTTGGGGTACTCCAGTACCTTACAACCTTTAGAAAAATTCGGTGCGCAATTTGTTTGAAACTACCAGTTACTATTTAATTACGGTAATTTAGACGTCTTTTAGGAAATGGATTTGCCGAGCGGATATATCTATATCTAATCTTTATATCTAACAAGGGAAGATCAAGTGGCTGAGGCGGTCAAATGCTATGCGACCTATACCATTCGACGCAGAATTTTATGCTGATTCCGAATATGTATTCCGTTTTTGCTAAATAATAATCTATCAGGAATTATAAGCGTCTAAAATCTTGTTAGGAGTCGGAAAATGGGTCTAAGATCATTTGGGTCTTAGCGGCCTCCTTGCGGGCCGAATGGGATACAGCCATGGCCGAGTGGTACAGCATTCATTTCTAGAGCAAGTCCACACAAGTTCGATCCTCAGCTTGAACTTTTCTTTTGCTTTTTTCACCGAATTTGGTCCACAAGGACGCTAAGCTCCAAATGACCACATTTTCAGAGTCTTTGCAAAACTTTAGACGCTTATAACTCGTAGCAGATTGTCATTTGGCAAAAATGGGATACATATTCGGAATCAGCGGAAAATTGTGCGTTGGGTTGTATAGATCGAATAGCATAGCTCAGCCAGCCAGTAAATCTATCATTATCTCTAAATCCAACCTCCATAATAGGCAAATCCGGTCGAATCGGATAGCTGAAAGCGACGTTTCGGAACTCGATTCGACCTTTGATATTTGGTGGGCTTTGACCATCTGAAAGGAGTGAATAAATAAAAGAAATATATGTCGTGTTCGATTTGGATTGAAACAATCAAAAGCGCTAAAAGCGCTATGTTTTCCCCCGTTATCTTAAGTGTTTCTTCGTTTTTATAAATCTATAAAAGGCTAAGAAGAAAGTAGAATGGCATTAGTGAACACTTATATCTAATTTTTAAGATTTTTTGCGTATTTTCGGGTGAAGAAGCGCTTGATCTTCGATGAAATGTCACTTTTTTTTCGTTCTCCAGTTGGCCTAAATGCCGTAAAAAACACGTAAAAACGTGAAATGACAACAGTTTTGCTAAAAACTTAAATCAGAAAGATTCTAATGAAAATTTCATGAAAATCAACGAAACTTGATCAAAATCGGATGAAAAACTAAATCGGACACAACTGCTGGACATAATTTTAAGGAAATCTCTGTAAAAATGAACTTAAGCAGTAATGAAAGCCTCGAGAAACGTTTTTTTTAATTCGATAGTGCTGATTTCAAAGCTGGAAATCGTTTAAGAACGAATTTAAGCAAGATTTTTCTTTAGGAGTTGAAGGATTTGGTGAATGAGCGATGAATGAGCGAATTGAGCGAAAAAAAAGAGTAAAGATAAAGAAAGAGACCGAAAAAGACTCATTTCCTGTGTAAAATGACTCAATTCGACCATCCATTTACCGTTAAATCGATAGTTAAATCGATAGTTAAATCGATAGCGAAAAAAGCGCATAGTTTCTCAATTTCGCATAATTTCAGCGCAGGTTCTTAAAACTATGTCCAGCAATGTTTCGCATACTCTAGCCACTTACTGTGATTATTGCTGATGATCGGCTCTCGATCGATGAATTCGAAAACTTTCCGTGACGCACCGACGGCTTGCATTAAACCATTCCACACTTCGCCCAACTCCTTAGATAACATTTTCGACTTTAGTTTACTGAATTAAAAACAAACCCTCAAATTTTCACCCAATTGAAATTGATAGAGAAGGAAAGAGACAAGAAGACCTGATTCCACCTAAAATAATACCATTAGCCTTATAAAAAACAAAACTTTGATGCCAAACCTTTTTCTGAATGACAAGATGTCCACCATACCATAGAACAACCGTCAGGATGCCCATTTGAAGAAGCTAAATGGATTGCAGCTTTAGTTGAGCCTTAACTGAGCCTTAATTTAATTATTTTAAAGCTTAAAGCGTACTAAAATTGTAACAAAAACATCAAAAACATAAAATTTAGACTTTTAACGAAAACATTTGTCGACCTTTTTTCGAAAAACGATCTTTTTTACCGTTTGCCGTTTTTTTTGCTAACAATTTAAAGCTTTTCATCTTTTTCTTATCAACAATGCTTCGTTTTTGTCTATATTGATTATCATTTGATGGAGAATAAAGTTTCGGATCGAATTATATAAAAAACAACTTAAAATATTAGGTACATGCATAAGAAATGTGGATTTCAACATTTTCATAAATTTCCAACGATAGAAACCTGATATCGATGAATGTTATGAACTATTTGAAAGTTGTAAATCTCCTCTACAAAATAGGCTAAAACGTGTTTCAATTGATCGAAGCATTGAAGAAATTTCGAGGGCGAAATGCAAGTGACCAAAAGTGACCGTTCATAATAAGCGGGACTTGGACTTTTTGCCTCATAACTTTGCATGGATATTATATTTTGAGTTGATTTTGGTATCATTCGATGCACGATATTATTCTCTATTGAATTGTAGTCAAAATGGTTTAAATGGAAAGGTTTGCGCTGGGAAAAAACGAAAAACTTTAAATTGCCAGCAAAATAAACGGCAAACGGCAAAAAGATCAACAAAAAAGCGGCAAACGGGCAAAAGATCGATAAATGTTTTCGGTTAAAGGCTTAAATTAAAAATTAAAAGTAAATTTTCCCCAACCTCCGAACTCCAAATGAAAGCAATGACGGCGAAAGCTTTTTTCGTGCCAATTTGCAGGGTGATGTCAAGGAAACCGAGGAATCTAAAGCAAAACAAAACAAAATAAGATATTCAGCTATTCAAAACGAACCTCAATCCCTCGAATTTCTCGCAAGCAAAACTTTTGACAGTTCGAATGGCTGATAGCACTTCTTCGGCTACATCGTTCGCTTTCGCTGTGGCGTTCATTGAATCTTCCGATAATTTCTGTAAAATCAAAAAGTAATTTGGCAATTAATCCAGCCAAATTTCTCTTAGTTTCCTAAAAAAAACCTTTTTTTTCGTCAAACTACCGGAATTTTATCTATTTTTATCCAATCTATTCGGGAGTGGGACAAATGCGACCTTTTTTTGCGCACCCGGACATTTGCGCACCTATTTTTCCGCACCTTGCCCATTAGTGCACCTTTTTTCGCGTTTTAAAAAAGCTCTAAAAAGCTAATATTAACCATTTTCTATTCCAAAAGTTGTTTTTTCTAGGTAATTTTAGGGTGTAGAATCGAAATTTTGACATATCAGAGCTTGTGGAAGCAAACGAACGGAGTTATACAAAGAGCAAAATCAACAATTTTCTGTAATTTGACCTAGCCGTTTTGTCTTTCAAATTGGTTCCACAAGCTCTGTTATGTCAAAATTTCGATTCTACACGCTAAAATTACCTAGAAAAACAACTTTTAGAATAGAAATTGGTTAATATTAGCTTTTTAGAGCTTTTTTAAAACGCGAAAAAAGGTGCGCTAATGGACAAGGTGCGGAAAAAAACGTGCGCAAATCTCCGGGCGCGCAAAAAAAGATCGCATTTGTCCCACTCCCATCTATTCACTTTTTTATCTAACTTTTTTTAATCTAAATACTGTAATAGTACCCCACCCCCATAATGACGGTGCGGAGTGTTGCGTAGTCTAGCTTTGAACGAGGTTTTCTCAACACTGGTTTATGCTATAATGCGCGCTTAGGTATCAAAAAATAGCTGAAATTCAGGGCTATTTTTTGATACCTAAGCGCGCATTGTAGCATAAGCCAATGTCGAGAAAAACCCGTTCAAAGCTCGACTACACAACACTCCGCACCGTCATTATGGGGGTGGGGTACTATTAAAGTATTTATGGGAATTCTATGAGAATTCATAAAGGATATCGATGTCGAAAGATTAGATAAAAATAGAAAAGATTACGGTAGTTTGAGGGGAAAAGGAAACGTTTTAGAAAGAGAAAGTTTTTTTTACAGTTACCGTATTAAAAACCCACATCATAATAAACGCCGAAAACTTTTGAGAGCAAGAAAATGATTGGGATCGCGATTACGGTAATCATCTGAAAAGAAGACATTTTTTTTTCAATTCTCGGGCCTTTTATACCCGCTCGGCCCCTTTGCCATTCCCATAACTTTGAGCTCAAATTTCTTGGTGTTGAGCTGTTCAATTGAAATAGTTTTGTTATCATTAGATGCGCCAAGTCTTTCTCTGTCAATTGGTACAAAAACTATCAAAATTGGACAGCTCAACACCAAGAAATTTGAGCCCAAAGTTAGATTATCAAAAGGGGCGGAGCAAGAAAGATCTTTTATACACGCCCCGCCCCTTTGACATTGCCATAACTTTAAGCTCAAATTTCTCGGTGTTGAGTTGTCCAATTTTGATAGTTTTTGTACCAATCGATAGAGAAATACTTGGCGCATCTAATGATACCAAGAAGATTGAAATTGGACAGCTCAACACAAAGAAATTTGAGTTCAAAGTTAGATTGCTAATGGGAAAAGGGGTGTCCGATAGTCAATTTTTAGAGATTCTTTATAAAAATCACCGATAATCTCCACGAAAGAGTGAACATGAAGATCACCGAGCCGAACAACATGAAACAATTCCTGAGATAAAATGGATACTTTTTTTTGGATAAGTTCTTAAGATAATCTAGCTAGGTAGGTAAATTTACTTACTTTTTTAGAAATATCTGATATAAACGTACCGTAAATACTGTAATTGGACCCCACCCCCCTCGTACAGTCGCGTAGTCGCAAAAGTCGCAAAAGTTTTTTTAGTATTTCATTTTTTTTCAAAGCGCCCGTACTTTCAAAAAATACGTTTTTGGTATCAAAAAATAGCTGAAATTCAGGGCTATTTTTTGATATCTGAACGAGCATTGTAGCATAAACCAGTGTCGAGAAAAACTCGTTCAAAGCTAGACTACGCGATGCTCCGGTCGTCATTATAAAAGGATGACGAGAAAAATGCGTTTAAAGTTAGACTACGTGATGCTCAGTCTTTTGATATCAAAAAATAGCCCTGAATTTCAGCTATTTTTTGATACCAAAGCGCGCATTATAGCATAAATCAGTGTCGAGAAAAACTCGTTCAAAGCTCGGCTACGTAACACTCCGCATCGTCATTATGGGGGTGGGGTCCAATTACAGTATTTACGGTGGGTAAAAGTACAGTAATCTTTTAGAAAAATCACCTTGATAAGACATTAATATAAAGTGATAAAGTGTTGGACATTGTTTGGCAATCAGCTGTTAGACGAGAAACGATTTCACCTGGAAAAGTTCATCAAAATGACTGGGAAAGTGTTCTGAAAGGTTGATAAAGTTACAGTACCCTAATCGCTTAAAAATGTGTCCTAAAAGCCTCGGTATTCCTGTATACTTTTAAGTTTTCTATAGTACCCCAACTATCCACGTTTTCTTTAAAAGCTGAAAAAGCTAAAAGCTTTAAAAGCCACCGTATTCAGAGCGCTTTCTAAAAGAAGAAAAATAGCATGAAAGAAAGTACCATAAAAGAAAATAAGAAAATAAGGAAACTGGTCGTGAAAAAATAAGGCTTCACTCACTATCCTGTATCTCCAGCAGAACTGGTCTAGTTTTTGACTGAACCTGAGCCTTGACTAGCTTTAAAGAGAGATGACTGGGCTGCAAACTAGCCTTAGGTCCATGCAAACTAGCCTAGCCTGGCTTCTGACTTGGATTTAGACTGGATTGTGAATCGGCTTCTGACTTAGGCCTAAGTCTGGCCTTTGAATCAGCTCCTGGCTTAGACCTGGGCCTGACCTGTGAAACAGCTCTTGACTTAGACTTAGACTTATCCTTTTCTATGAACCGGCTTCTAGTCCATCCAGAAAACTAGAGATTCTGGTAGATCCAGAAAACCCTTGGATCTACCAGAAGCCAGGCCTTGACCTCATTTCCATCTTGATCCTAGGTTACAATAGTTTCCACATACCAGTTTTGTTTTGATCGAAAAAGCCGATCTCCTGTTTGACAATTGATCGGAAGAGATCGTTTCGGATCTGGAAAAAAAGATGGACAATAAATTTAGGATTTGTTGGGAGTTCCATTCCTTTTCCAGTATCCATATTATCCATTTTTGAAAAGCAACAGTTATAGACAAACTACCGTAATCTTGAGATCATTTGACGAGGGAAATAAGGCTCAGTTAATCATATCAAAATTTGGGTTAATCTAAATGAAAACTGGCGGGGCAGTTTGTCTGAAAGAAACGATCATTTGTCTCAAGATTTTGTCTCAAGATTACGTCTCAAGATTACGGTAGTTTGTCGGAAATAGAGTCGAAAACGGGGATGATTTCCGAACTGACTTGTCGATCGATTCTCGCTTGTGCATAGGTGAACATGCCACCACGGAAACCACCGAAAACGGCGCTGAAATTATTTCGGAATTTGATCTATTGTACGTAGACCTATTGTACGTAGGTCTATTGTACGTAGATCTATTGTACTTAGATCTATTGTACGTAGATCTATTGTACGTAGATCTATTGTACGTAGATCTATTGTACGTAGATCTATTGTACGTAGACCTATTGTACTTAGATCTATTGTACGTAGATCTATTGTACGTAGATCTATTGTACGTAGATCTATTGTACGTAGATCTATTGTACTTAGATCTATTGTACGTAGATCTATTGTACGTAGACCTATTGTACGTAGATCTATTGTACTTAGATCCATTGTACGAAACGTTTGCTTCTCTACCGTACCCGGAAAACGAGAGAATCGCCATGATGAGCACGGTTTTATGGAGTCGCTCGTAGCTGGCTTTTTCACCGAAAACCGCTGACACCACTTCACCGGTGTAATACGGGATGAAGACACGAGCTAGACAAAATCATAGATAGGCAATGCTACTAAATGACTGATTGAAGTTGTCCACCGTAATCCGTAGCTTTAGTTCTTAGTCATTCATAATACAGTAAGATAGGCAATGCCATTTGACTACTAAATGACAGATCGAAATGATTGGTAGCTGTTTTTGAGCAAATCAACTCTATTACCGTATCCATTGACTGTATCTTTTGTTTTTAAACGCACATAATGAGTAGAGTGACAAAAAGAAGAAAGCCATCATGTAGAAACGCCATTCTCTTTTCATGTAGCTCAACAAGCGGAATAGAATGCTCAAGGTTTCCCGTTGGGCAGCGGCTTTCGCGTTCTCTTCCTGAACAAAAGTCAATGTTCAAAAGCTGATAATCCCTGGAAGTATCCAGCTCCCCACAGCTTCACCAAACGATCAAAATGCCATATTTGGATTAGCCATATTTAGCCAAAATGCCATATTGGGATTCAAATCAAAAAATTCAAATCGAAAATTCGCCCGGCGGACTCGTACCCGGGCAAGAAGCCTACGGCTGGCTTTGTATCCAAGCACCTGATCCACTAAGCCACCAGCTTACCATAACGGCCAGCCGAGAAAAGCCTTTTAATCGAGCGAGATAAGCCTTTAAAGCCATATCAGAACGAGAAAATTTTGATTAAAAGGCTTTTCTCCCGCATCACGTAGGATGGGCTGGTGGTCTAGTGGATAAGGTGGTTGTCTGTTATCCACAAAACGAGTTATCCGTTTTTTGCTTGGGTTCGAGTCCTCGCCTGGCAAATTTCGATTTTGATCGAATTTGATCAGTTTGGCGATCGGCGGTGGCTAGCTAGGCTTCCTAATCAACTATTGTATGCCACAAGGATGACGGTAGCTAGCTCAAACTTCTCTGATTGTCGCTTCGAAGTCATTGTCTGAGAAGAGTGGCTCATTTCCATCGCCGGGCACTGTTTCACGGACTCGACACAGTACACTTTGCCAAATGAACTGAAAATTGATTTTTAGTCAAAAGAAAGAGGCTACCGATAAGTGTGGGCAGGCTAAATGGGTAACTGAACCGGGGTATTCCAGTTTGGCCACAATAAACTGCTCATCGTGTACCCTGCGCTCAGAAATGCATCCCTTCTAGCGCACTGAATTCCTCAACAATCACAGGAACTCTTCACGAGAAAAACTGAAGAATTCAGTGCACCAGAAGAGTTGTGTTTACGAGCGAAACGAGCAACGAATGTTTACGAGCTGAAAGTACATCCAACGACATTCCTTTACCTGAACGAAAAGCGAGGCAATCACACACCAGATCATCAGCACCCAATCACCGACAGCCAATCTGAAAATTGAAGTTGATTCATGGAGAATTCTGAGAGGCTGAGAGTTAAAAGATATCTCTATATCTTTTAAATATTTCTTCATTATTAAAATCTCCTTTTTTACTTCAATGATTCATCCTCGTAGAAAGCCAGCAATTTCGATGGGGAAAACGCCAAAATGAGAAGCATCATTGCGAAAACCTGATTGAGAGAAGAGAAGATATTAGATTTGTATTTGGATTGGCGCTGGCCTCACCCGACAATCGATAATATTTATTGTACTATTGTACTATCATACTATCTGGCTATTTGGCTATTTGGCTATAACGATCATTTTTCATGTCCATTCAATTTTTTAATCTTTTTTTTTTGTTTTTTACAGAAAGTTCTTAACTTACTACTAGTTTTCGAGAGATTCAGGGCTATCGAATGTCTACAATATTATCTTAATCTTCACCAAATTATCTAAAATAGTTAACGACTACGCGACTGTACGCCATCGTCCATGAATAAAGAAAGGCTATGAATGAATACTGGATTACAGCTGAATTAGAGCTGAACTAGAGCTGGATTACAGCTGGATTACAGTTGAATTACGATAGCTAACGAATACTTAAATATTCAAAGAAACGCACGACATTGGAGAACTTTGCAGCAGCTTGACTTCCGCCCTGTGGAACCGTCCAAACACCAACAGCGCCACCCAAAAGAATGCAATCACGGAGGAAAGCGACCGCCTAAAAAGAAAATGTTTCATAAAAAGAAAATGTTTTATAAAAAGAAAAATCTCATCACCACATCAACTAAAAATACAGCTAAAATCAAAATACAGTTGAAATTCGATATAACGAATCGCTCGAGACCGAAAATTTCGAGCTAATGAACCAAAAAAGTGCCTCAACTTTTCTGCGTAACTGCCCTGAACGGCCATGATGATTGCATTTGGCTTGGGCAGAAATTTTGAGCACTCTTTAGAATTTGAAAGTCGTTGCATCGAATTGTTGTTATTTTGTTTTATCGAATTGTTGTTATACTTTATAAAAAAATCACCAAAATTTCCTTATTTGGTGTCGCTTTTCGAATTGAAACGTACGAATTGAAACGTACGAATTGAAACGTACGAATTGAAACGTTCGAATTGAAACGTACGAATTGAAACGTACGAATTGAAACGTACGAATTGAAACGTACGAATTGAAACGTACGAATTGAAACGTACGAATTGAAACGTACGAATTGAAACGTACGAATTGAAACCTTCGAATTGAAACGTACGAATTGAAACGTACGAATTGAAACGTTCCAATTGAAACGTTCAATCGAATTCGAATTGAAACCGTTTTTACAATGAATCAAGACAAAATTCAAATTTTCTTTGAGTCTAAAAGAAACTGAAACCGAAGTTTTTTTAAACAAAGAGTACTAATTTTAAAAGAAATACTAATAGAGTTTTTAGCTTTTTGCGACTTCTTCGAATGAGTCCAAAAGTCCAAAAGTCCAAAAAATTCATTCAAATGATCGAACTTTAAATCTCTACAACTTTTTATAGAGGCAAGATTTTTGTTTACTTTTTATTGCGTTTATTAGTAAACGTTTTCATTTAACATTTTCCATTTTCAGATCAAATAAAGATAAAATAGAGATCAAATAAAGCTGAGATTCGATCTATTCAATCATCAAATCTATTCGATCAAACCCAACGGAACAAAGCAAAAACTAAACCCTTTAAAACCCACCAGAAAATCGACCGGATTCACGGTGAATTTGTAGTCGTGAAGATTGAACCAATGATAGATGTTATCAATTGTGAAATATTTCCCGTTCCACATTAAACCGAACCAGTTCACCTTTAAATTTCAATAGTCTTTATTTCAATCGTCTTTATTTCAATCGTCTTTAAATGTGCTCCCTTCAAAAGTTGAAACTAGAGCAGATCAAAAACTTGCGCGCCTCTGGGAGTCGAACCCGCGACCCCTCGCTCACAAGACAACCATGCTAACCATTACACCACTACGCACCTTGGTCTCCCTTTCTCCAGCGGGGGCTAAGTTTAAGCGCATTTCTTCTAGTGCACTTAAATCCTCATTTTCTCTCAGTACATTTCCTCGCAGAGAAAAATTAGAGACTTCAGTGCACCAGGAGGGGTGTGTTTACAAAATTTAGTTCAAAACTTACCGTAAAATCGAGAAGCACAAAGATGAGACATATCACCAAAGCTTGTCGTCCCGAATAGAAATCAGACATTTTTTTACCCAACTAAAAGCTTTTATTAGGTTAATTCATACCGTAAATACTGTAATAGTACCCCACTCCCCTCGTACAGTCGTGTAGTCGCAAAAGTTTTTTTAGTATTTCATTTTTTTCAAAGCGCCCGTACTTTCAAAAAATCCGCCTTTGGTATTCAAAAAATAGCTGAGATTCAGGGCTATTTTTTGATACCTAAGCGCGCATTGTAGTATAAATCAGTGTCGAGAAAAACTTGTTCAAAGCTAGACTACGCGATGCTCCGGCCATCATTATAAAAGGATGACGAGAAAAATGCGTTTAAAGTTAGACTACGTGATGCTCCGTCTTTTGATATCAAAAAATAGCCCTGAATTTCAGCTATTTTTTGATACCAAAGCGCGCATTATAGCATAAACCAGTGTCGAGAAAAACTCGTTCAAAGCTAGACTACGCAACGCTCCGCACCGTCCTTATGGGGGTGGGGTACTATTACAGTATTTACGGTAAGTCTTTCAACACTTTTTATAAATGAAAAATGCATCAATTCATTAATTCATCAATTCATCAAATAATTCATCAATTAACCAAAAATTGCCTCCATTAGAAAGGCCTATTATTTTTCTATAAAATCACGTTCGAATCTTATGAAAAGCTTTTGTCGATGCCTTTTTATGAGGGCACGTGTAGTTGGTTAGTCAAAAAAGGCCGACAATCCAATGTTTTAGGCAATTTAGCTCCTTTAGCTCACAGAAATCTATCTTGGTGTCGATAGATAAAAGATAGAGCGCAAAAAGTTTCGTATACAGTCGAATTTACACGATAATCTGTTCAACCGATTTCTTTGTAGAGCTTTTTTTTTGATTAAATTTTACGAAAAACTATTTTATGCACTCGAATTTGCTTGGAAAAGATCTAAAAGATCTAAGTTTTCTTAAAAAAAGATCGAAAAATTTATAATAAACTACTTTGAATTTTTAACGCCGGGAGAAAAAAGGTACTTTGGATCAATCTATTAGGTAAATGCATAAGAAATGCGGATTTCAACATTTTCATAAATTTCTAACGATAGAAACCCGATATCGATTAAATTATTTGAAAGTTGTAAATCTCCTCTACAAAATAGGCTAAAACGTGTTTCAATTGATCGAAGCATTGAAGAAATTTCGAGGGCGAAATGCGAGTGACCAAAAAAGGAATCGAGTCACTTTAGGGACAAGTTTAGTGTGGTCAAACCGCCTTAGGTTGTATCGCCGGAAACGATCAGACGACGATTAAATCAAGCTGGATTATATGCAAGAAGGCCTGCCCGTAAGCCTCTGATCAATTCTAAGCACCGAAAGCAGCGCCTTGATTTTGCACGGACCTACCGAAGTTGGACAATAAGTGATTGGGCGAAAGTGCTATTTACCGATGAGACAAAAATCAATTTATTTCACGCAGACGGAAACCATCTTATTCGGCGGCCGACTGGCCAACGGCCTAAAAAGGAATCGAGTCACTTTAGGGACAAGTTTAGTGTGGTCAAAATCGAGTTAGCTTCCCAAAATTGAGGATTTTAAAAAAGGATAACTAGGCCTGTGAGGCCAAGTTTAACCAAGAATTCTTGTCAAGATGGAAATTCTGAGTTAATGGAAAGCTTAGCAACTAGAATCGATTCAAAAAAAAGTAAATTTCTTGATCAAAAATATGAGTAGATTGTGTGCAAATCAGTGGCTAGTCGGTGAAGAAAAAAAAAGGAAAAGAAGAGAAAAAAGAAGAGAAAAATGAAGGCGATCTCATTAGAATTTTTCCCTTTTTCTTTCTTGAATCTTTTCTTCTGCTCTGGACAGACTCAAGGGAAAAACTGATAACAATTTGATATCTTTGAAAAAAGCAAAAGATGAAGAAAAAAGAGGAATAAAGAAGAAATTGAACTTAGAAAAGGAAGGATCGACTTTTTGTGGATTGGAAAATTCTAGAAGAAGAAGAAACGGGGCCTAGTCAAAATGGCCGTTCAAAACAGCGCTTATACAAAAATAATGTTAAATTGAAAAAGATTGCGATAAGATTTTTTAACTTCAATCGTTTTATACTTCTCGTAACAACTTGTAACTTTTGTTATATTTAATTTTTTATAATTTACATTTTACATAACGTTGAGGTTTAGATTTGGTTTAGATTTGGATGAGATTTGGTTGAGATTTGGTTGAGATTTGGTTTAGCTTTGGTTCAGATTGAGATCAGATTTGGTTGAGATTTGGTTCAGGTTTGGATGAGATTTGGATGAGATTTGGTTGAGATTTGGATGAGATTTGGTTGTTTGGTTGAGATTTGGATGAGATTTGGATGAGATTTGGTTGAGATTTGGTTCAGGTTTGGTTGAGATTTGGATCAGGTTTCCTTCAGATTTGGTTTCCTTCAGGTTTGGTTGAGATTTGGATCAGGTTTGGATCAGATTTGGATCAGATTTGGTTAAGATTTGGTTCCGGTTTCCTTCAGATTTGGTTCAGATTTGTTTGGCTTAAGCAAATTGCGCGTTTTTTAACAAACCAACGGATTATTTCATCATCAGAATCATGTTTTATGGGTCACTTTAAATAAAGAATGCGGTAAATTTTGTTTTTCATTGTCTTTAAAGAGTAGAAAGATCGTTGTAAGTGCAACGACTCTTCTATTCCTTCAGGCGATGTTGTTTCTGGAAAAAAATGGTTTCAATCTTCGATCTGTCACTGATTTCTCGTTCTTTTATATAGATTTATATTTTTTAAATCAATAATCATGAAATTTCTATGAAAATTATCAAAAAAAGCAAAAAAAGCAAAAAAAAAGTCGAAATTTGTGTATCACAAAGTGACCGCACCGGGGAGAAGAAGGAAAAAAAAATCTTTGAATTTTTCAAATCTTTCAAATCTTTCAATTCTTTCAAATCTTTCAAACCAAAGAAAATAATCAAAATTTATGTACAATATCAAATTTAATAACTCAATACTTCTTCGCGTTTATTTCCAATGTTCCCGTCGATGTCATGTTGCTTCTAACCGTCGAACAATCGACATCATTCGGGAAATGACAACTCCTGGAAAGTGTCATTGAAGTAAAGTTGATACTTTGAGCTCACTTGTAAACGCATTTCTTCTAGTGCACTGAATTCCTGTGAGGAATGAGGAATTCTCTGCGCCAGAAGGGGGTGTTTACAAGTGAGCACAAAGGACAAAAGAATGAGCCAACTATTTGATTGCAGAGTGCCGTATTTTCTCTAATAATAGTGCACCCTGAGCGTTGCCTAAATTCCTCGAAATCTCGAGAATCGCTTATGAGAACCTATCGATGTGTGGGTCGGAAAATGTAGCTGACGATGAGATCTTGACGATGATTAGAGTGTTGAGCTTCTGCAAAAGCTTGGAAACCATAAAATAGTCACCAACTCGGCTCGCCGGGGTGCACTACTATTAGAGAGAATACGGTATATGGTAATAACAGATTTAGTACCTAAAGTACTGTAAAGTATAGTAAAAGGTTTAGTCTAATGTACAGTAAAGTACAGTAAAGTACAGTAAAGTACAGTAATAGATTTAGTACCTAGCTAAGCTAGACTAGTATCCAATCTCGTTGATATCAGTGCCATTGATATTGCTAGAGTAGCATTGTAGAAGTAAGTCTAATAACTAATAGTAAGCTAATAAGTAAGCAGTAAGTAGTCAGTAAGTAGTCAGTAAGCAGTAAGTAAGCATTACCTAGTGTAAGTAGTCAGTAAGTAGCAAGTACTAAGTAAGCATTATCTTGCATTATCTAGTATCTATCTAGCTGAATCTTGTACAAGAAGCAGCACCCCAGAAAACCTGTCTGTAAACGCCTTTCTAACGCATTCTCTTTTTTGGTATTGTCACTTTTTTTGGCTTTTAGCTCTTGTAGGCATTTGTAAATACGTAAATTATAAATCTAGAACTTAAAGAATTACTTTAATGACTATCCGATCGCTTTAAATTCTTGTTATATTTAAATCATAAATCTAGAAAACCTACCGTAAATACTGTAATAGTACCCCACCTCCATAATGACGGTGCGGAGGGTTGCGTAGTCTAGCTTTGAACGAGTTTTTCTCGGCGCTGGTTTATGCTACAATGCTCACTTAGGTATCAAAAAATAGCTGAAATTCAGGACTATTTTTTGATACCAAAGACACATTTTTGAAAGTACGGGCGCTTTGAAAAAAAAAATGAAATACTAAAAAAATTTGCGACTACGTAACTGTACGAGGGGGGTGGGGTACTATTACAGTATTTACGGTAAGCTCTTTGCTGCTTTTTGAATAGTAATTGTTTAAGTTTAAAACTCGTGTTTTAAAGATTAAAATTTCTAGAATTACTTTCGATAGAATTGCTATTATAATTCTGTTCTAATTCTATTCTAATTCAATTCTAATTCAATCCTAATTCAATCCTAATTCAATCCTAATTCAATTCCAATCAAATTTTTAGTTTCTGTGTAAAGTATCGTAGTAAAGTGTTGAAAATCAGCTGTTAATTCTATCAAAAAAAAGTTTTGCGGAATGGTAAAGTCTTGACCGAGGTAGGGATTAGAGAAAAAGTGCCGATAAATCCCTTTAAATAAAACTGAAACTCACTTGACACTTGGTGGAGGAGCATCGGCACGATTCGAGGGATTACAGTGCACTTCCAATAAACCGTGTCGACCGATTACCTGGTTGAATTTGGCTCAATAAAATTGGCTTGCAAATCTTTCGCACACTCACCTTGATTTCTTTTGACGTGTATCCATTGACATCAAATGTCACTTGAAACGTGTTATCATCTTGAGAAATCTAGAAATTTCAATCTCAACTCAATTCAATTTCCCACCGTAATCTTGTCTTTTTTAAATCTTTTTTAATCTTTTAATCTTTTAAGATCCTTTAATAAAAAAACAATGAAAAAGTGATAGATTTGTTAAAAAATCGACAAGATTATAGACAAGATTTAAGAAAAAAGAAAACACTTAGTGTATGTTTTAGAAAAAGGATTAGTCTTTCCTTAAAGCTCACCCTCAAAACGCCGACATCATTCGCACGCGGTGGCTCGAATTTTTTCCCCTTATATCGCACCTCAATTGGCTCGATTTTGATGCTCATCACTGGAAAAATAAAAAAAATCACTTATTTGTGGCTTTTGTGGCAAGATTTGTGGTCAAGAAGTCAAGTCGTCAAAAAAAAGTTCGAGATGATGCAATTCAGGCACTTCAACCTACCGTAAATACTGTAATAGTACCCCACCCCCCTCGTACAGTCGCGTAGTCGCAAAAGTTTTTTAGTATTTCATTTTTTTTAAAGCTCCCGTACTTTCAAAAAATGTGTCTTTGGTATCAAAAAATAGTCCTGAATTTCAGCTATTTTTTGATACCTAAGCGTGCATTGTAGCATAAACCAGTGTCGAGAAAACCTCGTTCAAAGCTAGACTACGCAACACTCCGCACCGTCATTATGGGGGTGGGGCACTATTACAGTATTTACGGTAAGGAAACCGATTTTCGTGTCAATAGATAAAAGATAGAGCCCAAAGAAAAGTTTTGTATATAGGTAAATTTTCAGAGAAATTCATTCAGTCAATCACTTCGTAGAGATTTTAAAGGTTTTTGCTAAAAAAAAACCCCGGTGTTTTCACCGAATTTATTTTTAAGTGGAACAAAATTGACTGAAGAAGATGTATGAAGATGTTTTTGTGCCCAAATTTGCTTAAAAAGAAAGGAAATTGAACAAGAAACACTTTTTATTTAGAGAAAACTATCGGATAATTGGTTAATTTTTGACTTTTGATGAAAAAGAGCGAAAAAAACTTGTTTGTCAATATAATAAAAAGTGAAAAGTGCGAAATCTCGATCGAGAAAGCTACCGTACTCCGAGTACTGTCTTGAAAGCTCGACAGATGAGACGGATTACGGTAGCCTTGAGAAAATCGCTTATTTTTGAATTTGAGCCTTCGAAATCTACCTGCTAGCTACCGTAATTTCAAATTTTCAAAAACGGATACTTGTGCATTGATAGCGACAATCGAGAGCTCTGTTCATTGCGCAGAAGTGAGAAGAACGAGAAGAATGAGAAGAAAAAGCTCAGGAATTTGAAAGAAATCGCAAAATTTATAAATTTCCTAAGAAACCCAAGATGATCCTCAAAAGCAAAGCTGAAAACATGTTGACAAAGTAAAAATTTCGTGATTTCTCGAAAATGGTTATCATTTGAACAAAAACACGAGTGAAATTGAGGAGAAATTGAGGGATTTCAAGGGATTACTGAAAGAAAATGATCATCAAATCGCCGAAAAGTCCAAAAAGAAAAGAGTCAGTTTGTTTCACATTGAAAAAAGGGGACGTATATATACTGAAAGGAAGCAATTTTTGGGGGGAAAAGGCGACAATGAAAGAAATTGAACAGCTGACACAAGAGTGCTGATCATCTATGTTCAAGTAAAGTAAGAAAAGGGGGTCGAGAAAAACATTTCGAGGATTCATTTGAGGTCAGAGAGAGGGAGAGTGTGTCTGCTGTCGCTCGCTCCCTTTTGTTGTTGTCAAACACCCACGCGGCAACAGTTCAAAGATGTATGAAGGTAATTTTTTTAAAGGGACCATTTGGTCATAAGTTAAATCTATATTCTATAATCTCTTCAATTCAATCTTTTTTTCTCAATAACTTTTTTGACTCATTTTAATTACCAAAGTGATCCAATGCTCATCGTCTGGCTGACCAATGCTCATCGTATGGCTGACTGCTCATCGTGCAATTTCACTTCAGCGTCTCGGCTGGAAATCCCAAAATCGATAACGAAACGAAGAATTTCCATGAAATTCGTAATAAGAAAATTCTGGAAAGATTGGCTTTTCGCAAAAAAATTCAACACACTTGCTTACCAATCAATGAGAAAGGCCCAACTCTTTGAATGTTTCACTCTAAATGTCCCAAAAGTTGTTCATATTCAGAAATCCTTGGTGAAAACGAGCAAAAACCACAATCAAAGATAACTGTTTTGTAATATTTAAAGAATTCAATTCAATTTGTCTGTTCTTGAGACAGAAACGCAAAGGAAATTTAAATGACGAAGCTGTCTTGGGAGAAACAAAATCCATGTCTTTTGTTTCTTCCAATCCGTTTGATGATATCTCAAGCATTTTGCAAAAAAGAATTTTGTCGAAAAGTTTTGAATATTCTTGATCGATTGACATTTCCGTAAAGCCGTCTTTTTGCATTGCAAACTCGGTTTTAAAAAAGTTTACCAATTTCAACTGTAATTGCCCTGAGTTCTCTTTGATCAGAGTTTTCCCAATAAATAATTTTAACTAGTGGATTTTTTTTCGGAAATGGCCCATGAAATAGAGTAGTCAAACGGAGATCGCGAGTCACTCGTAAAAGTTTCAGTGATTCGTCGATGTCTCTGGGATGAATGATGCGACTCTTGGTTGCTCACTAATTGTCTTGCTATTGGGCTGGGTTTCCCAAAGTTCAAAACGTTGACAACTTTCTTGAAACCATTAGCAAAGTGCAATTATCCTCAAAGTTCCCATTTTCTGCAGAACAGTAGCATACAACAGTGCAGTAAGTACACAAACATATCTACTTTGGTAGTAGTGAAAACATGTAGCTTGACATACATTATTTTCCTTGGTACGAATTCGTTAAGATGTTTTCTGAACACAAATCTTCATTAATCCACTTTATTTGCAACGCACTTCACACGAGTAAATCTGGGTTTCAAAAGGAACAATGAGATCACAAAACCCATTAAAAGTCGTGCAATGTCTAGCTGATATCCAACAAATGCAACAACAAAAACAAGGAAGCATCATTGGAGTGCATAATAACGACTATAACAAATCTCAGAGATCACTGAAATGCCATAGGGTCAACAACAATAGGCTTATTAATCGTGAAAAAGGGGGCGCGTTGTGGTTTGTCGAGATCTGTTTCATCGGCAAAACCTAACATGTTTTTAAACGAGATCAAGACAAACCTTTTAAAGGGATTAATCACATAAACTGAAACAAGAAAAACAAAAATTACAAAAAGCTGACTTGATAGTCGGAAGTTAACAACGAAAAACTAAAAAAACTTGAAGAGCAATCTTTGGCCCACATCTCAATTGCCCCATTGACCGCCTGATGATCGAGCAAATCCACTGAATTGTTGCTGACGCGGTGGTTGTTCCGCCGACCGCAGACCAAAGGAGTTGCCAAAACCTAAAATGGGCTGCTATTTAATGCCTCAAGATGTCAGACAAACCAGAGCAAGAATCCCTATGTCTGTTCATCGGTTGGAAAGATGATGGACCCCCGACAGTTGGTTGATAGCTTGATGGTCCTCGAGTGAATGTCATCGGTGCTGCGCGACCAGAGAAGCCACCATTTGATCCACCAAAGCCTTGTCCTCCGCCCGATCCACCGAATCCACCACTGCCAGAGTTGAAACCAGCCGGGCTCGAGAAATTGCGGGGACCAAAGCGACCACTAAACAATTTTAACTCTATAAGCACATCAAAGCCTAACCCCCTTCCACTGCCTGCACGTTTCATCACTGGACCGCTTGCAATCTGAATGAGCCAGGTGGGAACTTCCTGCTTGGCTTCGACCAAAATATTGTGAATTCCGTGTGCTAGCGAAGTATTCTAAACGAAAGCTGGACCCTCGAGACCAAATCAAGATTTCAACCTTGTCATTGAAGAAAGAAGTAGCAGCTCCAAGATTACCAGCACGTCCCGTTCGGCCGATTCCTGAATGAAGAAAGGTGTTTAAAAGAATCAACTCCAATTACTCACTGTGAACATACTCGTCAATGCAGGTAGGAATGTCAAAGTTGATCACATGGCGCACATCTGGAATGTCCAATCCTCTTGCAGCGACAGCTGTTGCAACCTGCAAGAAAATTTATGAATGAACCGTGTCGAAAATCTTTAACTATCTAGCCATCAATAACTAACCATAATGGGATAGCTTCCATTCTTGAAAAATGAGAGATTTCGCTCGCGTTCAAATTGGTTGAGATCACCGTGGATTGATACAGCACGAGCACCCAAATGAATCAGATGATAAGCAAGATCTAAATGAATAGATAGGTGTGAGCGTTTTGTAAAACACACCCGAGGCTCCTCTCTTCGTTTCAACAAAGATCAACACAAGACCGTTACCTAAACACCAGTAAGAATGAATCGGAAACAATAATCGCCTACGGCTTTGTTGCAAGATCTCGAAAAGCTTGTTCCTCTTCTCGTGTTCTTCAACCCAGAGTACGTCCTGTTTAATGTTTTCGGTAGTCGATCCGACACGTCCAACGGTGATGAAAATATAGTCTGGACGCAGAAAATCCCTCGCCAGAGCCTAAAGCAAAATTGAGTTGCACTTTACGAGCTGATTTTCCACCTGAATCTCAGACGGGAAAGTAGCTGAAAACATTGCAGTTGTGCGTTTGTCCTTTGGTCGAAGCCCCAACGAATCGATCTGCCTAAACATGACAAAATAGACTACCTTACATATTCCACATCATCTACATATTCTTACATCTTATATACAAAATAGACGATCAAACTAGACTAAGAAGCTTTTTTGCGCGTCCCTTAGTCAGTCTATGCCATAACATTGGAGATAATCGTACACTCTTGGAAATATACCTAATTTGTGGCTCGAAACCCATATCCAGCATCCGATCAGCCTCATCCAGAACAAAAAAGCGCACTTCGCTGAGATCGAGGTAACCTTGTTGCACCACATCGATGAGACGTCCAGGAGTGGCGATTAGAAGATTGCATCCATGCTAAATGTAAGCCATTATAAATCATTGCTTGAATCTTTACTTGGAGACGACTGATCTGCTCCCGATAGTTCTCGCGTCCACCATACAGTAGAGCAGCAGTTAACCTGGTTGCATGGCTGAACTTGCAAGATTCCTTGTAGATCTAAAAATAAAATATTCCAAGCCTTAAATCTTGGCAAACCTGCATTGCCAGTTCACGCGTTGGAGCCAAGATTAATCCCACAGGTCGTTGACAGCGACGGTTGTTGAGGTAAGATAGCTAAACATCTTACCATTGACTGGTTCACCGCGTTGTCCAACCTGCGGAAGCTTCTCGACACCGCGCGAAAGAAACTTGTCGATCATTGGCACGAGAAATGCAGCCGTTTTTCCAGAACCAGTTTGAGCACACGACATCAGATCTCTTCCAGCGAGTAGAATTGGAATCGAATACTTCTGTACCGGTGTCGGTTTCGTGTAGCCGGAACGTTGAATGTTTTGCCTCACCAAATCGCTTACTTTCGCATCATCAAACTAAATTACAAAGATTAAAGCTGTTTAGATTAGAGAATCGTTGGTGACTGCTTCTAGAAACTAAAAGGGTATTGTACAAAACATTGGAAACGAGTAAACTATAAAGCGACCACTCAAATCTAGTACCCTCGTCGAAGCTCATCACTATGCAGAAATTTTCGACATGTTAAGTTAATTTAATGGCAAACTTATAACTCAAGAAGACTAGCCTAATCTTTAGACCAAATAAAGAAAAACCTCACCGTTTCCATTACAGGCGGGACATCGCTACCCTTAACGTTCACCGGGATTTCCTGGTACTTGTCGAAGTTGATACCGCTGCTTCCAGAAGCAAAGAGCTCGCTCTCAGGAATGTTCGCGCTAAAGCCGGACATACCTGAAACAATGAATGTGGAAATTGAGTCGAGAAAGAGAAGAAACGAAAGTCTGAAAATAAAAAAAATGGTTAGCCAGGAAACACCACTAAACTTTAGTGTGGACGGTCTTAGCCTTGATATTTGTTGTTATTTTAAGCGTTCGTAAACGGGGAAACACTTCTACAGGCAACAAATTATCAAAGTGGGAGCGCAAGGACTGCAAAGTGAACCGGAAAAGAATTTCAAAAATGTGAAAATGGTTTTCTGACGAATCGCGAACCAAAATTACCTCAGAAGAATTGAAATTTCTGCTGGCTAACTGAATATCTTTTCTGTGTAATACTTAATTGACTATTTAACTCTAGCACACGTTTCTTGGCTTTTTGTTCTGTGTCATACGTGTTGCACAGAATAATTTTTTGAAAGTTTATTGAGCGCTCATAACCATAAAATTGCAAAAAATAAAGAATCAAGATGAAAACAAACGAATGAGCAAAGTATAAATCACAACTGCAATAACACTGAAAAAAGCTTAATTGACGGTTCGAGATCTCAACGGACTATCTATTTCTGGTGGTTTAATATCCAGATCTTTTTGCTTCGCTCGTTCTTCTTCTGCATTTGCCAGCGCTTTCATTATGAACATATTGAAATTATGCACATAATCCTTCAGTGACGTGTGATTATAACCTAAATTGGTACTAAATAATGCACAACGGCAAACCGTTACCCAAAATCCGTCGATTTTCTGCCGAGTTTTGTCCATTCTCTCGCAGCTGTTTCAAAAGTTGACTAAATGAAAAAGTTTTCTTTTATAATTTCTTAACTTACTCTACTCGTGGAGCTTGTGTGACGTCAAACTCGTGAATCTTCTTTGGGTTCAATGGAACGGCAATATTTCCAGTTGCCGGGTGCACACAGAAGGGCGATTTCAGTAGATGGTTCATTCCTAAAATCATCTTTGATAAGAAAAGTTAAAAGACAATTCACCTGTAGATACATTCACATCAAGCCGAGGGTAGCAATGGTAGAGAACAAACCACTTCAAAAAGTTTTCACATGTTGCTGGAGGTGGCTAAAAAATTTCACTAAAATTGTTCAGCTCTAAGTTCTAAAAACTTTACATCTATCGATGCGCCCGTTTTCGCATTATGTGCCACGCGCGTTTCCTCATCAAACTTCTTTAACAAATAATCCCAGCGTTCCGAATCTTTTCTAAATAATAAAAAGTTCAAATAACTAATAGGAAAATACATTTTTTACATACAGTTTAAAAGACTTTGTGATTTGTCCAACAACTTCTTCATCTTCGATCTGCTGTAGTAGAAAATCCAGTCTTGAATCACTCAACCATTGTTGCTCAAAGAGCTAAAGGAGCATTTGGTAAAAAATTATCTGTAAAACCCTCACCAAACTCTGAAAAAGCTCGCTTTGCAGAGCACATTTGTAGGCAAAGTTGACCATTGGATGCAGAATTTGAGATCGAACTTTCTTGCCGCCAAAGTTCACATTCATTTTATCACCCTAAACGTGATATACCGTCAAAAAAACCAAACAAAACAAAAAAATATATAATACTTACCGAAAAAAGCGATAAGTATTCAGCAACGGCTTGTCTTTGACTATTATTCAATTGACGAGCCTTAACACAAAAGATATATTAGAAATTTAATGTAAACTCCTGATCACCTGAACATCCCCAATCCAACAATGCACACCACGTCGACCGGAAAACACCCACATTCGCGCCACAAATCCAAAATCCTCTAAATCTTGACATCAAAACAAATAAAAGCACAATCTAACCCTCCAAAATTTTATCCAAAATGTTCACAGCTAAAGCTATAAACTTCCAACATTTTGCGCAAACAGTCGCTTTTCTGAACAGATCGATAAACGGAATTTCTATGTCCAACTCACGTGCAACAGGTGCGAACATTTCCGTAATCGGTCAAATCGATATCGAGAACAAATTCTCGTTCTACCGGCTTAAAATCCGAATGCTTCTTGTTTTCTTTTGGCTAAAAATGTTAATTAAATTGTTTTTCAATTAAATTCTTACTGGATGTGAATAAATCGCTCCGAGATCAAGTTTGTGTGGAGCCATTTTGATAAGATCCTTCTCGAAATCGGCTTCATTTTGAAAGCTTCGATACCTAAAGGCAAGAATGAATCTGGAAAGCACTCAATTATAGCTTATAGCTTAAAGTTTTTACCAAATCTAGTTCTCTATTACCTCAAATGCGTGTCTCCTTCTAGAATGAAAGCAAATTCTCGAAGTGCAAACTTCTCGGAGGGTTCTAAAGCATTAAATTAAACATTTAAACACATTATTTAGAGCAATTACATAAATTTTTCTAAATCTTCTAAAGCAATGTTCCTCAATTTATTATTTTACAATTTATTTAGCTATTAAAAGTTAAGTATAGCTTACTTTCTCCATAACATAGCCATTTTGTATAAGATTTGAAGGGAAAGATCGTCCTGTAGTATTCCCTTAGCCACGCCTCCAAATTCGATGGTTCAAAAGCCGATGCTGACATTTCTGAAATATAGAAATTCGTTTCAAAACATTAAAACAAAGAGGGAAACAGTTCAATATTACAAATTTCATAACAAAAAGCGGTTAGCCACTGCGTTTAACAATATTATCAGGCAAAACAGGCAAAAACAAGATTGCTCATTTCATTGCTAATATTATTATTTAACAAAATTTTAGATTAAGTTACAGTTTGGGTTTTCTAAACCAAAAATCTGCAGAGAATCAAATATTTCAAAAAAGCGGCAACGTTTTTTGCTTGATTACGGTCGTCTTTCCCAACTTTTCTGATTGTTAGAGATTTTTCCAAGGCTAGTAGAGGGAAAGAAAGTGGCGCTATAACTAAAACTAAATTCAGAAATTTACTGTGAATACTCTTTGAGTTCTTGATAAATTCCATTAAAAAGGGTTGCCACGCAGCTCCGCGCGACTTTGAAATTTCGTGGCAGCCCCTTTTCATTGCAAATGGTGAAAGAAACGAAAAAATATTTAGTGTAAAAGTTGCAAAAAATTAAATAAAGTCATAACTATTGCATTGTTTGGGGGTGGGACAAATGCGACCTTTTTTTTGCGCACCTGGACATTTGCGCACCTTTTTTTTGCTGGAAAAGGCCTTAGGCAAGGCCGTAGAGCTTCGAAAATATTTCCATATAAGGGAATCGTATGCGTAGATTCCGAATTTCGACAAATCAGACCTCGCTGACACGTCAAATTTGGGCTAAAAGGCAAAAACTACGCAACTTAACGCTTTTCCGCAGTCAGCGAGGTCTGATTTGTCGAAATTCGGAATCTACGCATACGATTCCCTTCCGTGAAAACATTTTTGAAGCTCTACGACCTTTCCTAAGGCCTTTTCCAGCAAAAAAAAAGCTCGCATTTGTCCAGTTGTTTGATAAAAGCTATCATCTTCGATTGTCTATTATTTAAAAAGCGTAGATTTATTCGATAATCTTGGTAAAGCTCTGCACAAAATGAACATAAAATCGGCAAAAATCACAACTTTTTGTATAAATTTTGATCCCAACTAAAAAAGGGCTCAAAATAAATGCAAACTCTTCTCTTTTTTTAGATGCATTTTAAATATTGAAGATCATGTAATTTAAGTGGTTTAAACTTTGGAAAAGTTACCGTAATCTTTTGCGTAAAGCTATTCAGCTGTTTAGATTAAGGTAACTTGAGGCAATTTGCGAGTAATATACCGTATTTACTCGAATGTAAGCCGAGGTTTATATTTTTCGATTGGCTTCTAGATACGGCTTATATTTCTCGATTGGCTTCTAGATACGGCTTATATTTTTCGATTAGCTTCTAGATACGGCTTACATTCGAGTAAATACGGTATTTTAAGCAAAGAAGTAGGAAGATTTAAATCCTAAAAGACACTTCGCAAAAGTAAGCTATCACAAAAGAAAATATCAATTACAGTTGTGAAAAAAAATAACGATAACTTTCTTTTAGAAAGTTTCCGTTTCGTTTTCTAAAAGGTGGGCTCGTAGGAAGCTCGTAGTCCGGCTTACTGCTTAGTTTGCTTACTGCTTACTGCTTTATATGATAGATTCTGATGCGTTTTCTAAAACGACAACGTTTTTTTGGCTTGGTTACGATCATCTTTCCCAACTTTTCTAATTGCTAGAGGGTTTCAAGGCTAGTAGATTAGCCATCTAAAAGATCTAAAATCTTTAGATCTAAAATCTAAAAGATGGCTAATTCTGAAGCTATTTAAAAGAAAGATTACATTAGTTTTCCAAATTGTCCACTTTTTAGGAGACGCAAGATATTCAGTTTAACATAAAGTCACCATAATTCAGCAACTTTTCTAACAGTTTTTTAACAACTTTAACAGTTTTAACAGTTTACGGTAAGCCGCCAGATAAAAGCCGGGATACGATAGCTTGCGCACCTTTTAGAAAACTCTAATCAATAGAACACAAGAGATATTTGTGTAATTTTCAAAAAAAAAAAACAAAAGATCAAAAGGGTTTTCAAAAAGTGAAAATTATTATATGAAAGGTTTTATTCAACCGGCGCTCCCGTATCAAAAATCACTCGACCACTCGCCGTTTCTTCTTGTTTTCCCCGTTTGATTACATCAATTTTTGTCGGCTCAGGTGTTGGATTCTCTTCTTGAGGCATTTCGAGAATACATGTTTCCTAAATAAAATCATGAGCTTAGATTACGAGAAGAAATCTTCTCTGTCCGACAGAAACTTCTCTGACAGAAAAAGTACGATAGCTTTCGGAAAGTTGGACAGGCTTTAGAAAACTAATGAATATAGGCTTGGAATTACGGTAGGATTACGGTAGGATTACAGTAGGATTACAGTAGGATTACGGGAGGATTACAGTGGGATTACAGTAGGATTACGGGAGGATTACAGTAGGATTACGGGAGGATTACAGTGGGATTACAGTAGAATTACAGTAGGATTACAGTAGGATTACGGTAGGATTACGGTAGAATTACAGTAGGATTACAGTAGGATTACGGTAGGATTACGGTAGGATTACGGTAGGATTACAGTTGGATTACGGGAGGATTACAGTAGGATTACAGTAGGATTACGGTAGGATTACGGGAGGATTACAGTAATTAGAGCGTAATAAGCGGGTAACTGAGCCGAGTATTCCAGTTTGTCCACAATTTCTTCTTCGATTCATACTTTGTGCTTAGAAGCACACCCTTTTGGGGCACTGAATTCTTTCTTTTTCTCACAGGTTTCGTGTCATGAGAATGGAGAATTTACTCTAGAATTCAGTACTCTAGAAAGGTTGTGTTTAAAAGGTTTAACACAAAGTACACCAAAAACAGCTAGTTTTCTTTTACAAATCTCACCGAAAAAGATGGTTGAATCGTCAACGAATGGACTCCATTTCGATGGAAGAGTCTCCGAATTTTCGATGCCGCCTGGAAGCATTTGCATTGTACTATTGTACAATAAAACTGTACAATTCATTTGTACTCTTATACGATAAAACTGTACAATTCTTTGTACTTATTTCTGTTAGCTGTTCTCTTTACCTGATCAAATGCTAAAACCGAGCAAAACTCGATCTCAGCTGTCGCAATGTGCCGATTCCCGACGAGAGTCCAAATATCGAGCGATATACAAGCCGAGACCCCGCTGATCTAAAAAATAAAAGAAATTTTGTAAACTCTGAGCTTCTTTTGTATCCATTTGCAACTGCAAAACAGAAGCTACAACTGCAATTTTGTTTACAAACCTTTGTTATATCATTTTTAAGCTCATCGATCTCAAGAAATTGTGGCGGTCGTCGCATGATGATATCAGCTGTTTGAGCGACCAAATTGTACGCCGAAAAGCAAATTATACCGACGAGGGCTAAGCTAAACATGGGAAATTGGATTATCATCTTTCAAATAATGTTTTGAACAATTTTTTTGGTTGATTTTTACAGGGGAAGTTATGATTGCCATCGGTTGATAATCTACTATAAATCTACTAGTTTTCAGCTGCGTTTTCAGCTGCTGGTTCTCTTTCTATTGCGTATAGAATTTTATGTCTCTTTTCAAAGTGAATATTAAAAGATTGTGCATAAAGATATTAGTGTAAAAATGATCGATTCTTGTTTGCAAAGGAAAAACTTTGGTCGCGAGAGGATCCGAACCAGGGGGGATAGGGTTTCAAGGCGAGCACACTACCGACTAGGCCACCACGTTATCTGATGAGGCGGCGAAGGAAAGGGTTATATCACCGAGCAGAGAAAAAGGGTTATATCAGCTCGGAAAATTTTCAAACGTATTTTACATGGGTTAAAGCGCTTATTGGAATGGTTTTAAAACTGGGTTTTGCTCAGAATTTTGCGTAGAATCCGATGCTTTAGATTTCGTAGCTTAACTCGATGCTAAAACTTAAGCTAAAACAGTTCCCTAATAAGATTACGATAATTTGAGAGAGAACGTGTCCTTTTAACGTGCCTTTTAGAGAACAGATTGGATCTAGCCAGCTTTCAAAGAGCTCTGGATCTAGCCAGCTTTCAAAGAGCTATGGATCTAGCCAGCTTTCAAATCTCACCTCAAAACCGGATCCAAATACTGGCTGACGACGCCAAGTTGTTCTTTGAAGAAATACGAGCAGGCAGCGGTGATAATCACAAAAATCGAGCCAAGTGCATCAGCCATTATATGCAAAAGAACGCCTCGCATATTCAAATTCTCGACCGCTAAAAGTTGATTTTAAAAAGTATCAGAAAGCAAAACTCTTTCCCCCAAACCTTTTTGCTCTTTCCTTTCCTTTTTCACCTCAACTTCTCCATCATCTTCATCATCTTCCGGTTCTTCAGGCATTCCCACCAAACGAAGCGCCAAATGCTAAAGAAATTTCGAAGATATATGAATGGATTAATTTTTTAAAAATCTTGCAATCGCAAAGGAAAATCAATTTCATATTTACGTAATTCTCGATGGTTTCCGTGTCGATTGGGCAACAATAATGCACTGATGCCTAATTTTTGATTGCTGTTTCAAAATTTGGGGAATCTTTTAGCTAGAGGTGGATTTGGGTATTCGAATGTGGACACGATTTAGAAAACCGAGATGAAGAGAGAAGGGAGACAATCTCAATGGAGTGAGTCAAGACTACTGTAGCCGATCTAGAGTTGTCTAGAGCTGTCTAGGGTTGTCTAGAGCTGTCTAGGGTTGTCTAGGGCTGTCTAGGGTCGATCTAGAGCTGTCTAGGGTTGTCTAGGGCTCTCTAGGGTTGTCTAGGGCTGTCTAGGGTCGATCTAGGGTTGTCTAGGGCAGTCTAGGGTCGATCTAGGGTGAGATTACGGTAGCTAAGGGGTAACTTATAGACAAAAGGTAGATGATAGGTCAGCAGGTCCGAAGAGTACTGTAACTGTAGCACTAGATTCAGTAGAACAGATCTATCTGTAACTTGTACTGCTGAGAGTACGGTTGCTAGGAAACAACTTATCGATTAAAGTACAGCAGGGTAGAAGCCTGAGATACTCTAACTGTAATAATGTAAGTCTGAAGAGTACTGTAGCTACTGTAACTACAATGACTTACATTATGCGAAACGCCGGTGCTCAATTGTGATATTTGTGAGATGGCTCTCTCACTTCTCACCCTCGGCGGCGGAAGATCGGAATCTTCCAATGAAGGTCCATTCCTGAAATCTTCAAATAAACAATTGAATATCTTTTTCCGCTAACAAAATCTAGGCAGGGTTAGGGCAAAACTAAATTTCCTGGCTTTTTTTGTTATTTTACCATGTTTTATTGTATGGGAAACGGGCTTTCGGAAGTGGAACACGGCATTCACTTCTATATTTTTTTGAAGTAAAACTTTGATATTGGTATTGATCTGTCAAATATTATATAGAACGAAGATCTCATAACTAGCTGCTAGGTTCCAGTAACCAGGGTCAGGCTCTGGGCAAGGTCATTAGCTAAGATCAGGCCTAGATCCCGGCCCAAGCCAGGTCAGGCTAGTAATCTGGACAAGGTTGAGACAACCAGGCTTAGGCCAGAGCAGGTACAAGTCAGTAACTAGATCCAGGTCTAGACCAGTAGACTTAAAATAGTCCGGGTCCAGTTTAGTAACCAGATCCAGGTGATTTTAATAGCCAGATCCAGATTCAAGGCAGTAACCAGATCCAGATCCAGGTCCAGATCCAGATCCAGGTCCAGATCCAGGTCCGGATCTAGATCCAGAACCAGATCCAGGTCCAGATCCAGATCCAGGTCCAGGTCCAGATCCAGGTCCAGATCCAGGTCCGGATCTAGATCCAGAACCAGATCCAGGTCCAGATCCAGATCCAGGTCCAGGTCCAGATCAAGATCCAGGTCCGGAGCTAGATCCAGAACCAGATCCAGGTCCAGAACCAGATCCAGAACCAGATCCAGGCCCAGGTCCAGATCAAGATCCAGGTCCAGATCCAGGCCCAGATCCAGGTCCGGATCTAGATCCAGAACGAGATCCAGGTCCAGATCCAGATCCAGGTCCAGGTCCAGATCAAGATCCAGGTTCAGATCCAGGTGCAGATCAGCTCCAAAATTTCCCCAACTTACACTTTTCTCGGTGATTCGGTCTTTTTCCCATTGCTCATATTATGTTCTTCTTCTTTTCCATTTTCATGTGAATGTCCATTTCCTCCATGTGAATGCCCATGTCCGCCACCAGCGTGTGAATGCCCGTGACCTAAACGAAATGAAAATGAAATGAAATCAAAGATGTTTTCACCTCCATGGAACATTCCGATCCCTACCGCATTGATCAACAAACCGATCACTCCGACGACCAGCACCTGAAATGTGAGTCTGAAGGAACTAGATCAATACCTGAAGGATCTGGAATTAGATCTAGATTTGTAAGCCAGTCAAAAACAATAGAAGCTAAGGGTCAGACCTAGATTCCAGGCCAAGCCTGAACTCCAGAAGTAGAAGCCAGGCCACGCCAGCTTCAAACCAAAGTTGATAGAAGCCAGGCCCAGACCTAGACCTAGACTCTGGTCCAAGCCAAGCCAGGTCAGCCAAGCCAGCTAGATCAAACGAAATCTAGATCAAGCAAGCCAGGTCCAGACCAGGCTAGGATCTGGAACGAGCTGGAATCAAGTCTGGACCCAAATCAGCTTGAGTTTAGATTGATTCTGATCCTTGCCTGGCCTATCCTGACTGATTTGCATTCACTTACCGTCAATGGTTGACTCATCGGCAAAGGGTTAAGTATTCTGCCAAAAGCCTCTAGGGAAATCGTGAAACACATCGATAGTAGAAAGACACCGTTTGCAAGAGCGCCCAATACCTGAGAATGATTTGTTTTTCTTAAGATCAAATCTCTTACCTCAGCTCTCACCCATCCAAAACCATTCTTCTTGCTTTTTCGTCGTGATATCTAAATGATTAGTTGAATGTTGAATGAAATCCAGTACTCAAATTACAGTACTGGTACTTGTCCTAGTTTTGGCCTAGTATTGTATTCTAGGTCAGGACTAGGACCCTGGTATTCTAGGCCAGTACTTGGACCCTGGTATTCTAGGCCAGGACTAGGACCCTAGTATTCTAGGCTTTTATCAATGATAGGACTTTAGAAAGTACTGTTACCTTTTCAAACCTGTAAACGCACCTTTCTGGTGCACTGAATTCTTTCTTTTTATCGTGATATCTGTGAAAAATGAAGAATGCAGTGCTCCAGAAGGAATGCGTTTACAGGTTTGAACAGGTAACAGTACTTTCTAAAGTCCTAGCATTGATAAAAGCCTAGAATGCCAGGGTCCTAGTACTGGCCTAGAATACCAGGGTCCTAGCCCTGGCCTAGAATACCAGGGTCCTAGTCCTAGCCTAGAATACCAGGGTTCTAGTACTGGCCTAGAATACAGTACCAGACCAACACCAGGACAAGTACAAGTACTGTAACAAATAACAAATAACAAATAAATAAACTTACCCGTAAACAAACGAGTGCCACAATCAATGCCATTACATCAGCTAACATATGATATGAATCAGCCAACAAAGCGATACTTTTATTCAGAATTCCCACGAATAGCTCGACGAAGAAAAAGAGAAACGTGATCGTGATCATCACACTCACTTTCCATGAGTTTTTTCTGGAAATTTGGAATTTAGCTGAGAATGAAACTGTGGGGAAAGCGCTTGTCTTAAAGCAGAATCTACCCTACCCTTGTCTTAAAGCAAGACATACCGTACTCTTGTCTTAAAGCAGGATCTACCGTAAACCTAAGCTTTAAGCTAGCTACCGTAATCTTAAGCTATAAGTTGGCTATCGTAATTAGAGTGTGTTCCTCGCGAGTAAGTAGTAATTACTCGAGTAAACTTGCATGAGTAATTGTCGAGTCATGCGTTTTCTAAAAAGTGCACCTGCGCGAAAAAAATATAAAACCGATTTTTTGCGCAGGTTTTGAGAGTGGGACAAATGCGACCTTTTTTTTTGCGCACCCGGGCATTTGCGCACCTTTTTTTCCGCACTTAGCCCATTAGCGCACCTTTTTTCGCGTTTTAAAAAAGCTCTAAAAGCTAACGGACGGAGTTATACAAAGAGCAAAATTGATTTGATTTGATTGTTTGATTTTGCTCTTTGTATAACTCCGTCCGTTCGCTTCCACAAGCTCTGATATGCCAAAATTTCGATTCTACGCCCTCAAATTACCTAGAAAAACAACTTTTGGAATAGAAAATGGTTAATATTAGCTTTTTAGAGCTTTTTTAAAACGCGAAAAAAGGTGCGCTAATGGGCTAAGTGCGGAAAAAAAGGTGCGCAAATGTCCGGGTGCGCAAAAAAAAGGTCGCATTTGTCCCACTCCCCAGGTTTTTCAAAAAAAAAATCAGGTTTTTACATTGGAAGGGAATTTGCCACCAAATCAGTTAAACGGCTGAGTATCTTTAAAAAGTTTCGTATATAATGCGGGGCTCGCCATTTTTGCGTCATTTTTTTGCAATAATTTTTGCTAAAAGTACGGTAATTTTTTCCCAATTGTGCGTTTTAAAAAACGCATTACTCGCGAGGAATACACTCTAATCATTATCCTAAGCTCTAAGCTAGCTACCGTAATCTTAAGCTATAAGCTACCTACCGTAATCTTAAGCTATAAACTAGCTATCATAAGTCGATCTCTTAGCATTTAAACATCTAGCTTATGCCCTAGTACGATAGCTACAATAACCACCTTGCATTGGCTGGATGGCCTAAAGCCTAAAATGGATAGCCTAAAGGCAAAATGGATGACCTAAAGCCTAAATGGATGACCTAAAGCCTAAAATGGATAGCCTAAAGCCAAAATGGATGACCTAAAGCCTAAAATCACCGTCCTTTACCGTATCCCAAGTACGTTTACGCAAAAAGCTTACGGATATAGACAACTTTTTAAAAAAAACACTTAATAATATAGCTGCTTTTTGACCTCAAAATTCGAATAACAGCTTGAAAAAATGACGTCGACTCCATATTAGTCTTAGAAATGAAAAGTTTCCCCTCTTGAAAATCAACAATTTCATCACAAATTTTGTTTTTCATATTTCTCTTAATTTTTCTTAATCATTTTTATTATTTCTTTCTTTTCATTTCATATTTTCATTTTATTTTCTTACCGATGTTGATCATTTTCTTTTTCTCCGCAATTCTCTTCCTCTCTTTCATGCATTTCATCTATTGGCTGGCTCTGAAAATGAATATTTAATAGAAAAAAAGGAAAAATTTGTAAACCCACACCTTCTAAAGCACACAATTTCTTAAAGTAATGAGGAATTGAATACACTAAAAGGGGTGCGTTTACAGATTTAAGCACAAAGATAGGAAGATGAAGAGTTTCAATTGAGATGGACAGTTTTAATGGAGATGGACAGTTTCAATGGAGATGGGCAGCTTCAATGAAGACTAACAGTTTTGATGGAGATTAACAGTTTTAATGAAGACTAACAGCTTCAATGAAGACTAACAGTTTTGATGGAGATTAACAGTTTTAATGAAGACTAACAGTTTCAATGAAGACTAACAGTTTCAATGGAGACTAACAGCTTCAATGAAGACTAACAGCTTCAATGAAGACTAACAGTTCCAATGAAGACTAACAGTTTCAATGGAGACTAACAGCTTCAATGAAGACTAACAGCTTCAATGAAGACTAACAGTTCCAATGAAGACTAACAGCTTCAATGAAGACTAACAGCTTCAATGAAGACTAACAGTTTCAATTGAGACTAACAGCTTCAATGAAGACTAACAGTTTCAATGGAGACTAACAGTTTCAATGAAGACTAACAGTTTTAATCAAGACTAACAGTTTCAATTTCAATTCCAATTTCAATTCCAATTCTCGAAAACAAGAATTTTCTAATCTAAACAAGAGACATTGATAGAGTTTTTAAAAGTAAAAGTTTTTAAAAGTTTGAAAATGTAACTGAGAGATATTTTTCGTGATGTCAATCGATAGAGTTTACTCGAATCATTTTCTCTGAAATTTTCTCTAAATTCTCTCTATAAGGAATTTGCATAAACCTTTTTTTTAACATCAGAGTTTCAGAGATCAGAGAGATTATCGTTTTGAAAAGAGAAATTTAAAGAAAAAGAAACGATTATTCAGTTATTTTTAACCTCCAATCGCTCACTTTCGATTTTAAAGAGATAGATTAACTTTTAGAAAACGGAAAAGGTAGGAAAAGGTTCGAGAAAAGCTGCTGTAAAGTTGTAAAGCTGTAAAGCGTCTAATTTCTTTTATAAAAGTGTCTTCTTTCTCTCAGACTACTTTAATTTTATCAATTTTTATCTAATCTATTCACTTTTATCTTTTAATAGCCTTCTATACCGATTTGATTCCAATAAAAGTACCGTATTATCAATATCAGCAAATAAAAGTGAATACCGATTTGATTACAAAGTACTGTATTCTCTCTAATAGTAGTGCACCCTAAGCTTTCCCTAAATTCCTCGAAATCTCGAGAACCGCTTATGAGAACCTATCGATGTGGGGTCGGAAAATGTAGCTGATGATAAGATCTTGACGATGATTAGAGTGTTGAGCCTCTGGGAAAACTTTGGAAGCCGTAAATAGTCATCAACTCGGCTCGCTTGGGTGCACTACTATTAGAGAAAATATGGTAGATTGGATAGAAAATAGAGAAAAGATTACGGTAGTCTAGAGAAAAGAGAGGAGATTATTGTAGAGCTTTTACAGTATTATAAAGTACTGTAAGAAGACTCATTCTCTTACTTCTTCCCTTCTCGTGTGTTTCAGACATTGAATGAGTGGGGTTGATGTTGATGGAAGGGTTTCCTCGTCAATCATTTCATCATTCATTTCTGGAGTGGCCAGCAGAGATCCATCCTGAAAATGATTGTAATTAGAATCTATTGGGATTAAAGATGTCTTGACTAATACCGTATTCTCTAATAGTATCTCTCTAATAGTAGTGCACCCATCGAGTTGATGACTATTTACGGCTTCCAAAGTTTTCCCAGAAGCTCAACACTCTAATCATCGTCAAGATCTCATCGTCAGCTACATTTCCGGCCCCACATCGATAGGTTCTCATAAGCAGTTCTCGAGATTTCGAGGAATTTAGGCGAAGCGGGATTAGGGAAAGCAATGAACCGAAAGTTGGGTTTGATTAAACAAACTGGATCAAGTTCTTGAAAGTATGCTAGAGTATTCGTCACTGAACTCTTCTTCGTTTACTTTGTGCTCATTTATAAACACACCATTCCTAGTGCACTAAATCTTTCATTCTCGCGACATCGTTGTTGTGAGAAAAATGTGGAATTCAGTGCACCAGAAGGATTGCGTTTGCAGCTTTGATTTCAAAGTAAATTTCCCGTCAAACCTTTGACGCATTCCTCGATGTGGCCGAATTTTTCCTTGCTTGTTGTTCCATTTTTTTCTTTACTTTTTCATTGTCTTCAACTCTTCCAAGAAGAATGATTCTTTCTTCATTTTCAGCCATCTAAAATGAAAAAAATTAAATAGATAAATCAATGCAAAAGATATTTAATTAAACAATAATAAAAATAGTAAAAGATTTCAAGTTTAAAAGTTAAAGAAAATGAGATTTTGAAGCTTTCAGAATTTGTAGCTTTATAGTTTTCGTAGTTTATAGGCTAGAAAAGGGCTAGAAAAGGGCTAGAAAAGGCCTAAAAAGGTCTAAATTATTCTAAATATAAAAGCTAAAGTTAGATAAAGAAGAAATTATCTAAATAAGTAAATTTAGATAAAAAGATCTGAGAAAAATCTTTAAAATATTGAAAATTTTGAAATTTTCTTGTCTAGTAGAAAATCTTTTCTTATCAAAAGGCGATAAAGGGTAAAAAGAAACGTAAAAAGAGAATTTTGACTGAGAAATGATCGGAAAGTTGAAGGGAATTTCTTGAATTCACAATTAGTTGCGTACTTTGTGTTCAATCTTGGTGAACTTATGCCTTCTGGTGCACTGAATTCCCCACTTTTCTCGTGAGAAAAATCCAGAATTCAGTGCACCAGGAAGGTGCGTTTACAAATGGGCTCAAAGTACACTCTGAATTTCATTTCTTTATGGAGCAGTGTAAACGCAAGCGATCTGGCGCACTGAGATTTCTTTGATTTGAGAAATTACACTTTAATTACCTAACTCTGACTGTCCTGAAGAATTTCATGCACCAGGAAACGTGCGTTTAGAGCACAAACCGTTTAGAGCAGAAAACCACTATAGAAATTCAACTTTAACTAACTACAGATTATAATGATTCCTATATCTACCGTATTCTGCGCTTCATCTACAGTACTATTGTACTAGAGTACTGTTGTACTAGAGTACTGTTGTACTAGAGTACTGTTGTACTAGAGTACTGTTGTACTAGAGTACTGTTGTACTAGAGTACTATTGTACTAGAGTACTATTGTACTAGAGTACTATTGTACTAGAGTACTATTGTACTATAGTACTGTAGATGAAGCCTAGAGTCCTGTAGAAATGCTATCAAATCAATTTTTGAATGAAAATTGGTAATAGAACAGTGGGAAATTAATTTCTAAAGACAAACTTTTAAAAATATGGCTATTTTATTCAAAAAATTTTAGAAACTTTTGAAAATCGAGAAAATTTTGGTATAAATTTGTATAAATATAATAAATTAAACTAAAAGTTTTCTAGACATTGTCTCAAAAATGGAAATGATGAGTGTCAGTGTCTCTTTGACCTTTGAAAAGAGAAAAAGAAAAGAAATGATAAAGAAAAAGGAAAGGATTACACGAAATGATTCAAATTTTTCTCCTCATTTTTTAGTATTTTAAAATCGTGTGTTTGTTGAATGATAAAAAGGGGGGAAGGATTGGTTTTGTTTGCTTTTCGCCCGCGAATACGATGCCTATTTTTTGCGCTTTTCGATCAAATATGTCAACAGAGTGTTGAGTCAGAAAAGGGCCTAAAAAGCAAAAAAATGTAAAAGTCGAAGGCCTAAGATGGGATCGAGCCTTGATTGTTTGAGCGGGAGGCAAGTTGGTTAGCCATTAGACCATCGGTTGCCAGAGATCTGCCAGAGATCTCTGGCAAAGGGGAGAAAAGCGTCCTTAAAAGTCGCTTTTTCCAATTTCTTCATAGGTTTTAGAATTTTAATTTCAATAGAGATAAAGAAAAATTATAATTTGTCAATTTGGTTTTAAAATTTAAAAATCTACAGTCAGCTAAATGAAAAAGCTATTCCGTAAAGAAAAAGATAACGAAAAAACGAATTCCTTTTTCAAAAACTCACAAAAAAAAACCTTAATTTGTTTGAATTTGATTGATGAACTTGGAAAAATCAAAAAAATCTGGTTTTTTAAATAAAGAAAAGTAAAAAATAATGTTATTATGATAATATCGATCGATAAGTGATTATTAATTGTTTTGAAAGGAAAAAATTCTATTAACAATTTTATTTTATTTAGATATGAGATGTCGAAATTGGGGAAAAGACAGGGAAATAAAAGGTAATCGATAGGGGAAACGGGAAAGAGAAAAAAGGAAAGAAAAAGAGGGGAAAGAAAATCGAGACAAATAAAAGGACAAGAATGGGAAATTGATAATTGTATGATAAAACTGGCTATAAGATTGGGTAATTGAACCGAATTTGATCAGGTGTACTTTGCTCGAATCTGTAATTGCACTCTTTATGGCGCACCTCATTGTGATAACAATTTGTTGTCATGAGAAAAGCTTGAAAACTTTCTGAACGTTGATCGTTTATCGTAACCCTACAATAATCCAAATCGTAAAGATTAATAAACAACAGCTAGAAACATCTCAGTCAATAAAATGAGTAGCATTCATAATTCTAAACGGAGATTCAACTACCGTATTCATGGGATGGTTTCTGGAAACGGTAACGTAAATAACAAAAAAAACGAAAAGAACGAATAACGAAAAGGAAAAGAGGGGTAGGCTAATTTCCGCCATTTTATTTGCGCTTGTAGATCTCAATAAGTGCAACAAAATGATACCAAAATGATAAAGATTGACGCACTTAGAAGAAAGTTATGGCGAATTGCTCAAAAGATCCAGTTGCGCAAATAAAATGGCGGAAATTAGCCTACCCCCGAAAAGAAAAACAAAAAAAAACGAAACGGTATGGTTTCGGGAAACGGTAACGTAAATGACAAAAAAACGAAAAGAACAAATAACGAAAACAAAAAGAGGGGTAGGCTAATTTCCGCCATTTTATTGGCGCAACTCGCCATAACTTTCTTCTAAGTACGCCAATCTTTATCATTTTGGTATCATTTTGTTGCACTTATTGAGATCTACAAAATGAAACCAAAATGATAAAGATTGGCGCACTTACAAGAAAGTTATGGCGAGTTGCGCAAATAAAATGGCGGAAGCCTATCCCCGAAAAGAAAAATAAAAAAACGAAAAGCTAAAACGTATCCAACACAGACATTAACTTTTTGATAAGCAAATTTCGTAGTGAGACAGCGAACGTAAGTAAGCTTGCGAAACATAGCATTACTAATTCCGAGCTTACTAAGCGGGTCAAAAGGATTCAATTTGCCGTTCCGAAATCGGTGATCTGATCTCTAACATTTCGAATCTTTGTGAACAAATATTAGTAGTAAGAGATCAATCAGAGTATTGTTAAAGATCCAAAAAAGGTATCTATCCTTTTAGTTATTACGGAAATAAGTAACATAGGCTTTTAGTTATTACGGAAATAGACTTAAAGTTTTCAACAAAACAACAAATATTTTATAAATAACTCATAGTTGAAAACGATTTTCTGCATTTTAGCACAAATTAGTCTTTTTTTAAATAAAGCAGCAATTGGAAGCTTTTTATTATGAACTTTGCTTAAAAATTTATGTAAACCCCTCTTTTAACCCTATTTTTCTTGTTCAGAGCAAATAAATCCATTAAACTTTCATTTTTCCAGATGATCAAGTCGGAAATCAAAGAGGAACCGCCTGAGCTGCAAATAAAACCGACGAAGACGCGAAAGAGAAAGCTTCCGGTTATTAAACAGGTAGATTTTTATCTGTTTTTAAAATAAAATATCTTTTATTATAAAGTCTAGTAGTCAAAATGTGTGTAAAACTTGTAAGCCTTTAAAGTCCTGTAACATTTGTAAATTCTTTGTTTAGGAAACGAAACGACGACGATTCGCGTTAGTAAAAGAAGAGGATGAGCGAAGCATTTTGACGGTGCTTGCAGAAGTGACAAAATCGTTACAAGATGGGGATCGGTCGTTGTAAGTTGTTGAGCTTGTTTTCATTGATGAAATGACTTCATGTTTTGTTTTTTATCCATTTTAATCGATGGATCGATGGATCGATTTTAATCGAGATAAACAAGCTATGCTTTTTTTTTTTACTTAAACTTTATTTTCAGGGCATTGATACAACTGCGCGAGTTCTCGTCGGAGCATTTTTTGACAAAACTCGACACATCGATGATGTATCCACTTTTAAGTACCCTCCTCAATGTAAGAATTTTGATTCTAGTCTCTTAACACTTCAATGAAAGACTTAGGCTGCGAAAATCTCGACGTTTGATGATGTGACACTTTTGCTACTGAAATCGCTTCATCAAATCGTTCAACGATGCAGTCGGTCCAATTACAATCTGCTGCTGATACAGCTTTTCAACGAGAAAGAGTGCGATGATTTTCTAGATATTTTCTAGACTTTTATTTAGCTTCTTCACGAAATCGATACTGGATTCGATTTTGCTGAACATCTGCGAGGTTGCTATAAGAAAGCAATTTCTAAGGCAAGTTGAGGTATTTTAGAAATTTCTTAAGTTTTATTTAGTTCCCAAGGTGTACCACCACAGTTATGGATGGTATATTCGAGAGCCTTGTGCGCACGAGATGATGCTTATAAAAGGATATCAGCAATTCGTTTCAGTTTGGCTTGCAATATTGGAGGTAAGCAAAGCTTTTTGTCAATATAGCCAAATGTATATAACTTTTTTACAGTTAAACGTACGGAGAAGAACGCCGAAGTTCAGGCAATGCTATCGAAAATGATGAACGATCGGTGATTGGTTTTTGGTTTTTAAAAAACACTCACTTTTTAGAGACCCAAGGGTACGCGTCACTGCTTTAAATGGGCTCCGCGAAATTTTCGATCGATTGCATTTATTTTCGCATCAATTGTATGAATTGGTGAAAAAGGTTTGGAACAAAATTCAGCAGTTTTGATTCGTTTTTAGATGACTGAAGATTTCTGTCCAAATGTTCGACTAGAAGCGTTCATTATTATAGCTCTTTTTGCGAAAAAGTTTACACAAGTGTAAGTTTGATTCGTGTTATATCATGATAAAGTGTTTTTAGGAAAGTTCACGATAGGAAACGCAAGAAAATATTGTTGAGCGACGATGCTTTTTCGACAGTCTGTCAAGGGATCAACGATATGGATGTAAGTGTGGAAGCCTGAGATTATTGTTTATCTAATTAAACTGTTAGGCTAATAGCCTTGGGACTTGAGCCTTCTATGGCAAGGATAATCTAAAATATTTTAGAAACACGTGCGTGCCGAGACCGCAAAGCTACTTGGCGATTTCGAAGTGGTGAGTGACGATTATTTGGATCAAACGCTCGACAAGAAGTTGATGTCTTCCACAAAGGTTTTTAAAGTGTTTTCTATTAAATTGATGATACTTTAGACGGAACATGGAGAATCTGTGTTTAAAGTTAAAGAAAGTCGATTTGCTATCACGAAAGGACAACAATCAATGAGAGGAAGAGGAAGTTGGAGAATGCAAAATGCAAATGAAAGGGTTCGTTTAGAATTACTTAAATAAATCTTAAATTTAACTTTTACAATGCAAAATTTTAGCAACGAAGACATCACGGCGATTGGAGTTCCGGGAAAAAGCTTCACGAATCGGCACCAGAAGATAAAAGAAGAGTTGGTTTTGCTGGTTTTTCTTTTAAACAAATTTTTAGGAAGAGGAAGAAACAGCCGAAATAATGTCTCAAGGTGCCTGTGGAGCTTTTGTAACGGCGCTAGAAGACGAATATAAAGGTTTTTTTCTAGCAGTAAAGCAGAAATAAATTGGTTTAGAAGTCCGACAAGCTGGCGTCTATTCATTGGGAAAATTGGCTGCGAATCGCCCTTCTTTTGCGTTGACTGCTTTGGATCATTTAGCCGATATGTTCAATGATGAAATTGCGCAGGTTTTGTTTCTTTCCTCGTATAAATTTTGTTTTGTTTAGGTGCGAATTGATGCGATTCGTGCTTTGACACCCTTGGTCGTTCATGGACAATTGAAGAAAGAGCAATTGAATACGATATTGAAATGTCTTGAGGTGAGTTTCAAGATGATACAAACAATGTTGTATGAGTCAAAATCATAATTCTTTTTCAAACATTTAATAAAGTTTAGGATGCATTGCCGGAGACAAGACAAAGTTTACGGACGATTCTGGTCATGGGAGATTTTGCGGATGTTCGTTTTGTTTCAATGATCTTAAAGACAAGTTTTAGGTGGATTGTTTACGCGTCTCGGTTCGAGCCTTGATGGTCAATATGAGACGTTTTCCGCAAGATCGACGTCAAGTTTTCAAGTGTGTAATTTTAAAGCATCGACTTAAGAATGTACACAAGTTTCTCGTTTTAGATGCCTTTCCGCTTTGGGTGTTCGTCACGCGGTGATGGTTCAAGCTGTCGTGATGGAGCTGCTAGATTTTGATCCAACTTTTGAGCCCGTCGAACATCACGTCAATGATCTTGAATGTGAGTGGTTAAATTTTAACAAAATTCATTTTAATTTACGGCTTTTAGATCTCGCGAAAGCTTTCCTTATTCTATCGGCCGCTTCTATTCACCCACCTGTTTTATCGATTCTTCCGGCCTACGTCATTCGGCACTACAAATATTTGCGAGTTTCCGAGCCGGATTTGGTGCCAGTAATAAAAGTAAGTATTAATTCAACAACTCAATTATTTGATCAATTTTAGAGTGTTGACGGATTTGAGCATGTGGAGAATCAATTGCGAATCGATGCCTTTCGGAAAGAGTGGAGTCATGAGAAGAGCGAAGTGCTTGAGGTAATCGGAAAAATGACAAAAAAAATGCTGATTTTTTTTAATTTTAGAGAACTTATGAACGACTGGTCAGTGTTGAGAAGGAAGCCGATAATTTAACGCGAAATTTATTACGGAGGCTAATCATTGAGTGGGTATTTTAAAGAGATTAAAGGCTTAAAGCTTTAAAACGAATTCATTTTAGAGATGTATCGAGAATCTCCGAGTTCAATGCCCCACTTTCTGGTGGTGCTCGTTTCATCGCGACAATGGCGCAGGTGGAAATTTTAAATCTTTGTAATTCATAACCCTTTAATTTCAGACTTGCATCGGTTTGGAAGCTGCAATTCAACAATTAATGTTTGGTGGTAATGCCATTGCGACAGCTAAACATATTGATAAGGTGCCATGCTTTAGAAAATCTTGAATTTATTTCTTTTTCAGGAGTTGGCTCAAGTGATGGCGATTTTCTCTCAATTTACCGGTCTTCCCAACACAATTCTTGCCTATCTCTGGGAGTCCGTTCTGCACTTGATGCTAATGAAGGTAAAAATATTTTTATTTTTAAAAAATTGTTCTTTTTAGTTGGTAATTCCGATGTTCTCGCAAGGCAACTCGATGACGCACATGGACAAATTGAAAGAAATCGTAAAAGAGATGGGAATGTAAGTGAAAGTTGATATGAATTGATAATTTTAGCTTTAGAATCCTGAAAAATGGGAAGATTGCCGCTAGTCCATTGCTGTATTCCACGTTGGAGACCGTGAGTCAGATCGCAGGTTAGTTTACAAGATAAAATAATCATTTGTTGATATTTAGAAGGTGAACAAAAGGAGAAACTGTCGGGACTTGCACAAATATCGAAAATACTCATGGAGAAACCCCCGAAATTGCCCACCGTTTTCCGAGAGGCAAAAACGATAAAAGTGAAGTGGGCAACTGTACGTGAATATTATGGTTTGCTAGATTTCATTCTTTTGCTTAGATCAGCGAACCGAGCAAAGAACGAAGCACGGAACGTGTACATCGATTTGTCGCTGGATTACCGACAGCCATTCCATTCAGTGCTCAACTGCACAATCTCGAGCCAAAAGATGCCGAGAGGATTCGAATTAAAGTAAAGCTTTATCAAATCTGCTTAAGGTTTACAATAGCAGGTCGATTCCTATTCATCATTTAGGTCTCCTATCCCAACTTGACCGAAAGCCTGTTCAAGCCAAGAGCCGCGCACGTTTTTGCTGGTAATCTCAAATTTCCCAAGCCTTTCATAGCAATTTTAGGTGAAAATGGAGTTTATCACTTGAATACAGAGGTTCTCATCACTGCACCAGCTGGTTGGGCGGATTCAGCGGAGGTATTTTGTTGTTGAATGACATATTTGGAAGAGAATTTTAGATCCGGCTCACTGTCGCATTGGCACCACAAACAACCAATCTCTCAATGTTTTCTCAATATTGCACTGTTCTATTTTCTCATCCGGGATGCGCTGAGGAGGCGTCAGTATCAGTAAAAGTTCACCCCATGAATAATAGATGTTAGGATTGACTTCATTTTTGTGTTTTTTAATCGGGTATACTAGTTTTATTTTGATGTTGATTTTTAGTTGTGATAGACTTTCGATAAATTTTCATGTACAAAATCTGCATTTATTTGAAATGGGGTAAAGATTCGCGCAAGAATACATCATTTTATCGCACGTTTCCTACGGAATAAGTGGGTTTATTTGATTCGCTATTTGACTTTGAAAGTTATTGTAACTTTTATCCATTTGCTTTAGTGGGGGCAGGCGATTTCAACGCGGAATGGCTCTCAACGACGAGCGCAAAGCTTACACAAGTAAATCTTTGGCATTTTAAAGTTTTTGATGCAATAGTTGTTGGGGACTAATCTGTTGCCTCTTTTGCACAACAAGCTTGAGTTTTATGAGGTAGAATCAAAATTTATAATAGTAACAAACACCCAAGAGCTGATCCGGATGCAAAAATTTCGTTTAATGTTTTGGTTAATCCATTCTTTTTTTCAGGTCACCCGCTTGTATCCGGCGATTCTCGGAAACATTTGCCTCACCGTCGCCATTTGGATCTTTGTCTACGATTTGAAACAAGTAAAGGTAGAAAATTTTCTTTTAAAATCTCGTTTTTAGGATCCCAAACTCATTCCGGTATACCTTCTAAGCAAAGAGACGAATTTCACAACAAATAACGAGTTTCTCGATGGACTGGTTGGCTTTTGGTGTATTGAGTTTTTATTTTTTGGTTTTTAGCTCAATGGCTTCAACTCGATTCTGCTTATCGCGATGATTTCTTTTGTGATGCTCATGTTTGTGATCTTCAATTTTAAAGTGAGTAGTATAGACATTATTTATGACTATTTTCTTTATGTAGACTCTCGTACAGTGTTGGTTATCGATGGCTTCGCTTCTTGTGCTTTGGGGTCTCTTTCCGACTGTGTTTCAGTGAGTTTTATTGTTAAAACGGTCTTGTAAACTTGTAAACCTTTTGTTCAGTGATGCGTTGGCCAAATGCGGTTTCGAGAATGAAGTGAGGATAGCTGTGACAGTGATTGCGACAACGATTTACGCGGGCGTTGGAACAATGGTTGGCGGTTTTCTTTTCTCGGAATTGATGAAAGTTTGCTCTTTAGGTGTTTCTGACAAATCACATGCCATTGTCGCTACATCAGGCGAGTTTTTAGTTCAGGAAAAGTGCAGCTGTATATTGTTGAAAGCATGTTAGAATCCTTAAGTTTTTAGAACTCGAACTTTGTTTGCCGTTAGACGCAAAAAAAAAGCATTTTTAAACAGCTATTAAGGTTAACTACCTGTCAAATTTTAGCACTGTACTGTCAAATTTTAGCATTTGATTATGTAGATTCTATTGTCTTTTAGGTGTACGTGATCATCAATTGCTCGTTTATCTCACTTTTCTACCTTCGCGCCTTTCCCGATCACACGATTTGGTTCGTTCTCGCGATGATCGTTGCTTGGGGTTTGTGCTTTTCTATTACAATTCGTATTATTTTCATTTCTAGATATCTTTGCCGTACTCTCACCGATAGGACCCCTGAAAATGGCACAGCAAAAAGCTGGTGATTACAGTAATACGGTTAGTTTTTTATATAAATACAACTCAAGCTATTTAGGTGTTAAAAATGTTGATGTTCGAGACGAAGAAAGAAATCGTAGTACAGGGACAAAAAGAGACACCCACTGAGGAGCAAGCTGAGATCAGCCATGATATTGAGTGAGTTTTGGGCTGATCAGATTGAGTACAATGTTGTTTAGTGACGTACAAACAGCGGAGAGTATTTCACAGGAGGAACTCTTCGAGATGTTGAAAAAAAGCAAGACGGAAATGGAGAAAAACGATGAGGAGAAGAAAGAAATGGAAATGAAAACGGAAGAGGAGACACCGAAAGAACGAAGCGCTGAAGAGGCACTCGCTGATTCGAGTAAGATTTTTGATATTTAAACGAGAAAGATCTGGATACAATTGAATTAAGAAATAGAAACTTGAGCACTTTGCGAAAACCTTTAAATTGATCTCAATTTCAATATTTTAGATTCACTGCACCTCGGGATGGGCGATTTTGTCTTCTACAGTGTCCTCGTCGGAAAATCGTTGGCAACTGGTGAGTGGGCTTTAAATTTCAAGCACAAGCTTGCTTTCTGGTGACAAACTATCCTCGTTATTTGGAAAGTACCAATTTTCTCACTTTTTTATTCTAGGCGGTCCGATGTGTGCAATTGCGTCATCTCTTGGCGTTTTGGTTGGTTTCTTCCTTACCGACACGATGCTTTCAACAAATGACTCAACTTATCCGGCTCTACCCGTTTCGGTTGGTTGAAACTTTAAAGTATTAATCAAATCCATTTCCCGCTTAGTTATGTCTGGGACTTGTGCTTCACCTCGCCACTTTGCTTTTCGCCGAACCGCTTCTCAAAGAATTACCTTCACATTTTCTGCTTTGATGTGAGGATTTTTGGGGTTTTGTTCTTATTTACAATATTTTCATTCAATCGATTTTCTTATCGCTGCAGAATGCGTTGATCATGGGAGTAAATTGTCGTTTGGAATTTTGAGCTGAAAATTTTATTTGGCAATGAAGAGTGAAAGTCGAAAACGATTGCAACCCGATAATCTGTGGAAAGTTTTGAAAAAAAAATGGTCAATGGAATGTGTGAGCAGGAATGAAATTTACAACATTTTGACAAGAAATTTTATCGATTTGGTGCAGCGGAGACATTTTGAGTGACGGGACATTGTTGCTGAAAGCGGAAATTTCAATTCATTTCTTTTTATTGCCAAACTCACATTATTCTCGAACCAGATCTTCCATTTCTCGTAATTTTTCTTGTATCCATCCATTTTCTTACACCATTCCCGTTGGGCCGCTTTGAATGAAGAGACGGTTTTTGGTTGAGCACAATCTTCTGAAAGATAGGATTTTTGGATAACTTGCTTCATTTACCCAATCTACCATCATCAAAACCCACCATGATCAACAATCAATCGATATTTCACAATCGTTTTCCCATCAACAATTCCCTCGTAATCTCCATTATCATTTTTCGATAAATCCATCAAAACGAGTCCGTTTTCTTTCGTAAAAAGTGTTCGCGTGTCGCTTTTCAATTGAATTCCATCGCGAAACCATTGTGTTGAGGGTTGAGAGGTGAAATGAATCGAATCGCCCGGGAATACCTGAAAATGGAACCTGGGATACGGTTGATCTAACAAGTTACTGGATTTCCGAAAACGTGTCCCATTTTCTTCAAACTACCGTCGCTTCTAGTATAATGTAGTACAGAATGCTGAGATTTACAGTGACTTTGTCTCCACAAACCTTTTTCAACACTGGCCTTGCCACCGATTTGCACTCGCGGGTGCCCCGACCCGGCCATGAGGTGACCCAGCTGCAATTTTTTTTTAGATAATAATTGTTATCTAGATTAAAAGTATATCCAAAATATATCTAGATATTTTGTACAGCTTTAAAACGCTCACCCGACACTTTGCTGATGGATTTTCTCCCTTGGAAAGCACTCTCCCCTTGCCACATTCCATGAACAATATGCATCGATGGCGCATGACTGAATATTTGATTGGTTATTGATTTTGGAGACATTTTATTTATCTAGGATACATAGATATCGATATTATCTATATTACCTGACAAGCTAACCATTGTTGACACGAGCTGAGCGGGAATTGATGGACGCCGAGTGGAGAAGTTGTGTAGAGGAACTCTGGAATTGGTCTGGAGTTATAGATCTAGATATAGGTAGCCTTAAAGGTACTGTAGTCTCAGGTAAAGCTGCAATATCCTGATCGATCGTTGAAGATACTGGGAGTTTTAGTCTCTCGTATCACTACAGTATAATCAAACCTGCATTCATCAATGTGCTGTCTTCGATTCGATTTCCCTCATCAAAGCCTCCAATATCCAATGTTGTCTCTTTCTCTAGAATCATCGATTTCCACTCGGATCCATCTCTCCAATGAGAGACTTTCCACAATTTTGACGAGCTGAAATTTGTCAAATGAGCAAAACCGTGCGTCAACTGAAACCAGGCTTTTATCGTACTTTTACTACCTTTAATAAAGTTACCGTAACTCTAAGGTTATTAGCAAAAACGTGTCCCCTTTCTCTCAAACTAGCATAAGCTTGTCTCAAATTTTTTTATCCAATCAATTCACTTTTTGTTTCTTTCGATATCCTTTGTACACCTTTACAGAATCAGAAAAAAAGTGGATAGATTGGATAAAAATAGACAAGATTACGATAGTTTAACGAAAGGAAACACGCGTTAAAAAACGGGGAACACATTCCGACAAAGCTTTACAGGCAACTTTCTGGTAACTTTCTTTTCATCTAACTCACTGTTTATCGATCGCGTGAATGACGTTGTGCTCGGAGCGAATGTCGACGTGAATTTGGTGGAAAAACGCGTCCCTAAAATGGTTGAGACTTTTCAAAAATTTGGATTTGATTCTAAAACTTCAATCGAACAAATCGAACAACAAAATCGAACAAACCTTTGCGTCAAAATCGGTGGCATACTTGAAATGGCCGAGTGCATTAAATTATGCGATTTGATGAAATTCAACGCATCCGGGTCAAGACTTTGCGAATCGGGGACACACTGAAATATTGGTCCATTTAGGGGGTAGGCTAATTTCCGCTATTCAATTTGCGCAACAGGGTCATTTACGCAACTGGATCCTTTGCGCAACTCACCATAACTTTCTTGTAAGTGCGCCAATCTTTATGATTTTGCTGTCATTTTGTTGCACTTATTGAGATCTACAAAATGACAGCAAAATCATAAAGATGCGCCCACTTAGAAGAAAGTTATGGCGAGTTGCGCAAATAAAGTTGCGAAAACTAGGCCACCCTCATTTAACGGTTAATGTATGATTCAAAGTTTTTTAAATAACACTATTTCCGCAATTACCACAAACAATGGATATTCAGCCAATAGACTAAAAATTCAAACAATTTTTGGCACGACCCAAGCGGAAAGTCACAAATCTTCATTTTGTTTTGTTTTTTGTGTGAAGGTTGCGCGTTTTAAGTGTTTCGCATATACATTCCGAGTGTCCTCCCCTCTGGCAAGGGGGTGGACTTGGAATGTATACTTTCGAACAATTTTGTCGAATTCGAATGTATACTCGAAACTTTCGCAGTAGTTTTTTAATCTGGTAATTAAAATTACTAGATTCTACACCCGATTTGTTTAAGAAACGCAAGAGTTCTACAACCGACTGCGCTCTTTTATCGCGAGCATTATTAGATTTAGTTGTTGTGAAACCTAAATTTTCGCTCATTGCTTGTCTGCGAATTTTAAAAACGCTCGTAAAACCTCTTGCAAACTTGAAACGCTTAGAACTAAACCTGAATAATCACCACCCTCCTCCCCTCACTCTGTAGATATTGTCTTGTTCTGCCTTTTTAAAATGTTCTCAATTCGTGTACATTACTCGAAAGATTCTTTTAATTTTGATACGGTATGGCTGATGGTGAAACTCCACAACAAAACGGCGACAAGGAGTACATCAAGCTGAAAGTCGTCGGACAGGACGCAAATGAAGTACACTTCCGTGTCAAGTATGGAACCTCGATGGGAAAACTCAAGAAGTCGTACGCGGATCGGACTGGCGTCAGCGTCGTTTCATTACGGTATGCATTTTCATTATTAATAATGATTTGGGCACTCAAACTTTGGCGAATAGCAAAAATTTCGTTCTAACCGGTTTTGAAGCAATTATTTAAATCGTTAAATGACCAAAATTCAACTTTACGGTCGGGTCGAGATTTTCAACGAAACCTGATTTATGTTTTCCCCCATGCGAAACTAAGTTGTCCCCTGGACGTGTAATTATGCTAAAATATTAAATATATACCAAGCGCATCCTGCTGAATGCGATACAATAAATTTCGTTTTTAGTTTCCTCTTTGATGGCCGACGCATCGCCGATGAAGACACCCCGAAGTCGCTCGAAATGGAAGAAGATGACGTCATTGAGGTGCGATTGTTTATTTGATGCTTATAGCTTACGAATTGTTCCAATCTCCCCAATGTTTAGGTGTACGCCGAGCAATTGGGTGGTTACGAAAATGAGGTCAATTAAGAAAAACAACTCCATCTCATGATGTCAGCACTCACATTTTACCCGTTCCGATTTATTGATTTGCCATTTGAATTTAAATTCTCGTCATGTTTATCACCACATTATATTTTGGTTGCTACAGTTGTCCTTAAAATGAATAAAGTGATTCTGTTTAGTAAATGGATAGTGACATAGAGGGAATGGATAGTGACGCTAGTTGGACGGGAATTGCGGAATGTTTGTACACAGTTAGCGATACTTGACTTTTTGAAACTTACAGTCCCGGGTCGGTGTCCTGTGTTAGGATCGGCCCCAATTTCCCGGCGTCGGTTCTCGACCAAGTCCGTAAAAAGCCCATGATCAAAGACCTTAAAGCACTCAGTTTCGATTGTGAGGTAAACATGTTTATCAAAGTTATTTGGGAACGTCTTTCGATATTGTGGAATGCAGAACTTACATGGTTGATATCTTTCAACTGGAAGACACAGATTGCCGAGGTGGGATACGCCGAATCGGAGGTGGACATTCCCGTGTAGAAAAGCGTCTCCCCTTCGAATTCAGATTTGGTGACCGATCCTGAAAGATTTCAATTTCGGACGGAGGCAAGAGAATCACTCACGAATTTGATCGAAATAGAATGGGATATTGCCAGGAAGGGAACAATTGAGGCGAGCCTTCACAAATGAGGTCCACACTTGGCGGAGTTGACTTTTACCGCCGAGATCTTTCTGAGATGTGTAAACTTGTTTGGGTTTGAATCAATTTGAAGCGGATCAAACTCAATCAGCTCCGAGATTTCCGCGGTTCAAGGTACCGACAGATTGTTTTGAATTGAACGTCCAACCTTACAAATCCGTGCAACTCTCGAGTAGATCCTTTTCTCGTCGTGGCTCGCCTCGTTGGCGATCTCGCGGAAAAAGAAATACACGTGCTCGCCAACGTCAAAAGAGCCGACGAATTGGGGTTCTGGAAAATGGGATTGATAAGTGAATGGGAGAAAGTTTGAAACCGTTCAAATCCACCCACCATTTAACCAGTCGTCATCCTTGTAAATTGTGCGCATCGACGGGTAAATCTCTCGGGAATTCTCGACGATCGCCGGCCGATAGATGAGATGGTTCTCGCCGGTGATCCCCGTTCGAATGCCCGAATAGACGATGGGAAGTCCGCGGGGGTTGCCGAGCTCTGGAATCGAAGGATTGTGGTTGAAGGTTTGGCGTTGGCAAAAGGTGAAGCTTGCTCAGAAATCGCTCCATGTTTGATCATGGCCATTGCTGGGATCAGATCTGGCTACTGTTGTATGCTTTTTGTGCATACAATCGCGTCATTGCAAACTTTTTGTTGGTGGCACGCGGAGGTGAACTCGCGTTTGATTAGGCGGGAACCGGGATTTAACCAATTGACCAAAGAAGGTGAGGGGATGGGGGACAGAAAGGGGTCTAGTATTATTGGAGTGTTGGTACTGGAAAAGTATTCTAATGTAATTCAGCGCTCACCGACAAGTACGGCTGTTGTATTCATGATTTTATCGGGTGCACAAAGACCGATAATTGTTTGTGGATCTTCTTTATCTTCGAGTCGACTCGCGTCAAGGATTCGCACCTGAGAATTTAAAGCATGATAATCATATCATGTTTAAAAGTTTAGACCAAAAGATAAACCCAAACAAACCTCGGGTTTTAGAGCTGCTGACGAGCAAATCATAAGATTTTCTCGTTGATCTCTAAAAAGAAAGAGTAAGAGAATCCGATTACCTAATCAATATCGATTACTTACTTCAAAAACATTGTCCTAACAAAGGTTTGACAATCCTCTTCACTATTTCCACTCGATCGACACTCAGCCATTTCAGAGCTCGAAATTGTTAGCGGTTTTTCGGAGAACTGAAAGACGGATTTAGATGTAGCATGAAATCTATAACTTCTCCACAATAGATGAGTCTTTTTAATAATGAAAGCAACCGTTTTTTCCCCGAAAATCTGGTACTCACCAATTTCTCGCTTGTGTCATTTATATTGTAAGCCCAGAGGCGAAAAATCCTTCCCCTTGCTCCAACGAAAAGTGACGCCGAGTCGGCATCCAAAAGCACTTTTCCATAGTCGAGCGGGCCACGGGAGAAAAGGTTTTCTGCAAATATCTCTATCATTGCATTGTTGCATTTTATTGTTTTCTATTTTTTCAAAACTCACCCGGTTTTCTCACAATCACCGCTTGAGTGATCGTAAAAATCAATAGTAAAAGGATGAGTTTCATTTTAAGCAGCAGAATATCAAGATATCAAGATAGCAAATAGAATATCGATGCGGCAATTCGTTTATCTTCCAGTCGGACACATTTAAACGTGAAGAAAACGGATTTGAAGGGAAAGAAATCCGAAAATTTGTGTGAAGGGGGGAAAGAAGGGGATAGAGTAGGGCAGAGAGATGAGAAGAAGACTGGTATTCAATGGAAATTGTTAGGCGGTATAGGCATAGGGTGAATGGGAGAGGGATGAAACGCTAGGGTTGGGGGAGGGGATGCCTAAGGCTAGAGAGAGGGGTCGGTGGGGTACCCTGCACCTCCCAAGGACCTTTTTGGGGTACCCTCTCAACCACCGCACTCTTTTTAGTACCCTCAATCGATTGTCTCGTACCCTTTCTTTCCCTTTCTGACCCCTCTTGAACCCCGAGGATCATAACACAAAACAAATAAGTGATGTGTTGGGGTCGGTTACAAGAAATCTTCACCAGTAGAGCATAGAATTCTATATAGAGATATTTTTTGCGTTTCTGAATGCCCTTCCTTTTCGAAATCCCTGAAAATTCTCAATTCTGTAACTCTTCGCGCCAATTTTGAAACAGAGTTTGAAAACTTCATTATCGATTATAAACGCTAATCACAAATTGACAAGTGAAATGAAATGACGAGAAAAAGAAAAACACAAACTCTGTATATCACAGTCGCATCGGGAATTAACAATTGAGCATGAATGGGGAAGGAAAGTGCACAAAATAATTGCGGACTGACAAAACATGAAGGCAGCACAATAAAGAAACCACTAGACCATGCACAGGGACTAAATAGAATAATTTGATTAGATGCTGACGAGCAATAAAAACCAATGTTTATTTTGCCGAAGAATCATCTTTGCTCGGCGAGAAGTGAATCCAAAGCAGCTACCTGAAAAGAAAATTTTAAATCCTACCACTACCCATGTAAATCTACCTTATCACCAGATTTCGACTTGACAGCGGCAAACGTTCGAGAAGCAGGGAATCCCATTTGTACAATTTGAGCCGCCACTGAGCCATAATCGCTTATTTTCTAAAAAAAAGATAGTATTTGCTAATATCATCGTTCAACATTGCTTTAACAAAAACTAACGCTTACTTGCTTATCGTCGAGTTGACAAGAGACAAGAAAGTCCAACGTTTCAACGATATTCACATCAAGTTTCTCGAGTGAACGCATTCCTTTCATGTAGTATTCAATCTATAAAAGTAAGACAAAACGGTGCTGTAGTTAAATAGCTTAATAAACTAGCTTCAAAACTTACAAATTGAATCCTTTCTCTAGGGAGTCGTTCCAACGTTATTGTGACTATATTTCCTCGATAACCTAAAATTTATTTTGAGGTGAGAGGAAAGAATCGCATACCTTTTGCTAATAGACGAGCTCTCAATTGTGCGATGGCTGGTAACTCAACTGGCGGTGATCTTGTTGGAATTGCTGGTCGATAAGCTACGCTCTAAAACAAAACATCTAACCAATAAACGAAAAGCCCACTTGATGCCCGGGGATTGGTGGTGGAGTGTTCGAAATGCCGGATTGGGGCGTAGAACCTCCTGACGTTTCTCTTCCTGGCTGTGGTGTTTCTCCATTCTTTGTGTGTGCTGAGAAGGATACCATGCCGTTTGTAGCAAGACTTACAGTATCCTGAAAATATAATAACTAAGCGTTTAACCCATAAAGTTTCACCTTTCCTCGACAGACTTCTGTATTTGCAGACGCCACTGGATTTATTGCAATTTTACTCAAGACCTAAATTACGAGTTAACTGAGTTTTTTAAAGAGGAGCAAATCTCCTAAAATTAACTCGCTCAGTAATCGCTCCATGTTTGATCATGGTTGATCAGATCTGGCTACTGAAATATGCTATCACTTTTAAGCATATTTACCATCATTGCGAGCTTAATATACAAGATGTTCAAAAAAAGCCGGTTCCCCTTAATTTTCCAAAAATTTCTGGTGGCTCCTGGTGGTCGTTGTGGTGCCAAAGTGAATATTTCGGGCTGGAAAATTTTTGATATTTTTTCACTTTTTCCCGATTTCATGACTTCCTATGCATGAATTTTCTGAGCCACCATGGTCACCACAACCGTGAAATTTAAAAAAAAAGTAAAATTAAAACTTTCTACTGGCATCGTGGTGTCAACACATATTAGAGTTAATATATAAACTAAGATTTTTAGCCAAACACTTTTTTCATCTACATTATATGATAATCTGTCGAGATTTTCAACTCGCTTTTTTTAAAGAAGTGCCCCGTTTTCCCAAGGAAACGCTGATCAATAAAGTGTATGGTTTAAATTTGTATTTATCCTAATAGTGTTTATTATGCACCACGATGCCAGTACAAAGTTTTAATTTTATAGCAAAAGTCTCACGGTGGTGACGACCATCGTGGCTCAGAAATTTCATGCATTGGGAGTTTTGAAATCAGGAAAAAGTAAAAAATATCAAATTTTCCAGGCCAAAATATTCACCACAACGACCACCAAGAGCCACCAGGAATTTTTGGAAAATTAAGGGAACTAGCTTTTTTTAACACCCTGTACATAGCATTTATGTAAAAAAATTACTTGTGATAGGACAGCTCGATCGTCAATTGTTTTCAACTCTAAATCGTCAAAGATACTGCACCCTCGGCTCTCCAAATCGTCGAAATTTGAGTTGGCATTCTTTGATTTCTCTTTTGCTGGGCTTATTGTTTGAGGTGGCGCGAACTTTGATGGCAGAAGGACTTCCTAAAAATTGAAAATTTCAACTTTTTACTCATAATTTTGATTTTTTGTCTTTACAAAACTTACATTTGAAAGAAAACCGGCCGTAGATGTAGCAGGAACTGTCGCATCTGATTTGGAATCATCGCTGCCCGAAGAATGCTAAAACACGATTAGAGAGGTTTCTGGCATACTTGGCACAAATTTAGATAATGCAAGCTCACCGCACTATTTTCAAGTTCTGCAACTTTCAGCGAATCGTCGTATTGCTGGCGTGCTAGCAGCTCCTTCTCGAAATTGTACGTCAACTAAAAAGAATACAAATCCCAGTAATAATGAATCTATAAAAAAATGCTAACCTATTATATACATGGCATAAAAATTACTTGATTCTCACGTAGCCTCAACAAAGGTGCCGTCGGTAAGTTGATTTGTCGTCCAGGCATAAATTTTCTCCCGATCTGCATCGGCATATCGCGAATGTAGTCTGTAAAACACAAATTAGATCCTTTATTGATTAAAAACCATTACCGTGAAATCGATCCGTCATCAAGAGCGCGGTAACCCGTAAATGTTGATGATAAGCTGTAAATAGAAGATATTAAAGCTTGCATAAGAAAAAAAAAAGAAGAAAGTGGAGAGCCGGCGTCGAATCTACAAAAGTGGAAGCTTCTGGAGCAAAAGTGAAAAAGGGACTCCAAACATAACTTAAATACTTCAAAATCTAAAGCATTTTTAGCGCTTAAGCTGCTTGACCGAGTATCTTTACCCCCTGAATAACTAAATCAAGCTATTTAAAAACTAATAAAAATGAAACCATTCGAAAATTCAAAAATTGCATTAAGCTTATTGGGATAGTGACGTCGTTTTAAGTTCTAAAGTTCTAAAAGTGTGACTTTGAAGGATTTTTCAGTAATCAAGCAAGTAAGTAAGCAAGAAGCGCTCACTCACTATCCTTTTTTGCTTTTGCGAAATATCAGCTGCATTTCATTGTGTACATGACTCTCCTCCGTCCATTTTACCCTCCCTTTATCGCATTTTTTTCTCTCCTCTTCCCCTCCTAGAAAAATTGAATCAATCGTGTGTTTCTTGTTGTGTGCCAAAGTTTTCTCTTCACTTTTTTCGCGTTCGAGTTTCTCCAAAAATCGATTCAAATTTTAGATCTAAGATGAAGTACTTGGAAAACAGCAGTTTACAGCAAATCAGCGAGAAGATCGGCTCTGCATCGAATGATTGTTTGCTCGATTTTAAGTAAGTTAATTTTTTGAAGCTACTTAATCGTAAAGCTGAATAACGAAAGCTAGAACGTTTCTTTGTACTTTTGATGGGTAATTACAATGATTTTGGCGGGTTTTCCTGCGTCAAGAAGCACTTAGATATGGCTGTTGTTTTGTTAAAACTTGAACAAATTTATACATTTATGTACTTTTAGGCTTGAATCGTATTCGTGCAAGATGATACAAAGTGACAAGCGACAATGGAAAACGACGAATTTGAATGAGCGACAGCCACTTTCACCACCCGAAGACTGGAGCACTCTTGCTGCGCCGATAGGTGCATACTTAAACGTTTTATATTTTGCCGTTAATTTTAAGTTGGGTTAAATAATTAAGTGCGTTAAGGTTTGGTCTAAATCTAAAATTACAAAAAAGCAAACCATTCAGGCCATTCTCATCGAATGCGCCATCTCTCTGAACACAGTTGCTCTGGCGGGTCAGATCACGATGGGGATGAGGTAAATTTTTAGAAGGTATACGTCAATTTATAATTTTAGTTAAATTATGTTGACTCGATTTCCAAAAGGACGATGTTTGATCTCATCGCAGCTTTGAATACGTCTTACAGTGACTATGATTTCAGCGACGTGAAGAGCAGTACCTTCTCGAGGATGCGCGATTTTGAGGTACGTTTTTCTAAAAAAATAGTTTGTAAAGAGTAATATTATGTTTAATTGATTATCGGCTAAAATATGTCGAGAAATCCTTTTCTTTTTAGAGTGTCGTTGATGCGGTCGATAACAAATTGTCCACGGCGGTTGGTGACAAATATCGCTTACTTCGTGATGAGCTCTGGCAATCTATTGTGGAAGAAATTAAGCCGCTTGAGTGCAAGATCTACAGGTTATCGGGCCGTTATGACCAATTAAAAAGTCAACAATATAAATTGATCAAAAAGAATTGGTTTTTTGCCCGTGCCTAGATCTGTTATTAGAACTGACGTGAAAGTATAACCTTTTGAAATGTTTTTGTAATTAATTTGTTTAGCTACAACTCTGGTTATGATGGCGATCCGTTTAGCGAGGAAGGCGTGTTTTGGTAAATAATATTTCTCTAGATAGATTCTCTTCTAATTTCAGGGGACTCACCTATTTCTTCTACAACAAGAATCTGAAACGTATTCTCTTCATTTCATGTCGAGCTTTCAACAGAAACGACTTGAACTTGAGCGCCGAGGAAATGTGGAACGTGGAGGTCTAGAGAGGTAACTAGAGTTATTTTATAAATTTCATTTATCAATTTTAGGCCAACCAAAGGAAATGTGTACATGTTGCAAAGTTAACACAAATATTTTCCTAAATGTTTTTTCTGGTGTAAATAGGCTATAGTTTATCGCTGGATTATCGGCCTCTTCTTTGGTGGTTCACTTTTGTTTAAAGACTCTGGGATGTTATTTTTAGGAGACTAGTTTTCTTTTCGCTTTTCCGACTCCAAGAGAAATAGTATCTCAAGATGATTTTGTTTTTGTGTGGCACGGTTTCTTGCTTATCACAACCTTCGCACATTTCAGGCTTAACAATTTTCTGATGATCTTGATTAGAAAGCGTGTTTGTCGTTTTGTAGAACAGATTTCTCCTCTTTCCTCATTTGTCTTTGTTCACAAATGGTTTCCAGCATTTTTGCCTTCATTTTTGAACAATCGTTGATCGATACACACCTACCTACCTAAATATTATGTTGTAGTTGATTCCTTGTAGTCCCGTTGTACCTATATTGTCCCATTATTTGCTTCTTTATACCTACGTTGCAGCTCGTTAGAATTTAGTGTTTATAATAAAGTTGTTTTTCAAATTTTGTCTCAATATAATAATGGTTGGATCTGATATTTACCTCAATATGTCAGACTTGAATTTTATATTGTTCTCAACGAAATGTCCATGTAGCATTTACGAATTGGGCGAACTTACTTTTTACAGTGATGTCATCTCTGTTGGTAGACGATTCCCCGTTAAAAAAGCGTTCACGGGCATCTGATGAGGAGATGACTGGTAAGAACACTTTGTGCGGTATAAGCATGCTTTAAATTTAGATACTTGCACTTCCAGCTCTGCAGAAGTTCTCTCGGACGGTAGAGGAGTTATAGAACCACGTGAGGTTAATTTGTGATTAAAAATTGTTTAAGATAAGTGAAAACTTCCGGTTTTTGGGGGATGCCTTTGCTAAAACGCTGAATATTTTTGCTTTTAAGGTAGTTGAAAGACGACGTTACGAGTATTTGGATCACCCGGCTGACATTCAACTGCACTCATGGGGATCAAATCTACAAGAAGCTTTATCGGCTTTGATGATGGCTATGTATGGTTATATGACGGATCTTAGCAAGGTTGATGAGGTAGGAAATTTAATTTAACTCGAATTATCTAACTACTGCAAACGTTTAACTCTAGGTGTACCCATATTTCATTACGGGGCGAGGCCATGATTTGCACACAGCCATCTTTTCGTTCATGGAAGAAGCATTGTGTGTCTTCCAATCGGAACCATTCTTTGTGGCAAAACGATTCGAGATTTTGTCGATTGACATGAATTCTTTTGTTATCGAAGGTGTCGGATATGGTGAGGATTTGATTAGATTAGAATTGTTAAAGATTAAACATTAAATTAATCTTTGTACTGTTTTTATTAGCTTTGATTTAAGAATTTCTTTTTAGGTGAGTCATTCGATCTCGAAACAAAGCACACCCAAGAAGGGGATATCAAGGCGATCACCTATAGCAACATGCAAGTGATAGAGGAAAAGGACAAAACGGATCTTTTTGTGATTGTTGATATTTAGTCCTATTGTTTTTTTTCATTGTTGCATTACTTTGTTATTCTTACTTACGTGATAATATACCGGTGATCATTTGAATACAATTTTTAGTATTTGTTAACTTGCCGAGAAGCTGTTGATCTTGAGCAAAATTTACTTGAAATTTTGGTTTTGAAAGGAATTTTGTATATTAATTTATTTTAGGAAAATGGTCAAAGGCGTCGACGTGAAAAAGAAAGTCCTCAAGCGGAAATTCAAAAAGATGAAGGAGGCCAACGAGGTTTTTTTAGTTATTATTCTTTTGCAATGAACTTTTAGATGGCAAAGAAAAAGAAGAAAGTGGAGAGGCTTGTTCAACAAGAAGAAGCATCATCTGATGAGGTTAAATTAGAAATGGTTGGTTTTTAAGGGGTTTTTATAGGAGCACCCAGCAAGTGATGATGGAAAGCCCGATGTGAACGAACTTAATGGAGAAGTAAAAAGACTTTTTAGTGGAATCTTATTGGATTTTAGTCTAATGATGGAGATGGAACCTCGACACCGGATGTAGTCAACTTTTTGTCGAAGCAAAATTTCGATTCACTGAAGGGACGTGTTTCTGATGCGACGCTAAAGGTGAGTCACAATGAGCCATAAAACCTTGTATGTAGTTATTAGTTGCTTCAATATGTATTGAAGTTTTTCATCATAACCCTTTCAGCAAATTTCTTCGATGGGTTTTACGACAATGACGGAAATTCAACATCGTACGATAGAGCCACTTTTGGAGGTAAATAATTCACTGAAAAATTCTTACTGATTTTTAGGGACGAGATGTTTTGGCTTCAGCAAAAACTGGCTCCGGGAAAACGTTGGGTTTTCTTGTTCCCGCAATCGAATTGCTCATCAAACTTGATTGGAAAGTAAGCTTTTAGAGCTTTAAGCCCAAGCTTAAAATGTTCTATTTAGATTCATAATGGCACCGGCGTTATGATTATTTCCCCAACACGCGAATTGTCGATGCAAACATACGGTGTACTGAGTGAACTGCTTGAAGGTTTTAATTGTCATTTTTGTAGAAAATCCTCTATTTAGGGCATCCGCATCTGACACATGGCCTAATTATGGGCGGATCAAATAGAAGCACCGAAGTGGAGAAACTTGCCAAGGTTTTTAGTGTTAAACCCCTTTAAAATATTCTCTTTTAGGGCATTTCAATTCTTGTGGCTACTCCCGGACGTCTTCTTGACCATCTGCAAAATACGAAAGCTCTCGACGTGCACAACTTAAAATGTTTGGTAAGTTTGTAGCAATAATTTTAATGCAAAATCACTTTTAGATCATTGATGAGGCTGATAGAATCTTGGACATTGGTTTTGAGATCGAAATGCAGCAAATTCTTCGCTATCTTCCGAAACGACGACAAACAATGCTCTTCTCAGCCACGCACACTCCTAAAGTAAGTTTGCACATAATAAATTGATGCTCATTCAACAAGGTAATATTTATTTCATTTAGGTTGATGAGCTTGTTCGGCAAGCCTTAGAATCAAACCCTCTAAAAGTTGACGTGCAATCGAAAGAAGAACGAGCCACCGTCGAAGGATTGGAGCAGGTGTATAATTATTTTTTTTGTGAGAATACCATAATTACCATTTTCGTTTAGGGTTATGTGGTGTGTCCGTCGGAGAGACGTTTCCTTCTGCTATTCACTTTCTTGAAGAAAAATAAAGGCAAAAAGGTTGAACACTTTTATTTTAATCCAAACTTGAGTTGTTTAGATTATGGTCTTCTTTTCATCGTGCAATAGTGTCAAATTCCACTACGAGTTGCTCAACTACATCGATCTGAAAGTCGAGTGCATACATGTATGATTTTCATATAAGCTATTTTATTATAATTCTTTAGGGTAAGCAAAAGCAACAGAAACGAACAACGACCTTTTTCGAGTTCTGTCGAGCCGAAAGTGGCATTCTGCTTTGTACAGATGTGGCTGCTAGGTAAAACGTTATTTGGTGACTGTTTTACATGGGTTTTAGGGGCCTTGATATTCCAGCGGTTGACTGGATCATTCAATTCGACCCACCAGATGAGCCAAGAGAATACATTCACAGGTGAGAAGCTTTCTAAATTTAGCCTGGGTATCTTCACACTGAGATTTTAATCTTTTTATTTTCAAAATTTAGAGTTGGACGTACAGCTCGTGGAAAGGATGGAACGGGAAACGCGTTGATCATTCTACGACCCGAAGAGCTCGGTTTTCTTCGGTAAATCTTTCTTAAACATTTTTTCTCTTTTCTCTTTTTCTTTTTCTTAAACATCTCATTCTAGTTACTTGCGCCAAGCGAAAGTGGTGTTGAATGAATTTGATTTCAGCTGGAATAAGGTAACTTTTCTTTTAGTTTTTTTTAATAAACCACTATTTTAGGTTGCAAATATTCAATCGCAATTAGAGGAACTTATTGGGAAAAATTATTATCTCAACAAGAGCGCCAAGGTTTGGTTTTTGTTAATTTTTCATTACTCTTTTTTAGGAGGCGTATAAATCCTACGTGAGGGCTTATGATTCGCATTCATTGAAGGAGATTTTTGACGTTGGAGGCCTTGAGCTTATCTCTGTCGCGAAATCTTTCGGATTTACCGTGCCACCATTTGTCGAACTTCCGATTGCGCACAAGAATAGGGTAATTTTGAGAGTTTGTATTGTTTTGAAGCTTTTTTGTTTAGGCCGAAGTGCGGAACAAGTTAAACGGAGCCGGATACAAGAAACGAAAGCAATTGTCATTCACTCAAAAGAAGAAGCATCACGGATAAAGATAATCGAGTGCCCGTTATTGATCAATTTGTTATTTTCCTTGTTATACTGTTTGTTGTTGTTTGATAAAGGTTCTATATTGTTACTACACTGAGCCTAATAGATTTATACGCCCAGACATTAAGCGATGGACGAAATTGATTTTTGGAATGACTGGAACATGGTTTTTGCCCTGTCCCAGTCGCTAGGCTACTAGTAACCACATACTTCCCAAGGGTAGCTATCAAACATTCTTTTGTTCCCACTTCCTGAGACAAATAGAAATCTTTATAACCAACAACAAAAAGACGCGAATAAAATAAAGCCGTATAAACCGAAATTACACCGTTTGTGCAAGAAAACGTCAAAAAAAAACTACTTTTTACCATTAAATCGAGGCTGTCGAGGGAAGCGAATAAACTAAACTTTAAAAATCGTCGTTAAAAAGATTTCTTTTACCTGTTGAGGTGGTTGTCGGCTTGATGATGAATCTTGCACGATACTTTGTCCTTGCCGAATCTAAGGTAAAAATTTGATTCGCAACAGCAAAGATCGCAAACCCAGTTTGTGAATTCTTCGTGATCCCGTTCATCCAAAATGCCTCCTTGTTGTAAAAAGAGGGCCATCCTCATTTTCGTGATGTCGTCATTAATCTTTTTCTTTCTAAAACATATTTGCTATTGATCAAATAATAATGTTGTGTAAACCTACTTGTCTTCACTCAGCGAATCGCAAACGGTTTCTTGTAGTTCAGCTTGAAGACACTCATAGTATGGAATTTCCATCCTGACCACATCAAAGACTTGTCTATTCGTCGTGCCAACTGGAGTATCCGCATCTTAAAATAAAACTACAATAAAAAAAAAAAATAGTTAAACAATTATGTATTTTAAAAAAAACAAACTTGGAATATGTAGAACTGATTTAGACTTTTTAGCTCCGTCCCAGAAAGCCTTCAAAAAACCATCGTCGCTTGTGTCGATTTTGCCGAATCTAAACCTCGGTACAATGGGTTTACCGAGTTACAGATAACTTACAAGGTTTCAACGCGCTCCATAATAACTCGTGGTACATAAAGTTCGAGATCTTTGACCAAATGCAGAATGATTAGTTGTAACATAAAGCGATTAGCACGATTGTCCCAATGAATTCCGTCACTAAAGAGATCAATAAATTTATAGTCAAAGATAACTTACGAGATTCGAAGATGATCAAAAATTGGGACTGACAAATGATAGTCCAAGTCGATCACGGAGAATCCTTCAAGACGCGCGATTTGTGCGGCCAGTTTATTCGCTTTCACGTAAAGAAGTCTACAAATCAATCTAAACCAGTCATTTAAAACTCTACGTACCTGATCACTTCTTTATTATTTCTTGTATCCCCATCATATCCACCTTCCTCGAACTCATTGAATCTAAGAAAAACTTCAAATCAAAATGCGAAATTGCGAGAAACCTTCCGACAGCCGGAATGCATTGTGGAAACAAAACCACAAAAACGTGTGACGTGGCTGGCAACGCCAATTTGAGACGGTTGTACGCCAAAGCACACCAAGAAATTAAAACGTTAATCGTAAAGATGAAGAAAAGTTACCGATTTTGATATTCTTCCAGAATTTTTCTCTGCATATTTCGTCCATCTAAATATGGAAACTATTTTGCCCAAAAATATAAACCAACTTTCATCAAGTTTGTTTTGATTGTTGACTAAGCCAAGTTTGTGATATCTAAACCTTTGAAATTAACGTCTTGAGACACAGTAAATACCTGGTAAGATCCCAAAGGCAGCTGTTGAAGAAGACCATTCTCGGGTATTTTTTATCACGAACCATCTGAGCAATCGCACAATCAAGATCTTCTTTGAAGCACCTAGAAATAGCACATAGTTATGCACATTTACCAAGTTCACACCGAGTAGTGAAGTGATATTGAATTAAATGATTTTCGGTGTGATATTCCCGCGCCTGTACGAAAACTCTCTCGCCTTTGAATTTATCCATATCAATCTGAAGCAAAATCAATTACAAAAGTCAAACAGAGCAACCTGTCTATCGTTGAAGCACGAGATTTCACTCTTTGTCTTCAAAACGTGCGGCTCAGTAAGCTGCAAACGTCCCGTATCGATGATTCTTATTAAATCCTTGTAAAGTCCACGCATGACTAAACATAGATAATTGGAAAATAAACTAAAAGATTTCATTTCAATTTAAACAATGTCTATAGTAGTCAGTTTTTTCACAAGGAGATTTCAGAAAATGATTTAATTTATCCATATCAATCTAAAGCAAAATACAGGCTAAAATATACAATATAACACGGATTTAAGAAGTCAACACTCACGTGAATCGCCAATCAAAAGCGTGTGCTGTCCATGAAAGATGTCGCTGATGTATTGTGCGCTGAACGGACTGTAGAACTCGTTATTGGGCTGATTCCGTTGAGTGTTCCAAGCCATGCTTACTAAAAAAGAAAAGTGGTGCTATAGTAGTTGGGGGCGGGGGAGGGGGCAGTCATCTCTATTGAGCCAGAGCGCACTAATTTTGGCTTCTAGGGTTTTTAATGGCGTAGATTATTAATTTAGTATTTATTTAAGCTTTAGTGACTGTTTTCTAGCTATTTCAAGCAGTCACTGAGGTTTTAAATCTCCTAATTAATTCTTAATCTTAATTCGGTCCCGCACCTCTAAACCCAGTGGAGATAGAGGTCACTCTTGAAGGCTGTTGCTCAAACTAGCATAAAAGTTGTTCAGAATGGTTTATAAATGCTTTCAATGGATTCAGTGCAATTAATTACCTCAGAAAAAGTTTTTAAAACTAGTGGCAAGTTCGAAAAACCCTTTTAACCTTTATAAACTGCCCCCCAGCTACTATTGCACTGGAAAAGTTATAACATCTTAGAAGATAGAAAAGACGCGAAAAATGAGTGCATGAAACAACAAAGAAAAAACTATTTTTCGTGAAGGTTTGTTTTGTTAAATAGCAGCAAAGCCTTACCAAATTGAAAGTATTCAATATTATCAATGAGTATTTTTAACTAAGGTATAAAACATTATAATCCGTGCTCCGTGGTCATTTGACTTTCTGGGAGTGGGACAAATGCGATCTTTTTTTTGCGCACCCGGACACTTGCGCACCTTTTTTCCGCACTTAGCCCATTAGCGCACCTTTTTTTCCGCGCCTTGTCCATTAGCGCACCTTTTTTCGCGTTTTAAAAAAGCTCTAAAAAGCTAATATTAACCAATTTCTATTCCAAAAGTTGTTTTTCTAGGTAATTTTAGGGCGTAGAATCGAAATTTTGACATAACAGAGCGTGTGAAACCAATTTGAAAGACAAAACGGCTAGGTCAAATTACAGAAAATTGTCGATTTTTCTCTTTGTAAAACTCCGTCCGTTTGTTTCCACAAGCTCTGATATGTCAAAATTTCGATTCTACACCCTAAAATTACCTAGAAAAACAACTTTTGGAATAGAAATTGGTTAATATTAGCTTTTTAGAGCTTAGGTTTCTTAGTTTTTCGTTGTTCATTGTTCATCGCCGATTGCTGTCTCCACTACCTGGTTGGACTGTAAGTAGTTCTCTGATTTAGTGATCTTGTAGCTCGCATAATATTTGATATGCAGAGAAATCAGTTTCCAAGAGATATCGGTTGATGGAGGGCATCTGTGACCATTTCTCTTGTTCTCTGCTCAGCGCTTACTCAAGGAAAACCCCTTTTCCCTTTCTCTTAGAATCCATAACCCTACAAAAAACGCACTGATCTTGTAGCCTCAAAACCAAATCATCGATACACGATTTTTTAAGACAACTCACAACAAGTGTTTGCTAATTTAAAACACTGTCACTGATTTAATGTTGATGATAACTGTGCTAATAACTTTGCTTCTTTATGCGGAGCACAGTTTTTGCACGAATATTCCTGTTTTGCTAAACACCAACACAAATCCCGAGAAACCGATCTTCACCGAATCAGCGACGATCATCACTATGCAGTCGGGTGACCTAAGCGATATTGAGAATTGCCCAGAGATGAAGAGAAATGGAAGCAGTGATGGCCCTTGGGTCCCGTGTAACTTTTTGAGTGAAACGTTCGTCCGTTGTGAGACACCAATCTTGGCCAATTCCTCCCCAAACGCAACCATTAAAGGGACTTGCGCCCGTTTTGGCGGCTTGAACTATGAAGATGTCCTACGCACCAATGTCAGTTGTTCAGTCATCGGCTGTATTGAGTGCTACGGACCTAGGACTTTCTACCGTGAAGTACCGTGTGTAAAATACACTGGTCATTATTTTCTGTCAACTTTGCTTTATAGCATATTCTTGGGAATGATCGCTGTTGATCGTTTTTGCCTTGGCTATTCAGCGATCGCCGTCGGGAAATTGATGACACTGGGCGGGTTGGGCGTTTGGTGGATTATCGATATTTGTTTACTTGTCACTGGAAATTTGATGCCCGCAGATGAGTCGAATTGGGAACCTTACTATTAGCCCAAAATAAACTTTATCATTGTCCTCTCATTTTCATTTTGTACAGATTTTTGTGCTTTTTTCTTTTCTCATTTCGATACGGGTCATTTCGTGCGGGTTTAATAAAAGTTGAAATTTAGATGATCCCCATCTTACTAATCGCTGTGTTGGTGACGGCAACGAATGGAATAGAACTGACGTTCGAGCTGCCCGACAACGCGAATCAATGCTTTTATGAGGAGATTCAGGCTGGAACGGAGAGCGTTTTCGAATTTCAAGTAGGTTTTGTTAGTTTGCATGAGACTTTGAGACCTAGAAGTGGTTGGATTGAAATTTTGAGCCTTGTTTTTCAAATTACCAGTCAAGCTTAAGGTTCATGCGTCTAATTGATCTGTGAAAAAAGATACTGTAAAATTGACTAAACTTTTTATTTCGAATTCATAAACTTTGAGAAACCGCCTATCCGCTCACAATCTTTTACTTATTCATTTTGTTTAGGTAGTGACCGGTGGTCAATATGATGTTGACTTGACGCTTGAGGATCCACACGGCAAAGTGCTCTACAAGGACACAAAGAAACAATATGATAGCTACACTTGGAAAGCAGAGGTTTGTACAGTTGAAGATTTGGTTAAAAAAGTGTTTTGCAATTTGTGAGTTAAGATGCTTAATTCAAGAAAAACCGAAACGCCCGTTATTTTTATTTTTTAGACCGTCGGTACCTACAAGGCCTGCTTTTCCAACGAATTCTCTACATTCTCGCATAAAATCGTTTACATGGATTGGCAGGTAAACGTTGCATATTTTTAACCGGTAACTCTTATAATATGTTAATCCATCAAATATATTTAAAGTTTATTTTTAGATTGGAAATCAGCAAAAACAGCAACATGTGCCTGATGCAAACCATCCGATGAACTCCTTGGAAACGAGTGCCGTTTCGATTGGAGACAAATTGCGGGTTGTTGATGATTATCAAACGCATCACAGGTGAGATTTGTTATGACTAAGTTTTCCTAATAGCACAAAACTGGTTTCACTATTTGATGAATATGTATTTGTTCTTTAAGGCTTCGCGAAGCTACCGGCCGCAAGCGAGCCGAACAATTGAACGAGCGAGTGTTATTGTGGAGTCTTGGGCAAACTGCGGTTATCGTTTTGATGGGAGTTGCACAGGTAAAGTTTAGTTGAGTTGAATTAGTTCAAAGGCTTAGCTATGTAGATAGCTGAAATTCTTATGTATTTTTAAAAGTCTTCAATTTCTGTATTTAGGTTCTCATTCTTCGGTCATTTTTCTCCGACAAACCTCGACGACCTTTTTAAATAGCATCGATGTGAGTTCTTCTTTAGAGATTTCGTACCTCTTTTTGTAGATTGATTTCTGGCTGTGATGAATTGTTTTTTTTAATTTTGTGGTCTTCTCGTATTCTCCTTATTTGTGGGTATCATTTGTGCATATTTTTCTTTTAACTAAGCCACTATTTATATAATATTCATAAATCGTGTATTGGTTCAGTTTTTTTTTGCCAACTAATTGTGATTATTTTGTGTGTTGAGTAAAAAGGGATAAATAGTTTATCGAATAGGGGATCGACAAACGGAAAGACTTGAGTAGTACCCGTTTTAAGAGATCATCTTTTTTGGAGATCGTTTCAGATTTGATTGCTTTGACGATTCGATTTGAATGGATTACACCATGAATTCGCTGGGAATCGTATAGATGGGCACTGGTGGTCTTCCTGAAATCTGATGATCAATGGGGTATGGGATTTTTTTGAATTAGTTTTGAAATTGAAATTGAAAGTTAAAAAACTGGTTCAGGTCCAACCACTGGCATTTAAGTTCACTTATCCTGAAGCTAGAACTTGGCTAGCATAAACCAATTTCTCAGGATTTTACTGACTTTTCAATATCTTAATTTGTAAGAGAACTAGTAAATAGACCTTTCAAAATTCACAATTTCTCACCTGTGCTCTCCTTTTGCACCAGCCGACACTCAAAAGTCGCATTCTCGGTTCGAATGAAGAATTGAATCAATTTCGGCAAGGCCAAACAAAAGGCGCCCATCAAAACGCCGATGGCGACGAGTAGATATAAACATTGGGTGAAATAGTAGGCGAAACCGAGAATTGACGCGATGATCACGAAGAAATAGAGAATGAGTAAACGAGTGAGTGAGCCGGAAATCGAACAAAATAGGGAAGTCGAATCTTCTCTGGTGATCCCCGCGGCTTTTTGTGCTTTTAGATTAAGAGCCGTCATTCTCTTGTGGAAATTTGGTAATGATTAGGGAAATCTTTGAAGATTCAAATAGTCACAGTCGACCTTTTATAGTGATTTGCAGGGGTTGCTTGAGAAGACGATTATGGTGATTTCGGTCAGAGAATTTGGAGAAATTCGAGATTTTTGGGGGAAAATGAGAGAAATTAGAGAAAATTTTCGGGTAAAAAGGGGTAGAAGGACGAATAGATTTTGGCAGAGAGAAAATGCATGGACGATCGGGGACTCGTCGTGGAAATTTGCGCGTCAGGCGCTGAACTTTTCTCTCTCTCTCTCTCAGAAAGGGAAAAAGGAGAAAGCAGAAAGGGAAAAAGAGAGGAAAAAGGAGATCTTTTATATGAAAAAAAGAGCGAGTTGATCACTAAAATAAGACAATTTTCAATGTGGTTTTGTGATTTTTTGGTTGTTTTTCTGTGGATTTCCAAAATCGATCCCTGAACGGGTGCGATTTTTCAGGGAAAAACGATCTGTTTTCCCTTTAAAGCAAAAAGTTTTATCACCAATTTGAGGGTTTTGAAAATCTTCAAGATCAATGTGGATCGAAATAGAAAGATAATAGAAAGATAATATAAATAGAAAATCCAAAATGGGAAGTTTAATTTGAATCGAAAATCCAAGTCTTTTTCTCATTACAGTACTAAAAATAAAATTGTGACCAAGGGTTTTCTAAAAAAAATGCGCTTGTGGAAAGCCTAGAAGTACGATAGGAAAGCCTATCGTACCTAAAAGCTACCCAATCCAATTTCTTTTACCAATCTACCCACACATAAGTTAGCTATCGTATTTTCTAAAAGAATTGCACTTGAAAAAAGGTACTATAGCCTGGTTTAGCTGTTTCTTTGAGATTTTTTGAGCAGACGACACGATTTTCCTCCAATTCCGCACGCAAAGATGTCCGTTTTATCAAAAAAGAGCACCAAAAAAGCAAAAAAAAAATGCGCGAATAACGAAAAATGTCCGTCTTTTCGGGTACTTTTTGATTTTCGCACATGAGAAAGCTTGAAAACCCGACCTAAAAAGAGAAAATTGTTAAAAATATTACTAGACCCCTTTCTGTCCCCCATCCCTGACCTTCTTTGGTCAATTGGTTAAATCCTGGTTCCCGCCTAATCAAATGCGAGTTCACCTCCGCGTGCCACCAACAAAAAGTTTGCAATGACGCGATTGTATGCACAAAAAGCATACAACAGTAGCCAGATCTGATCCCAGCAATGGCCATGATCAAACATGAAGCGATTTCTGAGCAAGCTTCACCTTTTGCCAACGCCAAACCTTCAACCAAAATCCTTCGATTCCAGAGCTCGGCAACCCCCGCGGACTTCCCATCGTCTATTCGGGTATTCGAACGGGGATCACCGGTGAGAACCATCTCATCTATCGGCCGGCGATCGTCGAGAATTCCCGAGAGATTTACCCGTCGATGCGCACAATTTACAAGGATGACGACTGGTTAAATGGTGGGTGGAATTGAACGGTTTCAAACTTTCTCCCATTCACTTATCAATCCCATTTTCCAGAGCCCCAATTCGTCCCCTCTTTTGACGTTGGCGAGCACGTGTATTTCTTTTTCCGCGAGATCCACGGGAATGTCCACCTCCTATTCCGCGTTTCCCACCTCGGCAATCTGTCTTCCAGTTGAAAGATATCAACCATGTAAGTTCTGCATTCTACAATACCGAAAGGCGTTCCCAAATAACTTTGATAAACATGTTTACCTCACAATCGAAACTGAGTGCTTTAAGGTCTTTGATCATGGGCTTTTTACGGACTTGGTCGAGAACCGACGCCGGGAAATTGGGGCCGATCCTAACACAGGACACCGACCCGGGACTGTAAGTTTCAAAAAGTCAAGTATCGCTAACTGTGTACAAACATTCCACAATTCCCGTCCAACTAGCGTCACTATCCATTCCCTTCCATTTACTAAACAGAATCACTTTATTCATTTTAAGGACAACTGTAGCAACCAAAATATAATGTGGTGATAAACATGACGAGAATTTAAATTCAAATGGCAAATCAATAAATCGGAACGGGTAAAATGTGAGTGCTGACATCATGAGATGGAGTTGTTTTTCTTAATTGACCTCATTTTCGTAACCACCCAATTGCTCGGCGTACACCTAAACATTGGGGAGATTGGAACAATTCGTAAGCTATAAGCATCAGCAGCTATAAGCCGTAAGCTATAAGCATCGTAAGCTATAAGCAGCAATAAACAATCGCACCTCAATGACGTCATCTTCTTCCATTTCGAGCGACTTCGGGGTGTCTTCATCGGCGATGCGTCGGCCATCAAAGAGGAAACTAAAAACGAAATTTATTGTATCGCATTCAGCAGGATGCGCTTGGCATATCTTTAATATTTTAGCATAATTACACGTCCAGGGGACAACTTAGTTTCGCATGGGGGAAAACATAAATCAGGTTTCGTTGAAAATCTCGATCCGACCGTAAAGTTGAATTTTGGTCATTTAATGATTTAAATAATTGCTTCAAAACCGGTTAGAACGAAATTTTTGCTATTCGCCAAAGTTTGAGTGCCCAAATCATTATTAATAATGAAAATGCATACCGTAATGAAACGACGCTGACGCCAGTCCGATCCGCGTACGACTTCTTGAGTTTTCCCATCGAGGTTCCATACTTGACACGGAAGTGTACTTCATTTGCGTCCTGTCCGACGACTTTCAGCTTGATGTACTCCTTGTCGCCGTTTTGTTGTGGAGTTTCACCATCAGCCATACCGTATCAAAATGAAAAGAATCTTTCGAGTAATGTACACGAATTGAGAACATTTTAAAAAGGCAGAACAAGACAATATCTACTAGTGAGGGGAGGAGGGTGATGATTACTCAGGTTTAGTTCTAAGCATTTCAAGTTTGCAAGAGGTTTTACGAGCGTTTTTAAAATTCGCAGACAAGCAATGAGCGAAAATTTAGGTTTCACAACAACTAAATCTAATAATGCTCGCGATAAAAGAGCGCAGTCGGTTGTAGAACTCTTGCGTTTCTTAAACAAATTGGGTATAGAAGCTAGCAATTTTAATTACCAGAAAAAACTACTGCGAAAGTTTCGAGTATACATTCGAATTCGACAAAATTGTTCGAAAGTATACATTCCAAGCGTCCCCCTTGCCAGAGGCATTTTGCGTTTTTCTCGACGCAAAATTGGTAAATTGTGCGTCGAGAAAAACGCAAAATGCCTCTGGCAAGGGGGGCACTTAGAGGGGTACTCAGGGGGCAGAGGGGTAGGACACTCGGAATGTATATGCGAAACACTTAAAGCGCGCAACCTCCACACAAAAAACAAAACAAGATGAAATGTTTGCCTTTCCGCTTGCGTCGTGCCAAAAATTGTTTGAATCTTTAACCTATTGGCTGAATATCCATTGTTTGTGGTAATTTCAGAAATAGTGTCATTTAAAAAATTTTGGATCACATTAACCGGGGTAGGCTACTTTCCGCCATTTTATTTGCGCAACAGGGTCATTTGCGCAACTTTTTTGACGTTTTTTTTTGTTGTTTAAAATTCTAGTACGGTTTTGTTTATTCTTAAAAACCATTGTTAACTAATTTTCCGCATTTTCCCAAGAATCCGCATCCATCGTATACTGCGGTCAGACTTTACGAAGAAATGACGCAAATAATCAACCGTTTCAAGCTTTCATCGGCTATCAATCTCACTGTTGGACAAAACTACACACGGAAGAAAACTGTATTGGCTCGACAAAAGCAACGTTTTACTGCTATTTCTAATGGTCGCTTGCCCGGTTGCGATTTTGTGCAACATCTTTCTCAGCTTTTGACTTATATTAAAAAAATTTGATTTTTATTGTTGTCCTAACTTTCATTGCTATTGTTGTCCTAACTTTCATCGTTATCGGTTGCACTTTTTTGTTAAAGCGATAAAATATTTTACTAATGGTTATTAGCTCTTAGAAAGGATTAATTTAGATAAATATTGGAAGATTATGCAAAAATTGGAAGATTTCATAAAAATAGAAGAAAATAAAAAACAATAAAAAAAAAGCTCAAAAATGAAAATAATGATTAAAAATTCGAGTGCTTAATACAGTGTTAAAGTTGCTCAAATGACCCAGTTGCGCAAATAAAGTTGCGCAAATGACCCTTGTTGCGCAAACGTACTTGCGCAAATGACCCTGTTGCGCAAATAAAATGGCGGAAAGTAGCCTACCCCCATTAACCGCCAAATGGGGTGCACATCCGCGCGAAAATGTGTTTTCTATAGGATTTTTACGTTTGAATAGCCGATTGACGCAGAAAAATGTGCTGAATCCGAAAATAAAAGAATTTTTGAAATCCCTTCGACAAATTTTTTAAAAATCGAGTTTTAGTGATTTTACTGTGTTAAATTTCAGCCATATTTTATTGTCGGAGCCAAATTTTGGAAACAAAAGCCTAAAATAAAAATGTAAACCGCAAGTTTTATTCTACGGGCTTTTCTCTATCTTTTGATACCAAAAGCATAAAAATTGATAAACCCTATAAAAAGTTATAACCTTTTGAAAATAAAAAATATGGTTCCTGGGTTATTTTATTATCAGACCTGGGGTATTTTAATTAATCTTGTTTTCAATGTTGTTGTTTCAATAAACTTTAAAATGTTATTTCAAAACGTTTAACATATACCGTTGCAAACTGTGCGCTCATTCCTTTCTTGGATTAATTCCTGTCGAGGCCTGACAAATTCAAAAGCAAAGCATCTGTTCATAAAAAAACAACTTTACTTAAATCCGCAGAGATCGACACCATCATCTTGAAAAGAGGAAAAATAGCGAAAATGGTTTGATTGTAGCAAAAAAAAAGTTTAATTTTGCGGTAATCTGTCCGCGTTATAGTGTGCCATAACCCAGGAACCACATTTTTTATTTTCAAAAGGTTATAACTTTTTATAGGGTTTATCAATTTTTATGCTTTTGGTATCAAAAGATAGAGAAAAGCCCGTAGAATAAAACTTGCGGTTTACATTTTTGTTTTAGGCTTTTGTTTCCAAAATTTGGCTCCGACAATAAAATATGGCTGAAATTTAACACAGTAAAATCACTAAAACTCGATTTTTAAAAAATTTGTTGAAGGGATTTCAAAAATTCTTTTATTTTCGGATTCAGCACATTTTTCTGCGTCAATCGGCTATTCAAACGTAAAAATCCTATAGAAAACGATTTTTCGCCTTATTTCGCGCGGATGTGGGGTGGGCTAATTTCCGCAACTTTATTTGTGCAACTCGCCATAACTTTTTTCTAAGTGCGTTTTACACGCACCAATCATGAGCCATTTTATCGTTTACTTTAAATATTTTAATAAAATATGTTCTTGTATTTGTAATAAATCAGTTTTTGCGTACTTTTTAAAGTTTTTCTCAGGATAGCGCTTCTTGTTGATATCAAAATCTTTCTCAACTTTCCCAACGATTTGAAATCCGTCTCTAAACTTGATAGGAAAAGAGTGATTTTGTGATATGACAATCACCTCACATCTGCCGAAAACCCCGTTGGCATTCGAATTCAAATTGGCGTGAAAAAAATCTAGGGAAAAGTTTAGGGGGCTGGCCTAAGGGACGATAGAAAGCGGGCAGTGTTTGGCCGATTGACCCTCAGATCACTTTTGTGCTTGGGAGGATCGTTTCCCAATTTATCGAGGTTGTAGTTTTGAGGTCAATTGCTCCTTTTGCTATAATTGTTCTCAATTTGATTACCTTGGGTTTCTTTTCTTTTCTTTGATTATTAATTTGATTAATTGACATTGTATATTGAGACTCGTGCCGTAATTCTCTTAGATTACAGCTAGAATACTTGAATCTCAATTAGGATTGTAATCTGGGTCTGACTTTAGTTTAATAACCTTAGACCGTACGATTTTGTTACTATGAACTACGGTAGTTTGTCTAACTTTTCGAAAGATGCTCTTTTCATTGATTATCTTTGACTTTTTAAAGTAGCCGTAAATGTTTTGGATTACGGTAGTCTAAATTGGGTCTCAATTGGATTACGATAGTTTAAATTGAGTCTCAATCGGATTACGGTAGTTTAAATTGAGTCTCAATTGGATTACGGTAGTCTAAATTGGGTCTCAATTGTTGCCTTGGATCTCTACAGTAATCCGAATACAATAGTCATGCAATGATATCATAGAGTACATTAGTTTTTATTGTGGAGGTATTGTGTTCGGGTTACTGTCAAACATTGTAGAATAATTCTGGCTTTAGAATGGAATAAAACTGACGAGGATATTACTGTAGGGGAATTCAGGGGTTTCTTTTGCTTTTGGATACTGTAAAAATGAAAATAAGAAGTAAAATAGGTAAAAATGAACCCTCTTCAACAGATGCAAAACGCTTTTCTGGGATTCGAGGGGAAAAATTCGAGGAAACGATCGACTGAAGGGGAAAAGGTGAGGGATTACAGTAATCATTTGGAAATAGACAGACAGATAGACAGACAGACAGATAGACAGACAGACAGATAGACAGACAGACAGACAGCCAGGCAGATAGACAGACAGACAGAGAGACAGACAGATAGACAGAAGACAGATAGACAGAAATATAGACAGCCAGACAGATAGACAGACAGACAGACAAATAGATTACTGTAGGTTATATTTAGCCGGCTTCGAAACGAAACACTTTTGAGGGATTTGAAAATGAGCAATCGAGCACACCGCCACCAATGTTTTCGGTAAGAAAAGTGAAGAATTTTGGTGCGCCAAGAAGGGTGCGTTTACGTTCAAAATGCGGAGTACGGGTACGGTAACTACGGTAGCTTTCTAAAATGCGCTCTTTTGTACGGCATGCTTGTGGCAATCGAAATAATCAATTTGGTGGTGCTTAAATCTGTAAACGCACCTCTTCTGGCGCATTGAAATTCTCGATTTTTCTCGTGACACTCGTTGCTTCGAGAAAAATGAAGAATGCAGTGCGCCAGAAGGGGTGCGATTTCACAAGCTCTGTACTTTCTGCTGTACTTTATGCTCCCGTCAACACTAGCCTTCTGGCACAGTGTTTTTCGACAAAAAGTCGCTGAAAACAAAGCAATTGATGCAGCTTAGATGTAGCAATGTTTTATCTTTAAAAATAGCTTTATTTCTCTATTAGGGTGCTCCACTTTTCAACTCAACCCCGAATTTCTCGATCGCTCCACCATCCACCGTTTCAGCGTCAAATTTCTTCTCACCTGTAAGAGAGTTTTCCAAAATGACTACTTTTCCAAACTACTTTTTATCTAAAAGTACCGTAATATCGAAATTTCTATGAGATTTTGATGATCAAATGATTAATGATCAAATTGTTTAGATGCCCGTTCATTTCCCCCATCCACAAATGTTTTTTAATGATTCTTTTCCATTTGCTTCACCAGTTATTGGTTTGTTTTGTTTTTTTTTGCTCAAAAATTCACTTACAGTATACTTTAATGGATTAGGATGAGAAAAAATAGGAAGAAAAACTCTTGATAGCGAAATTTTCAGCATCAAATTTCTCGCAAATGCCGAATTGCTCTTTGAATTGCTCCTCGGATGACAGCGGGATTCAATCGGAGAATAGCTTGCTTACAGGTGACTGGAAAAGCTTGCTTACAAGTGAAATGAAAGGATTGAGTACTGTAGTTTGAGCGTTGGATTACTGTAGCTTTTGTAAAGCAATTTTTGAATGACTGGCTTTTTTTCAGATCATTTTTCATAAATCAGAAAAACTGTAAAGTTTTGGTCTAACCTAGATGCTCGAATCATTGTAAACACATCATTTCTAGTGCACTGAATTCTTTATTCTTCATTTTTCAATCATTGTTACGAGAAAATGAAGATTTCAGTGTGCTAGGGTGGATGTGTTTGCAAGTAAAAACACTAATGAGCTTCACAATCGCTTCACAATCACAAAATTTAGCTTCACAATCGTTCAATGAGACAAATGAGGAGAATGAAGAGATTGAAGAAAACTCACAAATAAAAGGTTTCTTTTTTTTTGATTTTATTGGGTTGATGGAAAAAGTCCTTTCCGATTTTTTGGGAGAGTACCTTCAATTTGTCGAATTTTGACGTTTTATAGCTCATCTTAAAGCTGAATTCAAGACGGATCGATTGGTAAAAACCGTTTTGAGATATCTCTTTTCTAAAAGTTTTTACAGCTATTTTAGTAAAGGGTGGCAGAGCCAAAAAAGCCAAAAAATGGCTGTTTTCACGTTTCGTTAGTTTTCCGTGCAGAAACCTAGACTAAAAACATGTGTTTCGTGATCAGCGTCAAAAATAACCCCTAGACACAAATTTGAGGATCTTCTTCAATCAAATCAGCAAGTTTGTCTTCGTCGACTTACTAAAATAGCTGTAAAAACTTTTAGAAAAGAGATATCTCAAAACGGTTTTTACCAATCGATCCGTCTTGAATTCAGCTTTAAGATGAGCTATAAAACGTCAAAATTTGACAAATTGAAGGTACTCTCCCAAAAAATCGGAAAGGACTTTTTCCATCAACCCTATAAAACTTTTGCATTAACTTTAAATAAATATTTTTTAGAAACAAAAATCGTTTTCGATTTCCCCACCCCGAATGAGAGCTTAGTGGTGAGAGATGAGAAACAATTTGGCGAAGTTTCTGGGAGATTGTGTGTCCTGGCACAGGCGACCAAATATAAGGTATATTGCTTTGAATATTGCTAAAGTTTATTGCTTTTTTATTGCTTTTACTTAAATTCAATCCTAAACAAAGTGATTTTCAGGTTACGGTAGGCGAAATTCGACGTCGAATCAATCCACCGGAATGTCTTCATGCGAGTCTAATCAATGGAATCTTGAGAAAGTTTGATTTTGCAGGCTAAATGGGGTTAAAGCTCAGGGGAGACGAGAGATTCTATTAGACTCGTTCATAAATCTTGTCTAACACTTTTGTCTAACACTTTTGAAATAATTGCTGATGCGCTCGACTTTCTCCGTTCTGTTTACATCGAAAAAGTTGGCTTATCAGTCCCTTAGCTGTGGCTTAGCTGTGGCTTATCAATGGCTTATCAGTGGCTTATCAGTCCCTTAGCTGTGGCTTATCAGTCGCTTATCAGCTCTTCAGAAAACATTTCATCCGCAGACTTCAATGCTTCGATTTTTATTGATTTTCTTTTCAAACACTACCTCAGACATTTAACATTTGAAATCAGACATTTGAAAAACGTTATATTGTAGTTGTATTTCAAAAATCCTCTTTGTCGGTGGCTCAGAATAATATTAAAAACGAAAACAATGACGCAACAACAAAGTTGGCTTATCAGCAGCTACAAATGAAGAAATGAAGAAAAAACGAGTTGAATTGAGAAAGGTCATCCTTCACGACAATGCCCACATACGGCCTGGGGAAGCCTGGGCTGCTGGGAAGCCTGGGCTGCTGGGAAGCCTGGGCTGCTGGGAAGCCTGGGCTGCTGGGAAGCCTGGGCTGCTGGGAAGCCTGGGCGGAAGCCTGGGCTGCTGGGAAGCCTGGGCTGCTGGGAAGCCTGGGCTGCTGGGAAGCCTGGGCTGCTGGGAAGCCTGGGCTGCTGGGAAGCCTGGGCTGCTGGGAAGCCTGGGCTGCTGGGAAGCCTGGGCTGCTGGGAAGCCTGGGCTGCTGGGAAGCCTGGGCTGCTGGGAAGTCTTACCTCACCCTCCTTATTCTCTAAACCTTGCCCATTGGATTTTCCAATCAAAGCAAAATTCCTTAGATGGACATTTACAAAGCGAAGACGATCTTAAAAAGTGGCTCTAAAATCTACGAGAAAAGAATTCGCTAACTTTCAACAAAATGAGCCAATAGAAATAATAGAAACTATTTTGTGTAAACTTGTTAGGTTGTGAATCAATTTTTAAAGAAAAATGTTACTAACTAGTAAGTAAAATGGGTTAATCAAATATGTTACAATGAATGGATAGGTTAAAGAGTAGGATAAGGTTAGGAAAATGGAAAATGGTAAGGGTACTAGTTCTCAAAAACTCGATTTTAGGGCAAAAGCCAAAGATGGAAACAAGGCATTGCGACAAGATTTGACAAAAGTCGGGTTTGTTTTTAAAAAATTGGAGAAAAGCTCATGTTTGAGTTTTTCAGACTTTTCCTGCCATCTGGTCGCCGAAAAACCACTCCAGCAACTGCATTTTCAGCTTTATGTGAAGGTTTGTGGAAACGCAACCTTTCTAGTGCACTTAAATCTCAAGCTTTTCTAGGAGAAGCAGTTGTTTTGGCTCAGGATTTTGTGAAGTTATGCGAGAGCGATTTTCCGACGAATATCATGGCTCAAGTTTGTTGTCAAGCGTGTACTTTGTGCTCACATGTAAACGTATTGTTTCTAGCGCATAGGATACATTATTTTTCATGAAAATTCATTGAAAATGAAGAGTTTTGTGTGCCAGAAGCGGTACGTTTATAGGAGAGCAGAAAGTACACTATGGTATATTCAGGATTACATCGCTTTCTCATCAAGTTTACCGTATGGCCTAGTGAGGGCAAGGAATGACTTAGAAGCTGCATTGTGAGTTTAAAACAAGGAATTGCCTTCTCTTTCTTTTCTCAGTTTTTCTAAAAGATGAAAAAGCTACCGTAGTCTTGTACGGAATACGGTAGCTTCTTTTGAAGAGCACTTTTTTTTTGGGAATCACCATTACCCACAGCTTTATCTAGGGTTTTCCTGTCTCGAATGGATCAAGTGATCTCTTCATTGGGTGTTTATCCACACGAATATTCACCGTCATCCACTAGAAATCCCTATGATTTCATCAATTCCCGAGTCACCGACGCTGTCAATAACTTTAGTTTGGTAAGTGAGTCAAAATTTTCTAAAACAAACATTTCTAAAACTAAAATTAAAACGTTTTCTAATCCTCTTTCTATTAGACTACCGTAATCTTACTTATTTTTATATAATCTATCAACTTTTTATAGACTTTAATATCCTTTTCATTCATAAATTCAATACCTTCACTGAATCAGATTGGATAAAAATAGACAAGCTTACGGTAGTTTAAGAGAAAGGGGCACGTTTTAGAAGACGCTTAATTACTTTAGCTTCATTAGGCTATTAGCTTCATTAGGCTATTAGCTTCATTAGGCTATTAGCTTCATTAGGCTATTAGCTTCATTAATGACCAGTTACGGTAGTAAAAGTATAGTATAAAAGCTCGGTTTCAGTTGACACACGGCTTTGGGCACAACGCTTTCTCGGGTGTCGTGAAAACATTGATGAGGGTGGCAAAAGAGGGAATACAACAAATCGACACGATTCATCATCAATCAACAAATATTGTATCTAGTTGAGCTTTTTGAGAAGTTACTCTAATCAGTCGTATTTTTAATTCCCGTGAATGCGTTTCTAAAATGCATCCTAGCTAAGAGGATACTGTAATTCGGCATACTGTAATGAGACAAAGTACTGAAAGATATTATTGTAGCTTTAAACGAGAACTGAGCAATGTATGGGACTATTGTGTCCGTTTACAATAGTCAGTTTACAGTACTCGGTTCTCGTCAACTTTAAAGCTCTGTCTAACTTACGGTATGCCACTTTTTATCATTTTTTTTACATTTTTGAGTGAGAATTATGTGATTTAAGAGATTATGGTAGCTTTAAACGTTTTCTGTTTCTGCTTTCTGTTTTTTTTTTCGAATTTCTCTTTGTTTTGAGCTTTTCCCACCGTATTTCCCCCCAAATAGGCAGCCGGTTTTTTCGAAAATTTCGAATTTCAATTTTCTTTTGTGATAAAATCGCGTGAAAAGTGTGGAAAATATAGAAAAATGTTTGAAGTTTTCAGTATTTCAACAAGAAAACGTTTTTTTTGGCAGTTACAGACAAGTAGATTTCGCGACGCTCCTATGCCATGGTCTTTATTACGTCGACAGTACGATAGTTCTTGAGGGTAAAAGTAAAAGAAATAGAAATCTGGCTTAGAAATGATGATTTTAAGAAAAATCGGGTGGGGTTAAGCTGCGTGAATTCACTCAATTTTTGTGCATTTTCCTCGTTTCTTTATTTCCTTGATAAACTTTTTAAAAATCAAATTTTAGCCGGTTTTCGATGACGACTTCGTGGTATGCGACACTTTACGCGAAACGAGGAAACGCCCGAAAGCATAAAAAATGGGAATTCGATGGATATCTCGAGTGTCGATTGAACAGCGAGAGCATTCTATGGGATGAGAAGCTCAAGAATGGAATTGCGAGGTTTGAAAAGCTTTCATTATTCAATTTTTCCGCATCTTTACTCACGATCTTTACTCACACCGTCGGAAATCGCAGCACTCGCCGAGGGAGACGAGTTTATGTTTGGATCGTACGAGGTTCAAATACAAAACCCTGTCGATGAGCCGAATGCGTACGTTTTTTTTTTTGATTAGCTTGCAGAAATTGCAGAGATTGCAGAAATTTTGCATAGCTAAGCGATTTTAAGTAAGATTTTTGCTTTCAGAAATATTTATAACAGTATTTTTTAGAAAGCAGGCTTCTGGGAAACCAGCGAATACTACACTTCAACCAGTTCAACCACCAGCAGCAAAGATTAGTGGAATTCGATCGTTAAAGAGACCGTTTTCAATGGTTAGCAGCGGAGAGTCAGTATGTTTCAATAAATAACGTAAATCTCCTTTTTTAGAATCCTACTAATCGGCATTTCGTGTCTCCATGTGGTAAAATCGAAAAACATGACGATTGGGTGATTGACGAAGAAGAGGTGGGTGTTTTTACGGAAAGCATTTGATAATGACATCTTTTTAGGGTAATATTGGGGCGGGTTACGTTGAAGGACGAATAGCGCATCGATTGAGACCACATCAAAAGGAGGGAATCGCTTTTCTCTACTCTCGACTAAAGGTATTGCTGCTTGAGATTGTAAAGCTTTAGATAAAATGCACTGTTTATCGGTTAGGAAAACAGTAATGGTATAGGGTATAAACATTACAAGTTCAGAATGAATGTGGAGGCGCGATCTTGGCTGATGAGATGGGATTGGGGAAAAGCATTCAAACGATTGCCACATGCTTAGCGCTCTTGAAAAACAAGGCAATTTATCTTGTTTTATTTTTTATTCATAGTTGATTTAGAGTTTGAAAATCGATAAGATTCTGATTGTTGTCCCGTCTTCGCTTGTTGATAATTGGATTTCCGAGTTTCGCAAATGGTTTCCGTATGGAAAATTTCCGGTATCTTTGAGTTGAAATTGTAAATAAAACTTTTTAGGCTGAGGCGATTCGAAAAGTTTCCGATTTACGAAGACATTTGTCTTATTTGATCACGCCGTTTATTGTGTGCAGCTATGATATGGTTCTACGGTGGGTTTAAGTAACAAAGTTTAAGGTATTTTTTTTTGGATTTTAGTTACGCAAGACATTTGTTTGCCATCGGCTTTGATGTTTTGATTTGCGACGAAGCGCATCGTTTGAAAAATAGCAATTCAAAAATACGGATTATGGTGAGTTACGCTTTCTAAAAACCACAATTCAAAAGTTTTAGTTTTAGTCAAAAGTTTCAAAAGTTATATTTTTAGCTCGAAAATATGAATATTCAGAGGCGTGTACTGTTAACAGGAACTCCACTTCAAAATGAGGTTTTAGGGTTTAAAATATAGCGTTTATGATGTTTTTAGCTTGCTGAACTCTACTCGTTGCTCGATTTTGCTGCTCCGGGAAAATTTGGTACTCCGGCAGAGTTTATGACATTAGTTGAGCAGGTAATTTGCCTAAACTAAATGTTTAATATCGTTTTTAGGGTGATTGCAACGAGCTTTTGGATGAAATAATGCTACGACGAGGAGCGAATGTTAATTCGAAATCATTGCCGCCAAAACGTAACTGTTTCAAATTTTTTATCTACCAAATTATTTAGATGAATACATTCTTTATTGTCGTCCATCGAATCTTCAAATGAAACTAATGGAAGCGCTTTGTGAGGACATGTTTGCTGATCCTTTGGTGAATTTTTCAAACCATATCATTATCGACAACATGTTTAGACCACGATTTTACACCTTCGCACCGTCGCCAACCATCCATCTTTGTTTTTGCAGAAGAGCTTAGAGATTGAATCGAAGGTTTGATTGTTTTCATGTCTCTAATAACTGAATTTAGCCAAAACTACGAGAAATCATAGTCGAGGCTTCTAAAGCGAAACAAGCATTCACTCAAAATTCAGGTAGTGCAATTTACAAAACATCTCAACTCTTCGATTTTTAGGAAAATTGATGGTACTGGGCTCGCTGATGGAGGCTTTTGCTCAGGCTAAAGAAAGAGTTATTGTGTTTAGCAACTTTACACAGGTTTCATTCCTTTGTAGCTTCTGTTCAGTCAAATTTAGACGCTCGATATGCTCGAGAGTTTTTGCCAAAATCTTGCTTATGAAGTGCTTCGACTGGATGGAGCTGTTGCGACAAAAGATCGTCAGGTTATGTCTATTTAAACTTCTAATATTATATAATTTTTAGAAAGTTATTAAGCAATTCAACGAAAGCAAGTACTACAACACGGTGCTTCTTGTGTCAACGAAAACGGGTATGTTAAGAAAACGAAATCTTGATGCATCATTCGATCTAGGCGGGACTGGACTAAATTTGATCGGTGCTTCTCGTCTTGTTTTGTTTGATTTGGATTGGAATCCGGCAAATGATTTACAAGTAATGTCTATTTCTTTTCAAATAGCTTGAAGTTTTAGGCTATGGCCAGAATTTGGCGTGAGGGACAAATGAAGACTTGTCATATCTATCGACTTTTGCTCACGGTTCGTTTTGGATGTTTACATGTGAACTTGAATTTTTTGCTCAACTCTGCATTAAATAATATTTAGGGAACGATTGACGAAAAAATTCTACAGCGACAAATCAAGAAAACGGGCTTACATACGATTTTCGATCCTGAGGCTCAAAGTGGTAATTTATTAATGGAAACACTTTCTATAACCGCACAAGTTTAGCCGAATGCAAATTTCGAGATGAGGACTTGATGGAGATATTTGAGGTAACTTTTGAATTTGTTAAGCTTAAGAGATTTTTTAGTTGAGTGGTGATGCGGAATCGAATACGCATCGTTTGCTAGAGTGTGACTGCGGTGGTGATGGGACGACAATCGAAGAACGAGAAGATGAAGACGAATTGGAGGAGGAACAAGAAGACATTGATGATGAGGAAGAAAAGGAGAATGAGAACGAAAATGAAGAATTGGATGGGGATCGAGAAGACCATGAACCAGAAAAGGATGGGAATGAGGAAGCGCACGGTAACGGTGATGAAACGACGCAAGATGGGACTCCAAAGGTAAAGACGCCAGTTTATCTAGAGGTATCACTGCTTTGGCTGGATAATGTTGCACCACTAAAGATTAGAAATAGAAAAATTAAAATACTAGAGATTAAAATCAAAGTAAAAGTTCAATTTGTAAACTTGAAAATTATTTGCTGCGAGTCGACAAACATTACTTTTCATCTACCAATTTCATAAACTTTAGGTGTCGATGGGTGAACTGAATGCCTGGCGGCACTACTCACCAGAAAGCCCCGCATTTCCTCTCTTTCTTCGTTCAGCTGGTTTCGACCCGGAGATCCCACCCGAATCCCTCACTTTTGCCATGCATTACACATCGACTTTCTAGTGTTTGTCTGATTATTTTTTGCGTACTCTTTAAAATTTTATTATTTGTTCATGTACTTTATCGGCGACATAATTTTCGGTGTTTTTGTTTGAGATTGCTACGGGTAGTAAGATTGTTTTCCAGTGCTAATAAAAGTATCCGGTCTTAATCGACAAAGAGAAATATCCATACAAGTTGGACTGGATTGATCTAAAAAAATTTTGGAGTTAAAGGGAAAAATTTTGAAATGGGAAGGCGAAAGTTTAAAACAGTCTAAATTTACATGAAACTAAATTTTGCATATGAACTCGACATAAAGCTGCGCCCATACCCTCCTTTTGCCATTTCTATTTTTTTCTCTACTGCTCATTCTTTGTTATGCTATTCAGTGTAGGTTTTTTTTTATTAAAAGTTTACCAATTATTTTTATTTAGGATAAAACAACAGGGAAAGCTTACTATAACTTAAATGTGTTGGTTCCTAAAATCATCTGCTTCTTAATCGTCATCTCGCTTATTGTCTTCGTGTTCAGCTATTATTTGCAAATTAGAATCAGTGAGTAGTCCATTTTCTTTTATATCAATGTTGCTTTTTCTAGAAACGGTTGAACGAAAGCGTAATTCGGTGATGGAATTCGAGCCAGCACTGTGGCGGGAAGACATTGATTCGGCCATTCAAGCTGCACAAGAACAACGGTGAGTTTTGGCTATTGTTTTTAAGAAAGATAAGATAGACTTGGATAAGGAGTTTAGATCTTGGCAGATCAACTACAAAACTAAGATATCAGCCTTAAAATTTTCTTTGTCAGGTCCGCCACCGAAACAACGCATTGCGGTGGATTTTGGGCGAGACGATCGAGGAGACGGTTGGGTTTTAATGTTAACTGTTATTATCTTAAAGTATTTGTGTTTGAACAGTTTGTATAGGTAAATTATTTTTTCGCTTTGGAAGACTTCTACCCGACGAGCCACCACCACTCGATTTGGCACCGAAAACGAGACGAAGAGCGAAAGGCAGTGGACAACTCGTTTGAGAAGATCTCTCGCATCAAATTTGTCGAATTTTCTTTGAATAAATATTTCGGTAAGCGTTGTGAAAAAACAAGTCAACAAATCGAAAAAAAGTGAAAGATCTTTAAAGGTTTTAAAGATTAACGTTGTAATAATGATAAAGCTGGGGGTGAAAGTAAATAGCTGCAAGCTAAGCTATTTACTTTCACTCTTTGGGTTAAAAGTCAAGGTTGAACTGCAACAAAACAGTTAAAGCCACAACTTTTTGCTTTGGTTCAAATCTGTAGCATAGTATGCAAAGTGTATCAAAAGAAGAAATACAATCTTTATTATGCATGAACAGGCAAGGAAACCAGGAAAAAGTGAAAATGAAGAAGGAAGGAAATCATGGATTGTATTCGATGGGGAGGTTCTTTCGGCGCACTATTCCGTCTCTCTGGAACCACTCGCGCTGGAATTGCTCGGCGGCGCCGTCGGGGGCGTTGGCCCACACGATGGTGATGCGATCATTGTTGGTGTCCTCTTGACCGCAGGCGAACGCGTCACACGAAACGGCCACCTAAATAAAGAGAAATTAGTACAGCCAAAGGAAGAGAAAAAATAATCCTAACAAGAAAGGAAAGTAGGTTCTTTTCCAATATCGGGGGAGCGGTCCGATTATCGGGGGAGCGGAAAGAAAATCGGGGGAGCGAAAGGAAAATCGGGGGAGCAAATTTTGCAATTTCTGAAAAATGCATTTCTGGGACTTTTATTTTAACTGCAACGTTTTTTTTTAAACTTGAACGACGATGCGCTTCTCCGATATTTGTGCGTTCAAGGAATCGACGGCAATCGATTATTTCGTCACCAAAGGAGTCATCCAGTCGTGGATTTGCAACTGTGGCGAATCGATGAAAGTCCGCTCAAAGGGAAAAGATCTATTTCGCTGGGTATGTGACACTTGCGCACGGCGAAATGTCCCCAAGCATTCAAGAGGAATTCGAGTCGATAACTTTTTGCAACAAAGCAAGCTCCCGTTTGTCACAATTTTAAAGTTCATACATCTATGGAGCCAGGGACTCACTCAATGAATACAATCCCTTTTTACAGTTAATTTGTGATTGCTAGAAAGGTTTTGTTTTGGTTACTTTTGTTTTATTTTGGTTACTTTTGTTTTTGTTTTGGTTACTTCGCTTACATTTCTTTCGTTGTTACGATCAATTATACTATTAATGAATAAATTTTTAGGTAGCCATTTGTTCGTTCGGGATTGTGGAGCGTTCGGCAAAAAGAGAAGGCGGCCGATAGGGAAGGTAGAGGTATGTTTGGTGTTAGATATTTAAGTCACTTTTGTGATCTAATATAAAGGTTGTGAGAATAACGGGTAATTCGCGGATTTTATGGCAGTACTTTGGATAATATAGGACATATGTAGCGCTGCCAAAAAAATTAAAAAAAACGTTGCAGTTAAAATAAAAGTCCCAGAAATGCATTTTTCGAGGGGGCAAAATTTGCTCCCCCGATATTGGAAAAGAACCGGAAAGTAGTAGAACAAAAATAAAGAAAAACTTACAAGAACTGATTCCTTTGGGTCCAAGACTCCGAATGCCGGCTCAACGTTGAGACGCTCGATGTTGTTGGTCTTGAAGGCCCATCCGATGCGACGACTGCCAACGCTGATCATCTAAACAACCAAAAAATTGAAAACTGGCACGAAAATCGCAACAGGTTAAAGAGGTCACAAGCATTAAGCAAAAAACAAACAATTAAAACCCTCACCTTAATGTGGTAGGTGTGCTTGTTGTCAAAGGGAGCGTTGAAGACGAGCTTCGAGTTGGGCTGAGTGATGATGTCGCCGGGTGGGATCGATTGGTCCATCTTGTAGGGTTGAAGTTGAGAACTGATGCTAAATTAAATTGTTATCCGTTTAAAAGTATTCAGCTACGAACTTTGCGCCCTATTTAAGGGAGCTGGTCAAAACAGCGCCGGCCAAAATAATGCGTTTGCTGTTAAATTTATTTGTGTTTCTTATTTTCATTGGTTGTAAAAAAATAGCTATCTGCTGAATTTTTTCGAGTCGTTTAGAACAAATCTCGGATGAGAAAATGCCAAAAAAAGAAAAAGGGTTCAAAAAGAGGTTAACTGAGCTTTTCTCGAGACCAATTCTATTTTAAGTGATCCCAAAGTATAAAAAATTTAGATAATTTTACTCTGCATTCAATAAGAATAAGAAACACATAGAAAGATAAGAATCAGAATAAGAAACACACATAGAAAACCAGGGCTATTTTTGCCGTGGCGTTGTTTGTACACGGCTTTGTTTTGAGCAGCTCCCTCAAACCTAATTAAATCTATAAACGCGCAAGATGCAACAACAAATGAGCAAATGAAAAAGTTTGCCCGTTCGCCAGAATCAATATGAATATTCGGTTAAGTAACTAAACACCTAGCACCTCGAAAAAAACTTAAATATGCGTAAAGTCCCTAGCTGAATACTTTTAAACTAATAATACAATCCATGATTTCCTTGCCTGTTCATGCGTAATAAAGATTGTGTATTTCTTCTTTTGATGCACGTACTATGCTACAGATTTGAACCAAAGCAAAAAGTTGTGGCTTTAACTGTTTTGTTGCAGTTCAACCTTGACTTTTAACCCAAAGAGTGAAAGTAAATAGCTTAGCTTGCAGCTATTTACTTTCACCCCCAGCTTTATCATTATTACAACGTTAATCTTTAAAACCTTTAAAGATCTTTCACTTTTTTTCGATTTGTTGACTTGTTTTTTCACAACGCTTACCGAAATATTTATTCAAAGAAAATTCGACAAATTTGATGCGAGAGATCTTCTCAAACGAGTTGTCCGCTGCCTTTCGCTCTTCGTCTCGGGTGGTGGTGGTGGCCAAATCGGGTGGTGGTGGCTCGTCGGGTGGGGTAGTCTTCTAAAGCGAAAAAATAATTTACCTATACAAACTTTTCAAACACAAATGCTTTAAGATAATAACAGTTAACATTAAAACCCGATCGTCTCGCCCAAAATCCACCGCAATGCGTTTTTTCGGTGGTGGACCTGACCAAGAAAATTTTACGGTTGATATTCAGCTAGGGACTTTGCGCATATTTAAGCTTTTTTCGAGGTGCTAGTTGTTTAATTACTTAACCGAATATTCATATTGATTCTGGCGAACGGGCAAACTTTTTCATTTGTCTCATTTAATTTCTTCCCGACTTTCATTGATTACCTTTTCCCCTTTGTTGATGTGCCTTGTCTGTATATAGTGATTCTTCACCCATAGCGATGATACTTTTAAAGGGGTACGCCGGCCTAAAAGTTGACTTTCAAGAATTGCGGTCATTTACATATTATTCGATGCGTTTTAGTCTCCTCTACAACTATTTCCTATATGAAAAACATGGTTTTCAATCGAGAAATGAAAAAAGACACGATTTTTGCTTTGCGACCCACCCTAAAACGTCGATATTTGGCTAAAAAGTATATAAAGGTTTCGTCCGATTGCATTTTAGCGCTTAAGCCCTTTTCTTTTGCCTATATTTAGCTCAAATTTAGCAGCAATCCTAAACATTTTTTGTTTTTTTTAATAGAAAACATTACATTCTAAAAAGAATAATTTTAAAAAGTTAAAAATCAGACTTAAGACTTGAAAAACAGGTGCCCAATTTGACACTGACTTTCCTTGGGCCGGAATAACTAGGCCTTTGACTTAACTAGACTCTTGCTTCTGTATCTTTCTCGAAGTGGAGTACCTTCCTACTAGCCCTCGCACGAGACATTTACCCATACTTTTTCGTAGTTATCCAACTTGGCTGATTTTACTTTCATTCGTTAGAGCTACCCGATTTCCACGATAAAGCTGTCCGGATTCGCTAACTCTCATAAAGTTATACTTAAAGTATTGGAATGGGACTGTCCTGGCTTGTACTTTATTTGTTTGAGCTGACGCTTAGAATTTATTGACCCTATTTTTTGTAGAGAAACTTTGAGTGCCCAGGTTGTTGGTTTTTGTTTCATAGATCGATCTCGTTTTTCCATTATACAATTTTTTTTTAGATTTTGGGTATTGTTGTTCGAGAAGCAATCATGAGTGGCAACCGACCACACTGTAAGTGCTTTAGATGTTTATATCTTTATCTAATCTTTATCTAATCTTTAGTATTCTCCAATCAGATTGAGGTTCAAAATCTTCAACTCAGCCAGCTACATGAGTTATTTCAAATTTTGCTTGGGATATAGTTTACATTTTTAGAATACTGGCTATTATTGGCTATTCAAAAGCAACGCCGGATCTCTACTGTGCGAAGAAGCGCCGTTATCATGATCACCAAGCGGATGTTTTTGTAATATTTTGTGGAAGCATTAAAGGTTAAAGTCAATGATTCTAGCTTATACCAATCTTGCGCATACGGCTAATCGATGGATGCCGCTTGGTGGTGACGCCTATAACAAAAATGCTTGGTGGCAAATCGGTTGCAGAGCAGGTACGTCGTTTGTGCCGTTAGATTTTTAACGTCCTTTCACATTTAGTTAAGAACCGGAGAAGTAACTACAAGTTTCTTGGTTGGAAAGCGAATTACATCCATGTTAGGATTTTCATAATGGTTGTTAACAATTCTTTTTAGGGTTAACTACATGGAATACGTGTGTCTTTCAATCGACGAGGACATTCGGGCTAACAGTGGATTCATGGTCGACGGTGAGGAGATCACATATGGTCAATACTATCAACAACGATATGGAAGGAAACTAGATGAGAATAAACCGTTTCTGGTATGTTTCAAATCGTTTCACCTCAGTTAACTTTAAAATTTAGAAGGCTCGACTTGCTAGCGGCGACGTCGTCCACTTGCCAGCCGAATATTGTCACTTCGCAAAAGTGTTCCCCGGCCGGACTCTGGAAAAGAAAACAATAGACGCTTATCGTTTCTCTCTAGTGACTGAAGGACAATTCTTTGCTCTTCAGAATCTACTCAAAGAATTCGACAAGTTTGCCATAAACGGTGATGCTTTTTGTATTTCATGTTGTTTAGTGCAGTGTTGTCAAAGTATTTGGCTCAACAAAAAGTTACGATTGGAAAGGATCTTCTCAAAGATAAAGCTTTTGCGCTTTCGCCTTGCAAAGTAACGTTATATTCCATTTGTTAAAATTTGTTACTTTTTTAAGGTTGAATTGAAAGTCGAAAATATCAAGTTGGATCGGATTCTCGTGATACTACCTAAAGGACAAGAAGAAATCCGGGACCAATTTCTGGACTTTGCCCGTAAGTTCTGGAAACATTTTGTTTTAACCCTTTTATTACAGAGCAATTTAAAAAGATAGCAAACACGATGAACATTAATGGAATAACAATGGCACTCGCGGATTACGAATTAGGACCACGTTTTGAAGAATCACTGGCAAGCGCTTTACAACAAGGAGTTTCTTTGGCGCTCGTCGTGGTGCCGGATGATCCTGTCATTTATGCCAAGGTGAAATGTGTCGGCGTGCACAGCGATGGCTATGGTAACTTATTCACTCATTCCTTTTATATTTTGTTTTAGTTGCAACTCAAGTTTTGACTTTTGATACATTGCGCAAAGCTTCAGAAGGGGATAAATCATTTGTCGAAAGCATGGTGCAAAACGTTGTTTGTCAAGTCATTGCAAAGTTGGCACCAGTCTCTTGGGTGACACCATCACTTCAGGTTGGAACTATTGAAAAGCGTAGATTTTGTTTTTAGATGGGCAACACGATGGTTATTGGATTATCTGTGGGACCTAAACGTTATGACTCGAACGGAAACGGAAAGCAAAACTTTGGCCTCATCTCATCTTTGAACGACAAGTTTACTCTCTGGACTTCACGCTGCCACGAAAATTACGACGAGAAGCGTCTGTCAACAACTTTGAAAAGCACGTTTCGGAATTCAACCGTTTTTACTAGGTTTTTAGAGGCATTGAGAAGCTACAAGGAAACGCATTATACCCTGCCCACTGCTATTTTGATTTTTCGGGAAGGTCAATCAGAGAAACTGACAATGGCCCAGGAGGTTAGTTCGGGCGAGAAATTTTGTCAAATTAATTTTAGGTTGAAACTATTCAAAAGGCGATAGAAATGGTTCGTGAAGTACTTACCTTCGAGCAACAGATCAAATTCGCAGTGCTTTCCGTCAACAAATCAGCAAAAATCTACGCCGAGATATTGCCATCGATTGTAGTGAAACAACTATCTTCAGTTGCATATGTTGAAACGGGGTAAATCGTGAAAAAAAAACGTGTATTTTGTCTTTTAGAACCGGATTCGATCTCATCTGTGGAGGCAAAGATTCCGTTGAAGTTTGCGAATATACGATGATTTACGACGGTTTCCGCGTAGGAACAGAGCAGTACGCAGATGTATGCCTTTTGGTCGTTTAAACTTCAAATATTTGTTTAGCTTGCTTCAAAGCTCTCATACGGCTATCCTGGAGGATGTGGCCAGCCGAGTGTCTACCCAAGCCCTGTCCAATGTGCTATCAAGCTGCGCAACTTCATCAGTACAGTCGGATACGATAAAGTGAAAAACTCGCTTGAGCGAAATTGCGACAAATTGTTTTATTTGTAAATTTTGTCGTTTCTTGATTGCATGTGTTACATTTTGTTCTTATTTATAATTTTCCCAATAAATTGTTGACCCCTTGAGCTCTGTAAAAGACATTTGCAATCCATTGGAAAGAGCACCGTAGTTTTTCTCGGAGACAAGAGATTGGGCACAATGCCAGGGTTTGACAGGGCGGCAATCGCAAAAAAGAGTCGAACTCGTCTGGTTGGTTGGTATCTATTTGATAATTGGTTTTGGCTGCTAAGGGGTTGAAATCTTTTCTGTTTAACAGAAGTGTCAACACTTGATCAACTTTGATGTAGTAATTTGCTCGATTCCCAGTAAAAACTGCATTATTGGCTTCTTGCGATGTTTATGCGTAGCACTCAGTAAACTTACTTATATTTAGAACTATTGCCTTGTTCGTTTGCGAAGTATTCACACTGGTTCTTCATTGATGATCCGAAACGTGCTTGGGCCATCAACGAGTACAGATTTGCACGAACCGCCGACAAATGTTGCCAGCAAGGTTTAGCAATATAAAACCGTTGATTTAGCTCAATTTTTAGGTTGCTGAGGTTTTCTTGACGGCTGGACACGCTTTTCAACGACTTGGGGACCTAACACTACAGTTGCATAACGCTGAGGATGTTGAGGAAAGGTAAATTTTGCGACAGTCTTTTAGTAGAAAGTTGAGATGAGTTTGCATGCTTTTTTTTAAACTTTTATTACATTTGTAACAATCTAAGCATTGATCAGGCAACACACTTCAACATAGAATTAGGATCACCGTTTTATCAAAATTGATAACATTAATAACATTTAGTAAATGGTCGGAAGGGGATGTTGAAGCACTACGGGAATCGTTGACGAAATTCGCTCACGAATTGGATACAATTAGCGAACGCGTGCAAAGCAGAACGATGTAACAGATTTTTCTCCGAATTGATCAGCAATTTTTTTAGGCAAATCATTAAAACGGATATAAAGAGGCGGATGGTGATACCAACGGAAACGATTCCCCGCGTTGGCATGCAATCATCATCCGGGTCAACTCTGACCGGTTTGAAGGTACTATTTTCTTTAAATTTACAGAATGACTAGAGCTTTTTAAAGCTTGTTGAGTGATTAATAGCAGTTAAAAGCCGGTTAATAGCAATTAAATGCTAACGAGGATTTACTATACTTTAAGTCCATCTTTTAAATGCTTAATCTTTATCTTTTAGCGACCAGCAGGTGGCCCGCTACAGATGCAACCCTCAATGGCGCCCAAGAGATTAATTCCCTTCTCAAAAGTACGTTATTTCCGTATGTCATTCTTAATGTCAAGTTTAATTTCAGCCACCCGGCTTTTCAACTGCTCCCGTGTCAAGGATAAGCTCCGGGTCCTACTCAAATCAACCGATACGAACAAACAATTCAACGGTAGGTGCTTACCTAACTAGTATTACATGTTGTAATGAAACTGTCTGGTTGGGAATATTATCGGGGCAGTATCTTTTTCTGTATTGCTTTCATATTCACTTTTCCCCCATTTAGACTTTCTCGAGCCCGCGTCTTTCACAACAAGTCGGCTCCTCTTTATCGTCACACGGCTCGTCTTCACAGCAAAGGCCTATGCCAAATGAACAATATTTCTCCAGTCAAGGTATACTTTTAATATATATTCTTGCAAAATCAAAATGTTTTGTCCGTAACCAAAAAAAGTTTACACCATTAAAATTTTTGTCATGTCAAACTTACAAGTTTCGACGTTTAGGTGCCTACATTCAAAATGGATAACTCTTCACCGACGGTGAAGTCATTTGTAATCTGTGCTAGTGAGATTTTTACCTATGCATATATACATTGCCTTAGGAGGTACTTTAAGTGCTCAAAAATTCATTGATGCCAATCTTTTTCATGTCTTACTCTGAAAATTTGATCACTTGCGTACTAAAAATGTCTCTCACTTTAATCTTCTCCTCCTTTTTTACGAGTAAAATAGATTTCTATTAATCGTTTCATGGTGTATTTTAATGTGAAGTTCTATTTGAAAAAGAATAAAGCTTGTGGAGGAATTATGGTAAAGAGGGTATTTTGAGTAACTATTTATTGAAAAAAATGAACAATTAACCACAACCAACAGAAAGGAAAACAACATCGACATAGATAGGCTTTTACCAGTTGTTCGTGGTTGCTTGATTCCAATCTCCACCTGTTCCTGCAGCAACGGGTTGAGCCCAATTGTCCGTGGCAGCTTCGGCAGCCCAATCCTTGATTTCTGGTTGAGCGGCAAAGTCGATTGGTCCTTCGTACAATTGAGCAGTTTGAGCTTGTTCAGCAGCAGCAGCTTCTTGTTGCGCTTCCTCCTTCTCTTGCTCTGCTGGATCACGGAAGAAGTAGAGATCGGGCATCACCTCGAGTCCATCCAAACAAAAACCCGTTTGGCGTGAAATTTTTCCCCTCAAGCTCAGCACTTCACGAGCCAAGAACCACCACATTAGTCCCAAAGATTGAGCACCCTAAATAAGACTAGGTAGTGACTTCAATACATTTAAAACATTATTCTTTACACTTTCAAAATTTTACCTTGTTATTGCATGGAATTGCAATATCGACAAGCTTCAGTGGTGAATCCGTATTGACAAAGCTGATCACTGGCACGTTGGCATAAGAAGCTTCAGTGACAACCTATAAAAAGAAAGTATAATTTAACAAAGCAACAAAAGGACCTGATGGTCGATAGTCGGATCAGAAATGATGATCACTCTTGGCTCACGGTAGTTCTTTTGTACTTGATTCGTGAGCGCTCCCGGAGCAAAGCGTCCGAAAATTGGTGTAGCTCCAGTGTGAGCAGCATATTTCATCAGTGCACGATGGGCAAAGGGACGAGCCGAGACGACAACAACATCAGCTGGATTCTCAATCGCAGCAATGGCTCGAGCAGCGAGAAGTAACTTTTCCCATGTCTTGTTCAAGTTGATGATATGCGTACCTGAAAATATCTTGATTGAAAGTAATGAAACAAAATTTTACCATCCGCGCGCCGTTTGTAGACGTATTGTTGCATATGGAGCGAAACGTTGGGTGTCCCGATGTGCGTTTGCGATGCAAGGAATTTCATCGCATCTTCTTCCTTGATTGCGAGCGAGGCGATGCTACCAGACATTTCTAAATTTTATGATTTAATCAAATTCATTAAAAAAATGCAAATAAGATAACAAGAACATTAGAAGTGAACAAAGCAAAAACAAATAAGTGATCAGATCTTGCTAGCGGCATACTTAGTGTCAGCCCTGGTTCCATCGCTGACGGCATGCTTTGAGAGTTCTCCAGGCAAAACGAGACGAACAGCCGTTTGAATGTCACGGGAAGAGATCGTGTGCTGCTTGTCGAGTGTTTTGAGACGAGATGCTTCCGAAGCGATGCGCTCGAAGATATCAGTGCAGGACGAGTTCATGATCGACATTGCCCTTGTGTTAATCTTGTTGTCCGGGTATACTTGTTTGAGCACGCGATGAATGTAGACCGAAAAGCTGTTGTCCTTTGCAGCTTTCTTCTTCTTTCCGTCGTTGCTGCCTCCCGACTTGCGTCTCTTCCTCTTTGGTGCACTTGCGGTGGTGGTTGGAGCCGGAACCGAGCCGCCGCTATTTTCTTGACATCATTCGTCCTCGCCATGTTTATCGAACGCGAGATTGCTTTCTGAAAAGAAAAAAAATAGCTTATTGCCTCAAATCTCACATTTGAGTACTTCATGCCCAAAATGGTAATAGCATCAGACTCAAATAGCAATTTGAAAAAAATCAAAGGCCTATTAACCTTTCCACCACTAACTTGAAGTATTTGATTTTGAAAACTTTATTGTCTTAAAATTTTAAACTAACATTTGCAAACAACAGGTCAGAATCGACCTCAAAACACAAAAACCTACATCAACAACGAAGACAACGAAATGAGAAACACATGATATTACTCAAATAAGCAAAAATAATTACGAACTTATTTCACGTCCTTATTCCATTGTTGGCTGTTCTGGCTGCTCTTCGGGCTGGTTGTCATCGGCGTTGTCTGTCCACAGGGAGAGATTGTCGCGAAGAAGCTGCATGATGAGAGTCGAATCCTTGTAAGAGTCTTCGTTAAGTGAGTCCAGTTCAGCGATGGCATCATCGAAAGCCTAAAATAAAAAAAATGAATTCCGCAGCTACCATTCATTAAGATGAATTCAGATTTGCATTCCTTTAAACTTTCTTCGAATCGATTACCTGTTTTGCAAGAATGCAAGCCTTGCCAGGAGCATCCAAGATTTCATAGAAGAAGACAGAGAAGTTGAGTGCCAGTCCGAGTCGAATGGGATGAGTGGGCGGCAGCTGTTCTTTGGCCAAGTCGAGAGCTTTCTGGTAGGATCCCTCCGATTTCTCAACCACTCCTAAAAATAAACAAAGTTATAAGTCATTTGAATAAAAGGATACCTTGACGCTCGTCTCCAGAGGCTGCTTCAGCCAAATAGCGGTAGTAGTCGCCTTGCATCTTGAGGTAGAAAACTTTGCTCTCGACATTCTCGGCCTTTGCAATCAAGTGCTTGTCGAGCAAGTCCTCCAAACCAAATGTACATTGAAAGTTGATACTTAAACTTACCAAAGCTTCCAAGCAAATGTCGCGCAGCTCCTTTTCGATCTTCTCACGATATTCCTTTGCGAGTTCTTGCTTCTTGTCGTTTCCTTCAACTTTTTGTTCGATCGCACTGACCACACGCCACGAAGATCGGCGTGATCCAACCACGTTCTTGTAGGCGACCGAGAGCAGATTGCGTTCCTCGTTCGACAACTCTCCACCGAGCTCAGTGAATTCTTTCATCGCACGAGTCATGTCCTCGTAGCGCTCAGCCTAAAAAAATTAACACCAATTAACTACCGTTTATTCTAAAACTCTTGTTGCCTTCTTACATCTTTCCTTAATCAAAGAAAGCACCAACCGTAGACTAGTCGAAAAATAAAATGTACCAAAAAAATACCTGTTCGGCGAGTTTTGCTTGTTGAACGAGCCGCTCTTTGGCTTCAGACATTGCAGTTGTGGATTGCTGTACCTGAAAGATAAAATATTATCCAGGCTCGTAAGAACAACAAAGAATCGAATTACTTTGACAGAATAGACTAGTTTAGACTTTTTAGACACGAATAGTTTATAGCAACACTAAACCAAGCTAAACCTTTTTGGGGAGAAAATGTGAAAAAGCAAGGAATCATGAAGCTTGCGCCGTGAATTTTACACTGCGCCGTCAAAAACAAAAGTTTTGCCACGGGAAGCTTGCGCCACTAGTCAAAGGTGAAATGCGTCATTTTGTTTCAACATTTACGATTTTTCAACACCAGAAGGAATTTAAAGCTCGATATTATGAAGCCTCAACTAAGCAACTTCAGCTTTTTTGTCAGCTTTTTTCCCAATCTAAGCACGTTGTTGATTTTCACCCTCGTCAATTGCTCGTTATTAAAAAAGGTAATTCTCAACGTTTAAGTTTCATTGATTATCATGCCTTTGTATGTTGACCCTACAATTTAAGCTTTTCTGGTGCTTTTAGTGTCGCCGTTCTTATTTTGGTTTTTATCAAGGTGTTTTGATCTTTGTATTGTTATTATATTTTTAAGATAAATTTTTTTATGGTTGATCTTGGTTGTTGAGCGAGATAAAATACGCAAGAAGTAAAAAAGCATCATTTTTTAAAGCTTAAGTGCAAAACAATTAAGAACGCTTTGTAATGGTGTAGTGGTGGGACAACGTTTCACGTTTAAGCTTACGGCACAAGCTTCGCTTTAACATTTTTGGCGCATAATTCGTCTTTTGACCTATAGCGCAAGTTGCGCGGCGCAAAATTTACGACGCAAGCTTCGCTTTTTGTTTTATGGCGTAAAATTCGTGGCGCAAGGTTCGCGATTGACATAGGCGGCGCAAGCCTCACACTTCCAAAAGCAAATACGAAAGGTGCTAATGATTTCTCCAAAAAACTCCGGCGGTTTACCCCCTTCAACTTGAGAATATTCAGTGAACAAATAAGAAATTTCAAAATGAAAGGCGGACTTTTATACTTGCAATTAATGTAGAAGTCGAGGGAGTGGGACAAATGCTACCTTTTTTTGCGCACCCGGACATTAGCGCACCTTTTTTCGCGTTTTAAAAAAGCTCTAAAAAGCTAATATTACCTAGAAAAACAACTTTTAGAATAGAAATTGGTTAATATTAGCTTTTTAGAGCTTTTTTAAAACGCGAAAAAAGGTGCGCTAATGGGCAAAGTGCGCAAATGTCCGGGTGCGCAAAAAAAGGTCGCATTTGTCCCACTCCCAGAAGTAGAATGCAATTAATCCAATCAGTTGGCCAAAATACTAACTTACAAGGGAAGGTCAACTGGCTGATTGCTGTTGATTTCACTGCCAAATTTGATGAAATTTTCGTATCGGAAGATGAATTGAAAGCTGCAATTATCCACTACGGTTCGAGTCAAAAGGAGTACGAAGTTTAACTAGCATGGCTTCCAGATTTCGGTGGATTAAGTCAAAGAGCCACCTTCAACGTCTTTGCGAGATCGAGAGAAGTCACTTAATGAGGGTGAACCGAATTAATCAATTGAAGAAAATCAAGCGCTTTGGACCAAGAAAGTAACAACAAAGTTAAAAGATGGTGTGTCTTTACATGATTATGACTTAAGACAAATGCCGATCTGAATTAATAGAACTCTACAACATCCGCTTACAAATTTCAAAGCGAGCCACAGCTGGATTCAACGATCAAGCGAAGTATCAGGGGATAACCAAATTTGTTTCCAAGAAAAACATTAGAGATCAAGGAAAGGTACAGATTGAATCCGATGCATTTGTAAGGAAAATCAGTGACAAAATTAAAAAAAAGACGGTCCAATGTTTTTTGCGAATTCCGATCAAACGGGACTTTGTCGTGAGTTACATGGAATGAGATCATTAGCTTTTCAAGGGGAACGAACTGTGGAACGACTTACACAAAGTAAGAATGCTCTCACACACAGCATAACTCATCCCTTAGTTTGCCACTAATTTTGATTTAGCAAGAAATGCCGTACCGAACCACAAGAGGGTAACAAGAAGGCTGAAAAACTGTATTTCTCACAAGTATTTGCATTGCAAAATTTATTTGTTTTAGAAATTGTTCACAGGAAGGAATCAGAGAGATTCGGTAACTTTTTGCGCTATATTTTGGCAAATTAATTTTGCTTTTGGAAGTGATTCACAAAAGGACAAGAAGAAGAAACCATTTCGGTATGCTCTTTACCATATTTCGATCAATCATATTGATTTTAGTAAAGAAAGCCGTGATAAGCAAGGACAAGAAACTGGCGAGCCTCAACCAAAAAGGTATCGTTTTGTTTGTTGAAATGTGTAATAATGATGTTTAGTAAGCGATGAAGTTCAAACACGGGAGGAAAGGCTAAAAAGTGGGTAAACTTTGCAAATTTGTTTATATTTCTTTTAGAAAACCCGGCTAAGAAAATTTCAAAGCTGGCGTGCACAAGGGAACTTCAAGGTGAGCTTTGGACGTCTTTGTTTCATTCTCCAATTTTCGGGAAGAACACCGTGAAAGACGAAGAAGGTGGAGAAAATGCTGATCCGAAGGGGTAACTCGTGCTATACAGTTTGTTGGTAATTTAGACCTCAAGACCCGAAGAAACAAGTGGCCGTGCGTAAAAGGGAATCCTGTATTCCGACCGTTTTTAAAGATGTGAGTTTGTATTGTAAAAAAAATGTAAAATTAAACTACCCAAACTAAACTTGTGCGTAATTTAGATGCAAGACGCACGCCCCGCAGTGGCCAATGAGAAGGTAGCAAAACCCAAATGGTGGGTTTGTTCATATAGTTGCTTGATGAGGTCTTTCTCTAGGGCAGATCCTCCTTCTGATGCTAAGACTCCAGCGTTGTCTCCGTCTCCGTTGATCCGACGGGTACGACTCCGTCGGATCAAGATGTTGGTTTTGTCGGGTGAAATTTATTATACGTATTGATATTTAGAGAAGTCATTAGTACATCGCTCCACCATCAAAACGTTAAATGGAAGACAAGCACCAGGTTTGTCTTTCCTTCTTTTATTAGAAAGAATCGATATTTAGATCAAATACTTAAAGACAGAACCGCCAATTTTTCAATTACTCAAGTTTTACTCAAGTTGAGCGCTTTTTTACCAATTTATCGGATTCATTTTTATTTGTGAATTGGCTTAATAAATAGATTTATATAAATAGATATGGTTTATCAATGATGAATAAAGTTTTTTTTAATGAATATATGGTATGTGATTCTTTTCTTTGCGTAAAATGCGTCACTAGCTATTTTAACTATTGGAATAATACGTTTTATTTAAATACGTTACGTTTTATTTAAATTCTTTTAAAAAGTAGCATCTCCTAATTAAGTGAATCAGGGTATTCAAATTATCCTTTAGCTTTCAAACGCCTCCTCACTATTGCCCGTTTTATCTTTCAAACTTTTCACCGTACTCTTCCTTCCCGTCTTCTCTCTTTATGCCCTTTTATTTGCACAAAAGCAGAGAACAGACCGGCTCTCTCTTTCTCTTTACTGATGGAATGCTGGAAAAGAAAGGAACCTTTTATTGTTTTTATTAATTTTCTAAAAACTTTTTCTGAAACTTATCATTTAGCTAGTTAAATTATCTATTTTTAGGACCAAGCATCGCCAATTTTCGATGGATTACAAAGAACAACAAGAACAGGAAATCGAGGCATTGGAGGTGATTCATTTGTTTGGAATTTTATCGACCTCTGCATATTTGGTCTGCATCATTTAAACTTAATTTTCTCTAAAATTTTCTTTGGAAAGGCGGCTGCTTCAACTTAAAATTTTACTTTGAAACTATTTCAATTTTACTTATTTCAATTTTCTATTCCAGGCGATTTATCAAACCGATGAGCTGAGCGTTCTCAACAACGATTACCCGGAGATTGAGCTGAGAATCGATTTGAAGTCTAGTCAAGAGGTAAATGCATGCTTTTGAACAGGAAATGGTAGTGATTGATAGACGATAATGTTGGTTATTCTTTGCACAACTTTAGCTAACGTTATTTTTGCAATTTCAATCTATTAAAAGCTAGTTCAATCCATTAAAAGCTACTTTTCAAGAATTTAACGCTAAATTTGATAATTGTTTCTTGTTTAGGAAAATCGTGGTGGATCCGTACCGGAGTTCACAATTTCATTACTCGTCGAATTGCCCGAGAATTACCCCGATGTGATCCCGAAGCTTGGCCTTGAGGGTGTTGAAGATCTGTTCTCTGAAGAAAGAATAAATCAGGTGAATTGTTCACCAATTAGCTTTTTAATCATTTCTTCTAGGTTTTATCGAAATTGAATCAAGTCGCAGAAGAAAGTGTCGGGATGGTTATGGTATTTACGATTTTTGCAGCTTTACAGGTATTTACTTACTCTCTTCAGTTTCAAATTTTAAAGTACAATTTAATGTTTTCATTTCAGGATGAAATTGGTACCCTCGTGGATGATCTCAAGCAACGGGCCGAGACCGAGATTGAAGAAAGGAAAAAGAAAGAGGAAGAGAAAAGTCGAAAGAAATTTGAAGGTTTGCTCGGAGATTTTTAATCGAAACAAAATCTATCTTAATTTATTCCTGTGCTTTAGTTATCATTTGCAGATTTTTGAGTAGTCGAGTTAGCATTTTATGAGTTTCGTCCTTGGCCGCGATTCTCCCTTTTATCTTTCTTTTTGTCACCCCTCGGTCTCCCCCTTTCTCCTATCCCAATCTCGATGAGAACCGCCCCGATTGAATAGAAACTATTAATATTTCATGAGCTTACTCAATGTTAACTTCTTTTATTTTAGGCACTGTTGTTACGCCCGATTCGTTTTTGACATGGAAGAAAAAGTTTGACACAGAAAGGGCCGCGCTAAAGGAACAACAAATAAAGGTAAATGCTTCGATGATATGGTGATTTTTCATTTAAGATAAAATCGTATAATACGTCTTTGGACAATAATTTTACCAAATTTCTTACGTGACTTCTCTTTTCAGGATCGCGAAGCACAATTGGCTGGGAAACTCACCGGGCGACAATTGTTCTTGAGGGATGCAACGCTCAAGTATTATTTTGCAACTTTAAAAAAAATAAATCTTACATTTAGTTTATCTGATGTGGCGTTGATAGAGGAGACGAAAGGAGTCGACATTGATGAGAGTCTTTTTGATGCAGAGGTTTGTTTTGTTGTTTAAAGCAAAGCCTATGCATTTGTAACCAAGCTAACTGTAAGCTACAATGATAAACCAGAATTTTAAAGAGAATTTAAGCCTTGTTCAGACAAAAGTCTATAGAGATAATTAGGTTTAAAAAAAGCTTATTTATTGCTTTAGGATCTCGATGGATTGGACGATTTTAGTTCCGACGAAGATTAGATTCATGTGTTTTGTGGTAGTCATTTTCTATTGTTTTTATAGTGCGGGTGATATTGTTCATGTTTTTTTGTTACTTTGTTTTGCTTTTAATAAAGAGTTTTATATAGTTTCTCAATTGGATTTGATTTGGTTTGATGCCAAGTTTTGCTTCGATAAGACTTGATTTAAAGCTTCTTTTGAGGGATGTCTGACTTTAAAGATTTAAGTCGCTAAAGCATTTTGTAATGGTTCAACCAATTCATTTTATTTCAGAGCCCCAAAGGGACGTGCGATTCCTCTCGATGTCCCATCGATCTTCATCATTGGCCGATGTGCCTTTTGTGGCCTCGTCGAGTCGTGGTGGATCAAATCATTCATCGCACAATTCGGTATCACAAAAATGAGTTAGCTCTCTTTTATGCACGATTTTTCTTGGTACTGTAATTAGAAGGATCTTTTGTGCATTGTAGAAAGAACATAAAGAAGAGAAGGTCCTTTAATGCATTACCGCTCGATTCTAAAATTTTTGGCACTGATTTAGTCTTGAGGAAAACGATTTCGATTTGGATATCTGTTTTTTAATCCGATTTGTGCTTGAACTCTACCGGTTTTTCTTTTGCTTTCAACAATTTCCATCGAATTTATTATATTTTTTTGGGATAGGTACTTTACAAAACCAAACAGCGCTTATTTGTTGGAGATTTTCCGATTCCATTCCGCTGAAAGTTGATGAGAAAACCAAAAAATTTATCCAACAAATAAGATAAACTAATGATATTTAGTCCCTCAAACCATAGAGATTTGCGGTACTAATAAACTTCGGGGAGGGCACTTTGAATTGACCCGGTCAGAATCTATTTTTACGCGTTGTTTTTCTAGGCTGATTTTGCATTTTCTGGGGTAATCAAATACGCGTAATCTATTGGTGATATTTTTAGAGTGTTTTTGAATAAGTTTGCACTTTGTACTTCAACCTTGGCCTCTTTTTAAAGCTTTGCGGAACTGCAACAGTTATACTTCAGCTAGCTTAACAAAACACTAGTAAACATTTTTCAAAAATTTCTAAAAAAATCACCAGTAGATCCAACATGTTTGATTACCCCAGAAAAAATGAAATAACATTGGTAAAACGGTCGAAAAATACGATCTGACCAAATCAGAGAAAAGTGGCCTCCCCGAACTTTATTAGTTACGAGATTTTACATTTCATTCACATTTCAGCTCTGTATTTTCCGATGATAATGCTGTCTATCAAGTGTGTAAGCGGAAAATTGAATGTCTTTAGTTTTCTATCATGTTTCTCAAGATATTCAACTAAAATCTTCAACTGAACTTCTTGAGAAACATGTAGGAATTTCAAATATTCAATTTCCACTTACAAATCTCCTTTTCAATCTTATAATTCCACCATTTCGATCTGCTCGTTTCGACCTTTTTGCAAACATTTTTTCGCACGTTTCTCTTTTCGACTAATTCCCTATCTTTCCTAGTAGATAGGGGTAATTAATGTTTTCTTTTTTTACAGAAATCCTCTCGAACCACATCATACGTTCATCAGATGCACTATCAGTCAATATTGACGCCGAGTTTATTGCCAGTTAGTTTTTTTTGGTTTTATGGAGTAATTAGACCTTTTGTATCCGTAAAAATCTTGATTTATCTTAAAAGTCCAACAACCGGTCCATATCAATTTTTGTTTAGGTGAAATCGAAATTTGATGCTGAATGGAGGCGTTTCTCGGTGCCGATGTCGGACGGGCCGATCAGCTATGATCATTTCAGGTGAGTTTTATACGTGTGAAGCTACGATAGTTTGCAAGTATTTTTATCAACAATCATGTTTCAATTTAGACGACTAGTCGAGGGGCTACACGGATTGCACAGTATACCATTCACTCTATGTTACACCTCGGTTCAGGGCGATCTTTTGCCGATCACAAATGACGAGGTGAGGAGAAATTTTGTAGATTCAAATGCTACATTAAATTTAGAATTTCCGGAAAGCTTTCGAGTCGGCGAAACCAATTCTGAAGTTGTTGATCCAAAGGAAAGGCGAGAGTTGGGAAGAGAAATATGGTTACGGAACGGATACAGTTGACAGAAGAAGACGGTTGGTTTTGTATTTGACAAAGTTAGTGCAAAGCTTGATAAATGATTAGACGCCAAATTTGATATGTAAAACCTATATTTTTATTTTTAGGGGAATCACCGCTTTGCTGCCTCAAAAGACGGTGAAACGAAACTACAACATTTCGAATCCTGAAGATTTTCGACAGGTAAATTAGCATTATATTGAGATTCGACGCGTTCTATTTAGGTATCATCAATTATCGACGTTGATATTGTGCCCGAGACACATCGACGAGTTCGATTATGCAAACATGGACAGGAAAGACCGCTTGGATTCTATATTAGGTGAGAGTTGTTTGTTGATTGAATTGCAATGGTAAATTTTTATTTTTTTCAGATTATCTTGAGCCCATTTAAAAAGTTATCAAGTTATCATTTTTTTCAGAGACGGTACTTCTGTTCGAGTGACGCCACAAGGCGTCGTGAAATTACCCGGCATTTTCATTTCTCGTTTGGTTGAGGGAGGTCTCGCCGAAAGCACTGGATTGTTAGCAGTAAATGATGAGGTTGGCAATTTTTAAATTTTTAAAATGAAATCCTTGCTCTAGGTGCTCGAAGTGAACGGAATTGAGGTGCAAGGGAAAACGCTTGATCAAGTAAGTGTTTGTGTTATGATTATCGTTTAAGGCAATAAGTTGTATCTTTGCAAGCGCTTTTCTTTTTATAGGTGACTGACATGATGGTCGCGAATGCGCACAATTTGATTATCACAGTCAAGCCGGCCAATCAGACGAATACCCTACAGGTTCGATTTGTGCTTTTTCTACTCAACTTTTGGAACTTACAGCTTAAAATTCAACTTTAAAAACAATCATTTTCTTTTTTTAGCGTAGCAGTTCTCGAGCGGGCGTCTCGATGAGTTCATCGCTTCACGGTCCGAATGGTGGCTCATCATGGTATCCAGCAGAAGAGGACAGTGATGAAGATGAGATCATTCATCATGGAGATTGAGTATATTCAATCGAATTCTTTCAAGAAATACCGTATTCTTTTCGTTGGGTTATTTAAAGCCTTATCTGATTCCAGTAGACCGGAGTAAAATATTCAGGTATCAATACGGAATATCTTTCAAATTGCAAAATTATTGAAAGATATTCTTATCTCAGCTGAATACCTTTTATTCGGGTATACTGTGGTGAGTCAGGTTAGAGTATCTAAAAACTAAAATTGTCTAAAAGAATACGGTACGAATTCCCCTATTTATTATCATTTAAATTCTGATTTCTCTTTTGCTTTGTTCACTTCTCTTCAACCCATTTCTAGAAGAAAAATCTCCCTTGTGATGCCAAAATGTTTAGTCATTTCACTGACACATTCACTTTTTTCTCGTTTCTTTTCATGAAAACGCATTGTGATCCCCGAATTCGTGGCTGTGTTCGTTTTTGATTTGTTAACTTATTGATATTTTGTCATTTTATGTATCATTATCGAGCTCGTTTTTCTCTCTTCATCGTGCCTTAGCCCTTCCTCGAATTTCCCTTACAAAAAAAAGACAAAAATTGTGATGAGTTATTGGATTTATTGAATTGTGAAACTTGCACCTATTCATTTTCGAAGCAAAAATGCCTTTTCTCTAATCCGTCTTCGAAAGCGTGTCCCCTTTGCTCAAACTACCGTAATTTTGTCCCCAATTTTTATTCAATCCATCCACATCGATATCCTTTGTGAACCTCACAGAATCAGACAAAAATGGATAAAAATCGAGCCAAGGTTACGGGGTTTTTTGAAGAAAAGAGCCACTTTTTAGAAAACAAGATGGAAGATTGGACAACATAAAGCAAAATTTTCAATTTTACCAAATTTGATGACAGTTTTACTAAAAAAAGTCAATTCTTCATCGATTTAGAGTAATTTTTATGATTTTTTTTGTATATTTTCTCTCTTATTTCCCCTTTTTCTCCGGTTGTGCATGCTAAAAGCGACAAATAATTTTTATTCAAGGGAGGATTACCGAAAATTTAAAGAGAATTTTTATATGTATATTTTTGCTCAACTCTTCTTTTTTTTGCTTATATTTGCTTCTTTTTATATGTATTGATGTGTGTGTTTTTTGGTTTATTTTTGCCTTAACTAACTTTTGTTTTCTATAATTTTTTTTCAGAGAAATATCTAATAAAGATGATTCGATGCTCAAGAAAATGAGGAAAGAATTTGTGGCGATAAAGGTGTCGTTGAGATTTTTTTGTTTGGGATTTCTGTGGCAGGTTGTTTCATGGAAGCAAATACCGTACTTTACCATATTCTTGGCGGTTCCAGGAGTACGGTAAAGGTTAAAGTGGCTTAAATTTAACTGGCGAGTACAGTGGTTGAAGTGTTCAAATAGTGCAGAATGAATTCCATTTGGGTTACGGTAGTTTGTCTGGAATAATTTTTGATCTACAGTAATCCGTTTTTTTTGGCACAGACATACGGTAACCATTTCTCGAATGGACCTTTTAGAAAACTGGATCGACTTCTTTATCGATTGGTCATTCGGCCGATCCGTGCGCTTATTCCCGGTTACTCTCAAAGACCGAAAGGAGCTGAGGTTAGTGCAGAGTAGAAAATGGATTACGGTAGAAAAATCTAAAATATAAAGACAATTAGAATATTCAACTGTGATTTCTTATTGGCACTTATCGATAAGTAAGTCTATTTTACGGTACTTTGAGCGACAACTGAGTACTTTAAGAGCAACAATAGCTACAATAATCCCCAAACTGCTCTTGAAAATCGAAAACTTTCAAATAGACGAACTTTCTTTCCAGGTCCTTCGTGCTTACATTCGACAGCGAAAGCATCCGTCATGGACAAGCTATTTCGTGAGATATAGGTTTGTGAGTTTGAGAAAAGCTATAAAATTTAAATAATTCTTATTTAGAGACATCCAGGATGACAATTTTGGCGATAAACACTTCAATTTCGACGTCGATGGGCACAATTATCATATCTTAAGGTGGGAAAATTTGTTGATGAAGATTTTGACTTGATTTGACTTGATTTGATTTGATTTGATTTGATTTTACTTTTGATTTGACTTGACTTGACTTTTGATTGACTTTTGATTTTAACTTGACTTAAATTAATCCGATTAAACTTTCAATTCACCTAGTTTATGCCCATCTTTCTTATTTCGTTTTTTTAAAACGTGCACCCTTTCCTTTCTAAAAGAAACGGTCGTTTCTTCACTTACAATCTAAAGAAGTGTATAATCTCAAGAAGAATCTAGAATCTGCTCTTCTTTTTGGGTCAAAAGAAAGGCCTCATCAATTTTCTTGGGGCTTTATATTGCGATTTTCGACGGGAAATGGAAATGGGTTTCTATTCTATGGATTTGAAATGAGAAAAGACACGTGACGCGACCGCTTTTCTCTTTTCTTTTTCTTTGCTCACTCCAATATCTATCCATTCACATGCAAGTGTCGGCTGTCTCCAAAAGGGTCAACTCGTGTCAAGTATGACTCTTTCACTCTCTAAGTCTCGAAATGTCGATGGAATCTTTGTGTGTGTGTGTGTATTTTCTCTAAATCTATTCAATCTCTCATTCTCTGTGTATCTTTTGACGCTGACACTTTTCAACTCCAAGTCCATCCAATCCCTCGCTCACTTCTCATCCTTTCACCTTTTCCTACTTCTCTATCTCTTCGTTTTCTCATTCAACGGCTGTCCATGACCCATTCCTTGTCTCTTCTCACCACCAAACTCTTTCTTCTCCAAGCCTTTCTCAGCCTGCAGTCTTTCTCTCATTCAACGGCTGTCCATGACTCTTTTCTAATTCCAATCTCATCAAAATTCCTCTCCCTCTATCTCACATTCACTATTCCATCCACACTTTTCCAGTTTCTCTCCTTTCCTTTCCCCATCTCACTTCCCTCTTCTCATCCATCTCTTCTCCGGACAGCTGTCAGCCTCTTTGTCCCGTCTGTCAGCCCCCAAACTCTTTCCAATGCCCCTTTCCTTTCCTCCCATCTATCAAATCCTCTTCATTCTCATTCTACACTTTCAAATTCCCAATCTCTTTCAACTCCATCCTTTCCCCTAACCCTTCCCATCCTTTCCCATCCTTTCCCATTCTCAAACCCTCTTCTTCCCATTTCCCTTTCGCCATATATTTACGAGCTCCACATTTTCACGCGTACTCCTCTTCCCCCTCTTCCCTCCTCCCATAAACGATTTGTTTGCCTATCGCTTTAAAATGTCCCTTTTACGGGATCGGTGACTTTTTTCTATCTTCAACTTTTTCACCATTCAAATCTTTATTCAAAACGATCATCGAGCGTTTTACGATGAAATAGCAATATTTCATTGTTTTGGACGCATTTTGGACTTTTTTTTCTTTCTTTTAACGAATTCATTTGTTGACAAAGACTTCACGGAAATAATTTGTGCACTTTTCTTGATTTCTGAGAATATTTTTGTTAAGGTATTACAGGGAAACCTGAACTATATTGCCAAAGTTTCATGAAAATCCAATACTATGCAGCTGATCTACAAAAAGTGATATTTTCTCGCGCAAACACACCCCTTCTGGCACACTCCTAAGCTTTAAAAACATTAGGAGAGGAAGTAGGATCCTCTACAAGGGTTAATATCCCGGTTTTACTTTAAAAACTTACGCTGTCTTATCAAATTTGAGTACTTGTCAGCTCTATGTCAACTTCAGAGTGCTCAACAAAGTTCAGGTTTAAAATCAACCTGAATTTTATAGGATTTACTCTATTTTAAAGCTATGATTTGAATATTATTTGCTTTTACATACAAAACTTTAAGGTGAAGTTCATGTCAATTATCTGTCGATTCGTTGTTTTCGATTTTCTCAAATCAAATCCACAGTGACATATCCTTTCTTTCTTTTATTTCTTTTATTTCTTTCTTTCTTTCTTTCTTTTATTTCTTTCTTTGTCCAATTTGCACGCCTTTTTCCCCTTTTTCCTTTTCTTTTCCCATTCAAGTGGAACCACTTTGATTAAACGATTACCGCCGAATTGATTTCGGAGATCATAAACGATTCGGGAGAGAATTATTTTGCATATCTGGTCTATTTGAATCGTAATCTGGCGAGAGATTGTTTGGTACTTTGCGGGTAATCTCCTGATACGTACAGGCACAAAATTTGCATTTATTGAGTGGATAAGAAGATCGACTTGAATAAGTACAATCAAATCGTCATCTATATACGGTAATTTCACCAAATGACCACCCAGCTCTGATACAGATTCATCTAACATTGTTCATAGGGCATTTTCTCGAGCTTAGCTCGACACTGACCTGCTGCAGGCCTAGGTCACTAGAAGGATTAGCTAGGGCTAGGTCACTAGGCAGGCTTTTAGCTAGGACTAGCTCGGTTACAGGGTCGGTTAGATTAGAGGGGCTAGATTTAAGTTTTCAAAAAGAATCTGTGTCAGTTCAAAATCCCAATCATGGGCTTCCTGCTGGACTCTGGCTTTGTCTTTCCTGGCTTACAGGCCTAGAATCTAGAACACCTTGTTCTAGATCCTAGTCCTCACCTATAAAAGTACCTTTTTCCCATGATTTCGGTTTAATCTAGTTTACAGCCTTTAGACCAAACTTGAAGAAGATCCCTATTTTAAACAGAAAAAGCTTAGCTCTACCAGGTTAAATCAAAATCTCAGTCTATTTTCTCTCTACAGTATGCTGGAATTACCCAGTTATCAAGACTGAATAGTGCTCTACTTTTGAGAGCCACATTCTTTCAATCTTTTCAAATTTTCGAAAGATTTGAACCCGACCCAAGCCTTGCTTGTTATCAGTAGATTTTAAACACACTGAAAAATGACTACCAGCGTTTGTTTATTGACCACTTTTTTTTGGCTTATTACTTGCAAGTTTCAAATTCGATTTTTTGAATATTTAAATATTAAAAACAAATTAGAATTTTAAAAAATTAAATAAATAAAGTCATTTTGTTGTGTTGTTGGTGTGGCTAGGAAGCTTTTTATCACTCTTTGGCTAGGATTTGTAAGAGGGGAAAGGAAAGATTGACGGATGGATGAGGGAAAGATTGATTGATCGAGAGGATCAAATGTCTTTCTTTTTGATAAAGAAGGCTAGTGTAGGCTGGAGTAAACGGGGGAAAAAGTTGCAAAGCCAAAAAAAAACACCATTGAAACTAAAGTTGAGACGAAAAATGGACGAATCCCGTCTCGAACCAAATTCCATGTTCGTTTTTTGGTCGATTGGTTTAATTAAAATCGATTTTCTTTTGGATACCATAGAAATTTGCATTTAAACTGTTAAAAATTTGTTTCTATGCTAAAAAAAATCCACTTGAATCTCAAAAAAAGTCCAGTCCAGTCCAAGTTCAAAAAAAAGGATTCGCAAGTTTGCAGGTTTGCAGAAAGCGGAAAATTATCTTTTAACTTTTAAAAGTCAAAAAAAGAACATATTGTAGAGGAAGAAGTAATAAAAACATGCTCTTTGGGGATATTTATCATAAAACAAACGAATTTCCACATTTTCATCAAAAAAAAAACGATTGCGCTGAACTAATTCGGTTGTTTTTCCGCGCGTTTGGTTCTCTAGGTGCAATAAGTTTTAAAAACTGTGCTGAAACAGGGGAAAAAAAAACTATAAAAACATTCAAAAGTAGCGCCAACTCAATTATTATGTGCGCAAAAGACGTTTTTAAGGCGTGTGCGCAAAAATACGTGTGCAAAAGACGCTTTTGTGTGTGTGTGTGTGCGCAAATCGCGGTGCTAGCAGCTCCCGAAAATAAGAGGTGCTAGCAAAAGCGCCGCGTTTTTTTTGCGCCAAAATCCTTTGCGCTAATTTCATTTGCGCCGCGTAACATTTGCGCCAAATTTACGCTCATAAATTGAGTGCTTTAAAATTGTAAAAGGAAAACATCAAAACCCTCTTTTCAAAATTTTTTTCCGCTTAAATCGAGGCTTTTGGCGACTAGGCGTGGCTCTTTTATCTTACATCCCGAATCTGCTAAGCAAATTGCTAAGCCTAAGCACGAATCTAAATCCTCTAGAGCTTTTTTTGTAAATCGTGTGATTAAAGTTTGGAATGCCCTTCCCGACAAGTTACGTTTGATCTCCACCGTGTCTGATTTTAAAAGGGCTACTTCGTTGCATTTTAAGTGACTTTGTGATCTTTTATCCATATTGGAACCATATTGGAACCATTTTCGAACCGTATTCGCACCATTTTGGAACCATATTGGAGCCATATTCCTGAAAGGAACATATTGGAACCATATTGGAACCATATTGGAACCATATTGGAACCATACTTCGTTGTTCGTTGTGTGATCTTTTATCTGGTACATTTTTCTTGTCTTTTTCGCACTTTATTTCTTTCTAAATAAAGTATTTATTTATTATGAAAATCACTATGTCAAATCACTTTTTCCCAGCTTCTAACCAACTTTTTTTTCAGTTTTCTACTTCACAATTTTAGTTCTCACTGTTTCCAATTAGAAAACCCGTTCAAATTCCTATATAGACCCCAAAAACAATCCTTTTTATGTCCCGGATTGGGCTTTTTACTCTCTATATCGATCTGATGCCATTTTCAAAGCCGGTGAAGGCCGCAAAATAGCGAGCATCGTCGACGAGGAAAAAGTAGTAAAAAAAATAAAAATAAACAATCAGAGTTGGTAGGAAAATGTGCTGAAAAGCGCAAATGAGACGCGGCCTGAAAATTTTTGGCACAAATAATTTGGCGCTTTTGCTAGCACCCCAAAAAAAGCGAAAAACTGAATATTTTGTTAATTTTCAGAAAAAGTCAACAAATGGGTAGCTACGTTTTTCCGCTTTTTCGGTCGCAGTGCGTAGCTGCCCCATTTGTTGGGTTCTGCTTTGAAAAACAAAAGGTACCAAATTTTCCGTTTTTTTCGGCTTTCGCTTGTTTTTCTGACTTTTTCTTGATTTTTCTTGCTGAATTTTGCCTTTTTTTTTTGCCATCTTTTGCCTTCTTTTGCCTTCTTTTGCCATTGCCTCCTTTTGCCTCCTTTTGCCATCTTTTGCCATCTTTGCCATCTTTGCCCTGCCTCTTTCCCTTTGCCTCTTTTGCCTCTTTTGCCTCTTTTGCCATCGTTGCCCCTTTTGCCTCTTTGCCTCTTTGCCTTTTTGCCTTTTGCCCTTTGCTCTTTGCCTCGTTTGCCTCCTTTGCCTCTTTTGCCCGCCCTTTGCCATCTTTGCCATCTTTTGCCATCTTTTGCCTTCTTTTGCCTTCTTTTGCCTCTTTGCCTCCTTTGCCCTCTTTTGCCATCTTTTGCCTTCTTTTGCCTTCTTTTGCCTTCTTTTGCCATCTTTTGCCTTCTTTTGCCATCGTTTGCCTTCTTTTGCCATCTTTTGCCTTCTGAATCTTATGCAATCTTTTTCCGTGAAAAGACTTGTGAAATAATTGTTTTGTCTTTTCCAGCGACATTTTGTTGTCATTTCCACGCTTTTTTTTGCCCCCAATCGATCAATCAAGCGAAAATTTAAGTCAAAAAGCTGTTTCGCAGAGGAAAATTGTTTTGTCTTTGCTAATTTTTTTGAAATTTTGATTTTGATTTTGAAAGAAATTCGCATAGATTTAGCAGATTCGCATTTTCTTAAAAATCCATTTCAATCACGTGGTTTTTTTACCTCTTTTTCCATTTTTTTGCTCGAAAAATTTCCCCTTTTCTCCTTTTTGTCGAAACTTTTTGGCATTTGGCCCATTTTTCTACTGAAACATCAACATTTTTCCACTGAAAAATGGGAAAAGCGAAAAAGCGAGTTTCGCAAAAAAGAATGAGTCATCGAAAAGCAAGAAAAACAAAAAGTTTTTCCAAATTTTTTTACTTTGATCTCTTTTTCGTAAACTTCTTTTTTGATCTTTTCGTTTTACTTTGTGCACAAATTTCTCCCTTCAAGCAGCCATTTCGGTTTAATTACCGAAGCGGGAAAACCATTAGGTTTTATTCCCCTGAACAGCTCACTTTCAGCTCAAAAAAACCCCAACTTTCTTGTTTAACCTTTAAAAAAATTCTGTTTTCTATTTTAGATCAATTTCGACCAATTTAGATGAATTTTAGATCGTTTTTAGATCATTTTAGGTCAATCTCGATCAATTTAGATCAATTTCGATCAATTTAGATCATTTTCGATCAATTTAGATCATTTTAGATCATTTTTAGATCATTTTAGATCATTTTAGATCAATTTAGATAATTTTCGATCAATTTAGATCAATTTAGTTTCATTTAGTTTCATTTAGTTTCATTTAGTTTCATTTAGCTCGATTTTCTTAGCTGAAAATTTCAAAAACATCTCAATTTGCCGACTTTTTTTTCTCCTCAAGGCCGTAACTTTTTATCGGCCCGACGGGGGTCTTTCTAAGCCATTTTTTATCCACTTTTTTATCGATTAGATAATTTTTTGTCTTTAAATTCTCTGTAGAAATGAAGATTTCTAAACGTGTAAATCTCAGTGTCAGCTCTTGAAGATTTCTGAAAAAAAGTCGTTTTGGGGAAAGTCGAAAAAAAGTCGTTTCTTTTGAAGACAGACGAGTTTTTTCATCTTTTTTCCCCTTCACTTTCTAGTCAAATCGACAAAAAAATTTCCCCAATTTTGTGATCATTTTCAGTTTTTCTTGTCTTTTTTTCCCTAAGATATCATTTTTTTTTCGTTTTTTTGAGAGATTAAACTAACACTGTCACTTGAGATTAGAGGATAAATAAAATGACATGAAAAGAGATGGTAAAAACCATCAAATCTTGATGAATTTTGATGATAAAAGCGAGCAAATAGAAGCAAGAATTGAGTGAAATTTAAATTTTCAACAAAAATTCCCCTCCAATTCTTTTCCCATTTAAAATTTCCACAAAAATTCCCCTCCAATTCTTTTCCTATTTCAATTTTATGGAGATTTTGAAAGAGAAAGGTGAAACAAAAAAAAAGCTGGGAAAACAAATAGAAAATTTGGAGAAAAAGAAAAAAAAGGTGAATGTTTGTTTATCTTTTTTTTGAAAGGGTGATCACTTTTCGTTTGAAATTTCTCTTGAAGAGCTTTCTTGCTTTCCTTTGGTTTCTTGTATATTATATTATATTATATTGTATTATATTATATTATGTTATATTATATTCTATTTTATTATATTATATTATATTTTACTTTATTATTCTCTTATTTTATTATTTATTCTCCTAAGCATATTCCCGAAATGTTCTTTCCTCTGTTTATTCCTTAATCGATTTGTTTCTAGGGGCAACTGAAAGAGGGGAAAGCAAAAGAAAGAAATTGTCCATTCATCGTCTTTTTTTGTCTCTTTTCGCCCCTTCCACATGGCCTCATTCAATCTTTTTTTTACGTTCGATTTGCATCTTTCCAAGGTCAAGATTTAAATTCAATTTTTTTTTTGATTTCTTGACAGAAATTGAACATATTGTTTAGAGGAAATTGACACATTTCAAATGTTTTTTTTAAAAATATCATTCTGTTGTACTTTTTGCCACTTCTAACGATTCCAAAAACAATCCTTTTTATGTCCCGGATTGGGCTTTCTCTACAGATTTCGATTGTTCATTTTTCCCTTAATACTGAATCGTTACTGAATCTTAAATCATTACTTTGAGAAAATGAAGAATTCAGTGCGTTAGAAAGGGTTCTTTTTGCTAATTTTGACCACAAAATACACGTTGAACCGTCTATTTTTTGAATTTTTTCAAAATTTGCTTATAATTTGATTCTTAATGTGACAGGGTTGATTGATTTCTCTTTTCCGGCAGCTGTTCGGTGTTGGTTTTTTTAAAAATTGCATTTCTTTTCTAATATCACTTATAAATTGATGATTTTATTTCATTTTCAGAACCGGTGCCTATCCATACATCAAATATCATTGCACGAAGAGGCCAAACGAAGATTTAACAAAAGAGAACAATTTCTATCGATTAATCACGATCATTAATCTGGGTGAGTTTCAAATCTAGCTTTTGTTTGAGTTGGAATTTGTTTACTATAGCTGATTGGAGTTATTTTTAATATTTCAGGATTGCCGTGTTTTTTGTACGGCCTGGCGGCCGTGGCTCTAATACGGCACAAAGAGCGCGTCGATTTTGTGAGAGAAAACGGTCAAAAAGCCACTGTTCACATTCATTTTCTCATTGAAGAACAACACGATCGGTGCTGAGGAAAAGGTGGGGAGCTAAGTTCAAGTTTTTAAGGACTTTTGTTATTTTCGTTAACGAGCTCTGAAAAAAGAGCAGATTTCAGTAATCGATTCAAAGAATTCAGTGATAGAGTCAAAGATAATAGACTAGATCCTAGGAGGCCAGGTTCAGCCTGGGCTGTAGAATTACTAAAAATCATTCATATAGCACTGGACATTAGTCAGTGATTCACCAAATCGCCGTTTGTGAAGGCACAAGTATCGTTTTCTATATACCAGATAACAAATATCTATATTAGCTGAAGATTAAATTATCTAATCTCTAAACTTTTCAGTGATGGTCTCCCCATCATCGGCACTCGAATATCAGCCGACAATCTACGCGTGGTTGATACTCTTTTTTGTCGTTTTCCCCACGATCTACCTGAGTGGAAAGGTGAGGTCATTATTTGAATAGATATCTAAACATATATCTAGATCTATTTTTTTAACATTTCCAGGTAACAGCCGCCATCCTCCGTTTACTATTCCGGGTTTTGTTCTATGTAATCGAGTTTCTGACATTAGAATGGTTGATGAAAAGCGCTGAAGAGGAGCTCATTATGGAGGTGAGAAGAGAGATTTAAACTGAGATCTGCAGATCGTTAAAGTAGATCTGCAGCCAAGATTACGGTACCGCGGTTTCTCTATCAAAACAAATTCCAGGATATCACGGAAACAATTGTGAGCCAAGAATCGGATGTGAAAAGACGAGAAGAAAAGATTCGGAGAAGGGAAAAAAGGAGGGAAAAGAATCGAGAAAGACAAAAACATCGAGAGATTATAACAAAGACAAAGGTAGTATTAGATATATAGATAAATATTAGATGTCTAGATATCTAGATATCTACCGTAAATACTGTAATTGGACCCCACCCCCCTCGTACAGTCGCGTAGTCGCAAAAGTTTTTTAGTATTTCATTTTTTTTCAAAGCGCCCCTACTTTCAAAAAAATGCGTCTTTGGTATCAAAAAATAGCCCTGAATTTCAGCTATTTTTTGATACCTAAGCGCGCATCATAGCATAAACCAGTGTCGAGAAAAACTCGTCCAAAGCTAGACTACGCGATGCTCCGGCCGTCATTATAAAAGGATGACGAGAAAAATGCGTTTAAAGTTAGACTACGCGATGCTCCGTCTTTTGATATTAAAAAAATAGCCCTGAATTTCACCTATTTTTTGATACCTAAGCGCGCATTGTAGCATAAACCAGTGTCGAGAAAAACTCGTTCGAAGCTAGCCTACGCCACACTCCGCACCGTCACTATTACAGTATTTACGGTAGATATTTAGATAACGGTTGTGGAAGAGGAAAGAGATACGGGAGAGGATGGATTGGGAAGTGAAGCGGAAACGACGACGGATGAGGGGCTGAAAGTGGGTGTTGTTATGGATTGAGATGTTGAGATTGAGACAGATAATTAGATGTCAGATATTTTCTTTCACTCTATAGAAGTCACCAGGCCAATTCATTCTTTGTTGGTGCGAAAATCTGTGAACGCACCTTTTCTGGCGCACTCGATTCCTCTTTTTTGATACCTTATGAAAAATGAAGGATTCAGCGCGCTAGAAAAGGTGCGTTTACATGTGAGCACAAAGTACAAGGATCTGGCTTAGAGATTGTATACTGTACCTACAAGTGTACCCTGTATTACTGTGTACCGACAAGCTGGAGTACTATAGCTGAAGTACTATAGCTGGAATGCTATAGCTAGAATGCTATAGCTGAAGTACTATAGCTGGAGTACTATAGCTGGAGTACTATAGCTGCTAGTTAATAATACAATAACTCTCTAATTAGTATTGAAAGTACAAGAAATAGAGAAGTAATTTTGTCGAGTACTTTGTACTCTAGAAAACACGTCTTCTGGCATACCTTTGATAAAGTGGTGTACCAGAAAGCGTGCGTTTACGAGTACAAAAGTACGGCTGTACGACGATCCGGATTTACAGTAATCTAAGCCACTTTCCAGTGTTCCCAAATTCAGCCTGAGTCCACAGCAAGCGGTTTCGTCACAACAACCACTCATCACAATGGATCGACGAGGAGTCGGCGATGAAAAACTCTACATCTACAACTAGAGATTTAAAATATATCTATGCAAATTTATAATAGACTAGACTTCTTTATCCAATACCCCAGCCAAATCTCGGTTTTCTTTTCTTCATTTTCCTGGTGAGTTTCCTTTAATATCTCTTGCCTATTCCATTCTTGGTCATAATATTTTTAAGATCTATCTAATGGATTGGCTGATAGAATGTGTAAATAGGAAGACGGTGTACATCGTCTAGAATTCAGTTTCTCAGTAAGCCATTTCAGTAAACCCATTTCAGTAAACCAAACCAGGCGAGACCAGAAATTGGCCTAGAATCTTGGTTTAGGCTGACCTGGTTGAGCTTAATTGAGCTTAATTGAGCTCTAAGGCCTGTGAGTCAGCCAGGCAAGTTCAGATCCAGATCAGAATCTGAGTTCAGAGGGCCAGAAGTCAACTCTGGAGCCGTTTTGCTTGGCCTAGAAAAAAGGGTTTTAAAATAACTCTGAGACTGGCTCCCAATCTCCCCTTCGGTTTTCATTCGGTTCAGAGCCGTTTCCAACTTGGTTCCCATTCGGTTAATTCGGTTCTCATTTGGTTCCGATTCTGGTCTGATCTGGCCTCCATTCATGAAAAGCAGCTTTGCTCTTATTCAAATTCTTAACTCTTTACTTTTAAATTGACCAATCTTGAAGTAAATCCGTCAGATCAGACCTAGCTTTTGGACTGGACTGGACTGGACTGGACTGGACTGGACTGGACTGGACTGGACTGGACTGGACTGGACTGGACTGGACTGGACTGGACTGGACTGGACTGAACTGGCCTGGACTGGACTGAACTGGACTGAACAGGACTGAACAGGACTGAACAGGACTGAACAGGACTGAACAGGACTGAACTGAACACTTATATCCTAGCTTGGCTTACCTACCGTATCCTTGTCCTTATCCTTATATCTACTATACCAAATCTCAGATTCAACCATTCTATCAGCTATCTCCTTTCACCTCTCCTCAAATATCCCAAAATTTCCCTCTTTGGCCTCTCACTTCTCCTCTGACTCGATACGGGAATCATCCACTCGCAGTTTTCGTTTTTGATTCGCTAAAAGAATACGTTTTTTTACATATATTATAGCAAACGGGGTTTTAAATGGCATTTTTTTACTGGATACTGTAAGATTATGTTTCATTAGAGTGTATAGTATATCGATACAGTATACAGTGTATTGATACAGTATACAGAATATCGATACAATATATCGATACAGTATACAGTACATCGATATAGTATACAATATCTAGATACTGATGTCAAAACCCTGTTTACTCTAGAATTTTTCTCTAAAACTGCCCTTTTTTCTCGCTTTTCAAATATAAAAAAATCTTTGATTGGATCTCATTTTTCAACACAAATCTAGGATTTTAAAAAATTTTAAAATTTTGTTTTTTGGTTTCAAAACGGTGCAATCGCCGTGCTTTATACCTCTTTCTTTATTCATTTTTTAGAATGATTTGCTTGTGAAGGTTGCTTGTGATTTTTTAAAAAAAATAAAGCAAATAAACATTTTACTGGGTTTTGAATTTTCGAAATACATGAAAACATGAAAAACATTGAAAATTTTATATCTAACAATTGTTTTTGAAGTTTTTAACGTGTTGAAAGTTGTGCGGTGCGGACAATTTAATGAAAAATACTCGTTGTGTACCTGATTTCTCTCAAAATCTCGATCAATAATCCATTTTTATCATTTTTTCCAGAAAAATGATAGGATTTATCAAGTCTTAGACAGATTTTAACGTTTATTTTTCACTTTTCACTAACTTGTCTTTTGTGTTCAATAAAAGTGCTTTCCTTAAGCCTTAAACTTAAGCCAATCTTTTCACTTGTGACCTTTTTCCGAGAAAATTCTGGGTTGGCGCTTTAAAGCGTGGTAAAACTACCGTACCCCTTCTAATTTGCGCGAAATTTCATTTTTTTCATTTTTTTGCATTTCATTTTGTTCTTTTTCATTTCATTTTATTCTTTTTGCATTTTTCTGATGTGGTCGCGTTTGTTTTTGGCGGGAAACAAAGAGGATAAAGCTAAGTTACGTTTTTAACAACATTTTCTGTAGCTGAAGTTTTGTTTGTAGAGTTTTTGGTGCTTTTTTACTTTGCCCCCCCTCCCCGCCAAACATCAGAAGTTTTCAAAAATTTGTCAGTCATTCGGACAAAGAGCATCCTTTTGTCGATCCAATCACAGGAGCATTTACGAATACGATTGAAGGAATGTGGCAGAAGTTTAAAGCTCAACATAAAGAAGCATACGGAACATCGCGTTCGCTTTTCGCATCTTATATTCCAACAATTCATGTGGTTCAAAATGTTTAAAGGCGACGATATCTTCTACAAGTTTTAGATGCAAGTGAAAGAAGATTATTCATTGGAATAAGTATATTATTGAGCTTCAAGATATCATTTTACGAGTATTAATAAAATTTGTAATCTAATTTCGTAAATTTGCATTTAAAGCAGTCAAAAATTTTGCCTGATGTTTGGGGGGCACAAAGTAAAAAAGTACCGAGTTTTTATAGACTGATTTGCTTCCCGACGATCTGCTCGACGAACTTGATGTCAACTAATGTTAAGTTAAGTGGTTTTTATCATTTTATATGACGGAAGTTTTGTTTTGTGACTTTTTACTTGAAAAAAGCGTTGAAACGCTGGAAAAAACAAAAAGAATAAAATGAAATGAACAAGAATGTAATTTCGCGCAAATTAAGAAGCGTACGGTAGTTTTACCACGCTTTAAAGCGCGAACCCTGGATTTTCTCAGAAAAAGGTCTGAGTATCTTTTCAACGTCATTTTCTATTTTTTAACTAACAAATACCGTAAAAACTCTAATAGAACGGCCCCCTATAAGAGCGTCGCGTAGTATAAGTTTGCTCTCAAACAAACGCTCATATCTCGACGCCTACGTTTGTTTCTGCTCGTTTAGGTATCAAATTAAAGTAGAGAGGATGGGTGCTTTTTGGACTATAACGCATATTTTTTTCTAAACGCTGGTTGATGCTAAAAATATGTGTTATAGCTCAAAAAATCACTCATTTTCTCTACTTTAATTTGATACTCAAGCGCGCAGAAACAAACGTACTGGTGTCGAGATATGAGCGTTTGTTTGAGAGTAAACTTAGACTACGCAACGCTCCTATAGGGGGCCGTTCTATTAGAGTTTTTACGGTAGTTTGAATAACTTCTTTCAACTGAATAATGGGTATGCTGTATTTCATTTTTTCAAATTGCACCGTATTCCGTCTGCATTTTAAATTTTAAACCTCTAAAGTCCTCTTTCTAACAGGTCTGTAACCCAACGGTAGTACTATAATAGCTATCGTACTCCAGCTATAATATCCCCAGCTGTAGCTGTAGTTGGGCTACGCTAAGTCTATTTCTCTGTAAAATGCCCTTACACGCAAAAAAAGTATCAAGTTGCGTTTTCGCCTAGAAACACCCTCTTATCAACCCCAAAAGATCGCTCAGAATATGCGTCATTTCGTTTTTCCCCCCAAAAATTCGCCCTTTCCCAGCCACCCGCACAATTTCCCCAAAAATACACGGAAGTTCGCAATGCAGTACTTGAGTTTTTGCAGTTATTTGCCCTTTTCCCCCTTTTCGCACGAATTTTGACCTTCAACCGGTGAATTTAAAAGTGGAAAATTGTCTAGATTTTATAATTTCAAAATCTCGTTGAAATTCTAAAAGATTTCTAAATTCCGCTAGTTATTTCCCGCTATTGTTGCCCGGTTATGGCCATGGAGGTTTGAATGTTTCGGTACTAATAAAATTCAGTAGTTTTTGACTGTTTTATCAAAGTTATTTTACTGTTTCTTGGATATGCAAACATACTGAATCTATTGATAATATTTTTAGAAAGTTTTGAACAATTTTTTTTATATTTTGTTGAGCTAGCTGAAGTTTAGCCTTGCTGTTGCTGTTGCTGGCGTGTTGCTAAGCTTGAAAATGAAGAGAGGGGCAAAATACAAAGTGAAAACTTGTTCAAAACTCTCTAAAAATATTGTCAATCGATTAAGCGCATAAAACAAGAATAAAAATTCATTTCCCGTAAAATCTCACCACTGTTTGACACAATTTTATTGCAGCTTTGCACAAATCGATGAATTGCATCTTTGCTTTACAATTTTCTCGGAAAATTTTCATTTTCTTACTCATTTTCAAGCTCGATTTGTTTCCTTAGCTTCTATTGCATGTTTTTCTGTTTGTACAATTTCCTCATTCACATTTTTGCACATTTAGAGCCTATGGGTCGATGGGAAATAACGAAAGAGGATTTGATCGGATTGACGCTCGCTGGCACCGCCGCTGCACTCACCTATTTCTATCTGAAGAGGAGACAAGCGGTATTTCTTTGTTTTGGCTTTGTTACGATGTAAATAGAGATGTCATACCGGTCGATGGGCTAAGAAAGGCTTTGGAATTAAAAAACCTGTAAAAGGAAATCGTTAAATAGGCGAATAAGGGTTTGGCTCGAATTTCTTTCTCGAATTATTTCTTTGGGTTTATTTTAGTTCCAGTAACCGTATAGAGCATAAGTAAAACAAATTTAAGCGCTGGAACCAGCAAGAAAGCAAGAAAAGAAGTTTTTTAGCAAGAAAACTGCAGAGCTTTACAACGTTTACTTCACGTCTTAAACCCTTTCTTTCAGTTTTTCTTCTTTTTTGTTGATTTTATACCGATTTTACTACCACCTAATTAATTTTTTCTCCTAGGATGACGGTCATTTACGAGTTGTTTGATGATTTGCCAACTACGGCAGTGCCGTAGGTAACGCCCGTGTTAGCCCGTGATGCACGGCCGGGAAGTGACCTGCGTCACATCCTGTTTTTTTAAATGAGCTGGAAACCACGTGACGCGCAGAGAACGCACAAAAAATATTACCCGATTGAGCTAGGCCGCTCTGCCCAACACAAAAACTATCAGATCTAAAATTTTTGTGTAAGACGTGAAGTAAACGTTGTAAAGCTTTGCAGTTTTCTTGCTGAAAAACACGGCGCTTAAATTTGTTTTATTTGTGCTCTATACGGTTACTGGAACTAAAATAAACCCAAAAAAATAGCTTTCGAGTCGAACCCTTATTCGCCTATTTTTCCGGAAATATAATTTGAAAACTTGGTAAATATTCTTGTTGCTAAATCCAGAAACAAAAATTGGTCCTCATTTTCCGTGGACTGGCTTTATTCCATTATAGCACCGAGTTTACACTTTTTTTTGCCCGTTTTAAAATAGTATCTAGTGTTTTGTGTTAAAATTAAGGCTTTGGGTCAATTTAATCGATTTTATTTAAAAGCTAATTGCCTGAAAGTTGTCAAATTGTTCAACTTGCACCATTTTTCCGGACTTACAGCATGTGCAACTAATCACCAAACCTTTTTCACCCACATACGTACTATTTATTGTTCCTACAACAGCTTTTAATTCAGGCTAAACCATTTCTCGTCGATTCAACTCAGAAATATCCGGTGCGGCTCGTCTCGCGCGAGAATCTCGGTCGAAATGTGATACGATTGCGGTGGGTAGATCAGATAATTTGAAAGTTTTTACAAAATTTGTTTCGAGCCATTATATTTAAAATTTAAAGCTTAGTAAATTAAATTTTAAAAAAACATTTTCTACACTGCTTCTTTTAGATTCGAGCTTCCGGAGAATCACTATTTGGGATTGGAAACCGGACAGCACGTTCAAATTTCGGCACAGGTAGCTTTTAAGAGGAAACCTTTTTATTGTGATTTTCTAGATTGATGAGAAAAGCGTGACCCGTAACTACACACCGACCAGCCTTCGCCGAATTTGCGGATACTTCGAGATTGTGCTGAAAGTGAGTGTTTGATTATGTGTTAACTATCAAATAATATTTCATAGGTTTATCATTTATGTTCAGGTCTATAATGCAACCACTGAAGACCCAAAGCGAGGAACGATGTCACGCTACTTAAATGAGATTCCCATTGGCAGTTTGGTTGGTTTTATTAACTTGTTACTTATTAAGATTTTTTTCTCCTCTGAGCTACTAGGATACAATTCCCACATTGATTTATCAATTTAGATACAAGTTCGTGGTCCGGTTGGACAAAACGTGTATCACGGACGTGGTAATTGGACGGTCCGAAAGAAGACGCAAAAGTTGAGTGTTCAGGTTTGGGCATTAATTTGGTGACTAATTCACGTTTCTTTAGGGAATCAAAGAAATCGGTCTCGTCGCTGGAGGATCTGGAATTACACCCATGTTGCAGGTTGGTTCGTCATGCGTCTGCTACTCAAATCTTGCTAAAAATCTCAAAATTTTGTTCAAAAAGATTACGAGGCTTCAGGCAAAAAGAATTTCAGACGATTCATCATATCATCAATGACCTCGAGGATTTGACCCACGTTTGTCTCGTTTTTGCCAACTCCACAGACGAGGATCTTTTCCTACAGTACGTTTCAAATTATTTTGTTAATTTTCTCATTTTCAGAGAATATTTGGACGAGCTACACAAATTGTCAAATTCTCGTTTGAAAATTTGGTACACCTTGAGCATAAGCACCGATCCAAAGTGGAACTATTCAGTCGGACGGTGAGATTTACAGAGCGTTTTTCTCAGCTTTAGTCCAAATTTAGTGTTGATTATCCGATGTTGTCAACTCATTTACCGAATCCCTCGCCAAACTCGTTGATCTTGGTGTGCGGACCTAGAGGTTTCGAAACGAATGCTCTGCAAATTCTTAAACGAATAGGACACGAAGAGCATAAAGTGATTGCTTTGTAAAATTGTATTTTTTAATTGCTTTGTATGTCTCTATTGCACAATGTAACGATATTAGTATAAATTTTGAAGGCTTATCCGATCAAATAAGAAGCAAATTAGATATCCGAAGCCAGCTCCGTTGGCGGATTGGCTTTTCAAAGAATAAATTCTTCGAAACTCAGAAGCAAGAATCTATCTCAAACGTGAATAACGTACTACTAAGCAAGTTGTCAAATATGCCTTTACATTGAACTGCAACAGATTTGAGTGGGGGAAGTGATGGTGCACTGGACGGTCTCAGGGTATATATGGGCCGATATTATCAACGGGACGAGGTGATTCGGTGGTGCAGTGGCAGTGCCACCGTTTCCCTTTTTTGGCACCCGAGTTCGACTCGCCCTTGGATAAACTTTTTTGTATTTTAATTTTTTGAGCATCTTTAGTATCAATTGCACTTTTTTTTTGCAAATCACTATTTCAAAAAAGACTTTTTGTCTTTCATTATCATCATACATACAGTGGTCCACAAAAGTATTGTCCCATTGCCATCCAAAAGTTTCTTTCGTACGAAAATCTTGCAAAGAATTAAAAAATTTTTCAAAAAAATCAATATTTGGTTGGTCCTTCTTTTGCTTTTATCGCTTCATTGAGTCGATCCAGCATGGAATCCACGAGATTTTTCAAAAGACTTGGGCGGATGGTGGCCCAAAGACGTTGAATGTGAACCCATAAGGCGGCCTTCGAATCGAATTTCTTTCCCATGAGGCGCGACTTCACAAATGACCACAAATGTTCAATTGGGTTGAGATCCGGTGAGTAGGGAGGTGGATTGATCAATTGAACACGATTTGCCGCAAACCATCCGGGCAAACGAGATCTGGTACCATTTTGAAGTGTCACCAATCGTCCCATCATCAGTCTCGACTTGTGTTTCGAGTCGTTGTCCTGGTAAAGCATCCATCCGAGAGGCATCGTTTGATTGGCAAAGGGAAGCATTTGGATCTCCATAATATTCTTGTAAGCCGCAGCATCCATCGTCGAGTTCACGTAGTAAAAGAAAATGGAAACATAAAAAGCAAAAATGAATTGCGCGCACGGGGAGTCGAACTCGGGTGACAAAAAAGGGAAAACGGCGACACTACCATTGCACCACGGATTTACTTTGTTCCTTTGACGATGTCGGCTCTTATATACCCTGACACCGTCCAGTACATTAGGGGGTCAGTTTCTTTTGCGTTTTTACGGGAGCGGGACAAATGCTACCTTTTTTGCGCACCTTTTCGCTCATTATAACAAGGACTGCCCTAGACCCACAGAATCACTTTGCTTCAATTTCTTTTCATGCTATTGGTCTGTAGTTTTCATTTCTTGATGGTATCTGTTGCTTTCCTGTCTTCTTGATGGTAGCTTTTCACTCTAAAGCATTTTATCAGTCAAAAGATAGCATTTTATTCATAAAAAACAACAAATCATTAAACAAATAATCTAAATTGGAAGAAAAGCAGGAGCTAAAGGCAACAAAGCGATACATAAAAGTAGCAACTAACGTGATACAATATAAGGCATTAATTGACACAAATGTAAAACATGGGCAATATTATTTCTACCATTTAAAACAGCGTGAAAACGTTGGTCTTCGCGAAAAATCACCTTTTTACCCTTGTTGTGCCAACGAAAGGTTGCGAGTCGTAGCAAGCTTCAAGCGATTGACGACATTCACCGTTTCTTGATAAAGCCGACACACAACGCAGCCAGGGTGTGGTTTCTTTGGTCCGGACTAAAGATAAATTATACCGAAATTACCAACAAACCTTCAATAAAGAATTAAACGCCTCTGGTGTCGCTTTGCCAAGATTGGATAGCACTCCTGTAGACATTCCATTTATCAACAGGATAGGTGGGTGGTGATCATCGCTAATAATGCACCCGTTTTGAGCTGAGTGTTTGCCATGACCACATTTTTTTGCAAACATCTATAAGAAACCAGGCTTTTCACATTCATAAACCTTAAAATTAAAATAAAACAATAAATTATAAATTAGTACCTGTAAATCGGTCCTTTGGTCTGACTGTTCTCGTGGAGCCGAAATTCGAAGCCGCTCGCGTCAGACAAAAAAACACTTCTTTATTCCCGTTGGAGCCGAGGAGTGTTCGACAAAACTCTAAAAACGAACACTAGTATGAGGATAAATTCTAAATAGGATGCAAAAGCAACTTTAAAGGTGTAAATCGCAAAAAGAAAGTGTACCTTGGTCGAATTAGTGTCATCTTTCGAGCTTCTTGAAGTCGATTCGTCGATTCGCAACTAAAAAAGCAATTCTGGTAAGTCAACCAACAGAAAAACAAAAACTCCAAAAAGTGAACAAGTGGGGCCAAAAACAATTCTGTGGGTCTAGATCAGTCTTTGTTATAATGGGCGAAAAAGTGCGGAAACGTCCCGGGTGAAAAAAAAGGTAGCATTTGTCCCACTCCCATTTTTACAAAATCTAGAGCGTTTAGACAAAAACTAAAAAAGCCATCGTGTTGCCCGTGTTCGACTGGCAAAACCCATATTGGTTTGATTCGGATTGGCGATGATGCAATTTGACCGTCCCCCAGTCAGAGAAAGGAGAATTTCGATGAGAAAAGACATGTGCATTATATACCAAATTGTTTTCCTAGTAGTGATAGTTGAAAGATATTCAGTTTATTGAGGTTACGGTAGCTCGCCAAATAAAATGTGAACTTTGAGCGCAAGTCCTTCATTTTCGTCTTTCTTCTTCCTTCCAAACTTTTTTATTCTTCGATTCTTCTCTCAAACACATTTATTTTTTAGAAGTCGTCTGGTGTAATGTTCTGGAAGTCATCGGGTGCTTTGATCACCCTGTCAATACTATTTTTTGGTTAGTTTGCTTTTGCGTTGTTTCTCAATACATTGGCTTAGGCTCCTGCTATGGCTGCAACAATGACACGGAGTTCACTTGTCAACGCATCAACCAATGCGTTCCGATGGAGTGGCGCTGTGATGGGGTAAAGATTATTTGCTTATATCTATGTTGATTGCTTTTAGGCCTCTGATTGCCGGGATGGGACTGATGAGTTCGACTGCAACTACATACACAAATGCCCGGTGAACATGTACAACTGCCAAGATGGAGATTGCATTGATGCTGTGTGGAAATGTGATGGATCGGTAAGATCTATTCTTGGAATATTCGAGTTAAGCTTTTCTTTAGATTGATTGTCACAATGGCCGAGATGAGCTAGCCTGCGGAAGTGCTCTTCGTGCGAGCCGAGTAAAGACTGAATCAAGCGACTCCAGTACCACTCAAACGAAGAAAATTGCCGGCATAATCGGAACCGACGCTACATGCCACGACAACATGTATCAATGTGATGGTGGAGCTTGCATTCATCCCGGTTTCCGATGTGATGGTCAACAGGTGAGCACTAATGATTTGTTTTGATATAATGTTTTTTTCTAGGATTGCCCTCTTGGTGATGATGAGAAGGATTGCTCGTCAACAAAATCTCTTTGCCCTGAGACTCAACGTCCGTGCAAGTCCAACGACGAGTGCGTCCCCACACAATGGTGGTGCGATGGAGAGCCTGATTGTCAAGACCAATCGGATGAGGTGTGGTTGTTTCGTTTTTATCTCTAATGCAAGCTTTTAGGAGGGTTGTGGTGGCGCCGAACCATTCACTGAAAGTCCATCAACAACTACGTCCAGCTCAACTGATGTTCTTCCTTTGAACCAGACGACGGCTCACTCAGAAGGAACCTGCAATGAGAATCAATATAGATGCAAAAGAAGTGACGTTTTTTGAAACTAACTTCAACTTTACTTTTTAGGCCATCTGTGCATCGACATGCTGAAAACTTGTGACGGAATCGAGGATTGTCCAGAAGGAGATGATGAAGCTGGAGCTTGTCGGGAATGCCTTGCTTTGGATTGTATTTACGATTGCCGAGCAACAGTGAAAGGTTAGAAGTGTTCAGGTCACTGTAAACTTAATTGTTTAGAAGCAACTTGCCATTGCCCAACCGGTATGGTTACTGATCCACAGGACTACCGTGGATGCATCAAGGACAACCCGTGCCTTCATCAATCACACTGTGCTCACTTCTGCAAGCCAACCGACAATCAGAACTACATTTGCTCTTGCGACGTCGGATTTCAATTGGACGTCGATCAACATCTTTGCATTCCGCAAACGGATCCATTTGGCGGGGAACTCTTGTTCAGCGTTGGAAATGAGGTTTGATTGCAAAAGGTCTACGATTTTATTTCTGTTTAGATTCGCGTCTCTTCGCTTCACGCCGATGAAACACACGCCTCTCGATATCACACTTATTCTGCGATAGACACCGGTGAAAATCTGTACCATCTTGCAATGGATGTTCGTGGAAAGAGCTTGTGGGCAGGCATTGCAGGACATGACCGTCAGGTCAGTTTTGACTAGATTCCACAAAAATGAACTTTCGTTTTAGTGGCGGATCGCAAAAACCATCAACGGAGAGCTGAAGTCACTTCGTGTCGGATTTCCTGAACTCGGCAACATTCAGTTCGATTGGATCAATCGGAACGTCTACTTCGTGACCGGCGGAAGAAGTGAAACTCCCTACATCTATGTCTGCGATGAGAATATGCTCTACTGCTCAAAACTGGTTCGAGGCCTTCGCTCAAGCGTTGATGAACACGGAAGAAAACATATTCAAGCGTTCCGAGGTTTGTTTTCCTTGTTGATTTTTTGCAAAGGTTTTTCGTAGGATTGGCGCTCCACCCTCGCAGAGGATTGATGTGCTGGATTGAAATCTTCATGGGAGTTGACAAAGTCAAATGTGCCAATATGGACGGCTCTGATGTGCACACTGTCATCGATCGAAAGCTCGTCGATCCAACGACGCTCGTCTGGGACACCCTCAAGAATGATTTGTACGTGGCTGATGCTGGAAACGAGCTTATTGAGCGAATCAACTATGACTCGAGGGAACAACGTGTCATCGGAAGAATCATCAATCCATTTGCGATGGCGTTTTTCAACGGAATGCTCTACTACAGTGAAATGTTAGTTTTGTTGGAATTAAAGAGACGGAATTAAGGAATTTAGGGAGATGAACGTTATCAAGTCTCTTGACGTGTCTACCGACCACCATCTGATGCCACACATCGAGCGCAGTTTCTCGCATAGACCTTTTGGATTGACTATCAACCACACCTTGGCTCAGGTCTGCAGTTTCTGTTAGATGGTCATTCTATTTGTTTGTTTAGAATACGCTTGGTATTGAGGCTTGCCCAGCAACTTTGGAATGTCAATACGCGTGCGTCAGCTACATGATGGAAACCACTGCTGTTCACAGTTGTCTCTGCCCTGAAGGCTATGAGGCTGGGGTTGATCGCGAATGCGTCTTCCCAGAGAACAGAAGTGACTACAAGGTTTGATTTGGGAAATGAATTGGTGTACTGTTTCTTTTTAGGCTGATTCTTATGTTGACCTCGAATACATGAAGTCATTGTGTGAAACTGGAAAAGCATGTGGAGCCAACGGACAATGTGTCTACAACAGGGACGACACTACAAACGAGGTCGAAGACATCCGATGCGAGTAAGTGCAACTTCCCATCGGCATTTATACACTTACACACTTTAGATGCAACTCTGGTTACACTGGCTTGTTCTGTGAATTGACCGACGGAAAGGCAATGGCTGATGCACTTGAGGGTCAAGAAACATCTTTCATCACAATTGTGTTGCTTGTTCTCGCCTTCCTTGTTGTATTGGCGATTACTTTCTTTTGCATACATGAGAAGCACCAGCCATTCCGGTTCGTTTCCTTTTTCTATCTAAAAATATTTTTTTTCCAGAGAATTCACAAAGTCCACGAAAGAAGCCGTCATGGATTCAAGCCCACATGTGCTCCAAGCCATCCGCAACAGCGTTCACCATGTTCACGAAAAGATCGTCTCAAAAACGGCGAAAACACAGGACACAATGGCCCCGATCACCTCCTCGTTTTCAAGCCCAGTCTTTCAAGGTCTGTTATGTTAACTATTGTTTTTAAATGCTGTCCTTGATAGACGCCAAAGAAAACACGACACTTGATGCGGAAGTGGGAAGCCCTCTCGTCAAGAAGTCACCACTCTCCTCAAGAGGATCACCACCACTAGTCAGTTCAAACCCGGTTCCTCCTGTCCCATCGACTGGTGTGAGGAGTGTTTTCGGCAACTTTGAGAATCCATCGTTCCGGGTACCATCACCACCAAGCGAGGTACTGGTTCGATTTTGTTCGTACTCATGAGTTTCTTTTCAGATGTATGGCCGGGAAACCTGGGAAGCCTCACTTACGAGCCGGAGTGAACCCGAATTTCATCTAGGCGACGACGAAACTACCCGCAATGTTTATTGAGCACCCTTAAAAAAATGTTGTGATTTTAATTTCTTGTGCCATTATTTACTTTTTCACTGCATTTTGTTTTTGATTGTGATATTGTGTCATGCGTTTGAATGAACTATTTTGTCTAGTGGTGATACTAATTTAACAAAGGAACTTTCTATGCACACAAAGGGTTTGAAGTGTTATAAGCTGGGAATCAGGGCTTAGGGCTTGTAACTTGGCCGCTTTTTTATAAAATTGGTCGCTGTTCAGAAAGGCAAATAGGTAAATTACCATATTGATTGAAATTTGCGTTCTTTTTGGTTAACTGGAGCGAAAGAAAAACAGACCATTCATTACAGTATTTCATCGTAGTGTATGCAGTTATATGCATCCCGCGGCTGAACAAGAATATCACAGGATTGCCCAAGTTGAGGTATATTTTGATGGATTGTTTTTGTTCGTTTTTATGATCATGTTTTATTTAGGATGTCTCTCAGGACATATGCAAATTAATCGCCAAGTCAATTGTGTCAACTCGTCACAATCACGAAACTTTGCAAAAGGCTTGTTCCATTGAGCCTACTGCTTTATTTTGTTTTCTCTTTCTAGGTTCAAAACGACTTGAAAGTGATTAACTCGGAGGCGGGAGAAGAGGCGAAAAATGTGAGGGTTTTTGTTTTTGATTACTGATTGCTCGATTTTAGTTGCACGAACGTTTGAATTGGCTAAAGGATCGCGTCAAGGAGAAAACTGAAGCGTTGAAGCCAAGGATGGCCGAGAAAGAAGAGAACGCTGAGATGCATTTCGAGGGTCGAGTAAGAGTATTTGGTTTTTGACCTACAACCAGAAAATTGATATCTAATTGTAACAATTATCGTTTTTTATGTTTAGTCATCGGCAATCTCGGAGTGGACTCTGCTATCACTTGAACATGAAATCGCCGAACTTGAAAAGCAGATGCTCGAAGTGAGTTTCCTTTCACAAGATCAACCTTTTCATTTATAGTTGGACAAGTTCGTGAGAGAGGCGAATAAATATACTGAAGACATGGTGACCCTTCAGGATGATGTTTGTGTTTTCTGAACCTAAAATCTTATTTTCTTTATTCAGTGCGAAGAGATCCGCACACGTCAACGAATTCTCAACCGAATGCCCAATCGACCATCAACTCGTGTTGGTGGAGGTTCTCATGAGGTGAGGCATCGGTTCATTTTTTTTATTCGAGCAATATTCTCAAGCGTTAGTGTCCATTTCTCTTTAGGTGGCTCGTGTTTTGCTGCGTGCCGAGGAGGTGTTGTATTTTCTTTGTGAATCAAAGGAGGCCGACGTGCTCTCTGAGGTCCCAATCGTTCTTAAAGAAGTAGACGAGCTTCGTCATGCCGCTGAACAAGTATGATTTAGCTTTGAGTACATAATAAATTAAAGTCTAGTTTTTAGTTTTTAGTAAATTCAATTTTTAGGCATCTTTGTCGAACAAGGGCGAAGCATATCGCTATTTGGCTGACGTTGACTGCGACACCGGCAACATTTTGGCCATTCGCGAGAATCGAGCTTCACAGACTGGTGGGTTTTTTTGTTTGAAAATGAATTTGGGCAAGCTATCACGTTTTTTTTTTCCACTCATTATACATATTTTATCTTTTCTAGTACGTGTTGGTGCTGTGAATGATGAGATGAACACGTCGGCCACTCCAAGCGTCGTCTGAACATCGACGAAAATTGAAATCTATCAAGAAAGCTTTTTCAAGCCTACGGTCTTTTTGTTTTATTCGAATGATTGCTTTTCAAAGAATAAATTCTTCAAAACTCAGGAGCAGGATCTATCTCAAACGTACTATTAAGCATCTCGAAGTGACCAAACATTCCTTCACTTGAACTGCAACGGACTTGGAGGGAGGGGAAGTGGTGGTGCCATTGTTGACTTGTCTCAGGTTTCAAATTACGGTAGGAATTCCTCAAAAACGAGCCGCGTGAATCTCTTAACAGTCCAGTGAGAATCGATTCTTCCAAATCCTAAGGTGCGTTGCAAAATGATAGGATCACCCTAAATTTTACATTTTTTGGCTATGAAATTTAATAACGCTAAATAGCTTTTAAATCCTAGAAATATATAAAAAAATAGGCATCTATACCATTTTTAACATTATCTGAACAAATTGCAACAAAATTATAACATTTTCTTTATTTAACACCTGTTGCGAAATGATAGGACCACATAAAAAATAACAATAAATTTGAGAATAAACAAAAGAAAAACGAATGAAGAGTTTATTAATAATCAATAGATGCTCCCTTTTTGTCGATGACGTCGAGTAGTCGACTTTTCATCGAGTTCACTAAATTTTGAAGCGTTTGTGGTGGAATTCACGTCCAAACTTGCAAAATTACTTTTTTGACTTGCGAAATCGTGTCGTAAGTCTTTCCATTAGCATAAATATTCCTCACGAGGATGCCCCATAAGTTTCCCATTGGGTTTAAGCCCGGTGAGCAGGCAGGCCATTCGAGAATATCGATGTTATGACGTCCCAGGAAAGCTTTAGTGGATTGACTGACATGAATTGAAGCATTATCCTGTTGAAAAATATAGAGTTTCCCTCGATTTTGTGCTAGGAAAGGAAGTAGTTTATCCGCAAGGACATCCTGGTAATCGTTCGAGTTCATGCGACAAGTCACAAATTCTAAATCAAGAACGTCATCCACATTGAAAGCGCCCCATATCATCAGTGATCCTCCTCCGAAGTTTCGACGCCCACAAAGCATTGGATCTTTTCTCAAATCGTGCCAATAGTACTTGTTGCCGTCGGGACCATCCAAATTAAATTTTTCCTCATCGCTGAAGACGAGCTACAAAGAAAAAACTAGTTAACAACTCAAGGCAAAAAGTTTACTTTTTTCCAATCGATGGTGATGTGATCCCGAGCCCAAGACATCCTTTTTTTCTTTGTGTGCCGGCTTCAGTTTTGCTGCTTTCTTCATGATTGCTCTTTTGATGCAACGGATGTAACACTTGATGGCTCAAGAAAGAGTGCTTTTGTGGACGGGAGCTCCAATTTGTGCCTTGACGTCCTGTAGCGACATTACCAAATTCGACAACAGACGTCCCATATGCCGTTCAGCGCGAACCGTGAGCTTTCGATGATGTCCCAGAGACTTTTTCTTGCCATACTTAAAAGGATCCTTCAAGAAATTTGAGACAACTTGCGAGCGCTTCATTTTTTGCGATCTTCCGATTCGACAACTTTCTTCCTTTCAAAATCAAAATTTTCATCTGTTCGATCCGGGAAAGCGTTTTCCACGTCCCATCTTCCTAAAAAATAAAAATCAGCAAAAAGTAAGCAAAAAACATGGTTATTACCGGTAGAAAATCAAAAAGAAACGTAGTGGTCCTATCATTTTGCGACAGGTGTAAAATAAAGAAATGCTTAAAAAATTTTGCCTTTTAAAGTAAATTATTTGGCAAACGGTATTTGGGCGTATATAAAATTCGAATTTAAGCATCATTTTGCATTTTTAGTTATTTAAAATCAAAAATCGCAAAAATCGAGGGTGGTCCTATCATTTTGCAACGCACTGTATTATCAAATAATTTTTGTTGTCACTTCACTAGTTCAAAGAGCAGATGCTTTATCCACAAAAGATCCCACATACAAAAACAATCTAAGAAAATATTTGACATATAGCACAAGCATATTAACAGAAAAACACAAAATAACATGAGCAGAAATGAAGAATTCACAATCTGAAATATTAATCACTAGATACATTAAGTGTCATCTAGCAGTGCAAAACATATCACAAAATAGAAAACAAAAATGGGCGAATTCACAGAAAGTTTGATTTAATTTGCTCGCGAGCATGCTGAGCACGGCGTTCGGCGGCTCTCTTCTCCTCATTTTCACGTTGCAACACTTCGCGGAGCATCTTCTCAAGGGCTTTCTTGCGGGTGCTCTCGATGATTTGCGCGTTGACTCCATGCAAAGGCACCTAAAACTTTCAAGTTAGCAAAGGCAATAAATCTAGTTTAGAGACAAATGAAATGCACCTTTCCAGGAAGAGCAGCAGTGACAGCTTGAAACTGATCAGACTGGTCCTCTTTGGCGCGAATGTCACGGCTCCGGCGATTCTTCAACATTGCAGGTGGAGGTTGATCAAGACGCAGCTCTTGCCAGCCCCTTAAAAAATAATGTAAGACGACAAATTGCACGAGAACCTACGCTTTCATTGGTGATTGATCCACAATAAGCACTTCACAGTCCTTGGCAGGCGAAAGTTCCCCAGAGGTAACCAAGCGGTCATATTCGACAATAGGGAGACCCTAAATGAAAAGACTATGTTGGCAAATCATTAAAATCCAACCTTCTTGAGCTTGTGGATGAATTGACACTTTGGACCGTATGGACACCATCCGAATTGAGAGAACTTGTCGCATAGCTGGGTCTTATACTTCGGATGAGCTTTTCCTTTTGGTTGAGCGGGAAGTCGGAGCTCTTGTTCCCCGTGAGCGAATCGACACGCATCCCCATACGAGCATTTACCGTTTCGTCGATATGCATCACATAGGGCCGTCTTGAAAGCCTCTTCTTTCCTAAATAACAGCAGTCATGACAGTTATCTCTAACAGACTCAACCTTTTCTTCCTGAGTGCCTCTTCTCGCTCCTCATCCGTTAGCACCTGTTGATCGCTCGTTTGAGGGAGCGGCTGAAGAGGTGGCTGCTGAACTCATAAAGTTAGTTAAAAGTTCGAGCAACAAACCCCTGGAATGTGCCCTCCGAGAACCGTTTCCTCGTGAGCAGCTTCGACATGTCTTGGCATCTCCATGTTGACAGTCCTTGGAAAGCTCACATTGTAGTCGGCAAAGTTTGTGATCGGAAAGCAAGGAAGTTGTGGTCGCATCACGGGAATCTAAACAAACAAGTAAAATAGAATGGTTGTTAATTCTTGCGCTTCGGGAAAGCACAAAGAAAAGTATAAACTTACTCCAGGCATAAGTCCACCATCGACCGTTTCTTCGAGCGCTTCGGGAAGATGCTCCACGTCTTGGAAAGTATTGTAGCCGACATTCGATAACATCCTGGCATTCAGCGGTGACGAAACTCCCATTTCATGGAGTGAAGATGGCAAAATTGAGCTTGGAGTGATCGTCTTCATTGTAGGAGAAGGAAAAGCTAAAATAAAACATTATTCACAAATAAAGTTCCATGTTTCTTTAGATTATTGCTACCTTAACTGGCATCACTTACTATTTCAAATGCAATAACTTATAACGCACGCGTTCTGAAAGTTTATGCGCTAAAACATGCGCAATTTCTTGAAGCTTCCACGCAGTGCCACTCATTATTTCAAAGTCGAAATGTTAAAACCAACCATTTTGAACGCAGGCACTCAAGTTGAAGAAAGGATTCATCTGCCTGAAATTGCTCGCAAAGTCTTGCGCATGAAGATTCCCATAGGGGTGTGTATCCATCGGAGAATGCGACATCGCGGTCCTCGTTGCAACTTCTCGCCTAAATAAAGAAATTAATTGTTGCTAAAGAAATGTTTGACAAAATACAACTGCAAAGTGAAAAATTGATGTGAAACTGGGTAGGAGAGGGTAGATTCAAAGAATTCGGGTCAACCTTTGATGACACAAGCTTATGGGTCGATCCACCAGCTAATGAATGACTCAATGTTAAAAGGAAACGCTTCAGTTTCTGATTTGTTTAAATTTTAAAACTTTCGGCGTACAATAAGCGAAATGTCGTGTGTGTGCCAAAATTCAAGAAAGAGAAAATGAATTCTAGATTGAAGCGAAACCATATTTATGTAACTTTCAATCAGACAAAATGATTCAGGCTGTGAACTGAGTATCTAATTTTAATTTAATTCTTGTAACGACACTTGATTATTTCCACTTCACTCAACTTTCGTTGCACACTCTTTTTTTGCCAAATTGCTCTCAATCTTTTTATTGTCGTGACATTCAACTCTTAAAATCAAAGTGTATTTTCAAAATGAATGCAATCCAAATATTTATTGCACACTTTGAGCAGAGCAAAACAATGTGATACTACGAGAACGATAATGGAAGAAATGTGGCAAAAATATACCCGTATCACAGCAAAAAGAGTCAATTCTCCTAATAGTGCCAGAAAACAAAACGGAGAGCAAATTTGAGCAAGAGAACGAACAAATTGCTGAGCTATCATTTTCTCACTGAATGCATTCATTGAGGAAGTTGTAAAATTTGAGGTAGACGTATTGTCGAGTCGCTTGAATACCGTGCTTTTGATTCGGGAACACCTGAACAAAGAAAAATTCGACTTTTTGAAGTTTCCTATGAGTAAACGAACCATGAGATCAAAGTCGACATTGTTTTTTTGCAATTCCTCAATGAATAGGGCGCTATTTTGGAAGTGGACATTGTCTAAAACGTTAAAAATTTCCAAGATCTTGCAAATTCTCCCACCATCATAGAGTCCATGCATCAAAAGGAGACGGGTTGTTCTGAATTTCGACACATCTCGTACCAAATCTGCCTAAATGCATAAATTTCAGTAAGTGGACCGGGCGAAAGCCTTGTACCGCATCGTAAGCTGATCGATCCGCTTGTCCCATGTATCGTTCCGTGTAGGTGGCATCTAAAAAGCACCATAATTGTAAAGCTAAGCTGTAGAAATTTACCATAAAGCAAAAAATTCGAGACTGGAGCCACCGATATTGCACACCTGAACATATTCGCGGGCGCCATTTCAACAATATTCCCAGCAGCAAAACCACCTAAATATTTGAGTCAAAATTTAGCGATTTGCCCAAAACAACAAACCATACGACCATCCATAAACGACTTTTCGGCTTTTATCCAAGAATTGATGCTTTTCGACGAGAATTCTAAAGAAAAATGATTAATACAAAGATTTGATGTTAGAATTATTATTAATCACTAAAGGCTCTCACTTTAGCGCATCGATTTGATCTTTCATTTCGACCGAGCCAAGCGCTCCATAGATCGGCGAGCGATATTTCCACCCACGAGCACCGGATCCTAAAACACGACACATTACAATTGTATAAATGACCGCATCGATGTTCTTTTATCTACAATTTTGTACAAGCCTCAAGTATCCCCTCCAAGAATATCCAAAACCGTACCTCTTCCATCGATTTCAATCACGGCCATCGATCGATTCAAGCACAACCATTTCGGGTAATTCCATTTGTATTCGTCGTTGACCGCTTGCGAGCCAGGGCCGCCATATCTAAAAGGAAAAGATTCGTTTGATCAAAAAAAATAAAAAACTCACACATAAAGGAGCACGGGAAATGGTCGAGAGCCGCGTTGTGGATCGTGTGGAAGCCACATTCGAGTACGAGCAACTAAAATTTATTGCTTATATCAAGATAAACCAAAAAAATTTCATTAAAAGGCAAATGTTTAACCCAAATAGATACATAAACACCTACCATATCCATCAGGCAGCTCTACATCTTCGTTGATCGTCACCGTTTCCATCACTTTCGTCATTTGTTGAGCGTAAGCCTCGTTGGTCATCGTGTTGGTGACTGGAAAATTTAAATTTATGAATTAGTTAAATTCGTTTACCTTTAGCAAGCTGATTGTTTCCGACAACAAGAGCCACCAAATTATGGTGGATTCCAGGGCCTCGACACGGTACAATCAATCGTTTTCCATCGGGAGAGAAGAGTAAATCTCTCTAAATGGATACAATTTTTTTTTTAAAAGCACTAAGATTTACCTGATATGTACAATTCTCTGCCACACACGAAACACATTTGCACACAACCGAGTCCGGCTCATCAGTCTAAAGTTTCAAAGTACCAAAACGATCAATTCAACAAACGTACCGGGCTCGCTTTGGTCACATAAATGTGTTGATTACTTGGAGTAGGAGCTTGAGCAACGAAATATCTGAACAAAAATGATTATTCTTTGCTCATGACTTTAAAACTTGCATCAAATCTTGTGCTTCATCGTATCTCGCAATTCGGCTCACATCAAAGGCGCCAATGGTTAGAATGCTTTCCACTGCTTGCACGGACAGTCCACCCGTTTGCCAGTTTTCTGAAATAACAAATTATGAGCGCTGCCGATGTACTATAGATTTCTAAGACTCAATTCTTAATCTTAAACATCTATCTATCAACTCCAATATCTTATGCAACAAAATAACCAACCAGGAATCGTCAATCGTACAACATGATTGTAAATATTTCCATCCGACGCTTTCGCTTTGGGCACAATCACAAAGAGAGCATCGCGAGCGGAGTGCATTGACTAAAACATAGCTATTATTTTCTAACTATAATATTCATAAAATCAAATCGTTTACCTGATAGTCCGACGGCATTGCCCATTGTCTGGATTGATAAGTGTAGTCGGATACCTAAAAAATGAAAAATAGAGATCGTGAAACAAATTTGAAAACTAAAATGATGTGTGCAGAGTTTAAATAAAATTTAGAGAGTTTAAAAAGTGATTGACTCACAAATTTTCTCTGTTGTCTGTTTGTAATGAAGTTTTGGCCTAAAGCAATCAAAAACTACCTACCAAATGACACAGAGACGTCTCATAGTTGCACAGTGTGATGCTCACTCGATTTTGATATCTAAAAGAACAAGAGTTATAAGCAAGAATGTTCTAAACGGATCCTAGCCAAATTCAGGGACTTTTGTGGGCCAGATCAGTCGCAAAGCCAAGCAACGACCTGGTCTTGCCTTGTCTAGCCATTTCAGTTCTTATCAAAAGTAAAACCCCACCGATTAGCCCAAACAGCCGCCATAACCTCTCGTCCATACAAACGTACCCAGTTCACCGCGATCAAGTAGTGCGGAGATCTGAAAGAAAATGATTAGTTTACACATGTTTAGCGCAGGTTAATACTGAAAAGTGAAGCCTCGTTGTTTCATTCAATAAGCAAATGTACATCAAAGCTTGGGCTATAAGGTTCATTACAAAATGTTAATACCCTGTTCCCTCGTCGGAGTCAAACCTGAAGCAAGAAAAACAAACTTGAATCGAGCTCTCATTACAATTTAAAGTAAAATGTGTTACTATACTGCAGTGAGGTAAAGTTTAGTCGATTCAGGTGTCAGTACAAGTACGGATACTTTACAGTAACTACTTTATTTAAAACGCGTAGTACTTTAAAAACTCACATCGAGTCTTTCAATTGTACATCCAACACTCGCGTCTGTCTCAGATAACGATCCCACAGCGACAATGTGTAAACGGGCAAGAATCGGGCCTTTGTCTTCGGGTAGGGCACTTCGGAAACCGATGGATAGGGATCGCCTAAAGAAATTTGATGAAATAGAATATGCAAAATCTCATAAAGCTACGATACCTCGTTTATAAGCTGTCATCAATATCGTTTCATTTCGGAGATCATTCGGATTGTGCGTGGCAAAGGCGAGCTGGCCTCCACTCGGTGACCACCTGCAAAGCAACAAAATAAACGTGTTACATGGAGAATTTGACCAGGATTAGCTGCTAAGCTGTCTAAAATTTTAGCAAAGCCTTATTCATGAGAAATTTCAAACATCACTCACCAAATGGCTTGTTTATTCGAGTCAAAGATCTCCTCCGTGTACACCCAATTGTGCATTCCATTAATTTTATCTGTGTTTCCATCGGAGATTCTAAAAAGAAACATGAAAAAACTAAAGTTAATAAATCATATTTAATAGAGTAAAATTTAGAAGGGGTAACGGGGAGAGAGAACAAAATTTGAACTTAAATTTTTGGTTTTCGGATCTACGGGGATTCTCGGTACCTGTAAGGTAAAATGATTTCGTATTCGCAGCTAAAACTATAGATATGCGAGAGTCAATGTAAATCCTCGGTGATGAAACACAAAACTTACATCGTTGAATTGTTCGCTTCCGGTTTCTCGACATAGTAGAGCTGGCCATTTTGCACGAATACCTAAAGAAAGCTACGATTTTCGTCAAATCCAATTTTAGACTTCATTGGAAAGCTTGCTCTGCGTGCAAACTAAATATCCTCAAATCACTCACATAATCATTCCCAGCCGGACTCCAAGCAAACGTTTGTTGCATCTCCCCGGCTCCTTTTCGCACACCAACTCGAAGAATTTGTCTAAACGTAAAAATCTACGTCTATCTAATGCATTGCTAATCTAGCCGAAAACCTTTGCTCACAAAACACACTTGTTATGTCGGTGAACGATCTCATAATTGTACACCTGTTGCTCGGGGTTGAGGCTCTAAAATATACATTCAAACATGGCAAGTTGAAAAATAACGAACCGCGTTCGCCGCCGAGGACACTCGTTTGCAAATGTACTCGAAGTCGTGCGAGAATTGCACCTTTGACACGTAGCCAAGGTGTGATTGCTGAAATAATATGATTGCTGAAATATGTGCTTGTGCAAAAACGTTTTAAGTTTAAAAATTCCTCGAGATAAAAACCGAAAGTAGAGCTTTGAAGTTAATTTGTCAATGGTCAAAAATGTTTACCCTTCTCATTTTAACCAAATCAAATCGTTTTACATCATTGATAAGAACGACATAGACCAAAGTTCCATCAAAATAGGTTAATCAATAGAATTATGTGAATCCTAGCTCCTAACATCTTCAAGAGGCACATTTCCCACTTTAAACTCACCAGAAAATCCCCATCGACATATTGCGTGGAGTTGTTGTTGCGCACATCGACCCGATTCACCCCGTGCCTCATCTAAACAAAAAAAAACGTCATGTCAGACACGATATTAAGTACTTTAAGCTCAAAAAAAACATGAAAACTTACAATATAAAGAATATGATTGTCATCCATCCAAGTGAAATATTCAAGCGGGAACACCATCCGACCGAGATCCCTCAACTCGGGCACTTTCAGATCATAGTCGCGATTCGCGGAGACTAAAAATAGCCAGAATTAAAGAAGTTTCTAATATTTTCTCAGAAGATTAGTCTAGAAGCTTAGAAGATAAAAAAATAGTCAAAAATCCTTACAGAGATCCTTGCTGGAATTGCAATTCGAAATTGATTCATTATAAGCGCCAATGTTGAATAAGTAATCTAAAAGACGGGAAAAGGCTGAAGAGATAGAAAGGACCCAAAAAGGTAATATTAAACTTTAGAAAGTTTATGTTTTACAGATTTTCTCCAGAAAAAATTGAATGATGCTCAAAAACTTTTGGTTTATTTATTGCGGAAGGGTGGAAAAAGAGTTTTGCAAAAAAAATACTTTGTTATTAGCATAATATTCAGGTATTATGGTATTATGGTAGCTTAAACTTGGTGCAAAATGGAAAATAATAGGTTGATGCATAAGTCTTTTCGTTTTTTTCGTACTTCTGTTAAAAAGTAACAAATTCACCAATTAATCTATAGTTTGCTCTATAAAAAAAGTGTTTTTTTGTTCAATTTCCATCTTTTTAAATCAATTTCGGTTCACTTTCAAGCAAATTCGAGAGTGAAAAACGCCTTTTTCGTAAAAATCTATAAACAACTCTACGGAAAAATTGGCTGAATGAATTTCTCTGAAATTTTGGCGAAATATCAAACGTTTTTTTTCTCTATCTTTTATCTATTGACACGAAGATAGGTTTTCTTTAGCTAAGGTGTCTAAACCCCATCATCGAGTTAGCCCTTTTTGACTACCCGACTTCATACTCTCAAGAAAATCCAGGCATTAAATATTTTTAAACCCGTTTTAATGTTATTTTGCAGAAAAATAATTGGTTTTTCTAATGAAATCAACCGTAGTTTAATTGGTGCATTTGTTGGCTTGAAACGGCAGACGAAAAGGAACAAAAAGACTTATGCATCAACCTAATAGTAAAAAAAACCCCACGTGGTGTGAAGAGAAAGACGGCGGCGGTGATGAGCGAGCAAATGGCGATGATGACGAGCAGCGCGGTGACCATTCCCCGCCAATCTCTTTCTTGCGGACCCGAGCCGGCCAACTCCTGAATGGGAAATACGTAGATGGTGCTAGCTGTGGGTGGCATTGCGGATTTTATAGATTTAGATTTATCCAGATAATTTTCCAATAGTTGAAATCAATAACTCTTGAGACAGTAACTCTTGAGACGAAAAAAACCACTTATAAATCTTTTACGAGTTTCCCTTTTTCCCCCGCGTAATTGGTTTATTTGAAGAGTTGGAAGAATTTCCAAAAAAATAGCCTTGTATTAGATATGCAAATTTATTACATTACACCACAACTCTAACAAAACTTTAACCCTTATAACTACTGACAGATTGCCATTTAGCAAAAAACCGAATATAGATTCGGAAGCAGCGTAAAATTCTGCGTCGAATGGGATAGGTTGCATAGGATTTGGACAGCTGGATAGCATTCAAAGTTGTTGTTTATTGCATTACGGTAGCTTAAACGGTAGTGTAAAATCAAAACTTACAACTTTTCTCGCATCTCGAAAACTCGGACCGTAGCTGGCGCGCATTTGAGAGAAAAATGATTGACTTTCGCGAAAAATGGCAACACTTTTAAATGGCGACAGTTTTAAATGCAAATTTTCGCAAAACCGCGTAAAATGAAATGTAAATTTCATCAAAAACGACGCAAAATTAAATGTAAATTCGGATTAAACGTAAATTAATCGATTTCAAGGCAAATTTATGAATTTTACTTTTTAAAAAATCTTTTATACTGTAAACTGAATATTTTTTAATTTGTAAACAGCCTGAGCCTGAGCCTGAGCCTAAGCCTGAGCCTGAGCCTAAGCCTGAGCCTAAGCCTGAGCCTGAGCCTAAGCCTGAGCCTAAGCCTGAGCCTGAGCCTAAGCCTGAGCCTAAGCCTGAGCCTGAGCCTAAGCCTAAGCCTGAGCCTAAGCCTGAGCCTAAGCCTGAGCCTGAGCCTGAGCCTGAGCCTGAGCCTGAGCCTGAGCCTGAGCCTGAGCCTGAGCCTGAACAGCTTGGCGATGCCTATCCATTTTTTTTACCTCATCAATCCCATCAAGGAGATCGGCGTCCGCCATTTTTGCCTTCGAACTTTGACAAGGCTCAGCCGATCATTGAATATCTTTAAATAGATGCTCTATTCATGTAAATTTATGAATATACCTTCTAAAAATAACCAACTATGCAAACAACAAACAAACAAAAAAATAACCAACCAACTATGCAAATTTCGCAGAAGTATCAAAAGGAAAAATGATGTGAAGAAGAGGAAATTGGACTGAGAAAATTGGATATGTAAAATTCATGAGTTCGAGAAGAAAAAGAAAACTTTCTGTTCAATTTTTTTTCCAAAAAAACTTTAAAAAGATCGACTTTCAATGCGAAAAATTCAACTTTTAAACAACTTTTTCAACTTTTTTCAAAAAAATCGAAACATTAATCTGATTTACAAAAGGAAAACGTTGTTTTCATTGAGAGAAAGTTGAGAGAAAACAAAAATTTTCGGAATTTTCAACCAGAAAAAAAAGAAAAACCTATCAAAAATATGGAAAAATAGAAATTTTATTTAATTAAATCGTTTTGAATTTCTCCTTGTGAATCCTTGTGAAATGTAAATGCAAATCCCCCTTTGTGAGGGTTATTTTTGACTTTTCACAAGCAAAAACTCCCCAATTTACACACATTGAGTACGCTCAAATTACCGCAAGAAAAGGAGAAAATTTGGAAAAGAGAATGGGAAATTTGAGAGGAAATCAACCAAATGTTAACGTTAATACAAAGCAAATGTTCTTGAAAAATCGTTTCAATTTTAAAAATCAGTAACTATTGAAGAATGAATATTGAAAATCTAGAAAAAAACTAGCTAATCCGCTGAAATCGATTTCAATGCATGAGTTTCAAAAAAAGAAACTCCAATTTCCCGAAAAGTAGGTGTGAAAAGGGACACCGATATCAGGAAATATCCAATGGATTGAAAGTTAAAAGAGAAAAAAAGAGGAAAAGGAAAAAAATGAGAATCTCTTTCGAGTGAAATGATTCTAAGGGATTCCCCTTCACCCTCAACAGACACTTTTTTTTTGCTCATTTACCCCTTGGAGCTCTCGGGGCTGAGTAAAAAGGGCACTGAAAAGCCTAAAAGCCGAAAAGCTGGACTGGGTCCCTTTTAGCCCGGGCCCTCCTTTCCCTGTCCTCTCCTCCACATTCTCTCCTTCACACTCTCCTCCACACTCTCTCCTCCACACTCTCCTCCTGTTCACCTCCTCTTCCCGGATTCCCATCCCTGGTTACTTTCCTGAAATCAATTACAATAACAATTGAGATAAACAAGTAAAGGAATTGTTAACTAGAGGAAAATAACTAGAGGTCTTGATGGCTTGTTCTGATGGCCTGGCTGGTTTTGATAGCCTGTACTGACTAGTTAGTTGGCCTAGTGAACTCTAGTTATTGCTCTAGCTTGGCCTAACGACTCGGTTAGTTTTTTGGTCAAGTCAAAGCCATTGTCCAAAGCTTTAGAGATGAGTATCTTGTGGATTAGCTTCAGTCTAAGCCTAAGTCCAAGCCTAAGCCTAAGCCTAAACCTAAGCCTAAGTCCAAGCCTGAGTCCAAGCCTAAGCCTAAGCCTAAGCCTAAGCCTAAGCCTAAAGTCAAGCAAAGTCAGGTGGATCTAATTTCACGTCCTGGCTCCTGATCTGGGTATTTTTAGTTAAGAGCAGGTTTTTGGTTTAGTTTAGATTGTTTTTGGTTAAGCTTTTTGACTTGGATTAGCTTGAATACCTGTTAAATTTGAATAACCGCCAATAGTACCCCAATCCACAGTCAGTCCTTGTAATGCCACAAACTTAAACCCAGAAAAACGATCAACAAAGACTCCTAATAGTTAAGTTTAAGAAATAGCCATAAATTAGATATTTAATTTTAGAATAAACCAATCAAAACCAGAACCAAAACCGATCTATTTTTGAAGAAAAGATAAAATAAAGTTCAAGGTATCCCCCTTTTTATCCCTCCTACAAAGTGGTCCTCAGCCATTTTTTGTTCTCCTCTTTTCCCTTGAGGATATCGATCTCAATTTCTCCTTTCCTTTGCCTCACTTTGAGCCTCATTTATTGGCTGACGACAACCGCCTTTTCTGAATATTTGAATAGACACTGATTCTCGGATATCCGTTTTTTTGAAGAATCAAATTAGAGAAAAATTTTCTTAGAAAAGAATCTTCCTTTAAGTGTACTCAAATCTCAATTCTTTATTTTCATTGCTGTGAGAAAAATGAGGAACTCAGTGTACAAATTTGAGCACAAAGGACGTAAAGTGAATCGTTTTTGAGTTTTCTTTGATAAAGAAGTTTATTGCACGTTTCAACAATCGTATTGCATTGGAAATATCAATCTTTTCCAATGGATTGGAAATATCAATCTTTTCTCCTTATTAATCTCTTTCGTGAATCTAACAACCTTATTCACTGTCAACGAATGAGCGAAAGCTGACAAAGTGAAGCCGGAAGAGACAGTCACCCACCAGAGATCCACACAATATGGATAGCGTTCTAGAATTCGATTTTCATAGCCACAAGATATCTCGATGATTCGCCTGACAACCGGAAAAGTCATGGATAAATTGAAAGCTTTAAATCCAGAAATTCAATTCAATTCAAATTTAAAGTGAAAGAGAAATCTTGAAAATTGTTAACAGATTAACACTCTTTCAATCACATTTTGATGAGCATCGTGGTCAAATAAAGCGTTAGAGAAAGGAATAGAAAACAAGAAAAATGGATTCCAGAAACTCGCGAAACTTTTCAGTTAGATCATCGCTTAAATAGTTAATATCATGAAAAACTTGTACCCTAAATGTTCCAAAGACATTTATGGACCTAGGGAAACCGAGAAATACGAATTTTTCCCGGTGAACAATCAAAATCTAACATTTTATTGTCCAGCAAGTGTATTCAAAAAGAAATCGTGTCCACAATTGCATTGCGTTTACAAGTTTGAGCACAGTGAATCGCTTTTAAGCTTTCTTTGATAAAGAAGTTTATTGCACGTTTCAACAATCGTATTGCACTTTGGATTGAAAATCTTTTCAAAGAAACTTTTCTGCTTATCAATCTCTTTTCGTGAATCTAACCACCGTATTCACCGTTAACGAGAGAGCGAAAGCTGACAGAGTGAAGCCGGAAGAGACAGTCGCCCACCAGACATCCACACAATATGGATGGCGTTCTAGAATTCGATAATTAAGAAGCTCGATAACATTTTGATAACAGCCTACAGTTCTATGAATGATTCTAGATATGGATCAGTGCAGATAATCTCATAGCTAGAGGCTTGGCTAGATCAAGATTGAAAGAGTAAATATGTTTTTCAGGAATACCTCTGGATAAGCATAAGATAGATAAGACGATAGATAAGACGATAGATAAGACGATAGATAAAACAAAGCCATGCAAAGAAGTCAAGATAATTTCCGATCAAACTTTGTAATTTTAGATCAGGTATGATAAAAGACAAGCACAGGCCAAGCTATGTCAGTTTAAGGACTGTACAGAAAATCGAGAACACAGCTAGCGTAGATAATCCAGACGCTAAGCTCTGATCAAGAATACCAATGCTAAAGATCGACTTGCTTTAGGATAAAACAAGATTGTGGGACCTTTTATACGCGTCTTGCTCCCTTTCCCATTGGCAATCTAATTTTGAGCTCAAATATCTTGATGTTAGGCTGTGGAATTTAAATTTTCTTGGTATCATTAGATGCGGCAAGTCTTTCTCTGTCGAATGGTACAAAAACTATTGAAATTGGACACCCCAACACCAAGAAATTTGAGCTCAAATTTAGCCAATGGGAAAACGGGGGGGCGCATAAAAGGTCCGTCGACCCGCCCCTTTGCCATTGGCAATCCATTGGCACAAAACCAAAGAGTGTGTCAATAGCCAGGCTATTTTTATGCTACTCCATGTGGCATAAAACATCAGGGTAAAACCAGACCAGGCCTACGTCAGGATAAATCGAAGCAGCCTTCGCCTATAGTAGTAACCTTCAACTTTCTTTCTGTATCTACCAGCAGAAAATAAAATTTTTTGGAGGAAAAAGGAACAGAATGGCGGCAAGAGGAGCCGAACCGGCGACCGCTCTCTTCCGTTCGTTTGAGAGACGGCCGCGTCAACCACTCGGCCATGCGGGTGTTAAGGACCCGCGTCCACCCGCGTTAACCACTCGGTCAGCGTGACCGTTAACCACTATTATATGGCGCAGTGCGAGCGCGCTTTTCTCTAGCCCACACGACCCGGGTTCGACTCCTGTCCGCGTCAGCACTTTTGATTTTTTAAAAATTTAAAAAGACAGACAGACAGACTACATAAAAGAGCTGTGTCTACAGCTCTTTTACATAGTATGATCTACGCTCGATATTCACAATGAGGCTACCCGAACCTTGTGCTCTTCTAAACGCATCCCGTTTGGCAGATTCTCACCTTTCGGTTTGTTCTTGCATTCCTCTCCAATACAGTACGCGGCTTTAACACTAATCGTTCTACTTTCACTTATCATATCTGTAAATTGATGACGTTTAAAACTAAAAAAAATACTTAACCTTCTTCCATGAATTCTCCAAGACTTTCCCTCTTTCGATTGCTTTTTCCAAAATCGAAAGCAATTGAATTTGGGGCTGAAGTGATCAAATCGGGACAGAATGGAGGCTGAAAATGGGGATTCGGTTTGGAAACATTGCACTAGAAAGAGCTCAGTGTGCTAGATATCATAAGCTTTAGCTTTAGCCGTATCATACAAGTCAAACTTGCCCTTGAACCACCTACAATATGCTAGAATAAACGATTCACCTGACAAGGCTGCTTATCTTTAGTTTCTTTAGTTGAAGAATTCGATATTCAGCCGACAAGGCTGCTTATCTTTAGCTTTTTTAGTTAAAGAATTAGATATTCAGCTTACGGTGGGTACGGTGGCACAACTGGAGAGATTTGTTTGTGTGGATGGAATGTCCGAACAAATCAACACATCACACCGAATCGACAGCATACTGTGATCGGGGATCTGAATTTAGAGAATACGTTTTCTAAATTATGAATATGTTCACTTTCTCTTTAGAAGAAGCATTATATGTGCTAATTTCATATAGTGAAAACACGGGGTTTTCTGTAAAAACCTCTACGAAGAAATTCGCTGAATGAATTTTGCTGAAAATTTGGCTATATAAAACTGCTCTATCTTTTATCTATTATCTATAGATTTCCTTAGCCAAAGTGCTTGAATTCAATCTGGAGCCTCACCCTTTTTGACTTCTCACCAAAATAACCCAGACATAAGACATTTTAAACCAATTTCAATGTTACTTTTTAAAAAAATGATGTCTTTCTAATGAAACAAACCGTAGTTCAATTGGTGCATTTGTTGGTTTGAAACAGAAGTACGAAAAGGAACGAAAAGATTTGTTTGCCAGACTGACAACCTAATTAGGTTATCAACTAGGTTGTTAGCTAGATTGTTAGCTAGATTGTTAGCTAGATTGTTAGCTAGATTGTTAGCTAGATTGTCAACTAGGTTACCAACTAGCTTCTCAACTAGGTTATCAACTAGGTTGTTATCTAGATTGTCAACTAGATTGTCAACTAGCTTCTCAACTAGGTTATCAACTAGCTTCTCAACTAAGTTATCAACCCACCTTGAAAGCCCAGAGTTTAGCCGCAGCTTGATCATGATAAGTGTCATAATGTGGATGAGTGAGAATTTGAAGATCCGTTGAACAGCCATGTTGATCAATGATTTGATGCTCGATCCCGTTGAACGAGTCTCTAACGACACAGTTGTGAACGTGGAATCCATAGGCATCTAATTAAATGGATGATATTCAATGATAGTGTTCTGTGTAAACTTTTGTACTTATCAAATTGCATTTGCTTTCTATTCTTGTAGATAAAAGTCGAACCCGATTCCGGAATCAATTTCCATTGAACAGCCAAATGTGTGCCCAACTCGGCTGTGCTTGTCTCACCGCCTAGCTCATGGTGTTCGTCGATCAAAATCTGAATCTCAATCTGATAGCTGTAAGGATATCTTTAGTTTATTTAATGAATTGATTTGATTTCATTGATTTGATTGATTTGATTGATTTGATTTCATTAAATTTCATCTACAGGGTGCGTCATAATTATTGCAACAAGAGTTCAAAGACCGTTTTCCAAACAGCTTTCTTATTTTTTTGCCCCCTTTTTTGTTGTGTTGCGTTCTATCTTCTTTATTCTTGCCTAATTGCCTCCCGCTCACACGAAGAAGACGGTTCAGGACTGGTGTGTGGCCAACTTTCCCTCAGTGATCACCAAGGATGAATGGCCTCCAAACTCACTGGATCTCAATGTGATGGACTTTTCCATTTGGGCAATCTTAGAGGTTAATGTCTGCTCTCGAAAACACACAAGTTTGGATTCTTTGAAGAAGTCTTTGACTAAAGAATGGAAGGCGACTCCTCAAGATGACATTCGGGCCGCATATCCGAACCGATTAAGGGCCAGTGGAGGCATATCCGAACCGATTAAGGGCTGTTATCAAGGCAAAAAGCGGTCATATCGAATGATCTCTTGTTTCCTTATTTGTTACTGTTAAATAAAGCTATTTCTGTTTAAAAATCTTCTTCCAGTGAAACTTCTTGGTGTGCAATGCCTTGAGTATCTTGTTGCAATAATTATGACGCACCCTGTATTATTCAGTAAATAAAGTGTAAATCTCAGCCCTTTCCTTACTTTCATTTCCACTTGTGGAATCGTTGCCTTTTGCTCGATTCGACTTGCCACAAGGTGTAATCTAAATGTTTTTTTTAAAAGTTTTCTTCATTTTTCTTCATTTTTCTTCATTTTTAATACATTCCTAACAAAATTATCAATAAAAAAAAGTTAATAATGATGATTATTTGGTGTTAAAGCTTTGAAGAACTTTTGTTATTTGTTTCGCGGAAAGTTCTCCATAACTTTGTACTAATGCACCGGCTATAGAAGCTATTTTTAAATATTCAACTGTTTCTTATCCTTGTTTCAAGCTCAAATTGCTTTATATAGAAGCCAATTTCAAATTATTTTATATAAAAGCCTTATACATCTACAGATTCGTCTGAAACCCATAATAAAAAGCAGAATCATATTTTGTTAAACTAATAAACAAACAAAACGTCATTCAGAGAAAACGAGTGAACAGATTGATTTGAAAATTTGATTGTAGACGTAATTAAACATTCTCTACGTTTTTATTTGAACATAAAAGTAGATTTGTTGGATGGAAACAACATCAAATCAACATCAAATCAACTTTAAATCATCAATTCTCCATCAGCCAATTTTTAACTGCTTGTTTGATTATTGCTGTGAAACAGAAGCTTTCCTATTTAGCTTTCCTGTTTAGCTTTCTTGTTTAGCTTTCCTGTTTAGCTTAAAAAAGGTATTTTGTAGAGAAAAGATAGGGCTTTCTTATCTTTAAAGTCATTAGGTTTGAGCTATTAGATTTACTATTGGGTTGGGGAGAATGAGTCGGCGCCGAAAATCAAAAAAATGCCTAAAACTTCTATTCGACTTCGTCAAATAATATGCGTTTGATATCAGTAGAATGGTTAATCCCTTCAATTTTTTTAAAGAAAATTCAAACAGCGCCTCCGCTAAGAAAAGCCATTTTTTCCAAAAACTACAAACTGCCATCTAGAAAACCGGTGGGCTCTTCCCGCAAGTTTGGCAACTTAAGTAATTGATGTGCCTCTTTTTTATATAAACCCCAAAGAAGGTTTATGTGAAAGAAACTGTTCAAATGATGAGTCGGACTCTTTGCCATTTTAACCAGCTGCGTTTGGAAGTTCATAAACTCCACGAAAGAAAAGCTTTGTGGAATCTCTCAAAAGTGATTTTGTAGAGAAATAGTGGATCCTTTTGATGAAACCAAACGTATGTTTAAAGAAGGCTTTGTGTGTGCAAAAAGTTCCTTTAAAGTTTGGCGCCGACTCATTCTCCCCAACCCAATATGAAGTTGAGTTGCGCCTCTTGAAAGAATACTGAGTTGAAAGAATAAGAATATGTCAATTTCAAGGAGTTTTCAAGAGAAGATTCAAGGTTATTGAATGACTATAATAATTTGATTTATCTTTAAATCTTCATGAAATTATTAATAAAAGTGTTAACGATTAGGCAAAATGCTCAAAATGCTCAAAATGCTTAAAACCGACTCCTCCAAAGCTTCTTCGATTCGTTTAGGCAACTTTTGTTTGTTATAGTAGACCTGAAAGATTGCTTGTTTTATATTCATTCAATTATTAATAAAATAGGCTTAACTGCTTTTAACTTGCTTCTAAACTGCTCTTTTATGCGATCTTACCCTTTGTTGTTCACATTGTGCCATGAATGTTTGTAAATCGGTTGTTCCATTCGGTTGATTGATCATTACAACAATCTAAAGTCAATCTAAAGCTAGAACAATCTAAAATCAATCTAAAATCAATCTAAAGCTCAAACAATCCAAAGTCAATCTAAAGCTAGAACAAACTAAAGTCAATCTAAAGCTAGAACAATCTAAAATCAATCTAAAGCTCAAACAATCAAAATCAAATCAAATCTAAAGCTCTAAAGTCGTATTTATTTCAATTAAAAAGTCACTTTTAAACAAATTTTTTCATTTTTTTCAGATTTTTCAACTCTCGAATAGTAAACTCAACTTTTAAAACACTTTCAAAGGCTTTAGAAAAAGCTATAGACTAAAAAAAGGCTCTAAAAAAGCTCTAGCTCAAAAAGCGGATGAAAATCCAACAAACAAACATTTGTTTGAGCTCTTTAAAAGCTCTTTGTATTAGAGCAGAAAAGAAGAATTTTATTGAATATTGAAAAGAAATAATCGACTTTTCTATTAGAATTTTTACAATATCTCTAGATTTTTTCAACTCTAAACCTCTAAATGATATCTCGATTCCAACGGATTCTCTTCACTGTTTCGAATTCCGCATTTCTAAATGAGAAATTTATTAGGTACATGCTTAAGAAATGCGGATTTCAACATTTTCATCAATTTCCAATGATAGAAAACTGATATCGATAAACGATAACGATAACGATATCGATGAATGTTATAAACTATTTGAAAGTTGTAAATCTCCTCTACAAAATAGGCTCGACAAAATAACCAAATCTGTACCGAAAAGGAACCAAATCTGTAGAGACAACGTGTTTCAATTGATCGAAGCATTGAAGAAATTTCGAGGGCGATTAGCGAGTGACCAAAAAAGGAATCGAGTCACTTTAGGGACAAGTTTAGTGTGGTCACTTATCAACAAGATGCTGCGCCGGCTCACAAGGCAAAGATTATATGCAAGAAGGGCTGCCCGTAAACCTCTGATGAATTCTAAGCATCTTCATCGAGGTCTCAAGAGTGTCCGACGACCAAACACAACCATAAAAGAAGATCGAGCCGTGATCCAAATGGTGGAAAACGATCCGAGCAAAACAGCAACCGATGGAAGCCAAATGATGAGGGATCAATTTAACAAGGTTGTATCGCCGGAAACGATCAGACGACGATTAAATCAAGCTGGATTATATGCAAGAAGGCCTGCCCGTAAGCCCCTGATGAATTCTAAGCACCGGAAGCAGCGTCTTGATTTTGCACGGACCTACCGAAGTTGGACAATAAGTGATTGGGCGAAAGTGCTATTTACCGATGAGACAAAAATCAATTTATTTCACCCGGACGGAAACCATCTTATTCGGCGGCCGACTGGAAAGCGAGACACACTCAAGTACATTCGGCCTTCGGTAAAATTCTCGATTCCTAAAGTGACTCGATTCCTTTTTTGGTCACTCGCTTATCGCCCTCGAAATTTCTTCAATGCTTCGATCAATTGAAACACGTTGTCTCTACAGATTTGGTTCCTTTTCGGTACAGATTTGGTTATTTTGTCGAGCCTATTTTGTCGAGGAGATTTACAACTTTCAAATAGTTTATAACATTCATCGATATCAGCTTTATCGATATCAGTTTTCTATCATTGAATATTGATGAAAATGTTGAAATCCTCATTTCTTATGCATCAGCAATAAGTAATTTCCTGTTTCTTTTTTGTAAAAATCTACCTCATACGCTAAAAAGATGCTCGCTTCTTTTTCATCATTAAATCTCTTTTGACAACTGAAAAATGAAAACTTTAAATAATAAATGGGGGGTGGGACAAATGCGACCTTTTTTTTGCGCACCTGGACATTTGCGCACTTTTTTTTTTGCTGGAAAAGGCCTTAGGCAAGGTCGTAGAGCTTCGAAAATGTATTCATAGAAGGGAATCGTATGCGTAGATTCCGAATTTCGACAAATCAGACCTCGCTGACACGTCAAATTTGGGCTAAAAGGCAAAAACTGCGGAAAAGCGTTAAGTTGCGTAGTTTTTGCCTTTTAACCCAAATTTGACGTGTCAGCGAGGTCTGATTTGTTGAAATTCGGAATCTACGCATACGATTCCCTTCTATGAAAGCATTTTTGAAGCTCTACGACCTTTCCTAAGGCCTTTTCCAGCAAAAAAAAGGTACGCAAATGCCCAGGTGCGCAAAAAAAAGGTCGCATTTGTCTCACCCCCAATAAATGAAAGATTATAAATGAAATATCATATTTTTTGTCTACATTACCTTGGCGTTGTTTCACGATTTGCTGCAAAAATTTGTCCATTGAAGGGAAAAACGGTGTGAATTGAGAAAAGAACGCCATTCGGCAAGCAAACAACTTGAGCTTGGCCTAGAAAAGATAAAAATGAATCTATTTTCGGAAGCCATCGTAATCTGACCACCAGTTTTCATTCGATCAGCTCAATTATTGACTGAGCTTTGTTTCCCTCGTCGAATTTGACCAAAATTGAGCTGATCAAATGAAAACTGGCGGAATTACGGTAGTTGATTAAAATAAATGTTATTTTAGGAAACGGATTATCACATTTTCTAGTATATTGTAGTTTTTACCTCTAATCCTGTTCATGATCACTTTTGGGGTGGTCGAGCGATCAAGAGGTGGCGCTGGGGTGTACGAAGGTACAGTAGACTGCACCTAAGGCACAAAAATGTTAAATTTGTTAGGTTATCTAAAGCTAAAGGATATCTGCTATATCTAAAGCAATTACTTACCGAAAATACTGTAATAGTAACCCACCCCCAAAATGACGGTGCGGAGTGTTGCGTAGTCTAGCTTTGAACGAGTTTTTCTCGACACTGGTTTATGCTACAATGCCCGCTTAGGTATCAAAAAATAGCTGAAATTCAGGGCTATTTTTTGATACCTAAACGAGCATTGTAGCATAAACCAGTGTCGAGAAAAATGCGTTCAAAGCTAGACTACGCGATGCTCCGGCTGCCATTATAAACTGATGACGAGAAAAATGCGTTTAAAGTTAGACTACGTGATGCTCCGTCTTTTGATATCAAAGAAATAGCCCTGAATTTCAGCTATTTTTGATACCTAAATGCGCATTGTAGCATAATGGCGGCCGGAGCATCGCCGGAGCGTAGTCTAGCTTCGAACGAGTTTTTCTCGACACTGGTTTATGCTACAATGCCCGCTTAGGTATCAAAAAATAGCCCTGAATTTCAGCTATTTTTTGATACCTAAGCGGGCATTGTAGCATAAACCAGTGTCGAGAAAAACGCGTCCAAAACTAGACTACGCGATGCTCCGGCCGTCATTTTGGGGTACTATTACAGTATTTACGGTATATATAATAGCTAAATCATAAAAACTAAATATTTAGCTAGAATTTTCGTAAAAAAACCTCGTTAACATTCGGGGTTGAAGTCTCGAATGGTTGCTCGGATGAGTAGTCGGGTTGGGGTGAAGGCTGAATTTGAATTAAATTTAAAATTAAAACAAATCTAAATAATCTAAATAATCTAAATAATCTAAACAAATCTAAACAAATCTAAATGAATATAAATTAATATAAATTAATATAAATATAGATTTTAATGGGTTTCACCGGTAGATATTTGTTTGGTGGTGGGAATGCTGGTGAACCAGGAGAGATACGTTTTGGAGGAGGTGAAGGGAACTGAAAATAGTGATCGGTGGGAAATAAAGAAAGAAAATAGCCAAAAAAACAATAAATAAATGAATCTTCATTGATTATGAATATTGAGTTAATCAATTGAATCCCTAGCACTTTGAAAAAGGTTTAAAAGTGAAAAAGGTTTGTTGACAAAAGCATTTCTTTTTACTCCAATCTAATTCACTTATAAAAATCACTATGAAAAATCACTTTTCCCCAACTTCTAATCAACTTTTTCCAATTTTCTTCTTCACAATTCTAATTTTAACTGTTTTTTATTAGAAAACACGTTTAAATATCTATACAGACTCAAAAAAAACAGTCATTTTTATGCCTTAGAGATTTGTCCAGCTCATGATTTAGCTTAGCTTAAAGCCTAAGCTCCAGTTTTTTTGCTTTCCACTTAAAACATATTCCAGTACAGTTACAGTACTCCATTTCATTGCAGTAACTTTAAATTCAGTTCAACAAATAAATAGTAATGGCTACGGTACTGTACTTTGAACTTTAAACCAAAAAAGTGATCAAAACCAAGAAAGTGTCAAGCTGTGATACAAAAAAAGTGTAATTTCTAAAAGCTACAGTATCCAAGGCTGTGAGCTGAATACTTTTACTTCTACAAAAATCGCACCACTTGTGTCGTTTCGATCATTTCTCTCTCCGGTGTCAAATCTTCGTGTTTATCGTCTTCATTTCTCGGGAAATCGTCGCCAATCGATGGAAATTTCGATGGCGTTGTTTCAAGATATTCAACCAACGGGGGAGAATAGGTGAATCTAGAAAAATTTCCGGGATATTTACACTTTTCACTTACCTTGTAGGCACATCGTTCGACAGAGTTACATCCTCGGCGTTTGGCTACAATATTTTGAAAATTGGTATGATGATGTACTTTGTGCTCACCTGTCGACAGTAACCGAGGTCTACCGTAGGCCAGGTCTACCGTAGGCCAGGTCTACCGTAGGCCAGGTCTACCGTAGGCCAGGTCTACCGTAGGCCAGGTCTACCGTAGGCCAGGTCTACCGTAGGCCAGGTCTACCGTAGGCCAGGTCTACCGTAGGCCAGGTCTACCGGAGCCCAGGTCTACAGTAGTCTAGGTCTACAGCAGTCTAGGTCTACCGTAGGCCAGGTCTACCGTAGGCCAGGTCTACATTAAGCCAGACTGCTTACTGTAACTCTATTAGATGTTTGAGTAGAATAGATCATTTAGAAAGCCAGCCTTAAAACTAACCGGTGTTGTCACCAAATACTCGTACAATATCTCCGTTTGTTCGGTGACTGGTGGTCGAATCGATGGCGGACTCGAGGGAATTTGTGGGGATGAAGGAGGATGAGCTTCTGTCTAAATTCCAGTATTCATAAAAGACATCTATTACAGAGAAATTGCCATAATCGTAATACCGTAAACTACCGTAATTTCGATCATTCGATCAGCTTAATTTTGATCTCATTTTGGTATCAATCACAAGACTTAGTCAATGATATAAAAATTGAGCTGATCTGATGAAACTGGGGGATTACGGTGGAGGTTAAGGTAGAGAGTACGGTAGAGACTACGGTAGAGATTACGGTAGAGATTACGGTAGAGATTACGGTAGTTTGTCTAGGTGTCTAGGTGTATATAAGTGTCTTTTAGAATCTCAATTGTTCAAATCAAACAAAACTCACTCTCAACTCGATAATCGGGGCTCGCGTTTGATACTCGATTCTTTTTCCCACTGTAGTTGGTAATGCAGTGGTTACATCTAAAAATACGTACTTTTTTTTGATTAATTTATCTATTTACAAGATATCTCAAGTACTGTACTATCTAGTATTAGATAAAAATGATTAGCTGTATCTATTTTTATCTATTTTTATCTATTTGTATCTATTTTTATCTATTTTTCTCTATTTTTCTCTATTTTATCTACCAACCATCAGCCGGTGGTCCATATGGCCCTTCTTGAGCTTGTTCTGGAGCTTTTGAAGTCGTCGGAGTTCGGGTTTGAGCTGAATTACGAGTTATAAACTATAAACAAGTTATAAACCTATTTTAGATCTGTTTTCTATACCCAGAACTAGGAAATGGGTTTAATTTCACCTTCAGGCGGGTTGTAAGCGTCAGGGATTCTCCGGGTGGCCACTGGGACTTGTGGAGGAGCTGGAGTGATTGCAGGAGCTTAAGTACAGATTTTATCGTATATAATAGCATTATATGTTTGTCTAAAATATCTAAGATCTAAAATGATTGATATCTAATACTTTGATCTAAAGCTTTACTGACCTTCTGGTATTCCGTAAGGATTGAGAGCTCGTTGTGGGATTGTAGGTGAAGGAGTGAGCACTGATGGGTCTGCAAATGAAAATAGACTATTTAAACTACAGTCGACGCTACAGTAATCCACGGGATAATCACAGCAATCCATAGAGTTTATAATTACAGTAATCCTGGGAAATTACAGTAATCCTGTTTCACTGAAGGAGTAGGTTTGTTCATGGGGGTTCCAATCACGAAATTTGACTGTTCACAGTACTTTTTGGTACTATGAACCGCTTAGTTCTTTCGTAAGGAACACAAATTATTTCTTTAGTAAGACTTTCTTTAGTAAGTGAGTTTACTTTCAGGCACTTCATAAGGTCCATTGGTTACAATTTCGATGACACGTCGTGGTGGAGCTGTTGGAAGCCTCAAATCATCTAAATTACATAGTAAACTTATAAACAGACAATTAATATAGGCTTCAGGTTCAATCATCAAAATTTTGAATCGAATTAATTGAAGATTTTCATTTGGAGTTCAGGTCGATCGGCTAGACATTTCTCTAACTTTTGAATTTCAGAAAAAGAAATTCAATAGAAGAGATCACAGTAACGAATTCAAAGATTCTTATGATATAAAGCAGTCGCCAGAATCCCAAATTACCCTAATAAACTATTTTATATGAGATTGGAGATGAGAATTTGGCAGAAAATGAAAAAGAAAACCAATCGATTCGCCGATTTTCCCTTAAACTTTATAGATTGGATAAAAGATTTGAAATTAGGCCATTCTTTTCTTCTTAAGCTATTCTTTAATTGAATAAAGCCATTAATAGATAAATTAGATAAGAAATCGATATAAAAACATACCAATTTCATCAAGATTTCGTCTGGTCGTCAGCTCGAGCGGTGGCGGATAAACAAGGCCACCGGGTGGATGAGTGTCTGCGAAAAATGTCGAATATTATGTTAATTTATGAATCTATCATATAGAATATGTAGAATTATTAAATCTCGAAGAAAGCGAATCACTTTTTATCACTTCTTCATACGGATTTGTATCAAATGGCGACTTTGTGCTGTCTTCCAAATCTCGGCTTTCATTTGGTGTCTGGAATTGCGAAATTAAGAAGAAATTTGGACCTAATTTGGACCTAAAAGGTCATACGGACTATTTTGAGGTACTAGAATTGATTTAAAGTGAAAAACTCGAAAAGAGCAAAAGTTTGCCATCCGCAGGATTCGAACCTGCGCCCTCCGAAGAGGACTGCGACCTGAACGCAGCGCCTTAGACCACTCGGCCAGAATGACGCTATGACCGTGGAGGAAAGAAACAGTTATAAAGGGCACGGGGGGCTAAAATCAATAACTGTTTATCTGAAATTTGCATTTAAAGTGATTGGATCTGCATTTCAACTTTGCCTCTCGGGATCGAACAGCTGACTTCTTTTGCTATTTTTAAGGTTTAAATAGTTGTTGACGTGGGCTTTTGATGGAAAGTCCAACAGCAAATCCACTTCTCAAGGATGTGGCTCTTGGGCTGATGCTTGTCTTTTTCTTCACCTTTTCTTTCACCGTATTGCTAATGACAAGTGTCGGTGGGTGATCGGCGCTTATCCTCATCGGGGTTACCTAAATACGTCTTTTTTTTTTTATTAAAAAGCTCATTCACTTTTTCCTTTTCGATTTCACAGACGTAATTCGAGCATTTTGGCGGAGCAAGGTGGGCAAATGTTGGCGGGATGAGGCTCAGATCAGGTGCGTACGGCTGAATTTGATCTTGTAGTGCTCCAGCTATTGTAACCCACAATAGTTACAGTCATAATAGTTACCGTAGCCGCTCTAAAGCGTGCCCGGCTGTGGTGGCCTTTCTAAAGCATGGCCCAGCTACCGTAACCTTTCCAGTAAGCAAGTCGACTATAGATGTTTTATTTTAGTCGCCCTTGCCCTTCATAAGCGTTTTTTTCTTCTAGCTGACACATGTCATTCTGGCCGAGTGGTCTAAGGCGCTGCGTTCAGGTCGCAGTCCTCTTCGGGGGGCGCATGTTCGAATCCTGCGGATGACAAAGTTTTTGTTTTTTTGTATAAGTAAATGTAATGGGCTTAACATGCAAGCTAATTGTAGAGTTACGGTAACCGGGTCACGTTTTGAAGTTCATGTTCAGTTCCACTTTACTTGTTCATGCACGGGTCGTGGATAATAGGGTACACTCGTGGAAACTGGTGGACGAGTTGGCCCGGAATAACTGTACACCTGAAATTTTGCATTTAAAGTGATTGGATTCGCATTTAACAGATTTCAACAGATTGGCTAGATTTCAACTTACTTGGCTGCTCGGAATTGGCTCTGGATACGGTCTTTGATCCGGGAAATCCTTTGGATTTGACTCTAATTGATAACTAGACGTTGTAAGCTCCCTTGGTGCAGCTGTTTTAAATTCCCTCGGTGGAGCCGTTGGCGAAGAAGTTTGGTTTTCCGGACCATTTTGTGGTTGTGTGGTGGACTGAAATTGATGGAAGTGGAAAGCTCGAAAGAAGCAAAAAGTTTGTCATCCGCAGGATTCGAACCTGCGCCCTCCGAAGAGGACTGCGACCTGAACGCAGCGCCTTAGACCACTCGGCCAGAATGACATGGAGAAGGGAGGCAAAGGAGCGGGCTATGAAGGGCGATGGGGGAAAGAGAGGGGAATGGAGGGTTTGAAGAGACGCAGGAATTTCGGAAAGAAAGGCCAAAAAAACGGGGAAATGTTTTGAAATCTCGAAAATTTCAGAGATAAAATAGAGAAAATTGTTGAGAATTTGAAAATTTTCAAGAGAAACCTCGATTTTCATTGTTTCAATTGGTGTTGTTGATGGTTCTGCGCGTTGAATTGTTGTTGATGGAGGAGTTGAGCTAAATTTTGATTCTATCAAGAGTTAAAAATGATCTCTTATAATCTGAAATGTTATAATCTGCTAAAGCTACCGTAACCGTTGCTGTTTTTTCAGAAAAAACGATTTTAAAGCAGTCTATCGTATCTTTATTCAAATCTTTATCTTGGCGAGCACAGGCGAGATTCTAGATTTGCTAAAGCGTGTTTAATTTCGACAAACTGCAGTAATCTCTATTTTCAGATTACGGTAGTTCTAAATTATCGATCTTTTAGAAACGGATTGCTTTAACGGATTGCTTTGTGGATTTAAACGAACCTGGCGCTCGTTGTAGCTATAAAAACCGTTGTTGGGATCTAAAAATCATCAATCACTATAATCCAGCTAAAACTACCGTAACCCTTTCTTCAAAATATCCATTCGGAGTGGCACTTGGAGCTGAAGGTTCTCTTGATGGCTCTCTTGTAGTTGAAGGACTACTGTAGCTCTCTTTTACTTCAGAAAGTGGAGGATAGGGGGCTAAAAGTTAAATGAATATTAAAATTCAGTTCTACAGTACTCACCGATTGGCACTTGCGAAATGGGAACATAGGGAGCCGGTGGTTCTCTGGAAATCCGATTTAATGGGAAAGTTCGACTGTTGCCCTGAGCTGACAGGGTATTTAGGATTTGTTTAAGGAATTTATCCTGTTTCTTTTATCCAGATTTTGTCTAGCTCTATAGAATCGATATCTATTAAATAGCCAGGCCAGTTGACCAAAGCCACCTAAATTTGATTTAGCCACTAAAATTGAGTGAAAAACTCGAAAGAAGCAAAACGTTTGTCATCCGCAGGATTCGAACCTGCGCCCTCCGAAGAGGACTGCGACCTGAACGCAGCGCCTTAGACCACTCGGCCAGAATGACTTGCTGGAGAGGGGCAAAGGAGGGGCTTATGAAGGGCGATGAGGGGGTTAGGGACTAAAGTTCCGGAATGATTTGTCTTCTAAAAATCGTACCGTAATGGCTACAGTATCCAGAAGACTACAGTAAGACTAGGCCGGGTTCTAATATAAAAAATGGCATTGCAACCAGGGTCCAGCATACTGTAGGATACAGAGATTGAACAAGCGTGAGTTTACGGGGTAAAGAAATCGATTTTAAAGTTGATTTATTTAAATAGATTTCTAGAAATATCAATGGGTAATTGGGAGTTTACCGGACGGATTCTATAGGGTCTAGATATCAAATTATATATAAAAATGTATCTATAAACTATTTGATCACTCTCCCAAAAGATTTTCAAGCATTTCAAGCATTTTCAAGCATTTTGAAGCAATTTTTCAAGCATTTTGAAGCATTTTTCAAGCAATTTTATCTAAATCAAAACCTCAAACCGTTGTGACGATCAAAAAGTTGTTTAGATTTGCAATTTTTATGCAAAAAAAAGTGCAATAAAGGTAAAAATATCTGAATTTTCATAATTTTTCATAATTTGGCATTAATTTTTAAGAAAAGATAGTGTTTTTTTGAGTTAAACTGTCCTTTTCGGACAATCTTTATTACAAATTGTTATAAGCAACTGGCCTAGAAAGTTCTCTAGGTCAAGATCAGCTCTGTATCTTAATGTCAAGATCAGCTCTGATCAGCTCTGCTCTGATCAGCTCTCGTTTAAGAACAAATCCAGATATGTAAAACATATCTAAATATATAAAATAGATAATAAATAACAAAAATCTATTGAATATTTACCTAATTATTGCTGGATAGAGTCGATTGAATGGTCCTTTAGGGAAAAATGAGTGGAATGGCGGTGGGACGGGGCCCTGGAAATAAATGCAAATATTGAAATTAAATTTAGAATCAATTACATTACATTAGAGTTACATTAGAGTTACATTAGAATACATTAGAATCATAGAACCAAATTCACAAGCTGAATATCTTTATCTAAATGAATTAAAATCAAATTTTATTTAAAAGAAAACCCGCTTGATTTCTCGGTCTTTCCACGGGTCCTCGCTGTCGATAATCGGGAATCTTAAATGAATCAAATAATCAATTAGCATTTAAAAATAAAGTAAAATAAGTATTTAAAAGAAATCCTGAATAGATTTTTATAATTTTATACCTGAAAATTTTCTGGTAGAGTATAATACGATGGAGGACCGGGCTTGGAATCGATGAGTGACGGGTTTGAAGCTCGCTGGGAACGGGAGGCGATTAAGGAAATGTTCTGGATGAAATTTCATTATACAAATAGTTACAAATCGTTACAAATAGTACATAATATACATTAATCTACATTAATCTACATTAGATCCACATCTATGTTTACTGTAGATTGAGGAGCACGTTCTTTTTGACTCATCCTAAGTTTGAAGATTACGAAACTATTCAAGAGTCAAAAAAAACAAAACAATTGAATATCGGTAAATGATTTTTCGACTAGTCTACCATCAAAAAAGACATTTTACTATGGTTTTTAGACTGGTTTTTAAATCGAAATAAACGACGCCTTGTACCTTGTACCAAGCAGTTACCGTCCAAAATCTAGAAAACGTCACTTAAACCTAATCTACAGTAATCTACGTATTCTACAGTAATCTACGGTAGTCTATATAAATCTGAAGGTTATAAACCTCTTATTTAGCTGTTGTAGTTGGAACTAAGGCAGGCACTAAGGCTAAAACTAGACTAGAACCTGCTGGAACTGGAACCCGCAATCTTTCCCTTTCCCTTATCCGCAACCTTTCCCAATTGTGCTAACCATTACACTACAACGCACCTGATCTCCTTTACTTCAAAGGGAATTAACTTCCCTCCTCTCTAGAAGAGACGGTTCCACGCGTCTCGATCTATAAGCCGGAGTGCGCTCGTAACTGGGTATGCAGATCTTAGCCAACCCATCCTTCTGTGCTCGCTAGTTGGAACTAGGGCAGATCAAAAACTCGACTAGAAGCTGCTAAGACTGGATCCCGCAACCTTTCGTTTACCAGGTAACTGTGCTAACCATGCTAACCATGCTAACCATGCTAACCATGCTAACTAGGTAACACTACAACGCACCTGATCTCCTTTACTTCAAAGGGAATTAACTTTGTAGCCTTTTAACATCTGAGGCTTCTCCTAGCTATGCGTCAACTTTTAGAAAACACTCAGCTTTATATAATAGCTCTATAAGATGGGTTCTGTAGTTTCAGCTTAGTAAATCGGTTTTCCCAAGTCAAGCCTAGACTACTGTAGATGCCTTTACGAGGTATAAGAGATCGGATTACAATAGCTTTTATAGATTACGATAATCAAAAAACAAATCCTAGACTAGATTACTGTAAGTTTTTAAGTTAAAACTCACATTTTTCGCATCTCTTGGCGCCGTTTTCCAAATTGGTTTTAAAGCGGAAGAAATCGAGATAAAAAGCAAGAATAGAGAATATTGTAGATTTAATTTCTGTCCACCCAAGTTCATACTAAAGAAAAACTTTCATTCAAAACAATGACTTTTCAAGAAATTCAAGAGAAAAGAAACTGGTTTTTGATGGAATATGGAAAAGAGATTAATTAAAAGAAGAAGAAGAAGGAGAAGGAGAAGAAGAAGAAGGAGAAGAAGAAGAAGAAGAAGAAGAAAGAAAAAAACAAGAAGAAAAAGCAAACAAGTTTTCACATCATTTCTAAAGTTTTAAGAAAGAAAAACTCTTTTTTCTTGTTTTTTCAGCAATTGCTCTTGGTGTTAACTCGTAAACGCATCTTTCTGGTGCACTGAATCCTTCATTTTTCTCGTAGCAACGTAGAAAATGAAGATGAAGATGAAGAAAGGATTCAGTGCACGAGAAAGATGCGTTGACGAGTTAGCACAAAGCGCTAGTTGTGTTTAGTTGCGTTTACAAGTGAGCTCAAAGTACACAACGAACAAGAAAGATCTAGTGTTTTGAAAGGATTAAGAATTTTCATTTGATTGTCTTTTTGGAGGAGAAAGGAGCTAAAAACAAGCTCGTAATTCCAATCGGCGAAGAATTATCGACGATTTCAATCTATGAGAAATGAGATGAGAAAATGAATCGAGATTTGAAGAGATTCATGAAAAAATAATCCCTTTTTTTAATGTCATTAGGGTTTTGTTTAGAATTTTATAGATTTTTATTGAGAAAAGCAGTCATTTTTTTGAAAGCATACTGTAATTCATACTGTAATGATACTGTAATACTTTATATTCTACAGTAATCCGTGTACTGTAGTATGCAAATTGCAATCTAAATGCAAATTGAAAAATCTCTTAAGCTTTTCACTGTACAGTTTTTGATTTTAGCCCCCCGTGCCCTTTATAACTGTTTCTTCCTTCCTCTGCCAACAAGTCATTCTGGCCGAGTGGTCTAAGGCGCTGCGTTCAGGTCGCAGTCCTCTTCGGAGGGCGCAGGTTCGAATCCTGCGGATGACAAACTTTTTGCTTCTTTCGAGTTTTCACTAGGGGGTCAAATTTCAAATGCGTTTTTACAGAAATCTAGCGCGTTTGAGCAATCGTGTTGCCCGTGTCCGACTTTCGTAAGTCATATACCGTATTCTCTCTAATAGTAGTGCACGCCCGTCGAGTTGATGCCTATTTTACGGTTTCCAAGCTTTTGCCGAAGCTCAACACTCAAATCCCCCACAAGTTCTCATCGTCAGCTACATTTTCCGACCCAACATCGATAGGTTCTCATAAGCGGTTCTCGAGACTTCAAGGAATTTAGGCAACGCCCAGGGTGCACCATTAGAGAAAATACGGTAACATTGGTTCGGATTCGCGCTTGCGGAATCTCACCGTTCCCTAGGAAAATGAAAAAGACTCCTGTTAGTGAGAATTGGAAAAAAGATATTTTAGCGTTTAAAGAGAGCTATGGTGATCCAGTTAGTGATTTTGACGTTGACGATAGCGATCTTGACAAACTTGGAACTAGACTGGAGGAGCGATTGAACTTTAGTGAAGATAATGGAGATGAGAATGTGGAGGAAAATGATTGAAATTGTGTTTGTTGTTTCAATTTTTTGTTACTCTATTTTTTTTTTATTTATTTATTCGTTTTCTTTCTTCAAATGTTATTATATTATCTATAAATTTTGTTTTTATTCTCGTCAGTCTGATTGTGAAGTTGTCGAGATTGTGAAGACTCGACTCTGTCTGCAGGCGAGCTGTCTGCAGGCTCCGGGGTATTCCAAAATTAAAAATAAAAGCGTTCTAGCCATTCAGAGCATTCTAGCCGAGTGTTTTTGTCGTTTTTATAATAAAACCAAAATGTTTTATAAAATAAAAATATAGGGATACCGTAAAAGAATTTTGGTTAAGACCCGGCCGCGATCTGCATCCATTAAATGCAAATTTGAACTTTAAATGCAAATTTCAGGTGTGCAGTTATTGATTTTAGCCCCCCGTACCCTTTATAACTGTTACTTTCTTCCACCTTCATCCGGAGAACCAAACTTCTTCAGCAACGGGTCCACCAAGGGAATTTGTAACGCCTGGTTGGAACATATTGGAACCATATCCTTGGAAGGAACATATTGGACCCATATTGGAACCATATTGGAACCATGTTGGACCCATATTGGAACCATATTCTTGGAAGGAACATATTGGAACCATATTGGAACCTAGTTATCAATTAGAGTCGAGTCCAAAGGATTTCCCGGATCAAATATCCAGAGCCAATTCAAATATCAAATATCCAGGGCCAAATATCCAGAACCAAATATCCAGAGCCAATTCCGAGCAGCCAAGCAAGTTGAAATGCTGATCCAATCACTTTAAATGCAAATTTCAGATAAACAGTTATTGATTTTAGCCCCCTGCCCTATATAACTGTTTCTTTCCTCCACTGTCGTCGCGTCATTCTGGCCGAGTGGTCTAAGGCGCTGCGTTCAGGTCGCAGTCCTCTTCGGAGGGCGCAGGTTCGAATCCTGCGGATGACAAATGTTTTGTTTTTTTGAATTAACTCTTGATCTTTTATTAGCAAATCTTTTATTATGCAAGCTAATCGGCAAATAAGAATCAAGATAATATAATCAACCCAAGCAACGGAGATCAGCAGAAAAGCGAAGAACAACAAAATAGCCACCAAGAAAAAGGGGAATTTTTTAGAAAGAAAAAAACAAGACAAAAAACGATCACAACTTTTCAAATAACAAATCGAAAATGACGCTTCAAACCCGTATTTGTGAGAGATATTAACGGAAATGAGTCTGGATTACGGTAGAAAGGAAGAGGCTTTAACTAGAGTAACCCTAGAGTAACTTGGGGTTACTGTAGGCTGTAGGAATTACCGTAGCCGAGGGTTGCGGGGAAATCCACCGTCGCCTAGACTCATAGAAATTGGGCTAAACATAAAAAAAGGACTAATTGGAAAACTCTCTAGATATTCCAATCAACGAATGGTCGATGATTGAGCGGATGTCTTGCTATCAGCATTTCGCGGCGAAGTTCCCGCAAAATGTCAGACAAAAGTGGTTGTAATTGTTGGGGTTTATCAATCGTTTCATCATCTATCAAATTTTCCTTTAATTCCGATTTTTTAAGCCGAAAACGGGGATTTGATTGGAAAAATTCGTCATTTTTTTCATCGTCGAAGAAAGGCGATGAGAGACTTCGCTGAAAATTTGATTTTTTTGCTGATTTGTGTACTGTACTACTGTATTACGGTATATAGAGATTACGGTAGTAAATACGCGGTTCTAGTAGTTCGTACTATTCAAATTCTATTGCTACAATAGACACAAAAGGCTTAGGATTACAGTATGTCGAGTGTTAATGAGAAAGTTGACTAGAATCGACTAGAATCGACTAGAATCGACTTCGGTAGGAAACTATTGGGTTGATGCATAATTATCCGGACTTCTTTTTGCGTGCTTGTATCTTTTTTGTTTTGAAAGCTTTTTGTCTATTTCTTTTTTTTAAATATTCGTTATTCTTTAGTGAACAAAATGCGTGTCGACAATCATATCCATCTTCGCCATATCATGCTCTACCACTTCGAAAAGGGATGGTCTGCCGCAGAGTCGTTTCGCGATCTCAAAGAACTGGAGAAGCCCCAACGGACTACCACGTCAATCGATCGCTCAAAAATTGGCAAACAAATAAGATCTACAACGATTTGGATGACTTGATAGACGATGTTAAAGCGTGGATTGCCTCCAAAGATCGTTTATTCTTCGCTCGTGGAATCGATCGTCTTCCAAGCAAATGGCAATCAGTTATTGATGTAGGCGGTGAATATGCTCCAGAATAATCAATTAAACATATTTTTCTAACTATTTATGTTATTTTTTGTTAAATAAAATCATTTATAAAAGAAGTCCGGATAATTATGCATCAACCCAATACTATTACGGTATCACGGTACTAATGTCTCTAATACTACAGTACCCGAAGCTATAGCCCTAGAATACGGTAGCTGAGAATTCGGAGCTGAGAATTCGGAGCTGAGAATACAAAACATTCTAAATAAGGTAAAGCTTTCACCTGATAAGCGAGAGGTCGCGGGTTCAAATCCCGGTACTGAATGCTTTGTATTCTCAGCCTCAACCCATAAAACGACCAACTACAACTACACCAAATACTAGGATTATTATTCTATTCGTAAACGCTCACCACCTGGCACAGGATTAAGGGCTAACGTTGAGGGATTACTGTAGAGCTACTGTTAAGGGATTACTGTAGCGCTTAGGCTTAGGCTTAGGCTATTTTAAGAAAATCTATTTATTAGGGTAAAGATCTAGTTTATAGTTACCTTAACAGCTCCCGTGCAACACCGTGTGCATTTAGATGCATCCGAATAGGCGACACATCTCGCTCCACACCCGCAATCGGCTTGGATTGTTGAGAGGAGAACAAAGAAAAGAAATAGTAATAATAGCATTTCGTGGAGTGACTGAAAAATGGGTTTTTAAATGAAATGAATGAAATGACGCTAGTTTGAATCGAATTTAAGAAACTCCAAGCATTGAATAACAAATGATTCAAAGGATTACGGTATTGGAAGGATTACGGTACAATATAAGATTAATCTAAAGGATTACGATATTGGAGACAATATAAGATCAATCTAAAGGATTACAGAAGCTACAGAGAAGGATTACAGTAGTGGAAACAATATAAGATCAATCTAAAGCCTCTAAATTAATCTAAAATCTAAAGAAGCACAAGATAGCAAAGAATCAAAAGGATTACGGTGGCAATGGAGCGATATAACTTTAAAGATTGTAATGATCTAGAGCTTCAAAAAGGTTACAGTAGTGCAGCAGAATGAAAAGATTACAATCTACCAATTGTAACCGATCTACCGATTGTAACGGATCTACTGATTGTAACGGATCTACCGATTCTAACCGATCTACCAATTGTAACCGATCTACCGATTCTAACCGATCTACCGATTGTAAGCTACCGTAATCCCTGAATGAGAAGGATTACGGTAAGTAGAAGAGTCTAGAAATGTGAGA